GTGTGTCTTCTTTGTCTTCAGCGTTTGGGTCAGCATCACCACCGGCGGGGACTACAATAACGACACCCAGATCTGCGAGCTCCTTGAGCCAGCCGTAGAACTGACTATGCGGATCTTCATCTTTCAATGGTATATCTCCAAAGGTGTCCGCGTTCTGCACATCATACCCACGCCATGTGGAGGGTAGTGCAGAGCCGTCTATGGTTCTTGATAGATTGATTACAGATCTGAAGCTAGCGCCTTTTTCAAGTATATCCCAGTAGACCAGTTGAAGTGCGTTGGCAATAAGCTTAACCCGATCGCTTGGTAATGTCCTCGCGATTTCTTCGTCTCTTGTTCTGAATGGTCGTGGAAGTCGGACAATCGTGACGTTCGTTCCCCTTCCAACCCCAAAAGGCTCTTCAACGGCCTTAGAGAGGACAAATGTCCCATGGAAAATAGTGTGGGCCACGGCCCCCTTGACGCTTTCGTCCGCTATACCCAAGTCATCCACGAAGTCATCGAGTTCTTGTTCAACGCCTATACCCGCAAAAATCCAGTTGATGTGGTTTGGAGGAATGTTTCGGTAGGTCTATTGGCTGTCAATCAAATCCAACAATGGAGGTGGGAGTTTACAAACCTCACGACTTGTATCACATCCCGTGTCAATAATATAAAGTCGAGTACTGTAGGGTTCTCGAACTCTATATACGTATCTGTCCAAAAAACGAAGGGCAATACCCATGGGCTGAGACACAACTTTAAGCTCTGACCCAGGGTGCCCTTGAATCAATTGTGACAACCTTCCCTGTAGAGGGAGGAATGTGCAGGGAATACCTGGTTGTGGCCACTCCGTCGCCCTTCTTGATAGATTCGAGACATCGTTCTTCAAGGATTTATTGTCTCCCATCGAAGATCCTGATTGGTCTACTACCGGCAAAGATCGCGATTCGACTGCTGCCGGCAAAGATTCACCTTCGTCATCGTCGTCGTCGTCGTCGTCTACCTGCTCAGTGGGGGTTGAGGACAGAACGTGAGATACCGGTGGCAGTATTACACTCGACACCTGTAGATCTTAGACAGCCCCTGATTTCTGAAGGAACCGGAGAATAACTTACAGCAGGGTCTTTTTTATAGCTTTCTACTTGCTCTGTGGTGAGATACTGTTGCCAATAGAACATGAACTTACGTCCACCGGGCGTCTTGTCTCCCCAATAACCGCTCTTATACAATGAAGCTTCGTTCGTCTCACGTTTTAATCTTTTGTCGAACGCTTCAACAATATCCCATGGCATTTTACGATTTGTATTGATACGGTATAATACCAAGCATGGTTTTGCAACTTCGGATTCGTCGTTTTGTCGTCGACTGACGCCGTCTCCAGAACTTCCTGGCACGGGGCAGGACTCAGCTGGGTCTTCCCCATTGTAGACCACATTAACAGGTCCACCATCTTGACCGGGGACACGTTCATACGATAATTCTATCACATATTCCTTGACTGTCCTCGTCCAATCAAGATTACTTCCACCCTTATATTTCCACTTCTGAGTTATCACTTCTAAATGAGGGGAATTGTAGAAGTAGCTGATCAAACCTGCAACGGCTGGTGCAGCTGTATTCTTGTCAGCTTTATTTCAAGATACCGAGTATAGTATGAAGGTCTACCATATGAGGAGCCGGCTGCCTGCAGAGTGGCACCGTTTGAGCCCGAGACCGACATCGTCGATCCGGGTGCATATATGTCAACCTTTGCATTTTCAAAGAGACGGAACCATCGCCTGAATCTAAACATGTGTTTATGTGTGTGAGCTATTGGGTTTTCCAGAGAATCTATTCAGAAGGTACGAGAAAAAAAAGACAACTTACGGCTGCTCTGCCAATCGGGTTCCTGAATTATCGACTGAACCAACGTTCTATACATGAAGTAATCGTGTCAGTCATTTCCATCGCCATTCTCATGTAAAAAACTGTAGTTAATTAGGTTTTATCACTTACTATGATCGGGAGATCATTAGATGCCCAGACACCAGGGACGGTTCTAAGAACTCTACTCTCCGGGTTAGTTGTATCTGCCTCGTTCCCGGCAGCCGTTGTTATGACAACTCCTAACTCAGTTAGCTTTTGAAGCCAGTACCAGGTATCCCAAGCAAAATGCTCTTGATCTCGAGGCGTTCTCCAGATTTCGGGGTCGCCTTCTGAACGTCTGGGCACGACCAATCCCCCTGACGATACAATCATAGACCGGACGCTCGCGTTTGAATTTGTTGTCATCTTTTCAGATATATCATTGTACATCAGCTGAAGGCCGTGCTCAAAGCAGGGCCAGCGAAATTGTGGCATGAAAGGGGGATTCTCATTTGACTCTTCGGCCGACTGTATCGCTGTAGGAACGCGTACGATTGTCACATCTACTCCTCGTCCAACCCCATAAGGTTCATTGACTGCCTTTGAAAGAACCTGGGTACCGTGAAAAGACGGTTTTGCATCGTTGTTCGCATCAGATTCAATCTGAAAGGGTTCGTTTCCTTGCTTGACTTCGGTTCCTCCTGGATGAAGCCATTCAACGCGTTCTGGGTCTAGATTTTGGTAGGTCTGTTTCTAGTGAGTCTTCCAGAACGCTAAAGATGATGGCTTACTTACCTGACTGGAAGTGTCTGCCCCGGTGTCAAGAATATAGATCCTACTACTGTAAGGCCTTGACATCCGATATACATAACCTTTGATGTCTTTGAGCTCTACCCCTGCAGGCTGACAAAATACCTTTAATTCGTCCACAGCGTCTTGCTGTCTTAGTTGACCACTGGTCGGGAGAAATGAGGATGGAGTACCGGGGTCCGCACGTCTTTCCAAGCTTGATTTAGTCTGTTGAGTATGATCTTCAGCTGGTTGGTGTCTTCTTGGTTTTGCTATTCTATTCACAGCTGATGATCTGAACAGAGTGCCATTGTATTTCTGCACTACCGCCACCTTTCGGATTTGTTAGATTTTATTTTCATGTTTTTAATCAAAACAAAAAATAGCAAAGAAAACACGTACTAGTGGATCTGCTTTATACGCTTCTGCTTGATCCGAGGTCAGATTTCCAGACCAAAAGACGACGAATTTGCCGAGTTCCGACCCACTTGTCCAAAGCGTCTCGACGCCTATTTCTCGTTTCAATCTTTCTGTGAATTCTTGAACAGCTTCAAATGGTGCGTCGATCTTGGGACGAATACGGTAGGTTACGCCTGTTGCCGTTGCCGTACTAGACGAGGTAGTTGCCGTGCCGCTTGCTGTAGTAGAACATGCTGTGATAGCAGATCCGCATGAAGTCATCGTCACTGTATTTGTGACATCTCCACTGGCGCCGCTGGTAACTGACACGTTGAAAAGCGTAGTACAACTAGAGATCGTAGTCAGAGTACACACATCAACACTCGAAGTAGTAATCTCTGTATTGCGTGCGGTTCTATCACAGGCTGTGATGGCAGGTCCGCAAGATGTCGTTGTCATTGTCGACGTTACCAAGTCTCGCTTGGAACCAGTGACAGCAACGTTGTAAATCGTGGTACAATCAGAGACAGTAGTCTTCGTACATTCTTCGTCGTCACTTTTTGTACTTTTCTTTTCGTCGTCTGGTTCCTCTTGAGACGGTTCTTCAGGCTTCGCAGGATCAGTACCTGGATAAGGAGGAGGTGGGTCGGGCACAGTGCCTGGATTGGGCGGGGGACCTGGCGGACCTGGTGGCATTGGTGGTATTGCCACCATTGGAGGAACCGGTGGAACTGGTGGAAATGGTGGTGGTGGTGGTAAACCTGGATAACTAGGTGGAGCTCCTCCTGGTAGTTGAGGTGGTGGGGGCCCTGAGACTGGAAGAGATCCAGGTTTTGGAAAGTGCGGCAATTTGAGGCCTGGAAGTTTTATGCCTCCACCCGCTGTGTACTGTCAGCTGTGAGTGTGTAATTTTGTTTATATTATATCTTCAAAGGGAAAGACCAGTCGGGAAGCACTTTATGTTACACATCATCTGCACTTCGCCGAGAGGCCTTGGGTGTTATATCGAGATACAAACCCTCGAAGGCACCAAGAAACAGAAGTCAATACTTACAATTGCATGGTCTTACGACGGGAATAGGAACGCAAGGAATCTGTCAGGTAGATTAGCAAGCTACACGGATGCATATAAGGTAACATACGCGAAATGGTGGAACGCCTTTAAGATCGAACTGGCGGTTCGGCGTTGGCGGGAAATTCTTCAGCGCAAGAGCAGCAACGACGCCGCCTCCGATCACTCCAGCTCCACCTCCAGCAATAGCCAATGGACACCAAGGAGGTGGGCACGATATAATAGGTACCTCTGTCTCTTGGCCATTCTCATCTGTGGTAAGTGAAACTGTGTTCGCAGTAATATCGCCATTCGTTATTGTTTCTACAAATGCACCCTCGGGCATTTCCGTGATTGTAGCGGTTGCTGCCATATCGAGCTGGCACATGGAATGGTAAGGCTCGCTGAGACAAGTGGTATAGTTACCCAACTCAGCATCTGTTGGAATAGCAACAGCGTTCATATGAAGGCACGCTCCGTCGTACGGATACTCCTTACAGAACGCGTCCCGATCGCCCAATTCGGACATATTTGAGGGTGGGATACAGTCTGAGTCTCCGCTGAAATAGCACAACTGCGTGCAGTCTATTAGTGTCTGCCTAGCCCAACTTTAAGATATAACGTACCGGTTTTGGTGGTAGACCAGAGCTGATTGACGCAGACGAAGCATCTGAGAGGGGAAGAGCGGTTCCAGAAGGCATTGTTGAAGTGATTGGGGGAGATGTCATCGAAGCCGGGATGATTTGTGGAATGATTTGGGGAGCAAAGACTGACAGAGGTGTCCCGCTAACAAATGTCCCAGATGAACTAAACGTAGAAGGTAATCCTAGCGTATTGCTTACGGTTACAATCATCACCGAAGAAGGTGTCACTATTTGGGTGACAACTGAGGTAAACAAAACATTATTTGCGGTGCCTGTGAAAGTCGACATGATTAGACTTGTGTAGGGAAAACAACAGGTACGATTGGAGGCATCGCAAGGCTGTTATTTGTCAAGCGCGACGACGAAAGAGGATCTTGGGTTCCCGACATCATTGCGGTATCTTTCGTATTTACTCCAGGTTGAGTAAAGTTGAATGAGGCTCCAGAGGGTCGTACCTTGCCAGTTGAGGAGTTTCTGAATGCTAGAGAGCTCTCGGACGTAACCTGGACCTCAGACGAGATCGTTTGGCCTTGATCATTCGTAGTTATGGCAGTCGAAACCGAGATGGATTTACCGGTTACGCTTGCTGTCGGTGAACTAAGTAATTGGGTCATATTCAAGGCGGATTTCGATGGGGTTACTTGAAGTACGGAGGTGAATGACGAGCCACGAGCGTCAGTTCCCGTGGTTGTCATATTATACACACGCGTCCTTTTTGACGTAATCTTTGTCTGTGAAAATTTCCGTGGTCGAGTCGAGACTGACTTTGACGAAGATGGTGATTGACTTTGGCTATCACCATTGCCCGTTGATACTGGGATGCTTGTCTCATCAATTGGCGCCCTTGCCATGTTGCGAACTGAAGAGCTGCCAGCTGCCGAATAGCTTGATGATGCAACATCTGGTGTTCTCTGGGAAGTGGGTGTCGAGACCAGCGGAACACCTGTATTCAGACTGATGTCCGCCGAGGTCAAGGATACAGTAGGGTAACTCTCCAAGCACGAACAGGCGCTTGAAATGCTAACTGTATTTGACAAACAGCCATTGATGAAACTTGGTAAGGTGGATTGAGGTTCTGCACTCTCTACAGTGGCTGTATATTGCTTGCAGAATGAGGATGCGGGACCGGGATTCTCAAGAAATCCTTGAATGCAAGGTGTTCTTTCGCAATATTCTGATTGAGAAGTTCCTCTATCACCAATAGCTTTCGGTCGAAAAGGTTTGCCCTTCTCGAGAGTAGGCCACTTCTTCAGCCGATTGTAGTCTTGCTGTTTTGCATGACCATCATTGCTAAGAGAAGACAGAAGAGCTTCGCTGTGCAGACTCTGCGAATCAGAGATCTCCATAAAGACAACCTACAACTAACGTCAGCGACCGAAGTCTGGATGTTGACTTAATGTTGAGGATGACTTACATTGCTGACATCAACAAAGACGGTAGTAGACTTATGTTCTTGTCCTAACACAAGTAGCCAAAGGCATATTGCCGCCAGAGTTCCTAGACCAAGAGTCCTTATTTCCGAAGAGGACTGCTGGAATGGCGGTGACGGATAGGAGCGCCAACGACAATGGCACTCAAGTCAACGCTAGCAGTGATTGCAAGTGCGAAGAGTAGTAATGATGAAGTAAAGACGGTTGATATTAAGAATGTGTAATATAAAAGGTTGCCTGGGCTTCAGAATGAGATTTCACGAAATCTGCTCGAGGATTATGTTGTGTTGAGGAAGAAAGAATTGAAACAGAAGAGGGGAAGTCGCCCTCTTTATAATTCGAAGAGTTCGCCTCATTTCGGTTGACTTTCGTCAAAACACCTAGGTACAATTAAGGATATAATAGTTCATTGCACATGATGATGGAGTCTTCCTTCGTTTGGGCAAGGGTCGTGTGTACTATCCATATTCAGTCATAAGATGAACGGTGATGATGTGAGGCGAATTTATACTACCGCACAAGCTTAACTCAAGTTGGTGCTTCGACTGATAACCTAACAGAATAGGATAATATGAAAACCGCTAAGCGAGTTAGGCATATCCCAGCGTAGTATTGTTTCCGGTCGCTGATGAAGGGGTAGCAGTTTCAAAAACCCTTAGAGTCAACAATGATGGTAATTCGAACCCCACAAATTTAAGCCTGAGGATTTCAGTTCCCGAAGAGACTTTGGTAGTAGACTGATTGTCTTAATTGAAAGGTTATTAGGCAAGCACTAGAGCACTAACATGACTATGGGAGATCACTTACTTAATATACACCTTCGTCAAACGATTTCGAGTATCTCTCGCTCGATCACTAAAGCTTCTCATTGACGGAGCTCGTCCTAATCTGACATCAGGCTTCTTTTCGCGGCGCCGAAGCTCGCTGGCATTCAATGCCCCGAGTTACATCTGAATTGAGGCCGAGATTTAGTCTGGATTTGGAGATATGAACAATAGACGAGAGTGATCCCGTTAGAGCTCTTGCTAACAAGACCATAATTCGCCCATCTACGCGGCTTGTTAAAGGAGTCCTGATGTAGAATGCAAGTGTTAGCTTACTGTATAAAGCTCGCTTAATCTCAAGAACCTTACCTCAAATGAGCAAGGAAAGGACACTGGCTAAAAGCTTCGGAAAAGAACCCTATTTGACTAATGAACTCTCTGGCTTGTCGGTTCACTGTTGCTTTGTCGGCTCGTGGACGACAAAATAAGTGGCACTCACCTACCCGCAAATCTTAGACTAAATAACAAGTCTATTCCGAATAGAGCTCAAAGTCTCATTCACTTAAAATAGTTGACGAAATAGTCATAATGTTGTAAGTTGATCCACTAAATTACGATATTTCGTTAACCTAGTCGAAGAACTATTCTGGTTCGACTGCCACTTAGTTTGTCCTCCGCGAGGTCGACCATGGTTGATGCTGACCAGAGAGCCCTGAGAATTGGGTATTGAATCAAGAGTCAAAAACAGGTCGACCTATAACCACGGTGACTTTTTCTGCGAATTGGCTTGCTCAACACAATAACTTGACTGTAACAATACACCTTTTCAATTCTGGAATCTCCATCAGTAAAAAGCCCAGAGCTTACGTCAGCACCAATTGTAACGAAACAGATGCCCATTTAAGAAGCTTATCAACAATGCACAGACATAAAGTGAATATGAATGAGGACGATCAGCTCACACCGAGCTCAACAGTAACCACTGCTGAGAATCAGGAGCCGTACCCTATTTAGGTATACTACAATCGGATTGAAGACTCACTGATGATATCTGGCCACTTCCATCAGGCTCGTCTTGTTCGTATTCCACGTTGTAATCCTGATTCGGTAGGGTGGCGATATCGCTGATATTTTCATCGTGAAGTTCAAGTATGGTCATGTTCAGAGTCGTACTTACTAACCAGTCTGGACAAAGGTTTAATCCACGGACCACATGTTGGGAACCTCATTGTGGGAAGCGAAGTATGATAAATAGCAGTGCCAATTTGGGTTGAAATTCTTTTCTACCTAAAGTGTATTCACTCTTCAGCTAAGTCCATGAAACTTACACAAAATTAATTTGGCATCAGAATTCGGCCTTTAAAACACGTCGTTCAGATGGAGCGCCAAGGTAGGTTTAGTATGATAATCGCAGAGTGAATCTGTCGCTCGCTCGCTTTGATATTCGGCACGATTGCGGCCAGATTTGGATTCCCAAGAAGGAAACCAGGGGACGAGATGAGATGCTATATATTATCCTGTGAAGTGAAGAAAGGCAAAGAAGACAACGTACTAGGAAGTGGTCCAAAGGATTGAAACCGAAAAGCTCATCAGTAATAAGGTTAGAACGTAGTACCCATAGCCAAGTCAAGAGTATCAATGAGACGATCAGATCCCTTGACCTTGAGAAGTTCTAGAATCGCTCTTACTCTTCCGGCGACAGTAGTAGGGGACTTGCTGTAACGTAAGCCATGGACCATGAACCCTTCCCACTACTGAAGTCTGCCATATTTCTACCAGTTTATCGTACGGCCGAGTTTTCAGCGCCGAGATAATGTCTAGATGTTCTCTTATCAACCTGCAGTATGACTGTGGCAGTTCCCCAGACCACAAGCAGCAATTTCGCGTAGTTCCCTTTTGGTTAAAAGCTTCAACAATCAACACTTCCCTCTCTGTCATCCCAACTTGCTGCCTAAATTGCCACCCACCAGCTTTGATCATTCTGGTAATTCGGGCGTGAAATGGCCACATGGATCTGCGATAATTAAAAGCCGTGATATTGTCGACGTCCGGAAAATGAGACATGTTTCCTAGATTATGGTTGATACTTAGACCTGCGGGCACGTTTAGAAGTGATCGTCGTATAAAGGGGAGGCTGAATGATCGGCGCATCATTAACAAGGGGGATCTGCAATACGAGGGGAGGATTATACTCACCGGACGTACCAATAAGCCGCTTTAACTCAAACCAAGGTATTTGGACTAATGGCGTTGTTGGGGGTCAATGCGATGAGGATGACTTATGAATTTTCGATCTGGAAGGAACCATCGGTAAAACGAGAAGTATTTGCTTAGAGCCAGCGTAAATGATATGCAATGAAAAAAGGCTAAGCATGTCGCACGGTAGCAACGCATTCGGTGCGAGGGAGTTGCACATTGTTCAAAAGTGACAGAGGATTACACGCATAATGACACCGGATGCCAGCTTGAACACAGAATTGGTGATAAGATGGTTCATGCGGGCAGACAATTGTGTGTTCAAAGGACTACGCAGCATTAGTAAATTTGACGACCCCAACCCAGAGGCAGAGCACCTGAGTAACGGCTGGGCTAATAGTGACATAGTATCGCAGAAATCTCACAGCCAGATGCTGTGTGAGACTAACGGTAAGATTGCTGTGTCGAATGTATCTTGTACCCATAGGTGGCCATGGTCATGATCATGAACTGTTCCACGATGAGGACCATTTGGTATCTCAGCCTTAGGAACTGGTCGATACTGGACTTAAAGTGGTATCTCATCCGCTGCCAATAGGTTTGAACCAAGGACGCGGCATTGTTTCAAACGACGTGCACAGCGCAGAGTTCTGATAACTGCTTAGTATTACGGATAGATAACGAGGAGGACCATACTCACAAGGTCAGCCCTCGTAACATATTCCTTGACCTAGCATCGCTTGATAGATCCAAAAGGATGTCATCTTCAGTGATAGCACTAGATTCTGGATGCAAACTTACTGTCTCGGGTAATGTCAGAAGGAACAAAGCTATAGGATGTCCACGAACCTATAAACAGTGGGAGTAACATAACTCACAACTGTTAAGTCGGCGACACCACCTTATAACATAAATGTAAGATGAACAAACATCCCAATGAGCTTGCAGCACAGGTACCAACCCAGTAACACGAAATGAAGTAGATAGATAATCTTACATCACGTAGCTGTATAGATTTAGTAGTGTCTTCCCGTTATATTTATCAAGAAGCGGTTCTCTTCACCTACAACCGGTTTGTCCCACTAGACCGGCGAAATTATTGCAGGAGTCTGACATGACGAAGTCAGCCTTGCTTGCTGGGTTCTTCGGCGACTTTATTTGGTCGCCAGCAGTTCAATTTGCCTTCATAGGTTAGAACACGCCCAAGAAAACAGTAAAGAACCCCTAAAAACGTTGAAATGGTATACAGGACAGTAACCTGATTTAATAGAAACTTTTTGAGGTTAGCAATAATCGTGCATAATGTTGCTTCTCAGGAGGAAGCTCTCAAGACCTTTTGAACCTCGAAATATGCTATAATGATTTGAGATGGTATTTGATAATGTTATGCACCAATCAGCTGATATTCCAACGGGACGTTGTCCAGAGCTAAAGCAAGAGTACTGGGAGAGAAAAAACCTGTCTATAATAGCAGCTGTTGCTCGATCCTGCAAAATTGCCTAGTGCGGAGCTGCATGCACTATTGATCACAAATCTTCCAGCTCTTGAGCCTTGTACACTACCACGTTCTTGCAGCCAAGTACAATTGCAATTGGTACGTTGTAAAAAGTTGCCATTGTTGTCTGGAGCTATGTTTATATTTGGCTTTCAGTCAATTCTTGACGGCGCCGTTGCCAATGGGTCAGAGGGAAAAGACATAGCCTTCAAGGCAAAATTAGTACTCTTCGGGCCATTGTTTGCCTAAAAGAGGGTATTCTCCTGCAACGATCAACGTCACATCGGTATTTTTCGCGCACGCGCTGAACGGGTCATGTATAATAAAGCTCAAAGTGACGCGAAATGTGAGGAGTTGCTTTCAAAACATGGGAAAGGAGAAGAGTATAAACCTGAATAGTAGAGGCTGTCTCGGAGCCTGGTATTCTGTGTTTTCCATCCGCAAATGAGAGACCTGAAAAATGTACGTGTGGAAGTTGTTTCTTTAGTAGGCGCGTCGGTCGCGATGACATACATCGGAGCGACGTTCCCATATCGCATTTGTATAGTTCGTTGAAATGTCGCCATGGAAGCAGGATGTGTTTCCGATAACCTTGGAGTGCGGACTACCCGTTGTCGTATATTGATATCGATAATTCACTCAAGGTGATCTTGAAAGTTGCGAGTGCATGTGAAGTTGGCCGTTTACAAGGAAAGGAGAGGCTCTGCGCACGGACCATCATCGGGCTTAGATGATAGACGAGGGGTTAGAATCTAACCCACAGCAACCTTCGACCGCAGTCTTGTTCACCATCCTCAACAACCCCACCACTCCCCGCCGGCCACAGTTCACGACCCTGCCGCCTGAGGTCTCGGTGTCGACAACTCGATATTTCGAGTCTTGAACCGTGTTGTTCCTCAACTCTCAGTATCGCTGTTATCGCGACACTAACAATCCTTTGCGACCGCGTCCAACAAATCAATACTGCCTTGCGCCTCGAAGGCAGGCTGCAGAATGGCGCGCGTTTACGCAGATGTTAACCAGCAGATGCCACGGTCCTATTGGGATTATGACAGCGTAAACATCACTTGGGGGGTCTTGGAGAACTACGAGGTGGTGCGCAAGATTGGTACGTTCTAGATTGCTGTTTACATTTCCCGCTCACCGTTATTAATTTATGATCTATTAGGACGAGGGAAATATTCAGAAGTCTTCGAGGGCATCAATGTTGTCAACTACCAAAAGTGTGTTATCAAGGTGCTGAAGCCGGTCAAGAAGAAGAAGATAAAGCGGGAGATCAAGATCTTGCAGAATTTATCTGGTGGACCCAATATTGTCGCACTTCTGGATGTGGTTCGAGACAGTCAAGTAAATCTCTCTCCTTCTTCAAATCATTTCGGCATTGTACCCAAAGCTGGGAAGGGTAAAACTGGAGCCGATGGATTCGTTCCTTCCGATCAAGAAACAGACGACTCATACATGATGCAGAGCAAAACTCCTTCCCTCATATTCGAATTCGTCAACAATACCGATTTCCGGAGTTTGTACCCAAAATTTGTTGACTACGACGTCCGATACTACATTTATGAGCTCCTAAAGGTAGGGTGACTACGGCTGGGACAATTGAGGTTGGGGTGCTGATGGTGAATAGGCTCTCGATTATTGCCATAGCAAGGGTATCATGCACCGAGATGTGAAGCCGCATAATGTCATGATTGACCACGAGAACAGAAAGGCGAGTTGAGGACGGTGATGGAGTGATGGGGGCTGGCGTGATGCTAACTTGTTATAGTTGAGATTGATTGATTGGGGTCTTGCTGAGTTCTATCACCAAGGCACAGAATACAACGTTCGTGTAAGTTCATACTATGGAGTCGAGCCGTACACCATGACCACCTTATGAGGATCAGTCCTGAAGGCCACAGGCTGTGTCACCGCGCCGCAGCTTCAGAGACCTCCCTTGTCCCCTTGATAAATATTCTAACGCCAAATTAGGTCGCCTCAAGGTATTTTAAAGGACCTGAACTACTGGTGGATTTCCAGGAGTACGACTACTCTCTTGATATGTGGTCTCTGGGCGCTATGTTTGCGTCAATGATCTTTCGAAAGGAGCCATTTTTCCACGGAAACAGCAACTCTGATCAACTCGTGAAAATCGCCAAAGTTCTTGGTACTGAAGATTTGTTTGATTATCTCGACAAGTACGAGATTGAATTGGATGCCCAATACGACGACATCTTGGGCAGATTTCAGAAGAAGAGCTGGCACAGTTTCGTCAATAGTGAAAATCAAAGGTTTGTGACGAATGAGGCCATTGATTTCTTGGACAAACTGCTACGATACGATCACCAGGTATTATACGTCTCTTTTTGATACTTCATATTTGATTAACGAGTTCACTAGGAGCGCTTAACTGCCAAAGAGGCCATGGCACATCAGTATTTTGCACCAGTTCGACAAGACGAATCAGCTGGACGCATCCCCGCAAGCAATTCAAACGCCGCCGCAATCTGAAGCTATCCGAGCCAACACCCCGGATGGCAATGACTTCGCTACAGGCACCACTCCCTCTTTCAAGCGGGGTGGATAGTTTTCGCCCATCTCAAGATACCGACATTGCTTTACGGAGCCCGTGCATACTGGGCTTTAAAATCTGGGCTACTCCTCTCTTCCCCCTCCGAATAATACTTACAAGCATCGCAGACACAAGGTTGTGTCTAAGAAAGAGGATATGTTTATGGAAACATGGGCGGGCGTTTTTTTGATTAGTTGATCCCTACAAACCCTGCTGACATGCGTCTGTTCGGTTGAAAGCAGGCGTAGGAAATTAATATGTAGATAGACTTCTCTTCACAACTCGAGAGAATTTTGTCGCCGATCCGTACATGCTATGTGACAAACAGCCCCTTATATTATAATTTTGACTCGTGTATTTGTTCTAGCAATATGTTGCCTGTTCTACATAAACCCAGTCTAGGACGCCCATGACCAGCATCTGCTGGAGATACCCACACTGACGCCTTACTACCACAATGAGCCAAAAATACAACTCCTCAGGATGCTTAACTCCAGATTCTTCCTCTCCCTCGCCCATCAATTCCCACGCCTATTATTCATAACATTCAAATTACTCGCGTGCGCCAACAAAAACTTACAACAAGTAAGCGTGAACTTACACGCCCGACTCCACGCATCATCCTGAGCAATACCCAATTTGATACTCACGTCCCCAATCCTATCCCCATCGATCTTATACGGCAAACACAATCCTTTTCCCTCTTCATGACCCCGCGAACTTTCCTGCTCGACGAAATCGCCGAGTTGTTTCATGCATGCTAGGAAAGCCACCATCGCGGTGTCGAATTTGCGGTGCATGAATGTGAGACCGAGCGGCATGTCGCCCGAGGAGTAGAGTTCTAGGATTTTCTTGGTGGGAGGACGGGTTGAGCGCGTGGAAGAGGTGCGCGAGGTGGAGGGGGAGACATTGTCGTAACGGATGATACGCGAGGTGGAGCCCATGGGTTGGAGGTCGTAGCCGGTGAATTTGAAAGAGAGTTTTTCGGCGACGGTGGCGAGGAGGAGGAGCGTGTGGCCCCATGCTGCGTTTATTTCTTGCCAGTCTACTGTGACGTTTGAGAGGCGGCCGAGACGGAGACCGTTGATGGTGCCGAATTTGCCGTCGTGGCTGATGCAGAAGGTGTCGTTGTATACGTTTGTTCGCTGGAGCTTTTCGAGAAGCTGTGAGTCGTGGTCGAATTGCTGGTTTACGCTATCGCGGATGTTTTGGAATTCTGTTAGTTTTGCGGTAAAGGCGTTTCGCTCCCGCCAGAACTCCTCCTCTTCGAGATCGAGTGCTCTAGCTTCCTGTTCAAGGACTAAGATCTCGTTGTCGACTGCTGCCTTTTCTTTTTCTAGTTTCTTGAGTTCTTCTACGGCATTTGCTTCATCGGCTCGTGCCTTTGCCAGTTGTTCTTGTGATTCCTTGACTTCCTCTTCAGTCGGGACACTAGCGTGCACTTCCTTGAGATACCCGCTATATGCATCTCTTTCTCTTGTATGAGCCTCAAGCCTTCGTTGTAAACCGTCAACCAGCATCTCTGTACATTCGACACATACTGGGTGATCGATGTCAGATCTTGCAGACAAAATTTCAAATAGCCTCGATACCCGTTCCATTTCCTGCGACATAGCTTTGCCTTCATCATCTCCCCCATCCAAATTTTTGCCATCGTCGTGAGCTCTTCGCTTGGGATTTGTGTCTTCCGGGCTCTTGATTATCGATGGTGGGACCACTTGCGACTCTGTGAGCATGACGAACGACATCGCGGGGTTCGTAAGACCCTGACGATATTCTGAGGAGGAGGCGTCGCTTCGGCGAGGGTTCGACGTGTGTCTCTTGAATGTAGGGGACTTGGCGTCCTTCGAGACTCGATCGTAGAGCTGTTTCCTCTCTTGGGGATAGGCGGGGCGAGACGAAGGTATATTCTTTGGCGGCTGCTGCGAAGCTCCTGAAGGAGGCATTAGACGGCAACTACTGGGAAGAAAGTGTTCGTGGAGACTGACCAACAAGCAAGTCGAAAGCAGCCGGGTTCAGATCATCTAGGGAACCGTCGAGCTTTAAAGGCTTCCTGCATTTTTGACAATGCATTTTGGCGTTTGTGGTTGAGTATGTTGGTTTAGGCCGTTATTCAGCAAACATAATATGAATCACGCACTCTCCTGTAGCTTTGTAGCATTCTCATGCATCATGCCGCTCGGTATGCTGAATGTGCCAGTAGCTCAACGGGAGGAGTGTCCAAACAGCTCGACCAAGCATGGTAATAGGCTTTGTCCGAATTTGGTCGCAAGCTGTCTGTGACCGCAGCCTTGAGGTACGGAGTACGTGGATGACAGGGTCTCAAAATAAGCTTAAATGGATGTCACGACCCCGCACCAATCAAATGGATAGCGCGCTTGGACGCGATTGAGGTCGCGTTGTGCGGTCGCAAAGTGACGGCTGCTGAGAGAAACATTGCGACGACTTCCACATATAATATTCCATAATTATTCACCTCAATCCGATGAATTCAACAATTTCAATTTCTTATCATGGAGCACCACCGCAAGCGACAGCGACTGTACTCTCCTCATCACCGCAATTTTCCGCACACCTTCGACAATCGTTATCCACATTATTATAATGAAAATCGGAATGATCGAAAATATATGAGAGATTACGAATCTTCTGAGGAGGAGGAACATTACGAGCACGAAGCGATGGCGACCAACGAATCACCAGTTGCGGAGTTGGATTTTGAGCAGAAAAAGGCGCGGATAAGTTACAAGTTAAAATCGACGTTCGAATCAATCTTTGAGAAGTACGGAAGAAACTTTGAGGGGATTGGAGATGAGATAGATATGGCAACAGGAGAGATTGTTGTGAACAATGGACATCTTATGGAGATGCAGAATGAAAGAGATATAGGGCAGAATCGTGGCGGGAGGTACGACTTGGTGGACGAATCTACCGAATTAGAGGACGACTCAAGGACTTCCAGCGAAACAGATGAGAATGAATACGACGATGGCGAGGATGATGAGGATGAGGACGATGCTTCGGAAGACGGTCAAAACGAAGAAGATATGTTGGAGGACGATCTGATTTTGCGTGGTTTAACACAGGCTCGTGGAAGGTTGGCCCAATCATCAGGTCAACTGTCGCATGCGCACTCAGGACTCGTTCAGAAACCAGGAAGCTCAAGTGTAGCTCCTGCATATACACCAAAATCAGAGTTGCCCTCACGATCAGAAATCATAGCTCAGTTCGGGCCTCATTTGGGGTCTCAGATTCTAGATGTCGTATCACGTCAAAATGCGCCCGCTCGAACTGAGGAACATATTGAACCACTATGGCGTATACCACATCACATAGATCGTGCATTCCGACATGATGACAGAAATATTGAGCCGCCGTGGCGTGTTCCAGATATACCTCTATCGGTACCAGTGACGCGACCATCAGCAAAGTTACACGCTGCAGATTTTGAGAATGAAAGGTCCGTATCGCCAGACGCTGGTCATTCTCTTTGGGCGCCCTTACCCTCCAAAAGATCGACAAATAATTCCAAGAAACATTCCAAAACTCAGGGTTCGAAAAGGATCAGAAACAACTTCACTGTTGAAGATGATGAAATCTTATTAGACTGTGTCAAAAAAGCAAGATTGCGAGGTGCCAAGCTCAATCAAAGCTTTTGGCTAGGTCTCGGAGCACAAGTAAGTTGTCTTAAGTCTACATTGTTAATCCTGTTAACGTGCTCAGTATCCTAACCACCCTGCTATGAGTTGGCAACAGCATTATACTCGGAAATACTCTTACCTGGAACCTAATGAACCACAGGAATCAGAACCATCTGAATCTGCTTCTACTAGCTATGCACGTCTGGATGCGCATCAACCACGTTCATCTTTGAAGGAGCGGCGGGAGTATACGCCGTTTCTTGGAAAGCCTCAACAGCACATGTCAGCTGCAATGGGACCTCCTTCAAGATCCGTTGATAACAGCAACAGCCGAAGACCGGCAAGAGTTAGGAAACCAGCTCAACGCGACTCGAAAGTTATCAGTTGGTCTCAAGCAGTAGATACCATCAAAGCTGTCGACCCTACCCTACATGCTGGTATACTCGAAGATACCAGTTTTGATCCCGATGCCGAGGGTGCTCGGCAATGGAGACCGACATCACATTCCATGAATCTGTATGGAAACCGAAGAGTTTCTGACCAGATGCTCCACTTGAGCCAGAGAAGTCACCCAGACCATGACAACTTCTACAATCCGCAACGACCAAGACGTTACAGTGATTCCGCACAGCCTTCAAGGAGTCAAGAAGATACATTCAATCACTCGGATATTGTCCAGAACACAGGTGTACCTTGTCCTCACATCGATTGTCGCGGGCGCACTGCTCTCTTATACCGACTAGATCGTACCATAGATGAGAACCAATCGCCATTGTCTTCCCATTTCCTTCAACATCACCGTACGGCGTTGTACCCTTGTGTCGAGCCTCGCTGCAACTACAGAGGAGAGCATGGATTCTTGGTTTATGCAGATCTCCTCGAACATGTCCAACATTTCCACCCAACTTTTGAAGCGTTGCAACGAGCACGTAATAGTGCTGATTTCGGTGTTGCGATTGAGCGACCAGAAATCAGGCGTAATGTTACTCGCGTGGCAGATTCAATATCGTCATCAAACCCTTATAATTCTCACACGCTGCGCGGCAGTCACCTAGCAACTTCTAGCTCCGATCCGGATCGCACCCTGACACCAAGGGTCCTTGCTGGCGCATCGACATATACTCCAATGACAAGCGTCTCATCATTAGTAGTGAATCATGCCTCAGCCCAAAAGGAATTTGAAACCCATCGAGCCGACGGCAGGTCTTCTGTTCTCAGTTCGCAAGATTATGATAATCGCTCAGAGCCTGCATTAGATAAATTGAGAAGGCTTGGATCTACGGCCAGTCAACCAAATATCGATGAAGAATTACATAGGCACGGTTTCGCATCTCCTGATCTTAGCCTCCCCATTATCAGTCGTGCTGGCAAATCGTTTTCCTCCACTGCTGGTATTCGAGGAAGTCATGAGCCAGCCACTCCATTATCTATGAAAGTGGTGCCACTCTCGAGTTCTACGACAGGAATGATTTTGCCTCCACGGTCATCTCTACCCTCGAGTATCCCTGACTCACAGGCTTCTACTAGGCGCCAGGCGGAATATGTGCCTCAAAGCAATCTTGCAAATTCCTCAGCTGCTAGCCTGGATTCCGTACACAGAAGCATACAGCGTGTTGCTCGGGTGCACGAAACCAAGGACAGCACCCCATCTCCTATGCTTCCTCCACCTAGAGTGAATTATACGACTACGAGACAAGACCTCAAGACTCCAGCCAACAGTAAAAAAAGTCGAACAACCGAAAGGCTGAGACAATCTAGTTCCGAAGGCATAGATGAACTAAGTCTGGCTACAAATGGCTTTGTTCTGCTCTCGTCTCGAGTGAAGACTGCAGGACCGTCAGCTGATTCAACTGTTCGAGTAAAGCGTGAGGAAACTGCAGGAGTACCTCAAGCTCTACCTGCTGTATCAGCAGCTGGATTGAAGAGAAAGCTCGAAGTCTTTCAAGGTAGTGATGACGAGATTGATGAACTAATGACAGATGAACCCAACTTTTCTGTTTCTCTGCTAGGACATTCTTCTCGAAGGAAACCTGAAATCAAGACCGAAACTTCAGAGCCTGTATCTGTATTACCAGCTACAAGTAGTGTCAACCGTAGAAACAAACGCTCCAAACAAAGGAAAGCATTGGGGGTTCCGAGATCAGCTATTGCAGAGTTCTCATCGACAAGTGGTGCATTAACTCCTGTCAAGAACAGACACACTGCGGTCCCGCGAACAAGCACTCCATTACTTGATCTTCCTACGCGCAGTAAAGAGCGAATGAATGGTACTTCTGCCTACGAGGTTGCAGAGTCTGGAGCAGGATCTTCGTCACAAGCGATACTCTCTCAACCACATATCGAGAGATCCAGCTCACCAATGGACATGCTTCTTACTCCAGTTCGGCCAAGCCGTTCGTCGAACAAATCAGATGGTCCTATTATTACGATCAAGACACCTGGTGGAACACTACGAAAGTGTGGCGAAAATGAATTCACGTGTAAGAGAACTTTTTGTTTTCGTTGTGGTAAACAGAGCACTACGACGAGGTTAGAGAAGAAGGCTTGATAAGCTTCAAAACACCTGGTGGAACACTATAAAAGTGTGGTGAGAATGGGCTTACATGTATGTTTTTGTTGTGGTAAGCAGAGCACCACGGAGAGGGGAGAGAATAAGACTTCATGGGTTGGGGTAATGCATAATGTGAATATGTTGTGGCAAAAGGAGGATTGAAGGCTATGAATTATGGATATGAGGAGGTACAAAATTTAGATAGATAATGTATTTTAACGAAATCCGAGCTTGTGTTTCTACACCTACCAATGGCTGTGATAAAACTAGTGGTAACCTCGAAAAATTCATGACAGGAGATAACATGATTAGAAACACCTCAACATCTTAATCCGCCCTATGAAGTGATTGTCCTCGTTTGTAATTGAAGCGTTATTTAACAAACTTTCAGTCTAGATCCTCTTATACATCGCCATTGGCTCGATTTCACAACTCGAATACTTAACTCGGCCCTATAGCCTACGCTTTTTTGAAACGATCCGGACTAATATAGTCCAAGAATGCAAGTGGTAATAATGAGTGTTAATCTCAGCCAAACCTTCGACACCTAACCGCACCAGAACAGTTCCCCACCTACTCCCTCTTCCTCCCCTCCACACACCTCCCAAACCACTCCGGTTTCCACCCAATCGTAAAACCCCTCCACGCAACAAAAACCACAAACATCTTCACCGCATCCAAAAACGCCTTCCTCGGCATCCCCCCATCCATCAACGCCTGCCACAATAACAGCGGCACGTAACAAAGTTCAAAGACCAGCAAGACGACATACAACGTCTGGCGCGCCTCGATCGATTTCCTAGAGTTGGACACAAACAGGCCGACGACGGTGCCAACGAGAATGTTCGCAGCGCCGAATTGCTGCGTCATTTGGACCGCGGTGGTGGTGGTTTGAGTGGTGGAGGCGCCCATGGTGGTGAGGAGGTAGCGGTGGGGGAGAAGGAGGAAGTAGAGGCCTGCTCCGATGGTGGTTACGGATTCGAAGAGGAGGGCGGTGCGGATTATGGTTCCTGGGGCGGAGGGATCGATGGATGGAAGGTGAGATGTGGGTTGAGGAGACATGTTTTGGGTGAGACTGTGAGGGTGAAAAAGTGGTTGGTTGAGAAATATTCGTGAGGATCTGATGGGAATGAAGGGTTGCGACGGTGGGATCTTCTGGTCTGAATGGCTTGTCTTTATAGATTTTTGTTGGCAAAACCATCGCTCAGGAAGTACGAATTCGCAAGTGTTTCCGCCTTGTAGCCAAGACGGCTCATCTCGTTCAGTGAGGCTGCTACCATAACGTTATGCTTAAACTCAAAGGAAAATCGTGGATCCTTGAGACGACTAAGTCGAAAGCTCTAGCCGTCTCCCATCTAAGTTAACCACTTCGTCATAATGTTAGTAGAAATCACAATGTTGTCTTGGAAGTTTGGACCTGAACTTGAACTCGCAAGAAGATCCTAGTTGACACTGTTTTGCATGTTGATGGAAACTGAGAAAGTAAAAAAATGTCAAATAAGCTTCGAGGAACGACTCTGGTTTGAGTAAGAACTATTGGCTTAACCTTCAACAAATATTTGTATATATTTGGCCACTCGATACATATCATACGACATAGGTTATTAGGTAGATATCTAAGGTTGTTAGTTGATACGAATGCTGTGTGCTTTCCGTCAGATATCGAAAGAGACATCAGGAACTTCGAAGGGTCTCTTACATCGCGATTAGTACGGCGCAAATGTAGCACATCATAGAATAAGACCGGATTTGTCGACTTGATTTCAGTAATTTGATGAGAAATCTCTATTTGAGTTCTTCAATTCCTGCATTCATTGGTATCCCAGCAAGCACAACTTGACTCCTTGTCCAACCAACCTTTAACCCCATCAATAACGCTATTAAAGAAACGAGATGATATCTGAGTAACTGCCACGATTTTACAATAATAGCCTTAGAGATGCAACTTCGAGGCTCCTCTCGAGTACCTCAGTCGATTCGAATTCGCCACAATCCCATCATCCAGCACCCACCACCAATCTTTGAAAACAGCCTGTCCTATTTCCCAAGAATTTTCATCATACTCCCCACCCGGCGTATCAACCTTAATACGCAGTCCCTCCGCCTCATCATCAAAAGCATGAATCAGCCGCATCATCGCCATCGGACCTCTCGCGACAGGCGGTCTAAGCTGATCAGGCTGGCTGAAAAGACCAATAAGTTTCGTTCTTACCGCAGGCCACGGCAGCACGTCTATTGCTGGATAATGCGGTAAGAGAAGTTGTGCTGTTGTGGGACGTAAGTGTTCTGGTAATTGGTCAATCGGGACTTGGAGTTTTGAGACATCGAGGACGCGGGTTACAGTGAGATCAAAGAAGTCGTCTGCGAGTCCGAGGAGGTTTGCGATTCGAAGTGAGGCTTCCATGGTTTGGAGACTTGGGATCTCGATTGCGTGTTCTGTTGGGAATGTGAATTGAGAGGTTTCAAGATCTTGAAGTTCGGCTAGGGATATGGAATTTGACATTGACGGGACGCTTTGTGGAGTGTTGCCTATAGATCAATCAGCAAGTAGAGTTTCAGCTGGAGATTTGACTTTGAAATTTAGGGGCGTACCGTATTGTGGAAGGTTGTTGTATGTTGTTTCCTGTGATGACGAGCTTTCCACAGTATTACATAGCGACGCACACGGTGTTAGACACGTACAAGACGCTCTAGAATCTCCGTATGAAAAGTCCGGGCAATTAACATACAAAGCATCGATGGTGGCCGCTGGGTTGCTAGGTACCGACAGCGGAGTCTGGATTGGATGATTCAGCTGTACTTTCCGACCGGAAGGATACACTGTGTTAGCACTTCCCAATCGAGCGTCGAGTCTCTTTTCCAAAGACTGGAGCCGCTCTCGCTTACGTTGGCCTATTCAAAGTGAGTACACGATGCATGAACAGAGTATGCTAGGGTAATTTACGGTATCGTCGCTGGGCGAGCACATTCAGGATTCGCTGACGTTCCGGGCCATTCGGAATTGGGACTTCTTGGGATGACATTATGCTTCTCGTTATATCAAACTTGAACCAAGTTCATGTATGATCAGGATATTAATCTTCGAGAACGGTAAATCAGCTAGTATATAATGTGGCTGCGCACTTATTCTGCGTGCCTTTCCTCATTCGGGTTAAACATAACGTTATGGCTCATAAGCGAAGAACCTTATTAAAGGGGGCCGGGCTTATTCGGAGCAGCGCTTGTTGACCTCGTTATACACATAGGAATGAACGGACATAGTAATTTTCGATATGACTTTCGAATTCTCTCTTGTGTCCACTTCTACTTTCTCTACGGTGCCAATTAATGGATGTCCTTGGATGTAGAGAAACACAGTCATGGAATCGCCCTAGACAAGAAAGCTTCAACTCGACTAGCTATGTAGTGCGCTCCACTGCTTAAAAGAAGTTGTCGATTAGATATGCAAATGTTACGAAGAGATTGAAACACTCCTCTTTCCACATTATCAGTATTTTAATTATTGAAGTTCAAACACGAACATCAAGTGACCATGCTTGCTGCCCCTTCGTTGTAAAATCTCCTGATTTAGCATCAGAATAATCTTACATGAGGCCAATTCAAGTCGTACGAAAAGAAATTTACTTGGATAAGTTTGCAAACATTTGAGTAGATATGTCTAAAAGATAATTGGGGCAGAAATGGACAGCAGCCACAAATAAAATGTTACTAATTGACCAGACCCATATCTATGTTGGCAATACCTGAGTGATGGTAGTGGAACGCCATCAATTTTCAATGGGCATGTCTTTGGAAAACTGGTGTCACCTATTCTCAGAATTAGAACTTGGTCGTTGACCGTGCCCTTGTTATCTGAAACCGCCCAAACAATCACTCTTGCGAAAGCGAATGAATAACTTCTTAATCCAACCAGCCAAGTGACCACATACTTTCAAAAATATCCGGAAAGAAAAAGCAGAGTAGCCATATCAACCTCTAGAGACTTCATCCCGCCGTTTTCTTTGTACATATCGGGAAACGAAACATCCGATATAATCTCCAATCCTTTCCCCGAAACCTGCGTAAAGTCTGAAACCCTGGACAAAATCGCGAGCCTTCTGTCACCGTGCCGAGTTTTATATACCCTATCTCTTAGCTTGACATTTCTTGTAGCGGTTCCTAGAATTCCGGTTGATGTGAGAAAGATGTGAAGGTCCAAGTCTTTCCATTTCGAAATACGATCGAGGGTCTCTTGGTGCTGCTCAACGAATGTTTGTGGATCTTGCCGCCAAATGTTGCGATGTTGATGTCGGATATATGTCCAGAACTTTTCTTCGCTGTTTGCGAAATGAGACGCATTTTCCGGGAATTGTTGACCGTCTCCAATGTACGCTGCTACTGATTTCAGGGATCGGAGACAATCTTGTATGTACATCGGTAATATTGCAATTAGTTGTGATACCATCCTCTTGGTTACTATTCTGAAGTGAAACCATGCTAGGTAAAGGCGAAAGGTTATAGTAATCTTTGACTCGTCAAGACGGGTTTTCGAGCTAGTGATGCTGTTGCAAGTGTGATCAGACCTTGGATTGAGATAACAGATCCCATGTTCGGCGTTTATAAACGATCCGAACGCGTCAAAAGATAGTAGCGAGGATATCTGAACCGCCTTCGAAGGTGGCACTACTGAACCAACGTTCCCCAAATCGCCGCGTTGGGTATAGGGTATCACAAGACTTTTCAAAGGCCTGATAAAGACAATCTTTCCGCAATGAGTCACGTGAAGGGGAAGCTTCCCCACACGCCTCGGAATAAAACCACAAAAACTGAAGTCACGATAGACCTGACTTGTTTCCACCGGTGCATGGACTTCTAATTCGAAGACTCGCAGGATTGTGTGAACCGCAGCTACATTTTCTCCTCCATTTTTACTATCATGCCCGACCAGATGGTGCTCGAGTATCTGCACACATATTTCCAAGATGGTCATAGAGTAGTCAACTGGTACGGCTCTTCTGCAACAGGCTCGAGATAAGTTCAATAGCCCGAAAACTCTGTCTCTTATATCCAGACAAGAAGAGCGAGAGAATTGTCCTAACAAGTCCAACAACAGAGAGCCTTGGCTTGGATCTTTAGGTGTTCGGAGACGACCGTTTCGACGCTCGTCGATCTTGCAAGGAAGCGAGTCAACAATCCTGTCTATGAGCGGACTTTGCCCAAGTCCCCAGTATCCTCTTAGATGTCGGAAAATCTTTTTGAAGATCTGCCAAGGAAATATTAAAGCGCCATATTGCACCTCCAAGTCGGAAGCGAGCACTAACTCTTGGACAATCCAAAGACGATACCAGTATCCTTTCATACAAAGTTTACAAAGCGCCTTCCACTCGATCTCGTGTACTGTATTCCGTCTGACCCTGCCATCGTATTTTAGGTAAGGTGGGTATTCATCCATTGAAGCGTTGCTTAACTTATATATAAACCCAATAGCCTTGGCAGTCCTGTCGCGATAGAGATGCTTTTCCCGTGGTTCTCCAATCCAAGCAACGACTCTGAAAGCCTGAGAGTAAATATTACCCATCTGCGCAACTTGGTGATTTCTTTCCTTAGTGTCTTCTTGATTGATGCATAAGGCATCGACCCAGAAAGTACGCGGTCCAACTTCCCGTCGAAGGCGACATAAGGCCCAATACAAGTTTTCTCGCACTGCGAAAACGTTATTACCAATACGAATTTGCCGGCCTGTCGTATCTGGTTTTCCCCATTCGTAAGATAGAGCTTCATATCGAGGCTTGTCCTCGAGGCTGACCGTCTCTAGAGTGCACCAAATCATGTCATTACCCTCGCCGGGTTGTATGTGAATGAGTCTGATTTGACGTTCTGATGAGTTGATGAAAGGGTATTTGAACGGTTTGGGGGTGGCTTCTGCCATGGTTTGATCTGATCTCAGACAGTCAGATAACTAGACGCAATGGTAGCTGAGGCAACCTGTATCTCTTTCTGATGCAGCCTTGTTCCGGATCATCGAATAATTCAGCCCTTCCCGAATCGACTGTGACCGTGATGTCAGAGAGGCGGAAACGGAACCAGAGAGTCGAGAGAAATAAGAAACAAGATAGATTTTTGATGTAGGAAGCGGCTGTGACAGACTATGCGAGTGTTGCTGCCCGACAGATGTTCTTCAGCCAGCCAATACAGCCTTGTTCCTAAAGTACGTCTTTCCCCGCATGGGGGCAGTTTCCTAGGCCGTTTTTAGAGGCAACATGTTTGGACGAGTACTCCCGTGAACTTTAACGTATTGTAACGGGTATATTATTCGTAATTTTCAATTGCGATGGTGTACGTAACGGATCGTAGTGGAAAATAAGCTGGTATATAGGAACAGCGATGTTGACTCGAAGCACCTGGTGCGGAGCATCACGTGATATGAATCTCAGTCTATCAAGATGCATCGTAAGGAGACAGAACCACATCCGAAGAAATCCAGAGCTGCTAGCAATTGGAAATATCTAGACCTTTTTCTACAGTTTTGTAAAGCCAACAAATCCACCCATTTTTCCAAATATCACACCAAAATCACTGCCACCCGTCCAGATACCACTCCTCAAAAAAGGGGTTCTCCCATCCCCTTTTTATCTTTCCAAATCCTTCAAACTCCAATCCATTCCACCATCCCAAACAAATTACCACAATCCATAGCTTTCCACATGACACTCGTCCCCTCGGCACTTCCACCTCCTGTCCTCGTATCCACGAACCCGGACAATTTCCTCCCTTCAGCCCTGCCCCAAAAGTTCCTTCCAGAACACCCCAAGAACACTCCAACCGAACGATCCGACCGCTCGGCTATCTTAGCATAATCACCTCGGTTCGGCTATATATTTCGGAGCTTCCCAACAACAACGGAGTGGCAAAGGGATACTGTACGAAGCAAGCTTAGTCTATAAGTATACATCGAAAAGCCGCTGTAAGGTACCGAAACTATGTGTAACAGCAATCCCAAGAGCCGCGGGAAGCGCGTTCGAGACTCGGGGTGGTTGGTAAGACGTGGACTGGTGGAGTCGGTTTCCCGTGGTTGTGGGTAGCGGTGTGGTGTTAGAGAGGTGAGAAGCGTGTCATGGATATGCTTGTGAGACTCGAGGTAGGGACTTGAAGTGGGATGTTTTTTGTTTGTTTGTTGTTAAATAAGTACGCTTTATTATTTAGTCTTTCTTATAGATATTTATTATTTCCGACCTGCAATATTACACCTTTAAACAAACGCTCATATCCCATGATCAACTCCCTCCATCTCAACCCCCAATCCCGAAATAAATCCCCCCGGCCCCCCAGCAAAAAATTACCTAACCATCTACCAGTTATGCAGGGTCCAATACACACCACTAACCCCTTTTGTGGTAACCATCCACGTGCTCACATTTCCAATTCCCAAATCCACCTTCTGAATCAAGTCCACCTATCCAATCATATACCTCCATATGTCCAGCAATCCAAGCCAAACCATGTCCATGAATTCCCCAAGCGCCGAACCATTATGCGAATGGGAAAGAGAGAAGAGAAGAGACATCGTGAGTGAGTTACGCATTGTTTTGGGCTCCACTGGCTTGCGTTGCATCCGACGACCTTCCGAAGTTCAAGGACGGTATTTGACGGCGCGACTTATACATCGGGAGACGAAACCAGAAATTAAATACCTGATCCGTCTCTTCGGACACATCTATTTGCTGAATGGTAAACCCAATCCTCCTCCTCATCCCCATCCCTCAAACCAACAACATGACTCGCACCCTCTATTCTAGAACTCTAAACCTCCCCATCACGCCAGCCACCACCATCATCAACCCGCTTTAAACCCTAACGCTTCCCCATCGAAAGGACTCCATTCATGACATCAAGCTGTCGCGGCGAACGGCGTAACACACGGGAATCTCCCATGTACTAGATATCGGCTTTAGGAGATATCTGACGGCGTTCGTGTTTTGATAGATACGCCCGGGTGACTAGCACATCGATAACCGCGAGTTACAGGTAGTATCTACGGCGCTCTAGAAGTCTGTGGGACTTCGTACTCCTGGGAAAGGGAAGTTGAGCCATGTGCTGAAGATGAAAATGTACATGATTGGCCCAAGGAGATACCACTCGATTGAGTTTCCCACGTTTCGCGGCCGAGCCCGCTTCCGCTGAAGAATCCGTCAAGTGATGTACTCCCAGCGCTTAGGAGGTGTCACGATGTATAACGTCGTATTGTTAGTTACACACCAGACCATTGATTTGGTTTCATCTCGTTTCGTTTTCAACACAGAATTGAGGGCTGGATAAGTGGCCGGTCGAGTTACCAAAGGATGTCAAAACATAAAGTTCACACGGCAACGACTCAGGAAAGCTGTTATATATGTAGGACCTTACTCGTACAACCATGTCACTTACATCCCAGAGTATCTGACTCGAATCGTGTTCGTCGAGACATGTAAATACCTAGCCTGGGTGTGATTATTGCGATATATCAACCTTGAAGGTTTCAGCTTTTGTAAGGCAGTAGATAAATATCAATTGATACTATCAATGCACTACGGAGGTACAGTACATACCAGTGATAAGCACCAACACACCATAAACGACCCCATAACCAAAACCTAATATCTGGGGAACTGACGGGCAACTTTAGTCCCATCAAACAACATCCACCACACCATCACCAACCCCATCATCCAACTAATCCTCCACCAACCCCATCCTCGCATCCCCTTCTCCATCCCCATCCCCCATCAATATCTCCACGGCCCAACGCAACCGCAACCTCTCACGTATCCATACCCGTACACCCCTCATACGTATCCATACATCCCCTCCTTCACACATATCCATACATACCCATCTCATCGTGCTCGTACTGTACTGTACACACGTTCAAGATCGACAATCAATAATGGGGCATGCCCCCTCCCCTCCTCACAATTGGCCAACCAATATATTTCCAGTCCTGCCCATATATTTAAAGTTCCGTCACAAGGTACAGTGACATAGCACATAGTAGATCACTTTAAACGGAATCTCAAATCTCGATCACATAGCAGCTCCATAAAATACCACATTCCACAAATTTACACGGTCCTGGTATTTTTCAAAAGTCTGTAAAAGTAAAAGAGAACGGGGATGTTATGAAGAGCGAGGATTTGTTTATTATTTCTGGGAAGAGGAGTGGCATCTCCCACTTAGATTAAATACTCCTCAGAACCATGATTAATACTCAAAAACATTTTATTGCCCTCTCTATGGAGTTTGTGATTACTACTCAAAAACAATAACATCTCCCCTTTCGAAAGAGGAGAGCAGATTATACGTCATAACAAATGTCTCAGAAGCAACTCGCGTTGTTCTTCAACAACCCATATACAAATTGAAAGCAGTTCCTCCACCATTCCATATCCCAGCCCCCTCGTTGCAAATATGTAATCTGTGAAAATTAAAATGCAAAGTCCAAGAGTTTGAGCACCAGGATGGAATTCTCCGGGCCCGGTGACTGGTAGCCAAACCGCCCTTGAGGTAAATACAAAAGGAAACAACTAAAGAGAACAAGCAAGCATAGATCTATAAACACCACCAACGTCCATCTTTCCATGTCCTACAAACGCCACGTGCTACAATGAGCACCATTATAATAGAGAAGAAAGAGCAACACGAAGAGACGAGACTTTTGTAATTTTTTGTAAGGAAAAGTAATATGAAAATATAGCGACCCTGGCCGTGAGGCGAAATATGACCAGAGAAGGATATGCATCGTGCCTTTCGATGCGGGGTGAAGTCGAGAGCTTCATATACGTATTCGATCTCGTTGCGTCGTGATTTCGCGTTTCTATGCAGGCCCCAAACCTTCGCCCAAATCAATCTATCCGGGGTATAGTCTTAGAACTCGTATGGATTTTAACTCCGCCCAATGCTTTTTAGGAAAATGAAGACGCCGAAGGATATAATGTGAAAAGAGCCGTTTGAGAGCAATGTAGATTTTGTCGTTGATCCGAATTGGATGACGGGATTGTGGCGAGTTTTGATATGTTTGCAATCACATCATTTGACTTTCTTCAATGCCAGGAAGACCTGCAACATTGACGGCCATGCCACCTAGACCAGCAGCGGCCATGTGGCTGTTAAGCTTAAGCTCCGGATTGCAAGGAGGTGAGTGTTGCTTGTGCTGTAGATTGTTAGCCGAGGCTCCGGTAAATTCGGTTGATTATGCTTACATATTTGAGACCATTCAAGTTCTTGTATCGCTTGCCACAGACCTCGCATTTGTAAGGCTTCTCCTTTTCCATGCCCAAGGTACCCGGGTATGGTGTGGATGTTTCGGGATTGACAATTGAGAAGGTTCCATCAGCGTTGTCGTGAAGTTGTTGTGTTTGATGGCCATGAGTTTTATGGTACCTAATGGATGTTAAAAAAGATTTAGCATGTCGAATTTCAATACCTACTTGAGTCCATTTTGGTTCTTGTATGCCTTTTCGCAACCAACAACAGGGCACTTGAACGGCTTGTGTTCCTCTGCTGCCATCATCATAGCCGCACTAGGATTTCCCATAGCATTTAGAGCCATCATCTGTTGTTGTCTGTAGGCTCGCATCATCTCATTATTCTGATCGTATTGTCCACCCTGTCCTTGTCCTTGACCCAAGTTGAATTGCGAGAATTGCTGTTGCAAAGCCCGGTTGCTGACCCCTCCGTTTGGACTGTACAATCGCTTTGCCGGTTCGTCTATACACAAATCGAGGCCCATGTCGTTTCCACCAAATCCAAATCCAGCATTCATGCTCATCATATTCATCATGTTCATTTGTGCCATGTTCATCTGCATTTGAGAGTATTCTTCGTCCTCAGCAGGAGTACCTGGAACAGATGGGTCGGGAGAGAATGTCTGTTGTTGCTGGAGAGGCTGTGTGCTCAATGTGGGGGTGTTTACAGAGGAAACCGTTGGGTTGTTTTGGAAGCCGAAGCCTGAAGTTGCTGGAGTGGGGGGTTGAGACGTTCGAAGACCTTGGTGCTGCATGCCGTTTGAGTTCAGATTTAGGACTGGTCTTTGCTGTTGTCCGAAGAGCGATGGTTGCGCAGCTTGAATAGGATGTTGTTGTTGAATAGGTGTATCTGGAACATTATCCATAGGTCCAACAGCATCATCCATCTCCATATCTTCTACACCATCCATCTCTGTATCTACTAATGGCTGAGCGTCTTTTGCACCGGTGTGGAGGGTTGCGATTGTTGTTGCTGTCTCATCAGCTGGATTCCGCCCACCTGTGCCCCACCTTGAGGTAGCTGTAAGTTCGTCGTGCGTAGAGGCGATGGGATATGATTTTGCTGTTGCTGAGCTTGTTGCTGGACGGCCGAGGCTGCCTGAGCTGCAATGGCAGCTTTGCTGTTCGGGGTGGAACCGTCTCGCGCGCGCGCCGCAGCTGAAGCTGTTCGCATCGATTGAGGGGTCTGTTGGGCGTGGGCTTCCTCGTAGTGTTGTAGTAGATCGTGCAAGGTAGGTAGGATCAGGCCACAGCAGTTAAAGTCCTTCATGAAATTCGCTTCGAGTTTTGGCAAGTACGAAGAGGAGTGATAGGAAGGAGACTGGTATGGAAATGGAGAAGTGCCGGCCATCATGATGCTATCAACCCGTCAGCCATTTGCTACCCAGACGCAACGCAACACATGTAATGTAAATCAATGACTTGATCGCCGTTGGAAACACGAAAACAAGTCTATCGGGACGCCAGATGAGCCTCTTCAGGAAACAAATAAATTGACTCACTCGTCTCTGATCCAGCTTCCTACCGAAACGCCTCCCCAGCTCATGCCTTGTACCAAACTATTTGCCATGCTCTCCCGTCGCTGTCGTGCGTCGTGGCCTCGATTATTGGCGTTATTCATGGCAATCGGTCTCGCGCCCGCAAAGGAGTCCTGTCGCGATCTCCCCATGCTGCTGTCGAAAGCGGTGCCACTCATCATGGCTGAGGTCCGCGAATCGGTGTCGGGATAATTTATAACGGGCCTCTTACCCTGCGACGATGGCGACGACGACGTATTTCGAGAAGGCGTGGCGATATTTATAGGGGAGGAGGATGAGGGCATATTATAACGATCGTCGCCGAGATCCAAGTGTGTCACGTTGGTCGGCGTGCCTGGTTGCTTGAAGAATCCAGATGAAGGTGAGGATGATACCGAGTCGTCGAGTGTAAGTGCAGGCGAAGGCGTGGACTCGAGCAGAGATGCCGGTGCGGCTGTATTAGCAGCAGGGGTTTTGGCGTTCAACCAATGAAACATGGCGGGCTACAGCGCTCCGCCGAGAACGAGTAATGGAGTCGGCGAGATGGAAACGATGCGAGCGAGTGGCCGGGGGGATAATGATCAAAGGAGGCAAAGAATGCTTCGGTTTGGGGAGGTTGACGATGTGAGAGTGTGAATAGAGGTGTGAAATGGGACAGGTGAGTGATGGGAAAGTATAAGGCGGTTTGCCTTTGCCGTTGGCCCAGACAACCGGACGTGATTAAGCCCAGTGCTGGGGAGTGTAGGTGTCCAGGTGTGTCGGCGTTTGGTCTTTGGGGGTTTACAGCTGTTCCCCACGCTTTTGAGTTGAAGGTTGCCTTTATGCGAGCGGGGGCAGTGAGTGGGATCTTTCGAGGTTCTGAACGGTGAGATGAATTCTAGAAGTGACACAAGAGCAGATCGAGGCGGTGAGGTCGAGGGTGATTATATCTATTCCGTACGGTCCTCAGTACCGGCCGTGCCCCACGGAGGTCGTTTAGAATAAGAAAGTGGTTATGACTAGTGCTATAGGACTAACAAAGTAATTTAGAACAAATGGGGGGGTGAGTATGTGTACAAAGGCAGATGGGCGAGAGATCTTTCTGTAACGGGGCCTTCAACTCGGAGCAGGAGGTGTTGGCCGCTATAAATTGGAGCTCCTCAGGCCGGGGACACCAGGCGAAGGAAGCCAAGTGAGTTGGGATGGGAACTACTCGAGCGAGTGCACGTTGGAGCGCTTGAATTACCGTGATGGAGACACCGTCCGAGGTATTATGTTGTAATAATGGTGTTATGTGCACACGTTGGCGGTTCGATTACGGTGATGAAGGCATCGTTCGAGGGGTTATGGTTATATTGTATGAAGGTATACGGTTATGCTGTAATGATGGAAATAATGGAGATGAGTTCCGACTTAAACCACGTAACCACGAATGCGATGGGATTCCATTCGACAGTCACCCTCCATCTCCAACAGCAGTCGCCAGTCAGTTTAAACATCATAACGGCTGCGAGCTTCTCTTCTTCTGGTTAATCCATCTCTCGAGCAGCACTACCGTAAAGGTGTAAACCCAACGAGGCTAGATTTCTGGCCACATTAACGCTTAAGGTATCGTTCTAGGCGCGAAGTAACTAGACTCACAGCTGGTGTATGTGCTAGTGGTGAGCTGTCCCAATTCCCGTCGCCTCCAGCAATGATTGGCGAGAGGTGGCATGGCGACTAGTCATCTCTCGGTCGAGTCACTTCTCGAACGTCTCATTGAACGTGTTATTGCAGCCGTACAAGAATCACAAGCGAGCCGACCATCTCTATGTTGACAATTGCCTTGTGTATGTCTGCGTTGGTGATGCAATAATCTATTACTATTGGGTTGGCGCCTGCAACAGCCCCTTCATTGTCCACAAGCGTTCGAGATCATAATCCGCGACCAAGATTCGACCGTCGAGAGATGCAACTTGATGCACGTTGGGTGCAAGGCAATGGCGATTCCAAAGATATGAATAAGCCTTCGAATGACAGTCACTGTCTACAGACCAATAAGTTGTAGGCTGGGACATCCGGATGCCTCCCTTACTGGGTAAAGACAGCCACGACGAATCGGCTGGGAGCAGCCTGCGTTTGCAGGAGTGAAAAGTACGAGAGACTTCGAGCAGCGTCTGCCTGTGGATTACTTGAAGACATGTAAACAGTATTGTTAACATGCTTTATTCTCCGAGGCGGCAAAGAAGGATACCAGTATACAATACACTGTCCATTGTACGTTTCAGGGTATAGGTGACTCCAATAGCGTATTGGGGTACGCACAAGGCTGGATGCACAATGGTTACAAATCTTCCTAAAGACTGGAAATCCGGAGAAGTCGTAGCCTTTTGACTCCATCCCGCGACCCATCTTGAGCCCATGTTGTTGGCAAGGCATCAGATAGGTTCGAGTGGGATACCAAAGTCTGGGCCAATGCGACGGTGATACCACCTCTAAATGGCATGCAGAGATCACGGAATGACCCAGTTCGTCCTACCGGCGGGTGCGACAGAAGCTACCTTCCGTTAGGCTATTGTTGGCCTGCTGTTAATGTATTGAATTGCTTCTGTTACCTGAGAGTTACCTTATCGGATCCAAAAACCGTTGGCAACATGGTCTAGGCGAGGCTTCAAGCTGATGAGCAGCCCTTGAATCTAACAAATACGTCTGTCGGTACCAGTTCCATATGCTTAATGCTCTTCCTTTCGAACTTGAAGCAAATTTCGGACAGTAAAGTAACAACATTTCGCTCTGGATGATTATGATAGGTGATTATAATAGGTGTTTCCCAAGTAGCAACCAATCTGCACCATCAAGTCGGAGAGGACGGGAGTAACACTTACTGTATCATCGAATTGGCTATGGTAGACTTCTGAAAGATTTTGGGTCAAGGAAGAATATCCAAAGTCGCAGGAATAAGAAACTTGTAAGTCTCATGTATTGTCAAAATAGCGAGAGAGTTATGATTGCAAACAACGAAATTAAGAACATACGACCGGAATACTTTCGTGATTCTCAAGGTCACGAGAAATCTCCTTGACAGGCAAAGTCGGCTTCTGGTCCAGACTCGCTTACTACACCAATTACAGAGCTCCCTCGCCGGCAACTTCAGGAAAGGAGAAGCCTCGGGATTTGAACGGGATTCACGTCACCTCATTTTTTTCGAAGCTTCAGCCTGTGATGTCAGCGACTCAAGCTGCCGACACTGCATAGAGCTTACTACTCAACCGTAAACGACCGACACAACGTACGAGTTATTGTATTTCCGGAGATTTTCCAATTGTGCAATTTGCATGCAATTGATATATATTCGGGAACAGCGCCAGTCCACATCGGTTTTCTTGCCACCAGTCAGGTGTTGTACTTCCTATTCATCGCATCATCCATCGAAGCTAGAGCTTGACGACGATTCTCAGCCAAGACAGGTACCATATCATAGTTAATCTTGTCAAAGATCAACCATACAAGAAGCAAACCACACCAATTCAATCTCACAGACGATTACAATATTCGAATAGTTCCTCTACAGTTTGTGAGAAAACTGCAATTGCATCGGACCACTAGGATTAGCAAGAAGTGCAAAACCTTGAATTTACAACCGCCAATATGAAGATTCTCACCAAAGAAGAAGAAGAAGCTCATTACAATGCCACCCTCAGCGGCGGTATCAAAGGTGGACTTCTCGGTCTCGCACTGGTAAGCACATCCTCAACCCCTCCATCCCACCAAACCGCGCAAAATCTAACAAACTGCAGGGCGGCTCAGTAGTTACACTCGCCCACCGACGCTTCCATACCTTCCGCCAACTCACTCTCCCTCTAAAAACTTTCCTCGTAACCTCGTCCGGAACTTTTGCCGCAATTATCAACGCGGATCGCTCATCACGCGCCTACCAAGACAGCACACACCCCGAAACATTCTACCTGGACGAGTCCCAAAAGGCCCTTCAAGCAGAACGGGCATCTGAGTCTACACTCCAGCGTGTAAAGGATTGGGGACGGGATAACCGATACTCGATTGTCACAGCATCATGGGTTGCGTCTATGGGAATTGCGTTTGGCATGGTGTCAAGGAACAAATACTTGACGGGCGCACAGAAGTTGGTGCAAGCTCGTGTGTATGCACAGGGTTTGACGCTTGCAGTATTAGTAGCGAGTGCGGCATTTGAGGTCGGTGATGCCAGTAAAGGGAAGGGAAGATGGGAGACAGTCAAGGTTCTGGATCCTAATGACCCAGAACATAAGCATATGATTGAGAAGCGTATCCATCATGAAGCATATCAAGGCGAGGATCTATGGAGAGGTATTTCTCAATCACACATCTTACCTTGAAAACCATACTAATTGTGAAAACAGATATGGTAGCAACAGAGGAGCGCAAGATAGCCGCTCGCAAGAAGTCCCAAGAATCTCATTCTAACCATAAAAAGTCGGATGACTCTTCCGATCACAAAAAGTCTGAAGACTCCTCATCCAAAAAATCCGAAGGCTCATCTTCCAGCAAAAAGTCAGATGATTCCTCCAGCTCCTCCAAACCCAAATCCACGCCTCCCCCAAACAAAAACACCGACGACCACCGCGAAAAATCCAAACCCTCACCCACCGAAGTCGAAACCAAGAACCGCATCGTAAGAGAGAGCAAGAGCGCCGGCAAGATCGACTACGCAGAGGCGGAAGCGATCGAGGCGAAGAACCAGGCCAGACAGAAACAGCGACGCGAGGATGCGATTAATACCGCAAAGTCGCCGGATGATGTTAAGGTCTCGGAACATTATGATAAGCAGAGTAGTCCTGCGAATTGAGGGGGAGAGATATGGGATGAGATGAAGGGTTTAATGCATTTACAGGCAGCGGTTGGTGAGTGTGTCTGTTTGTTGGCGTTTGAGGGGTTTTGCCGCATTTGTTGGTTTGAATGTGTATAAATAGCTTCCCACAATCATCGAAAAAGTTATCTGGTTACAATTCATTGTAAGATTTTCGTGACAAATTCGGCTTGAATATCTCTATCATTATAAGAAGGTGGCTTCTAGGAGACGGGTTTTGGTTTCTTATATTGCTATTAAGCTTAGCCTAGTCTTCCTCAAAGACGTCGTCAGATATACACCCTATACCCTTTCACTGTCGATTTAAATGGTTATCCCCATCAACCACAGAGATCCTCAATTCCTGGGTATACCACAGGTTCTTATTCTTTGAACACAACAAATCGTTACAACATACTATATACACTAAGTAAATTCATCCCCTTTTCCTTACCCCTTTTATAATTCCATGACCTACTGTTCTTATTACTATCACATCGCGAATCCATTAAACGAGATACCTATAACTAACTAGGTACGTTGTATATCATGCTTAGTTAGCGACGCGGGGAGGGATTGGAATGTTATACTTTTGAGTCCTTTGAAAGGGAAATGGGTATGTGAGTGGTATTAAAGGGTATCCCTAGGATATGTTCAGTATTTACTATTACATGATCTCATGTAATTTCGCGAAATTCGTGGATATTGTGGTTTTAAAAGATGTACGAGACTTGTTTTGTTTTTCAAAGAATTAGGTAGACAAGGTCCTTATTTTGTTTTTTATATCAATTTCAATATCTCCATTTCAGGAGTGTCAGGTCGGTGATGGTGTATATCAAAGTCAAAAAAGATGATCGAACAGATGTTTTTAAACGTATAATACTTATATTCTACATGCCCCCACGCTCCCTATTTAGACTATATACACCTACCATAGAGAATCCTATCATAAATTCATAAACCCCATAATCGAAGCCCAGCTTTCAACACCCAACACGCCCGCCCATCAAAAAGATAACACGCTAAAGCTAAACATCAATACTAAAATGGCTAATCTGACTATAATACGCATGCACCGCCAACTCCAAAACCTGTACATCGCCAAACACCTCCCCGCCATCAAAGCCGCCCACGACGATAAGTCTACTATCATGAAGGACTGCCCCGTGATAGCCACGTGGTTTCGGGGGTTGCCCGTAGATCTTGCGTTTATCCCAGACCATGGTCACGAGGTTGAGGAGGAGGACTTCGTTGGAGTATTCCACTCCGTCGTGGCCGCCGATGACAAAGACGTAGGAGCCGACGATGGTGGCGGTGTGAGAGAGACGGGGGTATGAGAGCGGGATGTGGACGGAGGAGAAGGCCAGTGTTTCGACGTCGAAAACCCAGACGTCGCGGAAGCATTCGCCGCCGTCGGAGCCGCCGAAGATGATGAGTTTGCTACCAACCATGTTGGCGGTGTGGTAGCCTCGAGCTTTGGGTTTGGTTTTGTCTTCGGAGGAGCTGGATGATGGCGCTGAGATCAATTTCCAGGACATTTTGTTGGTGTCTGCAACATCTAGTCTCCAAACGTCATTCAAGGCACGAACTCCATCTCCGCCTCCGAAAACATATATCCCATTTCGATATAAACATGCTGTATGCGCTCGTCTCTTGCTCGGTTGCCGGTCTCCTCCAATTTTAGGTTTACTCCACCTGAAGTTGACAGTATCTAGCACATATACATCATTGTAATATGCAGGTCCATCACCTCCCCCAAATACTACCAGCTTCTTCCCAACCGCTGTACAGGTCATCGCGCGCAATGGAACGGGTATCTCTCCACAAACAAAAGGATTCGAAAAGTAAAATGCATCTGCATCTAAGACGTATAACTCGTTAAAACAACTCCTAGCATCACAGCCCCCAAATATATATATGTTTGATCCAATAAGTGTAGTGGTATGTGCTCGTAATGATGTATGTGAGGCGCCAGATACAGGGGCACGCGACCAGTACATGCCACTTGCTGGCGCTGGCTGTACATCTGGGGCGGTTTTTGGATCTGGAAGAGGTGGGAATGGAATATATGCTCCACGTGTTGGACGCTGCGCAGGAGTGACAACTCTTGCTGGCGTTGGGGATGGGACACCTTCTGGCTTCGGCTTCGACGCAATGGCGGATGTCGACCGTATGTTTAGTGGTCGGCTGGCCACCATGGACTGAGAGATGGGCGGAGGAGCATTCGGGTTGGTAACTGGTGGAGAAAGAGGATTCTCAGGTCGGGGAGTACCTCTGCCACTATGTACTCCTGGCGACCTTGCTGACTTTGGAGACTCTGGATGCGATTGATTTAGCGATTGGGAGCGTTGCCGTAACGCCAAATCGCTCGCCTTCTTCCTCCTATCCTGACTCTTCGTCGACAGATGGCCTGGGGTATGGCTTCTGGTTGGTGTAGCATGTTCTCGTCGGGGTGCTTCCGAATTTTCGGGGATGTCTGGCGGTCTTGTGTCTGACGGAGACAGCTGAATGATCTTCTGAGAACGAACAAGCTTTCCTGTTTTTACCACAGGTCGACTTGATCTGTCGGATCTCTGAGAATCAGCCATGATGTATGGTCTGAAGGTTCCAGAGCTGTGGCTGCCGACTCTTGCTTTGCATTGTCTATTCAAAGCCTGTGGTGTTGAGGATATGTAAGGAGAGGAAAGAGAGGAAAGACATAGGTGAGAGGCTGAAGTTGGAAGCGCATGAAGAGGGTCAACCTCCGGCAGGGAATGCAATTAAACTTCCTAGTCTCAAGCGACCTGCAGGGCCCGCATCAGCAGAACCTGGAGCCAGATGATTCAATGGTGTGAGATGTATGTCGCGTCTAATAATGCGCCATTTCCACAATCGCATTAGGTTCGAATGAGAGATCTGGGCTCTTGTTCTGTTGTACAGAGCGTAGCTGTGGCAAGCAGATGTGCGGGGTGCGACTGCTGCTGGATTCAAGGTTGCCCTCGTTGTGGCCCACAGAGAAAAGCGAACAGAACAAACTTACCTGCACTTGAAAAGATGCACCTCATAACGTTACATCCTAAGGGATTAGTCGAAGCAGCTAAACAGCAATACTCATATATATATTGCTCACTGAATTTTGACTTACTTCCAATAAGGAAATACCTAGGTATCTTGCACTTCGAACTCCACACTTTCAGTTGCGAATTGGATACCTAGACTGCCCAGGTGGTGGTGGTGGTGGTACGAAGGCGCTGCTTGTGGCTGGGGAAGAACGCTAAGATAAGCGTCCCCGATAAGCTAAGCTTAAAAAATTGAGGGGCACTACATAGCAGCTTTGTAGACGTGTTTTCACCGTCTCTATCACATCTCAATTAGCCTCTGACGGCTCTTCTTGTTGGTCAATTTGCTCCCAACCATGGCGGAAGAACCCTCGATACCTACGGATATCCCAAATCCACTTGCGCCGGAGCAATCCCTCAAAAGGCCAGCCGAAGCACCACTAGAAAAAGCACATCCGCCCCAACCTATCTTTGACGAAGACTCGGCAACGACGAAAGCAGAAAAGGTAGAGCGCCACGGTCCTGAGGTAGCAAATGGGAATATAGCTGCTGAAGACTTGTTTGAAGAATCGCCTGCGAAACGGTTAAAAACAGCTCCTGCTTCAAATGAGGACACGGAAGCACCCAAAACTGATGCGCGGGAGAAGGTCAAGGGGATAGCTTTAGTAAAGCCAGAGTAAGTTCAAGTAGCACCGACTAACTCGGAAATAACTCACTTCATCATTAGACGCTTACTGACCGGTCTAGATATCTCATAGACAGCTTTGTAAGATCAGCCAAGAGCAATGACAATCAGATTGACGACGACGCTGCGGAAGGCCGCCCTCGAGATGCGCGAGACAATAATGCAGGTGGAAAAAAGAAGAGGAAAGAAAAGGGTCAGAACAAGAATAGAGAATTCGGATCCTGGTCTGACACCATCAAACTATGCAATACTGTCGCCAACTATTCAGAATTCTCTCCCAAGGAATGCCAATTTGGAGCCAAGTGCAGAATGTCCCATGATTTGCGGGAATACCTGCGGGAAGGAAAGAGCGAGGATTTAACGACCTTCAATGGCAAATGTCCAGTTTGGGAAGTCAATGGAAAGTGTCATGCGGGTTGGAAATGTCGTTTTGTTGGAAGCCATTCCAAGGAGGTTGAAAGAGAAGATGGTAGAAAAGAATTGGTCTTAATAGAGAACGAAAACCTCATCGAGCCGCAAGATGGCAATGATGAAAACCGAAAGGGTATCTTCAACATCATATCTACGAAGGATAAACTCGATTTGAGCAGGAAGCGAACCGTCACGGAAAAGGCAGATCAGTACACGAAATGGATGGAAGCCGATGCCGCTCAGATGCAGAAAGTCTACCAAGCCAGAAAGGAGAACCTGGCCGACCAGAGAGAAGAGAACCGAGCTCAATACATCGAACCTCCCTTTTTACCATCAGAGAAGAGAAGAATATACTTTGGACCAGAGACTCCCGTATTAGCACCTCTCACGACACAGGGTAATCTTCCTTTCCGACGGATGTGTGTAGAACTTGGTGCTCAGCTCACATACTCGGAGATGGCAATGACGCTTCCTCTGATTCAGGGACAGAAATCCGAGTGGGCTTTGATGAAAGCCCACGAAAGTGAGATATCACCACCAAAGTACAACCCAACCTCTATTGTCCAGAACTACGATAACTCCAAAGATCTCAAATTTGGTGCTCAGGTATCCGCAAACAAAGCTTGGGCGGCACTTAAGGCGGCAGAAGTTATGCAAAGATATATCCCACATCTGCGACTGATTGATCTGAATTGCGGATGTCCAATTGACTTGGTGTACAAGTCCGGAGCAGGTTCTGCTCTACTTGACTCTCTTTCAAAATTAGAAAAGATGGTTCGGGGCATGAATGCAGTCTCTGGTGAGGTACCTATCACTGCCAAGATTAGAATGGGAACAATGACCGCGAAACCGACTGCTCAGAAGACCATCGAGCGTTTAGCATTCGGCGGCATTGAGACGGCAGATAGAATTGGAGCTCCTGGTTGTGCTGCAATTACTTTACATGGCCGAAGCAGACAGCAAAGATACACGAAAAATGCGGACTGGTCTTACATTGCAGAATGTTCTGCGCTTATTGCGTCTTACAACAAAAAGAAAGATGAGATCACTGATACTGTCCGGGAACCAGATGCCCGGACGTTGTCTAATTCAGCCGACGGAAAGCTTTATTTTATCGGAAATGGAGATTGCTATTCACACGTCCAATACTTGGATAGTGTCCAGAACGCGGGGGTGGATTCAGTCATGATTGCTAGAGGTGCTCTAATCAAACCATGGCTGTTCGAGGAGATTGAAAAGGGGCAATACCTAGACAAATCTGCTTCAGAACGACTTGGATATGTCGAAAAATTCGTGCGTTATGGTTTAGAGACCTGGGGCTCAGACGAAGTTGGTGTTGGCACCACTCGAAGATTCTTGCTGGAATGGCTGAGCTTCGCGTGCCGATATGTCCCAGTTGGAATACTTGACCATCTTCCACCAAACTTGCAAGATAGACCTCCCGCTTATAGAGGTAGGAATGAGATGGAGACTCTGCTTGCCAGTGACAATTACTTGGATTGGATCAAGATCAGGTATGAGTTTTCCCGTCTCATTTTTTGAAAATATTTTGCTAATGAAATTATAGCGAGATGTACCTTGGCCCGGCCAACAAGGACTTCCGATTTCAGCCAAAACACAAGTCTAACAGCTACGAGATCGAAGCTGAAGGATGATATGACATCCTAACTTCTGGATCGAACACGAATCTTGTGTAAACAGCGGTGAAATTATCATGATCTATTTGTGAAAGTCTGCATCCGCAGGGAATTGTCCCATAAGCATCAAACTATTGACAGATATAAGGCAATAATGTCTTGGATCTGTCATTGGATACAGATCAGTTCCTGAGAGCGTTCAATGGTCAGAAGCTGCTGTATGAACATTACGGCTCTCACTCTACAGGATACCTATCAAAAGCATCCACAATTATCTGTCTCACCTAGATCAAGTACACTGGGTTAAGCCCCAGAAATAGTGGATGATAATACAAATTTAACCCCGTTCAAGCATCGGCTGAGTCTTTCATGATTGTGATTAAGTTCGCTTGCATAGCTAAAATACTTATTTATACTGGCGGAAATGGGACAAACCTCGAAAGTGTTCTCACGTCTGTTCGAGGACAATCACGTGATGCGGTCTCGATTCACGTGCTCCCCTGTTCCCTGGTCAGATCATTATTGTGGCTTCGCTAAATTTCCTGAAAGTTGGCTGCTGAAAGAGTCGGGCGCAACGTCATCAGCAGAGAGCTTCGAAGTGAACAAAACGACACGCGACGCACAACCACCTTCGCTCAATAACAACCAAGAACCGTCTCATCCACCCACTCCGCCATCAATCGTAGCTATATTAGCGGTCGCTGTAAGTGTTAACCCTATCTGCTAATAGTTCACCGCAAATATCAGTTCACGGTATTCTCGGTGGGCTAGCTGGTGGTCCCGGCACTTAAATAGACGGAGACTGACTTCCCATCAGGCCACGAAGACATCAACAACACCTTCGAGCTATACCGATCATAAACACCCGCCAAGATGACGCTCTACTACAGCTTGGTATGTCTATATCCCAAACATCAAGAGCAAGGCTACGCTGCGGTTCTCGCGCATGCTCAACCTCTGCAGCTACCCCGCGCGGTCTCCTCTGTTGAAAGCTTTACTGACAATGTCGCCCGCAGGTCTTCGTGCTCCTCGTAGCAGAGATGGCACTATTCATGCTTCTCATTGTGCCTCTGCCATTCACGATCCGCCGCAGAATGTTTACTTTCATGTATGATCTCTCCACCCGCCATTCTGCCAATTATTTGCTCACAGTTTGAACAGTTCCGAAAGTCCATTGGTTGCAAAACTGCAATATGGAATGAAGATTACATTTATCTTCATCTTGATTCTGTTTATCGACAGTGTCAACCGTGTCTACAGAGTTCAAGTCGAGCTCGCAGAGACCAACAAGAACGCAGGCGGGTATGTATCTCATGCCACCTATGCTACTGAACTTCAAGCTAACAGCCCAGTAGAACTGTGGTCATGGGCCACGAGCGTATGGAGGTCCAAGCACGAAAGTTCTACTCTCAACGCAACATGTACCTCTGCGGTTTCACGCTTTTCCTTTCCCTCATTCTCAACCGAACATACACCATGATCCTCGACGTCCTCCGTCTGGAAGAGAAGGTCAAGGCATATGAGGGTAGCGGAAAGGTTGGAGGAGAGCAAACCAAGAAATTGGAAAAGGCAGGACAGGCTGGTGCCAATGAGATTGGCGAGTTGAAGAAACAATTAGCCAACAAGACCCGCGACTTTGATGCCTTGAAGAAACAATCCCAAGGTTTGAGCGCCGAGTACAACAGACTGGGCGATGAGAAGTCACCTGTTGATACTACCCCAAAGAAAGACCGATAGATTACAAGCTATTCAAATCCTCAATGGGGGAAAGGCTTCACGCCTGACAGGGAAAAATTGGATGACAAGCAATGAGTGTTGATATAAGTTGTGGGATGAGGGAAGAATCGCGGTATTACAGGACGGGTTGTGGGCATATTTCGGGGTCGTTCGGAGAAAAGGAAACCATAGCGAGTTTCTTACGTTGTACTATTAGCGCGAAAATGGATATTGTCACATGCAGTATGGGTCTATGCCAAGTCATGGTTTGATATGTGTACGAATTCCTTCTTAATTGGTGTGTAGGCCTAGAGACATAACACTTTTTAAATAATCATATATGAGTACTTACCGTCACAGGTACCTAGGTATGCAACATACTCCAACGCAACATCATATCCTCAACCAAACGGCCTATATTCTAGCTGACGTTACGAGGTCGCTCAATCCAACGCCAACAAAGCAAAGAACCCCCCAACCACAGGCCTCGCTGTGAAGTGTCCGGATCCAATCGGCCAACTAAAAGACACGTTAATTAGCGTTCCTCTCTTACTTTCACGTACAACAAAAACGACTAAAGAAGAATAGACAACATAAACCAAGAAGGAAAAAAAAAGAACTTACTCCCCACTCCCCGCATCATACCAATCCGTCAACGGCGCCCCGATCGGCATCTCGTCAATCCACCGCGCAATCCGCTCCATAAACATCACCTTCGTGCTCTCCCCTGCTACAGCGGCAACGAACATCTCCCAATCCGCCTTCGTGTAGCCATGGCGTGTGTCGAGCGGTACGCCGTACGTCTCCATGATCGTGCCGTAGAACGCGCTTTGCATGTCGTAGACCCCCTGGGGCACGAGATTCAGGGATAAGAGACGGTCGGCGTAGAGATTGTACAGCAGGCCGTGGGTGCTGGGGTTGTTGTAGGAGAGTGTGGTGTGTGGGATGGGTAGGGGGGTTGTGGAAAGGTTTTGCCAGGACTGGATGTAAGAGGAGGAGATGGTCGTGTAGTTCGCGCCGACCTCGTAGTGGCCGGTTAGATTAGCTATGGTTGCCATGGCGCGGGTCCCGATTATACCTTTTAAAGCTAGGTTTGTCTGGTTGGCGAGCGAGCCTGCGAAGTCGTCGGTGGAAATCTGGTCTGCGGGGATGAGCGCGGAGGTTATGAGGTATTGCGTCCATTGATCTAGGATGGGGAAGTGGGCGGAGAGGTATGCGATATCGAGCGTGCGTTGGTAGTAGGCGAGTGTCATGATGAGCATGTTGCCGCATTCTTCGAGCGGTTGCGGTTCATCGTTGCCGTCGGCGTGGCCGGTTGCGTTGGGGTAGTGCGAGCCTAGATCGTGCATCGAGTACATGTTTGGATAGTGGCCGCTTTCTTGGTTTTCGAAGAGGGGGTCCAGGAGGAGTTTTAGGTAGGAGGGCTGCAGGTAGAGGAGGATGGGGTGGAAGGGGAAGATCACGTCGACGGTTTGGGTGTTGCCGTCGGAGCTGATTTCTTTGAGGAAGAGGTATTGTTTGGTGAGGTTGCCTACTAGTTGCGTGGCGCCGAATGCTTGTCGGGTTGCGAGGCTTGTTGCTGTTGCGTAGTCTTGACCTCCTGCGGCGATGGAATCTCGGTTGATTTTGTTGTCGAGGCCTCTGGCTGTTCTGCTGGCTCCTCCGTAGTCGTTGTAGAAGAAGCCGACCTTCTCGATCAGCTAGTGAAACTGTGGCAGAAAAGGGACATTAATACTTACAGCTTCTTCCTCACTTGAAAAGTAACTCGTCCACAGAGATGGCAGAGGAACAACACCAGAAGCACCATCAAACTGAACAGCCTGTTCTTGAGTTAAGCCAATGGTATACAACGTGCTATGAGTTTCCTGCTGAATCGTGCCAAAGTCGCTTGAGAATCCAAAAACAGGATATTGCTGGTTGATAGGTCTGTAATTGGTATCTTTGGTATTGGCTAGCTTTCCGGTGCTTTGGAATTGACCACGGACGTCACGGTCTGAGCCAGATTGGTAGGCAAGGTTGTCTCTGTTCTTTGTGGAATAGTACCAGTTACCCCAATCTGCTTGATCAGAAGTTTCGCTAAACTCGAGTTGTGTCTGTCTAGCAACTTTGTGGTAAGTAACGTTGTCAGAAGTGACTCCGTAGCCCCATTGAGCTACTGCACCGTGATCTCCTGCTACCCATTCTATTTCATGTTAGCTGGCTGATCTGAGTGCAGAATGAAAGTACTTACCAGCAGAGATATCAGTATACAATTGAACCTTGTGCTTTGCTCCGTCTATGGAGTAAACTCGAGCCTCGAGATAAGAAAACAACAGTGACTGTCTCTTCATATCATCAGGTGTGATGGGTGATGTGAATGTGATATTCATTTCCACTTTCCCACCAACATCCATTGTGAACTGACTGCTTGTAGCGGTATAACTGAAAGCCTTTTGAGTGACCGATTGAGGTCCTGGAGAACCCATCCAAGTATAAGTTTCGCCATCGACACGAATCATCCCCGCCCAGGCTGTAATTTGGCCCCTATAGATTATCAGAAATGCCAAAATAATAGATAAAAGGGTGTATACGCCCAGAATTGAGGCCACTGGCCTGCGAGATACCCCCCATTACCACCTTCCCTTCCAGCTTGTAGCCACGTGTTTAAGTAAGGAGACTTGACCGCGAGTGGAATGGCTGGTGGTCGTGCTGGTGTGAAAGATGATCCAGCAGCTTGCTGGTCTGCTGAACTCACACATACCAGAAAGGCAGCAGGAAGAACTTTCTTCAACCACATTTGATAAAAACGCGCGTCTCAAATATTTGGAATGAGTTCTAGAAGTTTGAGCAAACGGCCAAAGCCTCACAAGTAAGACGTTCGACGGATCTGATCTACCAAATATAAACTTCTTCGGCCAAATACTCAACTCACACCACGCGCACGAGGGCGGGGTATAAATGATGCAAGGAGAAGGAACTGAGATACAAGTATATGAATGAGGAAGGAAGATGTAGTGTAAAGGTCACAAGCACGCAAAGAAGAAGCAAAAGAGTTATAGATGCATGATGAAGATGCAGGTCCAAACACTCTAGGGTGGTTACTCGGACACACCTTGTAGTAGGGACTACTCAGTGCCTTAACCTACAAGCACTTGTGTATAGTTTTTGGTAGACATGGAAAGTTTGTTTTCCTCTGATGCTACTGGAATTGATACATAGTGTAACCTGGTATCTGAGAGTGTGAGCTTGTAATCAGAAGAAGCAGCAGCATGGTCGATGATGAAGAAAATTTGGGAAAATAATGTCGCTCAAGGTCGCGAGCTCGGCGATGAGACGGTGTAGATTGGACATCTCGTGCAGACTCAAAAAGGATATCTTTCTCTGTGCTCGAGCTGTTGCGATCTGCGATGAATGACCTTAGGTTACAAGTAGGTTAGCAAGATGAAGATGGAGAAGAAATCACCGGGACCCAGCCACACTCGCGCTGAATTAGCGTCTTCACCTCCCTGTAAACACACTACGCAGAACGGACTTGAACCTTGAATCTCCCCACCTTCAGGGTTCCCCGCAATTTCAGCAGAGACATTTCAACATAGAAATCTTTTCCAATAGGAAGTTCATCTGATGGGTAAAGCTCGTCATAATGGTTAAATCTTAATTTGGAAGCTGTGCTGATTTATGACTCAGGTTCGCATTGGTGGGGTTTGTGAGTTTTACAAGAAAAGTGTATGGTAATGAAACTTTCCCAATGGCGAAGTATCAATAGATGACCTAGCCAGACCCCGTGAACACCTATTACTATAGTTGAATTCTGAGACACAGAATAAGAGAACAAACAGATAAAGGGGTTGGTACGTACTTACTTCTGACAAATGGCAGGTCTGCAAAGTAACCAAATCAAACGGCGAGGTTGCCAAAAAGGGCCTTTTCGAAGTCTCATGTGCAGTAGCTCCTAGGATTCCCCATCACTTGCTGACTCTGTACGTGAAAAGGCAAACATACCCCGCATGTCTACACCTTTCTTTGCGCTGTTAGTTGAGTCTGTCGTTTTATAAGTCGTGTAGAAACCCCATAGTTCGTGCATATGAAACTTTAAAATCCGCAATATCTACGTAAAATTTCGACGCATTACTCCTGATCGTCGCGATGGACGTCAAGTGAAGATATCAAACACTTAAACTGAATTCTGGAGACTGCAATGTAGATCAACAAGGTTGCTTCCGAAAAAGTAGGTGAGGGTGTCACCGAAAAGAGCGTTACATTTCTAGACCACATGTTTAGTAACGTATTACCGGCAATGCCACGAGGTAACGGAGCTTTGCAGAAGAAAGGTACTGCATCATTCTATCAGTAAGCTGCCAGTCATATGCTATCGTCGGTGATGTGCTGGTAAGTGCTTTACCGAGCCTTGTGCGTAAAATTACTAGAATTCGTCCGAAGCCTCATATACTTTTCTATACTTTGAAAAACCTCAAGCTCATTGGAGAGACTTTAGAAGGTCACTTGTACCTCGAGGACACATGGCACTTGTACTCGGTGCATTGAACTGACCATTTTGGTTACAAGAACCCAAAGACAACCTAAAGAAAACTCACTACTATCATTTCAGCACCTAATAGTCCCAAATATGGTTTCACAAAAAACACCTACACCTCACTCCTCCTTCCCCTCAGGCTTCTCCAATCCCAACTTTCTCCTCTTCGCCATACTAAATTTCTTCAATCTCTCATCATCATCTCTCGTCAAGTTCAGATAAGTCTCCACGAACCCAATGTTCATAATGAGCCCAATCATTCCCGCAAGTCCAAATACCAAAGATAATATAGCAGTAGTCTCTTCAAGGTTTACACGCTTCATGTTCGCGCTTATTCCCATGTAAGTCTTCTCGCTTGCCGCAGTGGTCAGGTTAAAGCAACTTGGATGGCGTTCGTACATGGCTGCTCGGTCCACAGGGTCTGGAAACATGAATTCCATTTTAGCGCATGAAATGGCGACGTAGAATGTATCTGGCGCAATTCTCATGATGCCGACAATCAATATGACCATCCATACTCTGAGAGATAGGATCTATGTCCGTTAACATTAGGAGGGGCTCTCGGCAGAAGGCATGATAACTTACAGATCCAACATAAGACCAACACCTAATAGTCCATGCTCGGTGAATATCAATTCGATGATCACGAATTCCTTTCCACGCTTTGTAGGCTGAGAGGGTTGTACAAACCAACAAAATCAACGTGAACATTCTTGTATCGAGCATTCCACCGAAAGCGTTCATACCAAGATTATACGCAGCTATTCATTCATCAATGATGGTCCTCCCACGTGATTGGGGCTGACTTACTGATATTCCCAATCATCAACAGGATAAACAAAAGTCTTCCAGCCCATCGATGTAAAGTAATATACTTCCTCCTCACAATAGGAAGAAATTGTAACGGCAGCAAAATCCCAGCAGCTACTCATCGCATTAGCCCAACTCATCAACCCCCTTAGCCCGTGCACACCACCAAATGAAATACAACTCACGAATAACACTCCACAAATGCACCTGCTGCAGCGCTCTCAAAAAGGCCCTCTTATAAAGAAACCCCTCCCCCGGACCCCTAGGACTATTCCAGACGAGTCCCTTCCCAGCATACACCGGGTCCCTGCCCGTCGCGCCCGTATACGCATCTTTCTGCCAGTGCAACCAGCGTAGCTCGGCGAGACAGAAGATAGCGAAGAGACCAGCCGACAGGAAGAAGTAGACGAGAGCAGAGGTCTTGGTGAAGCCCGTTAGACGGAGCGGCGCGCTGACCATTTTTACGTTTGGGTGGTTGAGGAGGGATGGTTTGAGTTTGTATTACGCGAGGCGGATGGGATCTTTTGTCAGGTGGTGATGTTGGGTTCCGTTGGAAGACGGAGATATAGGAAAAAGCAAATTACATAAGGGGTTTTGGATATAAATTCACTTGAAATACTTCACTCTTCACGTTTGAATAAAAACTACTGTACGAATTGGAATACGACAACTCTAAGATTTTGTTGGGAAACGTCCCAAGCAACGCGTGTCTACGGCGCAATATACCATCCGATTCATCCTAGACAATGGCGTAAAGACAACTCATTGTGAAACCCTTGACAGACTATGTCCACGGTTTTCGGGGCCCGGCCGAGGTACAAACTATACTGTGCCTCCTTTTGAGCCATAAGTACTAGTTGCTATCGATATGTGTTGACCTGTGATACTTTTCCGGTCGGTGAACGTGCCAATCGACTCGCACTCGGTTAGAGTCGTAAACGATTTCGAGGTCCAAACATGCAATTGCCCAGCAGACGCGCGGGCAAATGCTTATGCCGAGAGCGAGCAGGAAGTTCGATTGTCTATCGGAGATTGATGGCCGTGATGGCTGTCTGTCAGACATGTGCATTGTTATCTGTTGAGACAACAGTTTCGAGCGTGGCACCAATGGCGAAGAAATGATCGTAGGCTGCCATTTTGAGTATTAATGTTTTCGAATTTAAGTCTAATAGAATGATTCAATCGCTATAAATAAAGCCAAAATTTCAACTCTGGGTATCGAACGCCTCTCCAAACTCCCTCCAAGAAATGCTCAACGCTAGTCTCCAACAGAAATCCGCTCCTAATGAAATCGCAACCGCACAATCGAGAATAGCATGTTCTGCAACACGTGCACCATTACAACGACCCCAGTCGGAAGAAGCTCTGGAAGCATTCCCATATCTGCTTTGGCCTCGCCTGTAACGTCCACGTGCCAGCCATACCAGAGAATTCTCCTTGTAACCCAACCAGCGGCAATTTCGCATCCCCAGGTAACCATAGAAGCCCATAGAGTAAGGCTGAAGTTGTATCTTTCGCCGCCTCCGATAGGAGATCCGTTAGGATCGGGAGGAGGCAGTAGATCAGCCCTTTCAAAGGCGAAGTATGGATATACAGCCTTGTTATTGCCGTAATGGAGGACAAGTATGGAGCCAATAAATGTCAGCATCGACACATTTTCGGCTATGCCTCGAATAAAAACGTTCCTAGCGCAAAACTTTTGATATGCCGACAACGATTGACCGTTCATTGAAAGGATAGTCAACATGTAGTGAAAGGGTTTCGATATAGTGAGTGGTATGAAAATTATAAGAAACGAGGAAGACAAAATTTGGAGGTAGATAAATTGTTCTGGAGAGCGAAGGCGGGCATACAGAGCGCGCACGTAGGTCTGATATGTCAGGTTAAAATATCTATTCTGTATTAGTTTATGATTCAAGTCAAGAGTAAGTATTACCCACAATTTGAATATCCACCCTAGTGGGTAGCTCCCAACGCGCTCGCCATCATTACCACCAAGAATCCAGCCTACCAGTCCATCTAACAAGTGAACCGTGATAACCCAGGAATATACGTAAATAATCGTGTGAAGCGTATTGTGTGGCAAGGTCCTCAAATAGACTTCCGCATACGCCTCTCCTAGAACATATGCCATCATTCCAATAAAGAGTGCCATACAAAACCATATAAACCTGACGAAGCTCGCTGGGATCCACCGCTTTCTCATAACTCTTTGGTGCACTCGGTCTGATGCTAACACAACTTCTAGTGGAGAATTTGGATCGAATGTTGACTGCGCAACGGGTGGTCTTCGTTGACGGTCTCTGCTGGGGATCGTATCATCACCAGTCCACCAGGAAGAAGTAAATATTCTCTGCGTTTCTGATAACGACTGACGAAGCCCGAGATGGCGTTCATTATTGAGTAATATTGCAAAGGCTATCAAAAGTGGCAAAGACATCGTAAAAAAAGTCCAGCAGATCCAAGTTGTATTATGGTTGGTAAGAAATCTCGAGCCAGGAAAGAGGTAAACTGGAATGGGCGCTGCGATCGAAAATGCGGCTATCATCGAGACGGTTGTTGGAAATCCTAGGGCCTGCGGCCACCAATTCAAGCTATAGATATTGAACACCTTTGTGATCCAAATCAATGCAGTGATGTTGTAGAAGCCATAGTAAACGAAGAGGAAGAACCAGAAGTTGATCTCCACTAGGGCTTCTCCATGACCTGGTATTTTATGCCCTACGTTCCCTGGGACGAATTGTCTGCCCCTCGCGTTGTCGTCGTATGGTAATTCGTATTGTGGAATAGGAAGAGCACACCACCCTACCGCCTAGTGGTATAATATTAGTACATTTCAATATAATCAATGGAGGCCAATATCATTGTGGTAGTCGCCAATCGCATAACTCACCAACATCGCGGGCATAATGATCAACACCATCCATCTCGTCCACCACTTGTCTACAACTTTCGCAACAGCGATTTGTTTAGGTTCGATCCAGAGGTCTCTTGAGGTCCTCGTCCATTGTTTCACCACGCCGTCCTCGTCGTCTGAACTCTCGTCGCTGTCATCCTCAACTCGACCTGGGTTCCCGAACAATGATCCATAACCCTTCCGAAGATTTGGTAGTAGGCTGTTGGATCTGCCTCTTCCGCCTTGTCGCTGTGCATCCGGTACTGCTCGAAATCGACCGAGGAGAGGGGAGCTGTCATTTGTCGCGCCATGCGGATCGCGACCTTGTTGGAAAGTAAAGAAGGAAGGCATTCGATTCCTTTTTCTTGCAGCACCAAGTGTCTCTGTGGCGTGTTCCACTGGTGTATATTTACATTGTTGCTGAATGTGACACGGATTTGAGGGAGACGTGTCGCAGTTGCAAATGTATTCTTGGATGTTCATGAGTAAGAAGGGAGGAGTGAGGTGAGCGATAATTGGGGTCCGTATAGAACCAGCATAGATCTCGACTCGTGCGACCAAACCTATCACCAAACTTCCAAAATCATACATCAAACAGCAGAACGCGTTTATTTACTCAACGATACATCGTTATATGTTTCATATGTTTTATATGTTTCTGATTCTTCATTTATAGTTGAGTCTTCGGCTTAAGTCTGTCGATATTTGATATCCCAGCCAAAGCACACACGCACGCATATCATAAAAACGACTCTTAGCACAACACTGGCACGAGCTCCCTCCTATCTTCTTGACTTTCCATATCTTCCTCAGTGTTCCAGTCTAGTTCTACAGCACTTGCTCGGAAGCCATGGAAAGGAATAGTCTTCAAGTCTGTGGGCGGTGATGGCATCAAGATCAGCTCGTCCGCTGTTGACTCTCGTAGCTCTGCTACATCATTTTGCAGCTCGGTGACTTTCCTGCTAGGCACCTCTTTGATATACAAGCTTCTTGACGTTGATATCAAATGAAGGATCTCATCGTTGCCTGTCTGAATCGCTTTCTTTTTGGGTGTTAATCCGTTCTCGTCTTGTGCCAGCACATCTGCACCAGCCTCGAAAAGCTTTTGTACGGCGATCACGCTTTGGAAATCTATTGCTGCAAATAAAATCTTCTGGAGACTCACACCACCACCCTCTGATACTTTTGCGCCAGCTTCCACGAGTGTCACAGTGGTTACCAAATTTCCGTTCACAAAGGAGCTGTAGATAGCCGTCTTGCCGAAGCGGTCGACTTCGTCAAGTTTAGCATGATGTTTTACGAGAAGTTCAACGCACTTAACGTATCCTCGGATTGATGCTAGATGTAATGGTGTCTGTTTATCGTCGTCGGTTGCATCCAACAAATCATTTGCGCACGAGTTCAATAGGATTTCTATGATTCGGCACGCGATATCATCCTGATCAAAATTGCCAGTGTTGTCGCCGGTAATAGCCACTAGAACAAATTAGCATACGTTTTTCTTGTTATCAACAGATTCAAAACTACGTCTAAAAATCTAGCCACTAGGATAGGAGCTTTGAAGGGGGAGAAAAGAGAGTGTATGCGTACAGTGAAAGCAGGTCTTGCCTGTTCCTGGTTCTCTAAAGCTGAACTCTGCCTCCCGTCCCTTTTCGGCTTGGATAAGCAAGTCAAGTGATCTTGATCTTACCAGTGACCATACTGGGAGGTCTTCTACATTGATATCTATGATTGTGTTGGTGTTTCGGCCGGCGGCGTTGTCTTCAATTAACTGCATCACCTCCTCGCTTCTGTACTGCCATGCCACGATGAATGGCGTTCTTTGAAAAGAATCCACGGAAGTAAAGTCAGCCCCAAGATCAAGTAGCCTTTCAGCTGCCTCGAAATTGTCTAAAGCACAGGCACGATGCAATGGAGTCATAAGAAGATCATCCTTTGCGTTAACATCCATTGAAGGGCCTGAAGCACAGCTCAGTAGTTCTATAGTTCCCCAGAAAGTATCAGTATGATGCGAAGAAGTTGTCATGATATGTAATTACCTATCATTTCGACCCGGTTATGCTCGGCAGCGTGGTGCATTAGAGTGCGACCTCGTTCATCTTTGAGCTTAGTGTCTACCTGGTAGCTGAGAAGCAGTTTGAAGGACTCAAGCGCCCTGCCTTCAATTGATCTGAAAATCGCAGTACCCTTTCTCAGATCTCTCAGATCCGGGTCTGCCCCAGCATTCAGCAAAGTCTTCAAGATTTCTGCATGATTTTTCTTTGCCGCAAGTATCAGTGCTGATCGCCCGGCTGTAATTTCGCGGGCGTTCAAATCAATTAGCCCAGAGAACCGAGAGCTTACCAGCGTGTCGACAACACGTTTTTGTTTTTCGAAACTCGCTAGTGATAGTGCTGTATAGCCATACTTATCCTTGATATTCACATCGATGTCAGGGTGGCTGAGCAGAGCAAGTGCGATGTCTTCGCACCCTGCTTTTATGGCTACCATAAGAGGTGGCCGGTCAGCTTTCTTCGAGCTCCTTGTGTTGACCTTCGCGGTGTTCTTGTGGTTGGGTTCCAAAAGTAGCTTCACAATGGCAAAATTCTTCCTAGAAATGGCTTCAAGCATCGCGGACCTATCCCCCTTTTTATCTATATCGATCGACGCGCCTAGTTCAAGTAAACGACGCGCTACAATCATGTTTCCCCTTCTACATGCGTATATTAGTGGTGTCTGTCCATAAGTGCCCTCTTGCACATCTATATCGAGAGGCATGTCTAGCAGCGGTATGATCTCCCACAAGTCAAACCACGCACATATGTGTAGCGCGTGGATCCTTTTTCGTACATCCCACTTCTCATTTTTATGCACATTTGTCTCCCACGCGGCTTGGATGTAAGCCTGAATTCTTTGATAGTCCTGGAGAAATTGCGCGGCCTTTGCTCCAACCTCTTTGGCGGCAAGTCGAACATGATGTCCCCAATTCTCAACGGCGTAAGCTAGGAAGTCGTGTTTTTTCTCCTTCTCCGCGAATTCTTTGGGAGGGCAAGGTCTGGAAAAAGCATCAATGCTCAAATAATCGAGACATATGTTGGCCATTTCTACTCCTCCGTTTGGGAACCAAGTCTCACGCTTCTTTTCGAAGTAGTTTCTGAGAACTCTATCATCGAATCGGACTATTTGATCCGTATCTTGGCCAATTGTGATGAATCCTTTTGTCAATTTGAGTATCTTATTTTTTGCTACCAAGCGCTGTCCGTCGTGGGCTTTCATTCCCGGAATAACCGCAAGTGCGTGTTGTAGTTCTCTGAAGTTGAGATCTCGTTTTGCATGGAAAATGATTGAAAACGTCTTTTTCACGATTTGTATCTCTTCGGCATACAGTGATGCGAGTCGTTGGTTTAACTCATTTTCAAACAGGTGATCAATAAGCTCTGCTATGTCGTAATTGTTATTGTCCATCTCTTCTATCGCATCATCGATGTCTTTTTTCGAACATTTTCTGATCAACGACTTCGTATATAATTTCGCTAACAGGAATTTTTCGTGGGAATTTCTGATAATGGAAAGAACTATGTGATCCATGAGACCAGGATTCTGGGCACACACTTTACCAAGCTCCTCTGCTTCGGCCTCTGATGATTCCATATCAGGGTCCATGTCATTGTCCGTCCGCGGCATCTTCTCTTCGATTTTCTGCCTAATGTATTTCTCCAAATCCTCGTCCGGGGCGGTTATTACAACTTCAAGTTTCTTGGGAAGGCTGACTTCGTGATCTTCGTCAACAGGACATGAGACGTCCTTTCTGTGACAGTCTTGACAGATGTCGAATCGATTATTCTTATTCTCATTCAAACACGGTTTGCATGTGTAATAAACGTCAAGCGCCTTGTTCTTGCAGCTTTCAACACTGCAGTTTATTTGATTATCTGTCGATGCTACATCTCGTCTGGCCGATATCAAGAGTTTCACGCCAGCTTTCTTTTGTAGCGACTTCAGAACGAAAAGGCGCGATTCCTCCGTGGCTTTGTCGAGCCCGCTGATGACTATTTGCACACGGTCTTTCTCTTCCACTAGACGCTAGAAGAGAATAGTCAGAATCATAGTCACGTGTAAAGCAACACTTGCAAAAATAGGGTGGCTTACACTGAATGACTCTTCTAGCGCTTCCGGGGTCGGTGGCACATCAATTTTGGATGCTTTCTCCCAAGCTTCATGAATTTTGTTAGGAATCGGATCGGCTGGACCTCTGAGTTGAATTAACTGCTTAACCAAGCTGCCAAAAAGATTGTCAGGATCATGGGACTCTTTTGGTGTTTCTTCGAGATATAGTACCAGCGTAGGTATGTCTGGCATAGTCCTTACCAGATGTTCAACAACGATAGACGAGAGGACAGTCTAGGAATCTCATCAGAAGGAGGCGAAAGCGCATATTTCGACGGGTCACATACCTTGCCTGTACCCATTGCTCCGTAGCACTGCAGAATATCTAGCCTTCCCTCCTTCCAAATTTTGAATGCCGGGAGATCCAGAAACCACGTTCCGGTGTCCGCGGCTCCTCTGAGTATCTCGTGTTGCCTGGCCTGGAAATTTAGCGTAGACAGCCATTCTTCAATTTCTTTGCGTTCCTTCTGTGCCTTTTTCAACCTTTTCTCGTTACGGTCTGCATCAGTTTTATCCTCAATTCTTTTCAACCTTTCTTTGGTATCTTCTGTATCTTCCTTAATAGCTTTAGTGCCTTCCTTGATAATACTTGTATCATCCTTGATGGCGTTTTGAATGATTCTTTGAATGCTGGCACAGAAATTGTCCATGGCATTGAAGTCTTCTTCCAGGTGCTTCTTTTCAGAGTGCCATTTCAGATCCTTCCAGAGCCTATGAAGACCTCCCTTCTTTGTTTCTAATACCTTGATGACCTTATCCATCAAGGATCGTAGGCCTTCAATTGGGGAATTTTTCATCTCAAGATCCTTTATCCAATTTGGGGTTTCGCTACCCTGTAACTTTGGAAGGGAGTCCTCAAGCAATTTCATTGTGCTTTGTACGCTGGCCTGCACGCTATTGAGACGTGCTTGGACTTCAGTCCGCTCTGCAGACGCATTTTTGGCATCATGAACGAAGCGATAGAACTTCTTCAGACTTTCGGCAAGAGCAACACCATTTGCCAAAGCTGAGAATGGGTCCATAATGAGGTTGTCCGTATGAAGTAAGTTGCCGCATACGCAAACAATATGCTATATAAGATATAATGTATTCTTATACCATCCAGCGAGTATCACGGTTGTCGTTAGAATCCAATGAGTCGTTAACAACCGTTCAATGTCGGAATGGACTCAAAAGCTTTCTCGGACGTCAAGCGCCAACTTCCTTAGATAGATCAGCACTGATTCTTGGCACTGCAACCCTTCTAATTCAACCAAACAATAGGCACCGTGGTCTCACAAGTAGCATAGGGGCTGTGTGGGTGATGGGTTACACTCAAAACTCACTCGTGGTCGACAACTAGGGGTGGTGCATAGTGGTGGGGCATTGCTCACATAATTGGTGGTCAGTATGGTCGCGACCTTTCAGTACCGTAGCGCCACCGTGTCGAATCAAAACTTGGCTCGTTTTCTATGCTTAATAGAGAGTGGAAACAACAACAGTTGCTGCGACGGACAGTTGTGCGTTGGCAGGAGTAGTTAGGTGTTTCTGGAGAGGTCGCTCAATGGGGCCACCAACAACGCCAACCAACACAAAATCTACAACACCCTTGTACCAACCAAACAACCGTGATTTTCAGAGGCTAATTTCTCGCCCCCAAGCCAGGGTTAATAGAGGTACATTCGGACATGAGCGTTGAGCAGACGAGCGATTCCACAATACAAAGTAGTATATTTGTGAATCGTCTCTGGGCTGCGCTGCAAGACGATTCTAATATTGAGACTGTTCTGAGGAAGAAGGGAACGGCTCATGATATACCAAAGTTTTGCGGCTCAAATAAAGTTATGATGTCTTGCTCGAGTCCCGCAATCCGTCATGAACCGAACAATACCTAGGTACTCAAGTCAGCCTTGAGACCCCATCGGTACCAGATTGGGAAATCCTTCTCGATAATCCCGGTTCATTGGAAGGCTGAGATCTACCCGGTGTGGAGTGGATCCAAATCGTATACTCAAACATCATTCCAACAAATTAATTACACAGTGAGGCACAGCAGAACATTAGTTTTTGGTTTCTGGCAGCACATTCTTTTCACCATCAACATGTTGCCGGTCCGCATTCTGACGTCGTTTCCTGTTTGCTCATTATTCTTTGAAAGCACTCGCTTTTTGATTAACTTACAGTAATAGTAAGAATGTGGCGAGCTACGAAACTACTGTCGCTTCTTGCTTCCTTCCTTTCTCTAAAATTCACTTTAATTTCAGCAGCTGCAACAACAACCGATGCAGCACCTAATCCAGCATCTACCGCTTGCGGAGATATTGTCAGAAACGATGGTACGTATTGAATTTTGAAAGTTGTCGTTGGAGTCAGTCATTTAACAAGCACAACAGAAAGGATATTTCTCGCAAGCGACGTCAAAGCATGCTTGCTCTCAGTCCCATTCAATCCAGCAGTGGCAACACAGTTCTTAAAATATTATCGCGACACTCTTCAGTTTCAGTCGACCTTGGGCTATCTCAAGAACCCTCCCACCGGATATCAACAGCCTGCAGTTGATCTAATTCGCGGTCTTGACAACATTCAGATTGGTATCAACAATGGTGCTTACAGAAACCAGTTTGATTTCGAAGTCTCCTTGCAAAAGCTTATATTTTCTGCCCATGACGACCATTTGACCCTCATCAACGGTATCCTTGGAGCATTTACTTTTGGGGCACCGATAGACATTGTTTCAGTATCTTTAGATGGCATCGCACTTCCTAAGCCTTATATTCTTGGTAAGCACCTAGTTATAAGTCGAACAAAACATAGCTAACGATAGAATAGATCATCTGATTGAATTCCAAGACAATCCTGCACTTACAATTTCTCCGATAGCAACTCTCAACGATCGTCCGGCCGTGGACTACATCAAAGCATTTGGCGCGCTCAACTCTCTAGGCGCTCTCGAGTCTCATACAGAGTACAATCTCCTAATGACGAGTCCTGCAAGTGAGATTCAAAACCTTCTCAGTCCCTGGAACGGCAACGCAAACTTTTATCCTCCAGACGATTGGCTAAAAGTCACATTGGAAGACGGAACCAAAGCGACCATCCAAATTAACGAAACGCTCACGATTGATTCTCTACCCTTCATAGCTCGTTACAATGGCCCACTTGAGACTGGTCCCCTGGAAACCGGAGGCGACTTTTACAACTTCTTTGTGCTTGGGCTGTTTCCTGATTCTTATCAACCTTATGGAGACTGGAATCCGTTACCAAGCGCCTCATCTTCATCCGAATCGGTTGCAGCAGCCACTTCAATTGAAACCCCTTCTACGGAATCGTCTGCAACTTCGGATTCTACGTCGACAGCATCGGCGGACGATGTTGCAGAACCAACAGGATGGGAACATGCAGCCTACCCGATACCCGACATCGAACAGCAAGATCTTGGAAGTTTTTCTGCCGGTTTTGTATCTGGCTATTTCTTCCCAGAATCATCAATTGCTGTTCTCAGTATTCCAAGTTTCAAAGCTCAAGACGAAGGCGTCATGGCGTTTTCCAACGCGGTAGGAGAGTTCTTGGAAAAGAGCAAGAGCGCAGGAATGGAGAAAGTTGTCATTGATCTCCAACAAAACTTTGGTGGTGTTACACTTCTTGCTTATGACACTTTCAAGCAATTCTTTCCTAGCATTGAGCCTCATGGGGGCAGTAGGTTACGAGCTCAAGAATCCGCCAACGTCATAGGCGGCGCAATAACAAAATATTTCGAAACACTCAATAAAACTAAGGAGGAATATTATACGTTGCTTGCTGACGAATGGGTTTCGTCAAACCGGATCAACGCTGACACCAATGAGCTGTTTGTCTCGTGGGCAGAGGAATTCGGACCTCATCAGTCAAATGGGGATACATTTACGATAGATGTAAGAGCAACCCATTCTGGAATATGGCTACGTAAACTGACATTTGATTCCCAATTAAGCAACGTTTCAACTTGTCTGACACACTATTTAATACCTTGAGTGTAGGAAACCCGGAAGAAGTGTTTACTGTATACGGGTATGGTACACGTGTCGCGAGTGTTGCGCAGCCATACGCTGCTGAAGACATCATCATTCTCTCAGACTCAATATGTGCATCTGCCTGCTCCATTTTCATGGAAATGATGCACCATGAAGCTGGCGTAAGAACAGTGGTGGCGGGTGGGCTTCCGCAAAATGGCCCAATGCAAGCCCCGGGGTACACTCAATCATTTGATTCATGAGCTCATCCGCTAACATATCTTAGTCTTACGAGAGGAGCTCGATATTACGATGTGCAAGTCCTCGATCAAAAAATTGAATTCGCTAAAACGGTGCTCGAACATTTTGATGAAGACATTCCAAACTTCATAGGAAATCGAACTATAGCTTCCCCAATCATCTCAGCTGGCATAAACCTCAGAGATCAAGTTAGGAAGGGCGAAGAAATACCTCTACAATTCTTGTACGAAGCGGCGGACTGCAGAATCTTTTACACCCCTCAAACCGTGTACAACTATACTGCTCTTTGGCATTATGCTGCAGAAGCCATATGGGAAGATACTAGCAAATGTGTTCTTCATTCAACAGGATACTCAACCATTAATGGTACTAAAACAGCCGCCCCAGCTCAAGATCTGCTCCCCCCAGCTACCTCCGGTCCACCACCACACCTAGGAGCTGACATTATGGCTGTGATTTCGGACGACAGTCTAAAACCAGAGCCAGTCAGTAGCCAATCTGAGAAAAAGACACCACCGATAGAGGGTCAGGAATGCATATTCGGGTCGAATTCGACGGGCAACTGTCCGAAGGACTACTATTGCCTTGAGAAGTACACAAAGTGTAATTCCAAGAAATCATACACCGTTTCAGCCTGCGTTCCTCTCTGCGATCCAGCGTTGACAATTCCAAAATGCCCCGTTGAGGGTCTTGCTTGTCTTCCCCTGCCGTCCGCAACACCTGGTGTAGAGGACTCCGCAACACAAGTCGAAAAGAGACGCGCAACATCTACCGGCACAAAGAGGTCCAGGCCAACCAGTACCAAACGACCTACCAAGACCAGTTCGAAGAGACCCGCGGCAACCAATGGAAATAAGCAGTCAGGCAAGACAACGCTACAGGGTTATTGTATTCCAGCGAAACCAAATTGTAAACAGTCGGGAGGGACCGTCTCATCGGATAGCCAAGAGATGGATCCTCCTGAGAAGAAAGTGTGAAATATGAGAAGAATTTCGTTTGAGCATTTGAGACATTCTTGCACGCCGCTGAGAAAGTTTGGACACAGTGGAGGGCTGAAAGGCATCAATTTCGCACGTTCTCCCAAATGGAGGGATTGACCAAGTTAGCACCACTGGCATGCTGTTTTTCAATTATTTGGAGCAGTGAGTGTCAGAAAGGCAGAATGAGGAGCATACCCAGGGGAGAAGGATACTCGAAGGGTGGGTGATGAGAAGAATTGAGGAAATACTCAATAGTATGTGAAGCTTTCAAAAAATATGGAATGTCAGAGCTTTCATCCGGACACTATCCATTGCGGAACGAACTGCCAATTCATGTCTGTCTCATCAAGACCGAGTCGCCGCTTTTTTGTCTTGAACTCGTTCCATAAGGGGGTGGCGAGGGTGGCTCGCTCCGTAGATTTAAGCGAAGGCTTTTAGGGGATGGGGAAAGTGGGTTACAGAATAGGTTGACGAATACCAGAAGCTAGTGCGATCTCTATATTTTGAGATATTATGTAACTCAAACATGAAAACTAACTTCGCTATTTTTCATCTGCAACCCGAGTCCATTAGAAACACGACACTGCAGCTTTCATGTCGTGCAAATCGCTAGCTTATTACGTAGAACGCTGATGCAGTAGACTTAGGACCACGAAAATCCAGGAATCTACTTAATTCCCGAGCTTCCGGAAGCCACACCTTTCAGTTATATGTAGATAAGATGTCAAAGAAATGTGTTTCGTTGAGTTGCTCGAATATATCGAGAGATGTGGGAGCACGGACCCATGACGTTATTTCCAGCTTTGCACAATTTCGGCAGCGGCATGTTTTACATTCCTGTGGTACTTTATAAGTTTATAAGGATATCCTCATTAACCTTCATCAACAAAGTGTAAATACAGATATTATCAATATGGGCCAATCGCCGTCAGCACTAACATTAACCGAGAAGAATCTCCCGGACCAAACCGGAAAGGTGATTTGAATTGTAATGTACCAACCGAATGGCCAATTAACAAGCTCACAGGTCTTCCTCATCACAGGTTCCACATCCGGAGTTGGCTTAGAACTCGCTCAAATCTTATACTCACGTAACGCGAAAGTATATATCGCAGCGCGAAATGCAGAAAAAGCAGCTCGTACGATTGAAACCATTGAATCCAAGCACCCGTCTTCAGCCGGCGAGCTGGTCTACCTACACCTGGATCTTAGTGATCTAACCACCATCAATTCCTCAGCCCAGGAATTCCTGGATCGTGAGAAAAGACTAGATGTCTTGTGGAATAACGCCGGCGTCATGGTTCCACCACAAGGCAGCACGACGAAACAGGGGTATGAAATGCAGATAGGCACGAATAACGTTGCGCCATTTCTATTCACAAAATTACTGACGCCCTTGTTGATTGAGACGGCGAAGACGGCAAGTCCAGGAAGTGTGAGGGTGGTTTGGGTGTCTAGTTCGGCAGCGGCTAGGTTTAGTCCGGAAGGGGGCGTGGAGATGGATAATCTGGGGTATGAGAGGGAAGACAAGAGTGCGTGGTTTAAGTATGGGGTTAGTAAGGCGGGGAATATCTTGCATGCGTCGGAGTATGCGAGGAGGGTTGGTGAGAAAGGGGTTTTGAGTTTGGTAAGTTTAGCGAAGTTGGTGATTGTTGGAAATGGCTGACATGTGCTTGAAGAGTCTGGATCCGGGGAATTTGAAGACGGATTTATATAATCAGGTTCCAAGATGGCAGATGTTGGTGGTCAATTTAGTGTTGAAGGAACCGATATATGGCGCTTATACGGAGTTGTACGGGGGGTTGTCTGAGGACATCAAGATGGAGAATAATGGTACATTTGGTGAGCCTTTAACACTTCCTAGAGGTATCTCCTACTAATACTGGCAACTTTAGCTGTACCGTGGGGTAAGATGCAAACGCCAAGAGCAGATATTGCGTTGTCTTGCAAAAGCAAAGACCAAGGGGGAACTGGTCTTGCATCGCAGTTCTGGGAATGGTCTGAGAAGCAAGTTGAGAATTACATATGACAGAAGATCACGAGTAGGGTACAAATGCAGCAGTATTGAACAGAATTCTTCGGAAAGACTTCTGTATTTGTTGTGCTTCTTTCAATTTTTTCCTAGGTTAACCCCCTTGTTATGATCGCTTGACCATCTGCATTATATCTTGTCGAGAAATCCTCTCGATGACTTTGCCACCAGTAAGGCTTCCATTCGTCCGATCTTCGAGCAAGGACAATTTCTCCATGTGGGCTGTGTCTCATGTGTGGCACAAGAAATTCCTCGCTGGTGCTAAGATTTCCCAAATTGTTGTTGAGCTGCTCCGCGAACAGATCAGTGAGGCCATAATCAGATTCTTCGTCCCACAAAACCGTAACCCAATTGTTTTCATATACGTAATAACTAGCACTCAACTGGTGTCTAGGGATTATTATCCAATGGGTAGGACGGTCGGACTTTGAATCCCTGTGCGTGACATATAACTTTTCTGCCCACCACAATTCCCTGTCCTTAATGGCGAGGATGGATGTACTGACTGGAATGGAGTCCCATTTCTTTATTTCCTCTTCGGTTTCTCCTTTTGCATATGCATGTATGACTTGAGATCGCGGATAGAAAATCTCTGGATTGATGTTTCTCGTCATGCTGCATTCCATACGGGGTAATACAGGCCCTCTGGTGAACCCGGTATAATGCCGGTTACGATAATTCCAATCCGCTGAGACATCAACTAGATGAAGGGCGTTTTCATGCACGGCAAAATTAGTCGGCGACAGAAGGACGACATGAAGACTTTTCATCGATGAAAAGGACTGTCGGAGAATAGTCCAACCGGAGCCAACTGATAGGTCCAACCGCACATCTTCAGGGACGATGGCAATGTTTTGAAGCCCCAGAGTGTCATAAAATGAGGAAGGAAAGGATTCCAGAGACCACGTAGGATCTGTCGAGCCGTACTCCAATAAGATCGTGTCGTGAGCCTTATCGATGTAGACTTCAGGATGCTTTCCATGGTTTGACCGCTGTTGTAATCCCAGAGGTATTGTATTTTTTGGAAGAGAGCACGACCTTCGCATGGGCGTGTAAGGGCTGAGATATGCCGCTCTTGACTCGGCAAATACTGTAAGAAGTGTGGTATCGGAGCCCAATTCACTCTGCATACTCTCCCAAACCTGGTAGCATCGTTGAAAGGCTTCCCCAGCAGTATAATGCATGCTTTGTCTTATATGTAGTTGCACTAGCCTCAGTGCCGGAAGTGCTTCTTTCCATATTTGGGTACGTAACTCTACTGGAAGTCTAGTAAAGCACGTAAAGGTAGCTGGTGTCGTGAAGCTATCATTGACCACTTTATAATTCAAAAATCTGGCAGATGTAACATCATATCTTCCCGCGCAGTAGAATCTCTGGCACATTGCACACCTGCTGCTATGCTTTGCTTGAGCCGCCACTATCTTCCACGAGTCTATCAGCATTAGTGATCTTTCATTACGAGACGTTAGAGCAAATTACCCGGGTCGTAGAAAGCTTTCCCTGGATTCTGAGCTAGCTGATCACAAATGGAGCCCTCTGCTTCACGGTCCCATTTCTCCCTGAGCAAGCGGTCGTTTTCTTCCATGTTGATAAAGGGGACCGGGGGAAAAGCAGGAGATGATAATGAAAATTCCCGTTCATCTGCATTGTCAGCAATGAATATTCGAATTCTATGAACCATGATCCATTAGACTCACCTAGTCCGATCCGACGGTATGCCATAGTACCCGTCTTTATGCTGATGATCTCCTTTATCTTGCTAGGGCCACGGTGTGTTGTCGGGATGTCGTGGAAGAAAAGCTATACGATTGAGGATTTGCAAACTGCCATTAAAGAAAGTGCTGAGGTTTTTGTAGACCAAGGTAGAAATGTACTTGATATGAGGCAGCTGTGAATTAGTGGACTTATAATGGTAAGTCGACAATGCTTTACCTGCAATTCACTGGCCGGTCATTTCCTTTCAGCACCAAAGAGGTTATCCCTAAGCGATCCTAACACGAATTATGAAATGTTCTTGGGGAAATTGCATTGTCCTTCATATTTCAGCTTCAGACTAGACACATGATCCTCATTACACCGGAACTAGATAGTCTCGCTTTTCCTTTGGCTGAACGGTGTTACATCTGTCTACTTAGTTGGTATCTATCGCTGCAGGCGTCGCAGGAGGCCACCATGGTTTTAAGGAATGAGAATCCTACTACCGCAGTGACGATTCAAACGCAAAGTTCTCATCACGGGTATCCCCGAAGAGCTTTTGACTTTCGATGCTTGGAGTTGTTACTTGATGGTAATTTAGTGATAACAGAGTTCAGGTCGATGAAGCATGAATGTATCAGCACGTAGTTATGGAGCATATTTGCAGATTTTTGGTGAGACACCGTTTTCAGAATAGACTCGCTTCTCCCATTGGAGGATCCATTTGGGAAGTGAAGATTTTTTGACATTGGTGATGAGACATGCTTCGTAGGTGGTGAACGTGGATTGAAGTGTTCTTCGAAAGTTTCGTGACACCCAAAATAGACTGGCAGGGGGTTTTACGCTAACCCTATTCGGGTGCCTCGGGATTTTATTTGGTCCCCTGAAATGAATCTATCCTACCAAGGACAACTCGAGCGGCTTCATCTGTGGCGGATGTCCAAGATTTAATCATACACTCATTTGGAAGTTACGGCTTGTTCGATTATACGGATTTTGTCATTAATTTGGTGTTTCTATCTCCTGGGACGGGCTCGATGAAGGCGAGATGGGTGTCTTCTCCTACATAAAGAGCATCTACGCTCTCGATACGCTCGATACTCGATTTACGACGCCGTCCACCGCATCATACCAGAGTGTTATAGATACGCGAGATGAAGCCTCGGCTTCGAAACGAGATGACTCTATTCCAGGCTTGGGCGTAAAGACAGACCGTCACGGCCGACCAGTAGCTCAACCTTCGAGATGGGGGACAGTGGAATTTTACTTTTATTATGTGGTCTTTATAGTTGTTGTGCCATACATGTTCTGGATTGCATACGATGTGTCTAGACGTGAGTACAGAACATGCTGGTAGGAAATGGTTCTGACATAAAGTAGCGTCCGATCCAAACTACCGCAAATACGAGCCATGGCTGTCTAAAGGTTGGATACCGGGTCGCAAAATTGTTCGTACTCTCAGCACATGCATGCATACATGAAATCTGATCTGGACAGGATATTTCGGATGCCCAGTACTTCACTTTCAGACGAAACCTACCATACATTGGAGCTCTCCTAGCTTTCCACCCCCTCCTTCGAAAGTTGTATAACAATATTCGGCCTCTACCAGCCAGGATTGGCTCCCCGCGGACGAATGGTGGCTCATACGTATCTGCAGCAGAGGGAGATGCTCGAATAGTACAGCGGGCATCGTTCGATTTTGGCTTTGCCCTGCTCTTTATGAGTGCTTTGCATGGATTTTCTGTGTTCAAGATACTCATCATTTTGTACGCCAACTATCGAATGGTTACGAGTCCTAGCATACCCCGAGCATACCTACCGGCCGCGACATGGATATTCAATATCGGGGTTCTTTTTGTGAATGAACTATCGGACGGTTATCAGTTTGTCAAGATGGCTTCGTTTTTCTGGCCGATTGAACAGGGTGGGAGCATAATTGCATGGGCTAGATGGCTTGATAGATATTGCGGAATAATGCCCCGCTGGCACATCAATTTCAACATGACGGTTTTGCGGCTGATCAGCTTTAATTTGGACTACTACTGGAGTCTGAATATGAGAGGGAGTAGCCCATTAGAGGTTAGATTCCCGCTCGTGTTAATGAAGTCACTCTACTAATACGCACAAGAAGAAGCAGCTCGACCCCTCAAACCTCTCCGAAAGAGATCGGGTTACCATACCTGCCCAAAACAAGGACTACAACTTTCGAAATTACGTTGGGTATGCAATTTATGCGCCTCTATACATTGCGGGACCAATCATCACGTTCAACGACTATGTATCGCAACTTCGATACCCCGCCAAAAGTATTGAACTCTCTCGTACTATTAAATACGGAATTCGTTTCTTACTTACTCTTCTCGCGATGGAAGTACTACTCCACTTTGATTACTGCGTTGCAATTTCGAAAGCCTATCCTAATTGGTCAGACTACACGCCTGCTCAACTTTCGCTCCTTTCTTACTTCAATCTGCACGTCTTGTGGCTCAAGCTTCTCCTACCATGGCGATTATTCCGTCTTTGGTCTCTTGCGGACGGTATTGATCCACCGGAAAACATGATTCGTTGCCTTTCGAATAACCCATCGACGGTAGCGTTCTGGAGAGGGTGGCACAAGAGTTATAACCGGTGGTTGATCCGGTACATATACATTCCATTAGGAGGAGCGAGCTCCAAAACATGGCTCAGCTCTGTGCGTTCTGCGATAAATTACGCCGCAGTATTTACATTCGTCGCCTTGTGGCACGATATTAGTTTAAATCTTCTGGTCTGGGGATGGCTAGTTGTATTTTTCATGTTACCAGAAGTCCTGGCGGGCTACGCATTCCCCAAACGTAGATGGGAGAATAATCTCACAGCGTATAGAGTGATCTGTGGGATTGGCGCGGTCGGAAATCTGATGTTGATGATGGCGGCAAACTTGGTTGGGTTTGCTGTCGGTATTGATGGGTTGAAAAATATTGTTCATGGGATTTTCAAGGATTATTCAGGTGAGTTTTCTATCTGATGTGATAACGTGAACTTTGAGCTAACTGAGAAATAGGCATGGTCTTTTTGATCACGGCGTGGTCGGCGCTGTTTGTCGGTATTCAGGTCATGTTTGAAGTAAGACAGAGCGAGTATAGGAAGGGTATTTTCCTCAAGTGCTGAAGGGAAATTGTGGGATTGTGTTAGAGTAGATGAAATGAATATAAAGTGCTGTTTATAGTTCATGTGTGAGATCAATTTTCGAGGTCTTTCTGTTGGCTTGAGCGCTTATCGTGCCGATAAATATGGTCTGCAAAGTGTCAGCAAGAGTTTCGCGCGTCTTCTCAGTCCGCGTCAAGGATGGATGCCATCATCTCTGTTCTATCACTCTATCTGTCTGTTATTCGAATCTTGGTATTCAACTCAAACAAGATCTTCCATTATGTAATATACCTTCTTCGTGTATGTAAAAGATTGCTTGACTTGTAAGCAGAAGTTAAAATATTATGATGAATATTTTTGTGAAATTTCGAGATATTATAATATGTAACTCATTTTTTTCTCGTCATATGATGGCTCGTAAGGAATCTTTACAGATTAGAGAAGCTAACTTCAGACCGTGACCCCTTATGGGATCAACAGTGGATGTCTTTTCCGGTAATCAGATGTTTATGAATCCACCAATGTAGTTGAGAAAAAAGATAATCAAGAACAGCCAATTGCGAAATCATTCCCTGTGCAAATTGAGAAAGGACCTCATAAAGTCAACAGTCCTAGGAGGATTGTACTTGAGAATGTAGAACACACAAGAATCTCAGATCAACTCCTTGTGTGTAAACCATTTGCTCATTTCTGTATAAACCAAAGAAATTAAATGTTGGGTTTCTGTCACCGAATTATTCTTTGCTGCCGAAACTAGCTGGGCGTCGATTAAAGGCAGGAGTCGAAATTTCAACTTTTCAAAAGTACCGTACTATGCATTTAATTCTTAGCTATGCGAACCTTCTAAGGTCACATTTCGAATTACTTTTGATTGTGAATTGATAGCAGTTGACGCAGCGCAATGGGTTATAAGTTATGTTGTCCATGAAATTGTGGATTATTTCAGCGATAATCAGGGGTATATATTGAATTCTTTTCCACTGTGTTCGAGGCGAACGTCTCGATAGGGTGATAGAAAATAATAGCAGAAATAATTGCCAGATCATGCACAGCTACTGGATTACTCGTTGGTATGATTGGTAGAGACTTGATTGGCGAGAATTCAAGCTCCAAATACTGACATGAGAATTGCACAAGCGTTGGTACTAAACTTTCCAAGTCACTATGTCAGTTGCGAAACTAGCTTTTGACGATTGGCACATCTAACTTGATTGCTTTCTGTTATCAGGTATGAAAGGAGAAGTGATTGTATGAGAGTACTTGACAAGAGAACAGCAATGATAACTACTGATCTTTGGTGATGGTCTTCAATCCACATAGTCCTAAAAACAATACAAGTACAAGAGATCATTGTCTAAATTATAGATCGGATCTACCATCAATATACCGGGCAGAATGAATCCGCTACTCACAAATCCAAAAGCTTCTGTACCAAAGCTGTCAAAAATCGCTTGGGTTAGATGATGATCTGGACGAGAGCTGTATTTTCCACCCCGGACTGTTTACCAACCCAAAGCTGGGGTATGAATATGCTTCGCCAACGGCTGGCACCCCCCCTCCTAAAAATTCCATTCACCAACAACCTCACCTTCACCGGCCAACCATCGGCTCTCCCAGCCCCACCCCAATCCCAAATTCTTACTTATATATCAAAACAAACTCTTTTCGCTCCAATCAGAATAGCCCATCCAACCAGTGCCCCCGAGCCAAATGGTTAAGGTTAAAAGTTCATAGGTATCTATCTCGAAGGTAGATAGTTATGGGACCAGAATCTGCTAGCGTCTGAGATAGGAGCTGGGGGTAATATTCTTTTGTTTTGATTTTTTTCTGGCTTTTGGGGCGAGCGCTGGGAGGTGAATTGTTTTTGTATCGTAAATATCAAACGTTTTCTGTCGCTGCTGTCGTACCAGGAGAAAAGTTTTTTCATGTGGTGCCAGCTGTAAACTTTGCTAGGATATATAAGAGAGGCTTGGCGGAGATGTTGTTTTCTTTTAGTCGGACGTTGGACAAGTGTCGAAAAGCACTGAAGAACCACCCGATCTTTCGCTTATCAAATCATTATGAAGCTTCGTAACTTGTTTCCTCCTATTTCTATTACTTTTAACCACGCCACATACCCTCTTCTACCCGACGTATTTGGAATGGACCTTTTCAAGATTCGAGGAGAATCGCTCACTAAAGAATAAATGCTGGACTATTGTAAGCAAACGCATACTGTACCGAAACAAAAACACTAACCTTAGGAGTTTCCACGTTATTACTCACCTCAGCAAACGACTCTTGGTTGCCCTGGATATCTTGTCATACTGCAATGTATTCAGCTACAATTTTCGTCGCTGCTGTATGTATCAATTGATGAGTGAAGTTGTGGAATCCGGAAGCGTTGTACTATTATCGGCTTCAGTCGATCCGCCTGGCACATGAGGTGCTGAGTTTCGGAGCGGATGAGGAGAAGATCGGCGATGAAATGATCATGGTGGGCTTGATCATGCTGTACTTTATGAAATCCACAAGCATTTGCTGGAAAGAGAATGAAGCTCATCTATGAGGGATAGAGCAGATGGTCGTAGCTCGAGGAGAGATTTTCAAGTTGAACGTCGTCGTGGCGGGATGGCTGGAGAGAGTGTATGGACCTTGGACGAAGGGATTCGGATATGGTCATTTTGATGATGCTATTCATGCCGACCTGATGCAAAAGATTTGCGGAGATCCTCATCACCACTGCTAATGGCGGACAAGCCAACTCGCTCGTGTCGATACCAATGAGTCACTTTGCTAGCGCTTCAGGACATCAGCCAGGTACCTTGCTAACTGAACGGAGATTTCGTCAATGCTAGAGAGCAGATTGCGGAATCCGGAATTTGGAAATTTAGGGGGTGAAGCTCGCTTAAGACAGTTGGAGAGAACTGTTCCTATAGTGATGTGCTCCATACGTAGATCTAGAAATGAACATTCATTGAAGAGAATTTTTCGTTGCTGTCAAGTTGCAATTTCGAGATTCTTAATAGTTCTCAGCTACAGCACTGCGTTGAAGGATCTCTTAGATACTCGCCTGACAGAAGTTCGAGAATGCCACAATATGTATTGGACACATATGCATTGGTTTCCGTCGATTGCGTAGGTTTCAGTGATGTTGGGTATGCGGTTAAACCCTCAGCAATGAGCTTCTCTTACTGTATAGTCTTTTAGTTGAGATTTCTCGGTGACTTTGAAAAGATGCTCCTATAATAGCCCAGTATGCTTGAAAGTGTACAGACAGTTTTTCCCGAAAGCACGATCGAAGTTCATCACATTTGGCTCCGCGGAGAGCAACATAGTAGTCGCAATAGCTGCACATCGGAACTAAACCCAAACAGCTTTTCTCAAAAAATCAATAACAGCAAATGACCCCACGTCAATAATCCAGAGAAAAGGAGTCCGAAGCGAGTCTGGGGTAGCCCCGATGTCGGCTGCGGACATCGATCAACAACCAGTTCTCCTGATTCCGTCTCGCTTGGTCAAGGGCGTCCAAGTCGGAAGAACGGCAACGAAATGAACCCAAGAGGGCGCTCTTGACGCCAAAAGAATAGCCACGTTCAGCCTTGTTGCTTTTCGGCGGACATTGCCCGATCATTGGATATCTCGATGAAGCATGATCAAGTCGTAAGATGTTTCCAATGCTTGGATTTCTTGTGAGTGAAAAGTGGCTTGGGACGAAGTTTGGCAAATGTTCTGGATTGTACAGTGGTCCTTGGAGTATTCTTCTCCGCGGGTTCCAAATCTCAATAGCGGTCAAGTTCAGCCATAGAAGCTGCGCCGTCGAGAGGTGGGCTGGTTGATGATGTGCTTATGAAATGCGCGCGCCGTTGGTGTGAACAACGATACGCCTTGCATAAGTCCTACGGAGTAACTCTCCTACTTTTATTACATTCGAGTCATCCTCATGAAAATCGCTATTCAATGTCAACCACAAGGCGCGCAACATGTAAGAGGCGTCACTGTCTTATTATTAGCTTTGCCGAACATGAAGGCACGGTTCGGGCAGTGGGCTAAGCACTTACCCAGTGAAGCCTGGGCGTGCTTCAATCGTTCCCGACAGTTCGTTTCCTAGAGCCTGCCAAAAATCTCTGCAACCACGCCCTTTCTCGAAATATTCTGTGAAACAAGTATCAAAAGTACTTCGTACAACACGAGTATCCACCAATTCAACGAGTATGTAAAAATATCCACATTGTTTTGTCTCGTTGCCATAGACAAGACTCTTTACGACATCGTGGGTCAATATTTGCAATCTGGCCTGCTTCTGCGGAGCCATTACTCATAGCGACCGGCCTTTGCATTGCAAATTTTCACATGGTTGCACGCTCGAAACTTTTTGAGGTTATCACGACACACAGGAAACCGTGTAAGTTAAGTATTGTCGAAGGTTGACCGTGTAAGGTGAGAATTGGCGGTGCGGGTCCAGAAAATTCTCTGGTGTCATTTTAGAAAATTTCTCTAGCGTACCAGCGAGGTTGTTACGAGCCTTGGGAGGTTGCCGTTCCGTTTGCTGATGTGGATTCCGTCATCCGCTTGTTGGAACGGCCATCTACCAAGTATACGGAGTTCGGCTTTCGAGTGAATAGGACAATTCTAGAAGCGTCGTGGGTATCTCGTTGTAGGCAGGTCTTGACACGGAAAGCACTGATTGAGCTTTATATAGGAATAACATTGAAGAATCGGAGAAGTAGATCCAGAGTTAGTAACTTGACTGTGCTGTTTCCGTATTCCGTTAAGAGAGAGCTATGCTCAAGATGCCGCTCGCCGAATGTCACTCCGCAATTTCTCGGTATCTGGTCTTCCCCAGATGGAAGAAAGCAGCACGTACACGTTACGGAATTACTATTGGATAGGGCTACTCCTATATTGGGCCGTACGATCTGACCGGTTGGAGTCATGGTGGAGACAGAAAAGGCTACCAGTTTTTGTGGCTTTGGCTGAATAATAAAATAGTGCTCATAGCCAATGCGGAATACGGAATAGAACCATTGTCGCTCTCAGACATATCGAAGTGCTTTATCTATCAGCTCCTGGTTATATGCTGTCCATCAAAATGGATCATGTCCTAACGCCGCAATTATTCGAATGCTTAGAAATTCAAAGAGCCAAATTCATCAATTTGATGCTTACCAAAGATACGCGGTGTCGACATCATCTAAAGTCAAGCGAGCCTACATGAAGGGCGCATATCTCGACATGCAGTGGATGAGCTTGCGCTTGGGTTCCCGCTCTCCTTTAAGCTTTAGCGAGTGGATCACCATGCTGGAAGCCATGTCTGTCTGACGACCTCGAACCACACCTCACCACTCCCACACTTACACCCTGGTTCCGGTGCTCGGCTGACGATCTGAGGTTCTCCTTTGGCAAGGGCAGTCAAACATGAACAAGGAGATGCGGAGGATCCATGCCAGGAGTCTTAGTGACTCAGGCCTACGCCTTTCTCAATTGTACTAGTTGCTAGCAAGTTTGTTCCATGTAAGCTCCGACATGACTTTTATATAAGGAAGAGCCTCCCGTTACTTCTATTGACATTCAGCATCACAGACAACATCGATAACTTGTACATTCAAGCCAAGTTACAGGCCAAGTCTTGAGTACCAAACCTCGTCTATCAGAACCCGCACCACCTTCCCCGCATTCTCTTGGATAAGATAACAAGTTTCCATCACCAAGCTGTTGCTATCAGATATATAATTAGGAGCTCACGCGAGCTCTTGAGTTAGCTCTTCGGCCCTTCTCTCTTCCAAACGACTATATTTCTCAAGATGTCTTCCTACGCAGCATCTATCACTTCCAATGCCAACTCCTTGGCTGGTTACACCAAAAAAGTCGCACGACCAGCTCGCCCAGATATCGAAATCGATTTGAAGGATCACACCGAGGGAAGAGTTTATACCACGTACGATGCATTATCAGGAAATGTCAAGATCACAGCACCCCAAAATGCTCGCTTCGATGAGGTCAAGATCACCCTTGAAGGCACAATCAGAACTTATGTGGACAACTTGTCACCTGCAGCCTCCGCCAGTACCAAGACCACTGCAATTCACAGATTCTTAAAGTTGGTCATGCCAGTTTCAGAGTCCGAGTATCCTCAACCACGTATTGCTGAATCTGGGCGAACATACACATTTCCGTACAACTTCGTCATTCCAGATCGTCTTCTCCCCCGATCCTGCACCCACCCAAACACCGCTGATCATGTTACGGAAGCTCACTTGCAATTGCCTCCCAGCATGGGCCACCGCGCTTTAATTGGAGGCCAGTCGGATATGGCTCCAGAAATGAGCAAAGTGCTATACGCAATTCGAGTTCAGGTAGTCAAACGCCGGGAGGAAGACGCGCGGGAAGTTGTTCTTGTGGAAAGGAACATGCCAATACGAGTTATCCCAGCTCAAGCAGAGGCAGCTCCTTTGATCGTGGGAGCTGAAGATGATCAATTCGTTTTATCGAAGACCAAGGCGTTGAAGAAGGGAATGTTCTCAGGAAAGCTTGGCAAAGTCACAGTATCAGCAGCTCAGCCAGCCGCCATAATACTCCCAGCGCCGTCATCTTCGAGCTCCACACCTGCTACAACAATGGCAACGGTCCAGCTCAGGTTCGATCCTCACGATTCTTCAGCTCAGCCACCTAGACTTGGAGGTTTAAGCACCAAGATCACAGCCTCCACTTTCTTCGCTGTCAGACCTACTTCAGGTATTCCAACCCACCGCAACGCACAATCAGCATTCGAGATCCACCGAGGAGTTTACGACAGCACAGTCAGCGTTTCTTCTCGCTGCGTCGAATCTGTACAGTGGACTAAGCATCCAGCAACCATCAGACGTGGTTCCGCTTCCTCAACCAGCTCCTCTGACTTCTCCGACTGTTCACAACCCATCGTACCAAAAGAATCCGCAGCATACTACTCCGCAAAGATTCTCGTACCAATCACTCTCCCATCGACAAAAGTCTGGATCCCAACTTTCCACAACTGCATCACCTCCCGCCTCTACGTTCTCGACCTCTCACTCTCAATCCACACTCCAGGCGCCGGAGTACCTGCATCTACGGTGGCTCTTCATCTTCCACTCCAAATCGGTGCTGCTGGAAACTTGAGCAGTCGTCCAGAGATGACTGCCGCAGAAGCAGCTGCTGAACTGGCGGAAGTGGATGAGTTTCTTCGACCGAGACTCATCGAGATGCCACGGGAAGAGTTGATTGGCAACAGTGTATTGGCGCACCATGCAACGGATCTTCCACCATCGTACGAATTTTCGGGTGTGGCACAGGCTATCAGATCATGAACTCATATCCATCTTTCTTAACATGTTCTTTTGAAGCGAGCGGGAGCTTGATTTTCTTGTGCTAGGTTTATTGGCAGGGACTGGGTTAGGTATGGCGTTCGGGGTTTTAGGAATGTTGGAATACAAAATGGGTTTTTCAACAGCCAACTTTTGATTCGAGCGGCGCAATTGTGTTTGGATGCAGGATTGTTGAGTTTTGTGGTTTTGCTTTGTGGAATTGGAGTCAGCAATATAGGACTCGGCAAGCAACGAAAGATACCCAAAAATAGATCTAATATTAATTAATTTAAAATAAAGTACAAGATTTGCCATATTTGATGTCGATGCAATAACATTTTAAGAGATTATTCCTATACTTTTCGAGTTGAAAATCAGATAGCTTGAATCCGCTAAAAGACCCCCCCAATCTCCAGTATCCGGGTGATCGCCTCGAGACCCGCTCCCGGGAACCAACGCGGGGGCAGCCGAATGCCACCAAACAATGTTTGATGATCTACTTCTTCCGCAATCTCGTACCTTTGTCATTCTAAACAAAAGATATCAATCATACGCATCTCAGATCATGATCTACACGTACGCTCAGTTCATCAATTCGTACAACACCGGCGAACCGCGATGCTGCAGATACCCGCCCCCAAGTGGAATAAGTTCCATGACATGTTGTTTCACCGCTGATTGTAGTATGCATCCTCAGTCCACGCGCGGGTGATACCGCTTATTTCGAGCAGCAGCTGTGACTGGATCTCTGTTTGCGCCGCCGTGAACAACACATCCCCGTTGGTGATTGACGCCTGAAATCCTTCCTTTGCTTCACTCGGACAGGGCGTCGTTGATAAGGCTGTATCAGAACATGCCGGCGCGCCCAACTCATGCTCAGAAGCAGTGCTGTTGGCGATGTCGCAACCTTCAGTCGATGCCAAAGCTTACTATGGCTATCTCTTCCATGAGAACAAGAAGCCGACCGAGGTGCTGGATGCGCTGTTGAGGGGCATCGCGATTTATATTGTAAGTGCGCTAGCAGAGGGGTCATTGCGCGCGACTGTTTGCGACGAGCGGCTGACGGTTGGGTGCCAGAGTAATTCAGTGGGAGATACCACGGAGAAGAAGTTGACCCCGACGAAGCTTGCGAGTTTCTACAAGGCTGTGGGAGGCAACTATGACTGTAAGCTCCCTTCTAGTTGCAAACATGAAGCGACACTAATAGACGTTGTGCTACAGCCCTCTTCGTCGACGTCCCGCACCCTTCGATTTCATGGATTTACGCCTCGATAGGCTGCCAGCATACTCTGCAACCCTCCTCGAACGATTTCGTCCCTCCGACAGTACCTGCGCTTACCAAGCGAGGCTTCGTGAGATGGCAGTCTATAGAGATATTGTTGGGGCCAGAGGAACATGTGCCATTTATACAGAATGCGGTTCAAAACTTTGGGATTAAACACCCGGATACTGGAGAGCCTTTTCCTGTCGACCTGCCGAAAGAGGCCTTCCCTTTGATACCAGATGTAGCGATAGAGAAATGGCATAGTGACTGCGCTGCGAAACTACGAGAACGGGCAACACCTGAGGTGGATTCTGCATCTGCGCGACCGGATCTTCCCCCAAGGCCAAAGGTACAGACCGGTTATGCACACGTCCGAGCAGGTAGACCCAGAGGCGACTCGGGTTACTTTGAAGATTCTAGATCTAGACCGTCAACGAGACCGATATCATACTCACACGTCCCTGTAGCAGGAGGCCGCCCTGTTCGACCGAAGCTGTCTCACTCTCCTACTTATCGCGCACGTCAATTTCTAGCTCCAGAAGAGCCGATGGTCCAACGTGTCCACCGAACCAGGCGAAGGTCATTGCCCGAGAACGTCAGTCCGATTTCTCCTACGACGGTGCCGGTAGACCTACCTACGAAGTCGCCAGAACATGAGTCACGAGCCAGAGGACATAGCCACCCTAGGCATTCCAGAAGAGGCAGCTTGTCTTCCGATGCGTCGTCTGAACGTGAGAGTCCTCATGAATCGCAAGAGGCAAAACGCCCAAGACACCGTTCACAGCCATTCCCGTATCAAGCTCGAGTAGACGAGGAAGTAAATTCTGCTAGACATGCTCCGTCCGTTCCTACACCACCAGATCCAAGAAGGAGAGTAGGTCGATCGGGAGAGAGAAGAGATAGAGAGGAGGAAGATAAAAGAAGAAGTCAACCTATACCAATCGACTTATCCGGAAAACTTTCAGCACCATTCATGCTTGGCAAGAGGGACAAAACCCGAGATCGGGAACGAGACCGGGAACGAGAAGCAGAAAAGACAGACCGTCACCCCCGAAGCGGTTCTCGAAACGCCAACAAAGTTAGCTGGAAAGACCTCGGCGAAGTCACTGAGGCCTGGCGTCGCTCCAGTAAAGATTCCTCACAAGATGAAAGTCACTCTAGACATCGAAGCGAGCGCAGCGACGAGCGCGTAGACTACAAAACTCGAGACCGTGAAAAACACAGCGATCGAGAAAGCTATCGCGAACGTGACCGCGATAGAGACAGGGTTACAAGACATCACAGTCGCCGGAACAGTCAGGAAGATCTACTTGTGAGACCGCGGACCAGAGAACGTGATCATGAGCGTGAGAGGGAGCGAGAGTCAGAGAGGACAAGGGGGACGGGGACTGATCGGAGGGCTTATAGGGATAGGGATAGGAGTCATCAGAGTCCTGTGAGGGGCGTGGATGGGAGAAGATACCCGAGTCATACGTAGACTCTTTTTCGCTTTCTGGATTGTGTTTTGTTAGATGATTGCTGTTTGATGTATTTTAGCGAGATGTTTGGGCTTGATTTGTTGATGGAATGGGGGGATGAATATATTTATCTCCGCTTCGAGAAACTTTTGAGTGTCTTTTTTTGGTGATTTTTTGAGATGTCTGTGAGGTTAGAGTGTGTGTGGGGGGTGTCGTGCGGAGTTTGTGGTATAGGTATAGTGAGTAGGGATCGGATTGTACTCTTACTTCATCCCGGAAGGTAACTCTTAGAACTTCCCTCAGCATGATTTTTTCGTTCTGTCCCCATTCGCAGGAGTTGAGTTGATTAGCATTAGATCTATCGTGCCCAGATAGTCTGATATACTTGGCGCCAAGGTATATATATGCGACGACTGACATCTTCGGTAGATGGAGATTCAGACACCGCAGGCTTTGATTCCTATTACAATGATATTCCACTCAAAATCTGTTGCTTACAATGACACAGATTTATGAAACGTTCTTGATTAGAGATGCATCAATGTTGAAAGGTCCTTACTCAATAGGGAGAATATAAAAGTGGGGTCTCGGATATAAGTACAAAAGACGGGGGTTCGCTCGGTGTACGTGATGTTGCGGAAATGAGTTTCTTGGATGAGTAAACAGACGATGGAATTTGACGCGCGTTATGTCAATTGAAAAGGTTTGGTAAGGGATCTTTGTTATATTAAGAGGAAGAAGGTTCTTTGGAAAAGTTGAAAAAGAGAATCGTGTTTCCTACTTATATTGACGAGTAAAAATCTTCAATTCAGGAGTTTAACATGGCGAGACCGGTGGGATTGCTGTAAGTTTCTCAAGCCAGTATTGAAACTTGAGCTGATATATATGAAGGGAGCAGATGTCTACGGCGAGACATGATTTAGGGTATTATCATTCTGTTGGCGCCACTGCTCGATACAGCACCCCCACTTCCACTTCCAACCTTCGTCGACAAATCCAAGCAGCACTCACGAAAGTGATTCTTCAATACCCAGCACTCTGTCACGGGATCATCAACGAAGGCGCTCTCAAGCCGTCCTTCAAGCTCGTTGAGTCGATTGACCTCGACCGCTGTATCGAGTGGATCACCGTCACCTCAGACCGCGAGAGCAAACTCGCAGAAACATTGGAGCAAGCACATAGCACCCGCTTCTCAGACATAGAAGTCCATCCACCATGGAAACTCCTCATCATAACCCCCGAAACCAAGCCTTCAACTTTCGACGCAGCATTCATATTCCACCACGCCCTCGGCGATGGAATGAGCGGCAAACTCTTCCACGGCTCCTTCGCCTCCGCTTTAAACACCCCCTCTTCCTCCCCTCCAGAGCTGCTCGTCCCTATTCCATCGTCAACCAAACTTCCTCCCCCCATCGAAGCCCTCATCCCCTTCACAGTAAGCTACCGCTACCTCCTTCTCCAAATCTGGGAGTCCATCAGACCAGCCTGGTTCTTCCCGTCGCTGCAACCGTGGACCAGCACGCCTATCTCGGCGACGAACCTCGCGCGTGGGGAATCAAGAATGACATTCTTCGCCCTCCCAGCGGATTTAATGAAAGTTGTTTTGTCTGAATGTCGGGAAAATGGTACGACGCTCACGGGTCTCCTGCATGCCCTGGCCCTCCTCTCGTTCACCAATCATGTGCCGCAAGGAAGCTCGTTCACGTCTACAACGCCGTACTCGCTCCGCCATCTCACAGGCACGAAAGACGATATGGTCGTTCAAGTCTCCGCGTTATCTACCACTTACCCGACTTCCCTCGTTACCAGCCTGCGCGCGTCGTCAAATCTGACGGAGGAGATCTGGAGTCTCGCGCGCGACTTCAAGAAGAACATGGCGGTTGAACTGGCGAGGGCGCCGCGCGATGTGGTGCTGGGATTGCTGCCGTATATCAGTGATATGCATGAGTTCTTCAGGTCGAAGATTGGGAAGGGACGGGAGAGTACGTTTGAGGTTAGTAATGTTGGCGTGCTCGCTCCTCCAGCGTCGGGAGATTGGAACGTCGAACGCGTCTTGTTTTCGCAGGTAAGTACATATCTCTGGTTTCTTGTTTGAGTGTTACTGATTTGATTTAGTCGGGAATGGGCACGGGTGCGTTGGTAGGCATCAACGTAGCTAGTGTGGTGGGCGGGGAGTTGGTTGTTAGTTTGACTTGGTTGGAGGGGGATGTGGATAGCGCTTTAGTGGAGAGGGTCAGGGATGATTTGAGGTACGGGTTGAGATGTGTGGGTGAGGGGAGGGATGTTGTGAGGGAGAGATAGGTTTGGATGTAGAATGAAGAGAAGGTGGTGGTGGAGGTAATATAATGGTTTTGTGGGTGTAGATAAAGGAGATTGGGGTGGTTTGAATATAGATCCGAGTAGTAGTTAGATAAAATAGATCCTTAAGAAGTAATGAAGTGTCGGCACATGCTCTCAAAGATATTTCCGTACTAATTTTCTATCATCTGATCGAACTTCCCCTGCCTCCACAACCATGGCGCAAAGGTCAATATATCCACGTCAAAATAACCCATGACTTCAAACATCGACAACCACGATAGAAATTTGATTGGGTTTTTGAGTTATCAATTCAGAAACACTCGTATTTCGAGAAATCGTCCTAGAAGGTTTGTAAGGCCAACTTTAAGTATACTACCCTTTCTACGGTTTGAATTTATGAATTTCGACGTCGCCTTCAAATTAACGCACAAAAGATTTCAGCAGCAAGTTACAATTCGGCGACAGCGAGCACACTTCCCTTTCTTCACATCATAAAGTTCTTTCCTTCGAAATATAAATCCTTGATTTCAGTGGGAATTAATCTGTAAAATCTGCAATGTTCACACGGTATACCATGTCAAGTACGATGCCCCGAGGAACATTGCCTTAGGTTGCTTTCTATTCGTACTGCATGGGCTGCCTGTCCAAGGGATAATGTTTGTTTGTTCTTCAACTAAGTTGTACTAGTGAATAAGGAAGTAATCGATTTAGGAATCGATGAAGGAGTTCCAATTTCAGCTTGCATTCTCTATTTGGAAACACTTTATTTGTACTGCTAATTGCCGAGGATAAAAGAAGTTACTTATTAATAAAGCCCACTAAAATATTTGTCATAAAACAATTTACCATCTGCTTAAATATCTCACAGGTTTTTATTCGCACGAAGAAGTACGAAACACTAAATCAAGTCAATCTTCATGGCTCTATTAAATTGTCCTCAGCAGTTTTTATTGGTGAGTGTTCACATAAAGCACCGACTTCCACCGTAGCTCATTGGTATTCAAACTGGAAGATGCCACTAGTGGATGATACTTACCTTTCACTCTCTGTCTTTGGGTTCTTTCGTAGATCAACCTACAAGTTCCCGATATTGCTGTACGTTGGAATACGAAGCATGCACCACTCGAGGAACCGGGGATCTGAGTTCCCGATATTGCTGACTACAAAATTAAATTAAGTGGTATTAATCTTTCGTATATTCGCAGATATGGACGGGAATTACGCAGGGTTGTGGTTAGAGTATTTCATTCGGTGGTAAATTGGTTTTCGGTGACAATCTCAAAATGTGGATCAGCACTCTCGTTTCTGAAGTCACCAAGTGAATCAGCCGCGCTAGGGCAAATTCACTACCACTTCCATCCACCGTCTTGGGAGGTGGGAAAAAGCAACCAGAATTAGCCAAAGCGATTCACAATGAGTTCGTAATACTCTGTCTGTCGGCGATACTCATGGTCATAAGAAAGAGTTCTGTTATATAACAAGCGTCTTTACTCCAAGAGAATAAACTCCAACCGGGCGATATAAGTAGAGAAGAAGATTAATGTGAACAGTCTAGCGTGTAACACAGAACTCTTCGGACAACTTTACTTGTAAAACTTCATTATAAATAAGTGAGATATAGTTTCACATATTTCTCTGTTATATTAAATCACGACCAGAGTATCAAAACAAGGTGTAAAGCGACTATCAAAATCTTTCCCTAACACACCCACGTCAAAAACCCCTCTCAAATTTCTTCGTTATTCTCTTCCTTTATCACCCCTTCAAATTACCACAAGTTCAATCTAGAGCAATCACCTTATAGAAGAAAAAAGCTAGCTTAGAATCGTTACGATGATAGATGTACACGAAATCATGATACGAGGAGGAGATCCCTGAAAAGGTTACACGAAGTAATAGGCCCGATTTTGTCAGTGTTCTTGGTAATAAATTGCCATCTACGGTAGTAATGAGAAGCGAGTTATATAAGGATAGAGAAGAGGGTGTCGTGGTAATATTCGGCAGTGACACAACTTTCGGTGACAGAAGGGTTCTTCACTTGAGACTTTTTGAGACAAAGTAGGTGGGTAACGAGATACTTTACATGACTTAAGTCTGCCGTGTTTGGAATTAGTAGGTCTAGTAGGAGAGATGACGTAGAGAAGGGCTTGCGATTATATGACCAAGCAAGTATTCTTTAAAATTTATGTATTTAGAAATTCGAAATTATGGTAGTGTTGAAGGTGTTATAAGAGCATCTTTCTGTATATTGGTAGACTAGAGTAGAGCAATATATCTGAACAGAAGAAACTTCCGAGGGGTTTGTAAAGTGCAGAAAGCAATCTGAGATTGTGTATTTGTGAAAATTCATAATACAAAACCCAAAAGTCTCTTTTGACGAAAATTCCTTTTCCCTCTCATCGCAAAGACAATGGCAGATTAAAATAAAGACATCAAAACTAGTTTCCCAGTACCAGTATTGAAAACATTCAATCCCAGTCCGCTTATTCAGTCTTCTCTTATACAAATAATGCCTTGGATCTCCTTGCCTTAGTTTCAGGCAAAACACTCTCGCATTTATCAACTCCACCGACTGGCGTGAGGATGTTAAGGGCGGCTCAGAAACATGGTCTTAAGGTTTCACATAGGATTTCTTATCAAGTGCTATTACTAGAAAATTCTACTATACGACAAATGGGAAAAAACGAGACGAATAAGAAACGGATGATGCGCTAAGTTTCGGTACTGAATTAAATTTTGGTGACAATATCCATCGATGGACTATTCACCTCTTTTACCCCTCTCCTCAACACTGCTACAATAACTCACTCTAGATTCTAAGTTTTAGAACACTTTCCATCATCCTAAGACGCCTTGTTGTTCGACACAGATAGGTCCAAAGCGGAGAGCTGGCCAGTAAGCACTAGACTTTCGTTTGGCCGCAGATCAACAATCGAAAGAAGTTGTAAATACAGTGCTTTGTGTGTTTGGAAGGAGGACCTTATCCTATTCGTTGAGATTGTAGGGATAGAGAGGAGTAATATTTGTTTCAAAGGGGATATAAGTTGAGTGATATTATAGTTGTAGCATAGTAGCAGTCCATACAATACTAAATCTCGAGAAAAGTGAAAATACACTCGGCAAAGTTGAACACTACATCCACAAAGAATATAGTCACTTAAAACATTTAAATTAACCCCCAACAACAACAACAACAACAATCGTCCACCAACAAGCATCAAATCATACATCCCATAGCTTCTTGTGAGTGTATACCTCATGAGTAAGCATTCTCAAAAATATCACACCAGCAAGCGAGGCTCAAATATCGCACCTTCGTCCTTTGCTTCCTGTTTCGTTTTAAATTATTCGACATTATTTCTATACATCGCATCCATATTGTTTCGATTATCAATTCTATTAATTTTACATATTCTATTTCAGGGCCTGTTTATGCACAATAATATGCCACCAAATTATATAATGGGATTCTCGACGTTTGGTAGGGTTTAATAAGAGGCCTAACCTCTTACGATGTAGTTAAAAGCCACAACCTGGCCGTAGAGACAGACCCTCCACACCTAAAAGTACCCCCTAAATGCCCTAAAAAATAAGAGCCTATAGAGCCTATAGAGCGTATAATAAGGCGACTAGAAGCGGTAAGGGACCTTAATATTTAGCTAAGTAGTATATAAATATTAGAGAAATAAAAAGAGTTAATTATAAGAAGTTAAGTAATATAGATAGATTTTGTCGCGGTTTTGTTATAGTTTTGTCGTAGTTTTGTTGTGGTTTTGTGTAATAATATAGAAACAAAGTGGTCCTAACCACCTTTTCACTCTTCCTATACAAATTAGACAATCTATTCTCTACTCATTATCTTTTATAGGGAACACTACTGAGGTAGAGTGGGTTGACCCTGCTTAGCTCTAAAGCTAAGGGGACGGCCAAAAACTACGTCGAAAACAGTAAAGGCTCTGTTTTTAGGTCGGCAAGGCACCCTGGCAGTACAAACACATATTATATAATCTTGACCATATTATGGTGAATGAACAGGCCCTCAATCTCTTGGGTTTATACACCCACCTAAACCCTCCTCAACATCCATCTAACACCTTCAGAGCATGTTTCTACTACCACCTCTCGGTTGCCAAAATCTCGAAATAACAAGATCTTCTACGCCATGTTTTCGATGACAAAATCCATTTCGGTGACAATATCCCCGGTCCGTTTTCCCTGTTTTCTTTCTGATATTCACACTCCGGTCGGAGATTCCCAACTTATCATCCTAGAATTTTATCTTACTTAAAAAGACATACAAGAGCGAGGAGCTGGGAAGAGTTCATAGAGCGCTTGTGTGGCATGCATCTATTTCGGGCTATACAGTGGTTTTTAGTAATGTCGTTAGGAATCGTATTAAGTAGAGTTGTTTCCTGAATTTAGGGGGCTTGCTGGTGAGAGTTTAAAAGAGAGCGTTGGTTTTTGGGGAATAGGTATAGCGAGGAGTGTTTCGTAATAAATTAAAAGCACATTCAAATCGCCTACTTCCTTACATGATTTCAAAAGCTCTACAACGAGTGAATACAAAATCCCAGAACTTCAAGCACAGTCACCTTGGCTCAAATTATTGCACTCAGCAATATAAAAGCAAGCTTAATCTCATCCTCAAATCAGTAATCGAATAGCCGTGCGATTTCACCCCAACTGTTCATCTGGCAGTTGGTCTGCCGTGTCGAGTAAACATTTAAATACAGCTCCTAATTTGACAATCATCTCTAGTATCTAGATTACTCATTACCAACCTTAAGCTGAAAGTTTATAGTGAAGCAACAGTGCTCAAATTTTCGGTGACGAATATCGTTTCGGTGACAGTATTACTTTCGGCAGCAAAATCACAACCTCCATCAAACATTCGAGATTAACATCTTAACCAGATAGTCACATTTTGAGTCTCCCAATTATTCTTCTTGGCCATTTACCCCCAGTCTTCATATTTCCTATCCCGGGAATTCCTATACTTAGAGCGCATTTGTCCAGTCTTTCAAGAGATTGGGAATTGAGGTGCAAATATTACGCTAACAACGTGGCTGAAGTAGAGACTCCTTCCTAGATACATCACATAGCGTGTAATAGTATTTAACTCGGGAAAAAAAATATTGAATCGGAAGATTATCAGATTTGTTACATAATTCTAATGCTTAAAGATTATAATTCCACTTGTTCCTAATTTTAATAATATCCGCTAAACACTACTCAATAGTCTCTGACAAACTCACGCCGGGAAACCTGATAGTTAAACTCTTGTAGTCTAAACAATAAACTCAACTAGATTGAAGAACGGGATTTAATTCACAGAAGAGGAATTGGCTGTAAGGAAAGAAGACTTGAAGGATTGGTAGTGGTGTTTGGTGAGGAGTTTGGAAAGGGGGTTTCTTTTATTTGCTTAACATGTTGGAATAAGTTGGGTTGTAGTTTGAAACAGCAAACTGAATTCAAGCTATCTACTTTATAACACGGTATCATAAACCCTACAAAGAGCGATACATAGCCTAAGACCTCCTGAGTTCACTCATTTTAGCTAACAATGTTATACATCTCAGTATAAAAAAGGCTCAATTCGCTCCTTAATACAGAAGCCAGAGATAACTACGATTGGCTATCGAGGTACATACTAAGTACAATATTACCCACGTTCACAAAGAACAGTAGACATGGAAATGAATCGCCACAATCCGATTTATAAAATTTACGCCCAGTCGTCGCATGACCAACAACTACATAAGCACAGCAGCACGTAGAGCAATCAAGTGATAGGAGTTTTATGTTGATGGCCGTCTAACCTCTTTGTTCCTACTTCTAAGTCAAATAGTGCATAGTGAAACATGTTTTTATCTTTTAACTAAAGTTCTTAGCAGCAAAACCAGTTTCGGTGACAACATCACTTTCGGCAAAACCATGCACCATCAACACTTCACCAACACTTTCATAGCTCATGGCGAAGGACTAATATTCACAATTCAAATCAGTAACCCGCTCATATGATGTAGATACAATACCAGACCCTACGTGACCTTCCGAAAGGCAATCAATCCACCGTGTAGTTTCTTCGTTATATTGTCATTCCATACACAGCAGACAGGTGTGTTATATATACTCTCCTTTCATTGAATCCTTTGAAAGTGAATTTGGCGAACATAGTCTACGAATGAATAAAAACTCATATTCCCGTAATCCAGGTGTCAATACCAGACCAAAAAGTTGAGGGTTTCCCCCAATTTGGGCTCCTAGTTCTACATTCGAAGTTCTTGAAGTCGAATTAATATAACCAATTACCAAAAATGAAGTGTTCTTTAGGTGGAGGTGGTTTCTGTTGGTTGAGATTGATACTATGATAAAAATCTCAGCGTAAATCTGCGATCCAAAAACACACTCATCGCTCACGTGCACAAAAAAGTCACTGACATCATAAAGGGTATTCTATTCCATTCACATCAGACCATATTCGCTTACATAGCCTCCCAACCCGTCCATTCCCCTATCCCACCAAAAAGACCCCCACCCAGACTCTACAAATGCCCTCCGACAGCTCAAAGCTTAAGCTTCTCCTCCAACCACTTAGTAGCAAGATCCACCGCATCCCCAATACTCTCCGGCTTAGTACCCTGACCAGTACGCGTGGGTTCCTTACCACCAGACTTCCCACCAACAACCTCACTCACGGACGCAGCCCAACTCTCAGCGGTGACGCCCTTAGAAGCGTGTTCCGTACCAACGTAGACACCGTGGACGACTGTAGACTCGGCGGTGCTTCCACCGAAGAGGTAGACGGTCTTGTCCTTGGACTTGGTCTTGTAGTGGTTAAGGACGTCGTTGATGGCTTTTGGATTCGCAGAGATTGGAAGTTGACCAACGTAGATGTTGCTGTCTTTGTTTTCAGCAAAGTAGGCAGTGACGGTATCAAGAGCAGTTTTCGACTCGGCCTTTTGTTTCTTCTTTTGCTCATCAAGAACACTCTTCTGGACCTTGGTGAAGTGGGTCTTCAGTTCCTCCTTGGTTAATGTAGAGACTGTCAGATTGTTCAAGTCCTGTTGCATAGCCTTGACTTGCTGTTCCTTTTCAGGTCCATAAGGTAGCTGCTCCAGAGTAGAGATCTTCTTGCCAAACTCAATGGCCAATCGCTGAACTTCGTGCGCAGCGTCACCGGTGTATGCAATAATTCTTCGAATACCCTTAGCAATTCCGCTTTCCTCAACAATGACAAGATCCTTGATCAGTCCAGTCTGCTCAACGTGAGTACCACCGCAGAACTCTACGCTGACTTTTCGCCATTCCGGGTTCCGAGGTTCCGCAAGTAGAACTTCAACTTCAACTCCCACTGAAACCACACGAACGGGATTTGGATATGTCTCTCCGAAGACAGCACGAACTCCCTCAATTCCCTTCGCAGTCTCCAGATCCACATCTTGGTAATACACCCTGCAGTTTTGCTTGATGTATGAATTTGATGAATCTTCAATCTTCTTCAGCTCAGCATTGCTGACTTGTGTCTTATGCGAGAAATCAAAGCGTAATTTGTCCTGGTCAACTAAAGACCCTTTCTGGTTGATATCGTCGCCGAGATGTTCTCGTAATGCGTGATTTAGGATGTGTGTACCAGTATGGTTGTTACGGATGGGTTGTCTTCTTAACTCGTCGTACTCGCAGATGACTTCATCACCAGCTTTCAGCTGCCCGTATTCGAGGTAGCCATTGTGCACAATGTAACCACCGTAAGCTTGAACATCCAAGACCTTGAACTCGGCAACATCATCGATAATCATCTTTCCAGTATCGTAAACTTGACCACCTTGCTCCGCATAGAAGTTGGTCTTGTCTAATAAGATTCCAAAAGTCTTTTGTGCGGGTAAACCCTCTGTAGTTTTCAAGAAGTTCTCTCCATCGTAGATCAATTGGACCTTGCCGGTGGTGTCACCCTTCGAAAACTTGGCCTCGTCGTCCGGTCTTGGAACGTTAAGTTTGTCTAGCTCTGCGATCTGATGGACATCTAATTTCGCAAAAGTATGAGCGGCCTCTTTTACGTGCTTGCTGGCTTCTCGGGCTTTCTCTTGCGCAATCTTAATTTCCGCGTCATCAGTCTCGAGACCTCTCTCCTCAGCCATAATCTTTGTGAGATCCTCAGGAAATCCAAAGGTATCGTAAAGACGCCAAACATCTGCACCGGAGAGCTTCTTGGTATTTGATTTGATCGCTGAGGCGGCATATTTCTCAAACATCTTCTCTCCTCTATCCAGTGTTCTGGCAAACGCCTCTTCTTCTTCATCCAAAATCTCCTTGACATCGTCTTGCTTCTTAACAATCTCGGGGAACTGCTCGCCCATTTGTTCTACCAGAGCAGGAAGAATCTTGGAGAAAAAGGCACCGATCTCAGCATTGAAATATTTGCGAGCATATCGAGAGCCTCTTCGCAAAACACGTCGCACCACGTATCCTCTTCCTTCGTTGTTGGGAACACCTCCATCGGATATCGCAAAGGTTAGTAATCGAATGTGATCAGCGATGACACGGTATGCAGTATCGATCCCATCAACATCATCCTTTCCATATTTGTCGGTGTAATCCCGCGCACCAGTAACCTCCTTGATTTTCGCGAAGAGAGGTGAAAAGACGTCGGTATCATAATTTGACAGCTTGTCTTGGAGCACTGAAACCAGTCGCTCGTAGCCAAGACCGGTATCAATATGCTTCGCTGGTAGGGTTTTGAGTGATCGATCCTTCTGTCTATCGTATTGAATGAAAACGTTGTTCCAGATCTCCAAAACATTAGGATCATCCATATTAACCAGATGAGCAGCATTTCTGCCTCCACCTATTCTGTCATAATGAACTTCACTACAAGGTCCACAAGGTCCAGTTTCACCCATTTCCCAGAAGTTATCCTTCATGTTTCCTGGCAAGATATGATCCTCTGCAACTCCAACTTTCTTCCATAGTTCTTTGGCTTCCAAATCTGGCTCAAGACCAGAAGCCTCGTCTCCTTCGAAATAGGTTACGTAGAGACGATCGGGGTCGATACCATAAACTTTGGTGAGGAGTTCCCAGGACATTCCAATAGCACCCTCCTTAAAGTAATCTCCAAAAGACCAGTTCCCCAACATCTCAAAGAAAGTATGGTGGTAGCCGTCCTTTCCGACATCGTCAAGATCGTTGTGCTTTCCACCCGCTCGAATACACTGAGACCATCAGCACTGCTCCCACAATTCCCCGCCAAACATACCTTCTGAGAATCCACCGCCCTTTTCCATTGCGCCATATCATCAGTCTTGCCGACTGTTCCTAGGAAGATTGGCTTGAATTGGTTCATTCCAGCATTGGTGAAGAGGAGAGTCGGATCGCTGTGGGGGACAACTGAGGACGAGGGGACTGCATTTGACCATAATTAGCTACATTTTCCTTATTGACACAGCTTGCAAGAAGGTAGAAGCCATCAAGATATCAATAAAGCTGTAAACAGAATCTGCGAACTTCATTCCCAAAATTATCTCCCCCTCCAGAATTACCCCGCTACATACCGACAGTATGACCCTTTTTTTCAAAAAAGTCCAAAAAGGTCTTGCGCACCACGGGGGCGGTCCATTTCTGCGGATCCGACATCTTGAATGCGGAGTTCGAGAAGTTTCTGTACGCAGCGCTGTGCAGAGTGAAGTTTGTGTCGGGCCCGTTCAAAATTCCATGTGTTGTTCGCGTGGGCGCGGTGTCGGGACCATAGAAGAATCTCGCAGGATCTCGCAGGTGACTCAGTTGTCCCAAGCGCAAAGGCAGACGGACACGACCTCGAACATTCATCCGACCCTCACTGCTTCGTCCCGCGACTGATAGGGCTTCGTACGCGATATCGGTGACTCGAACTGCGACCACGGAGAGGCTGAATTAATTGATCTGGTATCTGGGTTGCGCACGCCGCCTCGCATTGATAAGTGAGAGATAAGAAGGTGTTGTTGGAAGGGTGTAGGGAGCTTCGGCGGGAGAAGGTATGGGATGGATCGTGTGCAAGCGACAGGCAAAGTTAGGAAAAGGAAGGCAGAAACCACGGAAAATGAACGCCTTTCCAAGCGGTTGAGTCTGCTGAATCTGGGTATGTGTTCCTGTTCAATTACAGATTGCTTCAATGTTCTTGTAGCTGACAGGGTCGCAGAGCGCAATGGCCAGAAGCTCTATGTTCCTGTCGAACAGCCGAGCAGAAGCTCGACCCCAAAACTGAATGCGCCGACGCACCCACCAGCGGAGGATGTAATGCAACTAGATGATTCGAAGCATAAAGTATATATCTACGACCTCGACGCCGAATTATCAGACAGCGGCGAGTCTGACGACGGGAAATTGGTCTTTCTTCCTGACATTGAGAAACACCTCCGCGAATCCCGCATTCCGTCATCACTACTGGCCAGCGGCGATGGAGACCTCGCTGGGAATAGTCAACTCGTTCTCTACCGCGTACCTAGCTCTTTGACTGTTCCTGAAGAGCAGGACAGCGTGAGAAAGGCCATTATTGAGACAAGAGCAAGGGCGCGAGCCAAACAGGAGCAGAAACGTCAAGATGATGTACGCACCAGCCAAGCAGCTGCGAATGGAGTCGACGCCCGCGACTGGTATCAGACAATGGCCGATAGGAATGTCCCTCAAAGCCCAACTGATCAGGTAACCATGGGTGTACAACAAGAGATTTCCGACGAAGCACAAGAAGATTATGACGCAATGGATCTGGGTTAAGGAAAGGAAGGATTGGAAGATATCAAGGCTTGTATAACATTATAACCTCAATAAGTTGAAATTTAATAGTTCTGTCCCTCTTCTCTTTAATGGTCTCCTTGCTCGCTCAAACTCCTATGTATGCAGTCCCAGAATGTATACTCCATTATACTCCTCGCTTCCGATTACAAATTTCTAAGGTTTCTTAATTACACAATCAAACCACGCCTGCGGGTTTTGTTCTAAAGTCTGTATGGGTTGTTGCTGGCGCCGGTGTTGGTTGGTTCTATTCTGGTTGCTGGAGGAGGTCCTGGGGGAGGGCTATAATCTGGAGCAGCTTCGCCAGACTCGGCTGGTCGTCGTGTTGGCTCTGCTCTCCACTGCGTAGGGTCTACCTTTGTCGCGCCAACCGGTGGTTGATATGTTGGAGGCATGGCTGAGTTTGGATCATATACAGGTGGAGGGGCTCCGCCATATGGCTGCATTCCATACTGTTGTGGTGGGTATTGATGGTAGTATGCGGATGGGTTCTGGTATGCTGGATCGTATCGAGCTCGTTGCTGTCGGTTCAGAAGCCACTGCATACTGTTAGCCGTGTCCTTCAAATTTCCAAGCGGTTGTTGAGACGTACCCGATGGTATGCCAGAGGTTTGAGACCCTTATTAATTCTCTTTTTCGCATGCCAGTAACCCCCAACCATATACCCAAGAAACAAGAACAGGATACCGAAGAAGACGCTCCACCTTACAATATTTCCTTCCTAGCAAATTGTTAGCTTCACTTCCAGAATCTAGACTCATTCATTCTTACTCTAGTGTACCAGAAGCCGTGTCCATTGGTATAGAATACCTCCCCAGTATCAGGATCAACGAACGTATTCTGTCTTGCTTGAAGTGTTGCCATTGTAATTAAATCGTATCGAACGCTCCAGTCGTATCGTAAAAGTGAAGTTCCTCAATTCGAGTCTAGAAGTTCAATGATATTTTACAGATGAAGATGATCGTTCGAGAGGGAAGACAAGCTTTTGGATCCACAGGAACAATGCAACGGAAGTGGCGGTGCTGGAACGTTGATGTGCCGATTCGACCTCTTACAGCAGAATCTCGCGATCTGTTGGTTTCAGAACGTGTTAGGAGTTTGTCGCAAGTTTGGGCTCAGGTGATAGGCCGAGTTTGTTTTGCTTCCGTTTTCCGAAGATGCACAAGGAGACACGAAGGCTTCCAAAATGGAGGTTTGTGTTTCTGTGATGCTGTTTGTGTTTGGTGTAATGCGTCAATTAGGGAGAAGGAGTTCGTAGGTTCCGAAGTCAATATTTTGTTACTGTCGGCAAAGGGAGAGGAGCAACGTAGGAACCCCTGAAATACTCGTACTCCAGCCACAAATTTGCGAGTTTGGGGGCTGGGCGCTGCTGGTGAAAGGTGGCTGTAGATCACGTGGTGTCGACCTTCCTCAATTGGATTTCTTCATCTATGCCCAGTGTTCACCTCCTCAAATGCATTGCAAACCAACAAGACTAAACAGCCACACAGTGACTTGATATCTGATATAGCAGTTTCTTCGACATGATCTGAAAGCTTCAATAACCTAGAACCGAATCTTATGAGCGAGTATTTCTTAGGTACCCTAGTGGTCCAGCTATTTAGCCTAGGAGTATAATCCGCAGAATATGTCCTGTTTTCCTACGCACAAGATGCTGTAGGCTTTTACAACAGTCCTCGAGACGGCCGTGCTTATACTTGCCGGAGCCACTTTTCGAGATCTCACACACCTTATCACTCTGAGCTCATCACTTCGACCGTATCAACCTTTTCACGGCGTTGAAACCCAAGAAGCGTATCTCAATTGCGAGTACGGACCGTACAAGCTCACCAGGAGCCTATCGTTTGACTACGACGCGTTTCTATCTGATGAGATCTCGAAGTTCCTATCCTCTGGTCCCCAAATTGGCCACGAAGTAAAGAGAGACATGTATCTTACATATTACTCTAGAGCTAAGATCTCATCTTATCAATTGGCTCGTTGAATCGTTCTTCTCTTCTCTTCTCAAGCTCTTTGGACCTAGGACATGCTTCGATTCGCCATAGAGCGACTTACCAGATATGTAAATCATATTCAGGGAAGTCCTTGACAATTTCGGGTGGCGCGAGGCTGCTCGATGCACTTTTAATGAACTGGGCCAATACACTCTTGGTAGCCCTTGAACCTCGGACTCCAAAGCGCCGTATCGCCAGGTTGTAGGCTTTTCAGAGCCCCAGCCGGGTCTGCTTAATAGCAATACCTTCGGTCAAGTGTCACTAGATGAGGAAATCGCCTATCACTCGATGTTAGTAATAGTTTACTAGTGGATCACAGTGTGTGAGAGAGTTACATCGCTTTGTTCGAGAAGTACTATGTCCTGTAACCTGGCGCTCGCGAGCAAACGACATTCGACAACCTGCTTGTTTAAGTTGGCAGCCGCACTGAAGCCCATTTTTATCAGTGTCTAAAGCGAAGAAACTGCTGGGCCGATCACAAAGGTTCCAAAGGCGTCGATATCTAGGGCATATACCATTCGATGCCACTGGCTAGCACCCTACAGCTATAGCGAGCTCCGTTGTCTGTTCGGTTCTGAACCAATTTGTGTCGTTTTCAAGCGAGAATGATATATTTCGGGCAGATAGATTCTATGTGGGACTGCGAGCCCGGCTGCCACATACATTTTCTGTTGCGGTTAAGCCAGAATCAGTCACCATGGAATTTTGCTCGCCAGTCAGCGGGTCACTGCGGAGACAAGTTGTCTTCTCTGGAAACAAATCAAAATTGAGCGACGAAGTGGTGAAGAAAAGATCATTCTCAGCGACCGAAATAATTCTGCGAGATTTGTCGCAACAGAATACAAGGAGGTCATTTTGCTGTTCCGGCGTTGTGGCTGTTCCGACCCGGGACTCAATGTCGAAGGAAAACATCCGAACTCTCATTGATGTCATGTCCTATCTTGATTGAAGTCCTTCTTGGAGTTTAGCAATACAAAATCGAACCCAATCCAGCGTTTTTGTTGATTGAAAAGAATTGGTAAGGCTCGATGTCAGAGCAATTGCACAAGCCTCTCTCTTTAATGGACTGTGGCTGGCGTCTGACGTTTCTTACCAGAAATTCGTGTCTTTGATTACTATTCGTACAGTTCGGCTGCTCCAATGTCCCGCAATGCGCTAGACCCTGGACGTTCGGTGCTTCCGATGCAATTGGATTCAATTTCAGCCCTACAGATTCGTGTGGCCCAATCATGCTGCCACTGGGACACACTTGCCTCGGTTGCTAATCAACCTTTTCTTATGTAGGCCCAACCTTCATCGAGATCCATTGTCCTATGTCCGGTTTCAAGAATGATTTTCAAGATACACATGATATTCACATCCCAAAAGCTCCAGAAACCACCCGCAATTTCTTCCTAGAACTTCGATGAGCAAGATCTGGTATCTGCATAAACGCCGAAAGGCTGTGTGGGGTTACAGCCAGGGACTTCTTCGTCATCAATCCTCGGTTACACTTATTCATCTATTGCTTCACTTTCCTATTTATTAGAAACCCCACTCACGTCATGATGCTGTATACTGCCAGGGATAACTCCTGGTGTAGAGCATTATTTCGAAGTTATGGAGAGCAGCTTACGTTCAAATAAACGAGAACGGGTTCCTGTGTCTTGTACTGTACGTCAATTCGTGTATATTTGAAGATGTACCATGGTCCAACCATATACATGTGTTGTTACTAACAAGACTAGGAGTGCCATCGGAGGAAGAAGAAATGCAACCGCTTACAGCCTTGCAATGATTGCATCGGACGTGGCGTAGCGGCACAATGTGTATATGTGCAGCCGACCCAGCCTATGTAAGTAGCGCATCTCCTATCTCATTTGTCGTGCGTATTGTGGCTAATCAATCTCCAATAATAAGAGATCAGAATTATGGGGTTTCACAAGCCGCACGAAGTGCCGCCACTGGGCGCAGGTCCATTACTGGTTCCCAAGCCATACCCATCACAAGAGAGTCAATTTTGGAACTGTCAGGTCCAATGTCTGGCGATTTCAGTGCAGAAGAGTACTCATATGAAGCTTCTAATATAGAACCACCATCCGTGCACTATTCGGACTTGTCCCTTGGTTTTGATTCGCTTCCCGCTCATACCGATCTTTCTCGCACACACGTCTCAGGATCAAGCCCTCCACTTGATTTCCCAGGAGAGAGAAGCGAACAAAGACTCGGTCTTCCTACGGTAACCACGGGAGTGTTATCCAATCAGCTGATTCACGTTCCTGGTGGCGTGGACCAGTTCGTTTCCTTTCCCAACACTCCAGATGCGCCTATGCCTGCAAAACTTCTCATTCAGTACTGTGAGTTTTCACATGCACTACCCGCCGATTTTGCTAATGCTACTAGACATAACTCGCCTAGCACCATGGATGTCTTATCTTGACGACACTTTGACTCCTACTTCACCCCGTCTCGGGTGGCTGCAGTTCGCCGTCAACCACTCCCCTTTATTCCACGCCACACTCCTCACCTCCGCAGTTCATCTCAACCGAAGAAAGAAGCTTAAAGATCCATCTGCACTTCTATTCTACAAGGTAGAAACTATTCGCCACGCAAACGAGATGATGAGTTACGGGAGTATCGAAGAGAAAGCAAGTGATGAGATGATTATCACAGCATTGTGTCTTTTGTATTTTGATATTAATGGAGAGGTTAGGGTTGAAGAGTACATGGTTCATTTAAGGGGCATTGAGAAGATGCTGGCTGTTAGAGGTGGCATAGAAAATTTGGGCATGAGGGGTATTGTCAAAAATTGGTTGAAAGTTTGTCATGGACCATGGAGTCCTGGTTTTGTTGAAGGTGGATTTTGAGATCGGCCCTAAGACTCCTGGGCTGTTTCTCTAGAGACGTTTCTTTGCTTATAGCTGATCATCATGCTAGTATGATCTATTATAGCTCTAACATTCGTTTAATTCTATCAAATTATTAAGAGAACACCTATTTATAGTGCCCTAATATCAGCCTTTCCGTGACAGCGGATCACAAAACTTTCCAAGACCTGTCTCCAAATATTCCAAACAAATCAACTATGCCAGTTCACAACCAAACTCTCAACTTTCAACCAGCACTCAAACTTCTACCACACCCCCATGAAATTAAGCGAACATATCTCCCGACCTGCATATGCAATGGACATCCTGCCTGCATTTACCCAAGGTCCTGATTACCATTCCCCACGATCTCCGAGCCACGATCAGTAATCATAAGCCGCTCAGTGACATCGGACGTCGGGACTAAATCCGATTTATCGGGCACAACAGGAGGAACTTTCATTGTCCGACACACCGTGCAAATTAAGCGAGGATCGCAATAGGAGACGGCTGCGCTCGCTTAGGTCGGCGTTATGCTGGATGCATGTATAAGAGATGATTAAGTACGTGTGCAACAATACGCCATGAGCTGTTTCTGGCTGCGATTATTGGGTTGGGGATGTCTTTCACGTATGTTGAAATGAGGTGAAGTATATAAATGAGCTCGAAACTCTTCTGTGCTTTCTCTATTCCAAATCACCATCTCTCATCTCAAACCCCAAAACCATGGCACCACCACCAAGCACAGCAATAGTTCTCATAGACCCATACAACGATTTCCTCCATCCCTCCGGGAAACTCACAGCCGCCCTCGCGGACTCACTTGCGAGCAATGATGCCATCAAGCATTTGCAGACACTTGTGAAATACGCTCACGCGAATCAGATTCCCATCTTCTATGGGCTGCATCAACAGGTCAAACCTGGGTTCTTGGCTGGCTGGTATGTGATATCTTTTGTTTTGTGATGTAGTGGGTGGGGCGAAGGGGTATTACTGATAGTGAATAGGGCACATCCAACAGCAAACCAGCTAGCGCAGAAGACGAATGTTGCGTTTGAGGAGGGGGCTTGGGGAGCTAAGATTTATGAGGGGTTGGAACCTGATGTTGTTGGGAATGGGGATGTGGTTGTTAGTAAACACGTAAGTCCTCCTTCCACCTCACTAGCTCCTTAAATTCTTTAAACTCGAGGAATGACATGCCAAATAGTGGTGTTCAAGTTCCTTCCAAAACACCGACCTCCACTACCAGCTCGGCCAGCGAGAAATCAAGAATCTCGTCTTCGCGGGGTTGACTGCGAATACCTGTATGGAAAGTACGGCTAGATATGCATATGAGCTGTGAGTATTCCTTGTCTTGCTCTGGGATTGGATTTCAAGCTGATGTGCTCAGGGGATATAATATTACGATGTTGAAAGATGCTACGGCAGGTTGGACTGTTGAGGCCACTACTGCGGCTACGGATTTGATTTGGCCACTATTTGCGAACCAGGTTTTGACTGTTGATGGATGGATTGAGAGTTTGAAGGGGAATTGAGGATTTTTTGGGCGAGGAGAATGATTTTACTACATAAATATTCTTATTCCCTTTCTCATCTTCGTGTGGTGGAAGCATTTATATAAGAAAATTTAAAATACTTTTATGCAAGCTAAAAGTGCGCCTGTATCCTACAGATCATCGTCTTAAAAATGATAGACTCAACTGTCCATGGAATCAAACATGAAGAAACCCAGCCTTTTGTACCCCAAAACCACAAATATTTACACCCCATAACCCTCTCGTTCAATAATTTCACAATTAACAACTCATCAATAACGTCATACAAAAATCCAAATGTCAAGACCGTCCGAAACCCAGGGTGTTTCGCACTAAGCCCTGTAACAAAACAAGCTTTGAGCCGCGGAGATCATTATGCGAGAAAATCGATTCCTTGACACGCTTTGATGTAGATCACCGACGAGGGTTAGATCACGTTTGCTTGAGTGTTTAGAGTTTTCTTGGACCCTGATGATGTTGTGTTGGACAGAAATGGGATGAGGTCTGTGGTCAAGTGCTAAGCGAGGATTTGGAGGGCAGATGGAGGAGAAAGATAATTGTGAAACAGCGACATGGAAGGTTTTTTTGTGTAGATCGGTTTCTCTGGATTTTTTTTAGTTTCTGTAAGAATTTGTTTAATTACTGCAGCGAGATATCAATCTTGAATTCAACAATCGCCACAGCGGTTTCATGTGAGATAGGCACAACATTAGAACTAGCATTTTTGTTGTGTAATACATGTTCCGCCACCCAATATTATCGTACTCAGTCAACGTTCTTCTGACGTAAACACGGGTAGATAGGTCTCCTGCTTTTCCAGGAATAAAAGTACAATAACCCGATGCAATCCAAACTCTTAGCGCCGAGCCGCGCCAGTGCTGCATTAAAACATCAAGAAGAATTGGCGAGACATGACGAGACTAAGTGTTCAAGCAACAAAATAAGATTTTGGCTTCTGTTATTGTTATGGGCCGCAATAGAGAATATGGGAAGATTTTGTATTTGGTTTTCCTGTCCTGGTGATAACCTTTGAAACAGCCATTTCTAAATAACTTTTTGAAACTCCAAACTCCTCGCTTTATTTTTCCAACCCTCTAAACAGTGTGATTTTGACAAGAAGTTATCCACGCTCAACCCTTCTTCTGAATATCTTCAACAATGCACTTCAACTCTAACCATCTCGCAAACTTGACTGATGGAACATCCACAGCCCGCCAAAAGACATCTGCCACCCAAACAATGATAGGCAGGTAGATCCATAGACCAGCAGCCCAGAAAAGATGTCGGCTCATGGTCGTCGATTTTCCAATCCAGGAGTCGAGATAGGGTACCACTTTCGGCTCCAGAAAAGCTAAACACAAGTTGTGCGTCAGATACAGTGCGTATGAGATATTTGCCAGGTATTGTGCAATGCTCGTGTTGAAAATGTTTTGTAGAAATTTGAGTTGTGTGCAAGCAATAACTATCTGAAATCCTGCGAGGCAAAACCAGATTTTTTGGCCTTCATATGGGGAAGGCGTGTGCGCGTTGAGAAATCTGATACCCCATTGGTCTCCAGGACGGTTGTTCGTCCATGATGCGATGTAAAATCCGCTGATAACGTTCAGAATCCAGAAGGCTTTGATAGCCTTTTCGCGAAGCAGCGAGCGTGACGAATAATTAGAAATGTTCTCGAAGGTGTATTTTGGAAGTGATGTTGGGCTACTAGTGGGGGAGGAAGAGCCATGACCTTCTCGCAGGATAACTACCTCAGAAATTAACACTCCGCCGATGAATTCGACTGTGTATAGTTGGCCACCATAAAAACAGAGTATCATAACTACCGCTAATAAAGCTAATCGTGCGTTGATTTGACAGCGGGACAATCCAACAAGTGTGATGAAAAGGATCATGGACTGGGCAAACTCAACGGGAATAGTCCAAAGTGCTGGATTGTATTTCGGTGCTGGATATGATAAGTTGTTGACTCCCCAAGATGCTTTGAGCAGTTCCCAGCAAGTGTAGCACCAATTCTGCAATTGCGAGAAGAGACTGTTGGACCTTGCAGCATATCTAACATCGGAGATACCTGAATACACAGCTAGCGCCATGATGAAAAGGGTGACAATGGATGGCAGGAATAGGCGTAAAGCGCGACGGAAGACTGATGAGGATATCGTGGTGATCAGCGATGCGTATTGTTGTGAGTGTATTTGCATAATTGGCTTGTAGGCTAGAACAAAGCCTGATATGATGAAGAATATATGAACCATTGGCCGGGCGGAATATAGAACTCGAATGAATGGTAGTTGTAGGGGTGAAGAAGCCGCTCCACTTTCGTAAAGACCATACGGCTCGGTATACCATCCAAGATTTTCTTCAGTATAGTGACCCATCAACACGATGAATGAAGCCACTCCTCTGAGACCATCTAAATAAGAGGTAGCGTGCAGTCGATGTTGTCTTGTAGAGAGTGGTCGCAACCTGCGTTGAACAAAACTAGGCAGTAAACCGAACATTGCTCTCTTGAATATCGTTGTGCCGGAGTTGAGAAATATGGTCCATTCGTTTTGAGCAGGGTCCTCTACATCCATATCTGACCATGAATTTCTCGATCTTTGATGGCCCTTGACCATAGTCGTGGTTCAGCAGTGCTGAGAATAACAATTGGATATGATTGACGGTCGAAGCAAAATATGGGTGAAGTTCGAGGTGAATAATAAAATAAGATGAATGTTCTATATCGTTGTTCAGAATGAGAAAAGAGGAATACAGCAAAGAATCTCTAGAAGGCACATATGAAAGACACAGTCGAAGTCTCAGACGTTGACGTTGAAGAAGGAAGATGATTTTTTGATTGTTCAACTGCGTAGCTTTTCTGAATTTGCAAGCTCATGCAAAGTTATCCAACCAGAAGTCCACAAGCAACAAGCGTAAACGCAACAACCGGAGTTGCAAGTGAATGTCTTAGTTGCAGCTGGGATGGATGATCTTCCTCGCTTAAGCTTGGATCATGGGCCTTCTGGCGCATGGTGGATCGATCAACAGTATCAGACAAGCCGCTAGCAAAGGCCAGAAGGTCTAAGAAATGCGGGCACCCGTGAGTTTTAAAGTCAATATTATTTCAAATGACAATCAAGTTGCCACGGTTGCGTTATAACAGCTGGAGGGGTATAAATGTATGAGATCGTTAAAGTCGAAATTGATATCCTACCTCTCTGATGCCAAGAACGGAGGACTCTAAATTATCGTGAATAGGTGAAACTTTGATATATTAATGGCGATTCGCAACATGGGATGACCTTCCTTTTCAATATTCAGACGCGTAGCAGTCGAGGGGTCGGCGTGAAAAGAAAAACTATAAAATCCACAGGCAATAAAGCATCATGGTCAGTAGTTCCATTAGAGCCACCATAACATAGTATTAATCGTCACAACTTATCCTTTGCAATTACAAAATCAGACTCCTCTGGACTATGGTCTTCGACGTCGATTCTCAAACCGGTACGGCATGGACGGCATTGGTGGGTGAAATCGACGAATTTCCGAGTGTGAATGTGCTTTGTGTTATTGGTTCAGGGACTAACATATACCAAGTGCATTCAAGTGGACGAGTTCTCGTCAAAGGTTCAACCCTTGATACAGTGATTTGTGCAGCTGTTGGAGTTTGAAATTTTGAAAGAGGTTGTGAGAAGCAATCGGGGCCGGTGTGGGTCGGACCGTCCCACTCGGACCGACCCCGAAGCCGAACGTTCCTCTTAATCTTCATGACTTCATCACCTAGATGAGCTTCGCCAAATTAAAGTATATCAGCTCCGCATGGATTATCTAACTCATTTCTATCCATTGCGTGGGGATATTGGTCAGACCTATGACGACAGACGGAGATGTGATTCCTAGGGCCAGTATATTATATACTGGCTGCGGGACAATATGCTGCTTCCTAGATATTCCAGACTTTGAAGACATTCTATTATCTACTGATCGTTCACTTTCACATAATTAACCCCGATTGATAAATCAAAAAAACACAAAATGGCGCCAACAGATCCTCATCAAGGTGGAGACCTTTTTGACATGGCCAAAGATGGAACCACGATTCCAGGAGACGCTGGAAAGATGAATCTCATACCATCAAAGCCCCGGCCTGGAGAAGGTGAAGGCGACGTCAATGCCAACGGTACTTCTCTCGCGGGTGCTGCCAGCAATCCAACAGATATTTCAAGAGGCGTGAAGGATATCGGTGCTACAGGAGAGGTCGAAACTGGTACCGGGTAAGCTTATTCTGAAATGTCAACCTGTAACTTTTTAGACTTCATGCTTACTGTCTTTTTCTCAAGTGACCAGCTTCCGGGCGCCGTCGAAAGCAAGCGCCTACACTATGGTGCCAACGATCCCGTAGCCAAGGGCCACGACAGAGTCGATAAACATCGTAAACAGCAGGAGAGCGATATTGAGAGATACGCTGCAGCGGGACCAGGAATGGACAGACAGCCTGGGGAAGAGAAATTGACTGATGCGGAGCTCGATAGAGCTACTAGTCAACGAGAGGCCAAGCAGACATAGTTTGCCTGTAATTCGAGAAATGTTATGATTATCAAAAATGGGATTGGTTCTGTGTTTCTTGACATTGAGGAAATCCTAATACGATTATTTTTTAACTTTGAGCGATGCTCCTTTTTATCGTCCACATAATTCCATGTCATATAACGCGGTTATGAGGTCTATTGGTAAAGATGCTTTTCTCTGTCTCAATTAGTGGAAGACAGCTTTCGACACCCGTCTTGCATATTGTTTATAAGTAAAATAAGTTTTTGATGTATTAATCCAGAAATGGTGTTGATTTTCTAAACAATATGAAAAAATATGTCGCTATAATTGTCGTTTCACCATATGATAGGTTGGCTGTTTAGGGATACCGCTTACTTCCATCACGACATTTATTAATGCGGGGAAACCACGACGTCTACAACACCTTCCAAACATCCACCACTTCATCGACTCCAATCAATTAAATTTAATACCTAGTTCATCAGTGTAACAAAACTACTTTACAATTACCACACAATGACAGACATGGACGAACAAACTCTTCGAGCTTCAAAACTCCCAATCAAACGAACAGCGACCCACATTTACTTCTACGGCTGGGAAGGCCAAGAGCCAGAAGTGTGTTTACAGCAATGGTACGAGTGTAAATTTACCGATGCGGCTCTGCTCGGATCACCCACTTTCAAAACGACGGAACAATATATGATGTACCGAAAAGCGATTCTCTTTCACGACCAAGCCACCGCCGAAAAGATTCTGGCTGCAGAAACTCCAGGTGAAGCGAAAGCATTGGGAAGACAAGCCGCGTATGTCGGATCTCTACTCTAAGAATGTCCCAAGTTGAGAGAAAAAATGCTGACAACATTCAGACCATTTGATAGACATAACTGGGAAACGTCATGTGACGGAGTAGTCGAGCAGGGAAACTTCCTCAAATTCAGTCAGAATCCGGAACTCAAAGATATTCTTCTAGGCACTGGCGATAAAATTTTGGTAGAAGCCAGCCCGACTGATAGGATATGGGGTATTGGTTTTGACTCTGAGAATGCGGAGGGGAATGAGAAGGATTGGGGGGCGAATAAGCTGGGGAATGCTTTGATGAAGGTTCGAGAGCGATTAAGATCCATTAAGTGAGTAGAAAAAGGAAACGAAAGGGATGTGAAAGTAAGTGCAGCTTTGGTCTTTTGGGTCAGGTACTCATTTAAGAGGCTCCGGCTAAAACTCAGTGTCACTAAGATTGATCATGCTCGCGGTAAAGCGAATGAAACAATGACTTTTTACAACAACTAAATATTACTATGACCTCACTTATCTACAGACAACAATGAAAACATCTACGTTTCCTCGGCATAACATATGTCTTTGTGTCTCTCAAAGTGCTCACATGACGCAACTTCAGCAAAAGTCTTTGTGACTCGCCACTTCTTTGTCCAGATTTCCTTCTAGGAAGACCCTTCGCGTTGAAGAAAAATTGAAAACATGAGTTAACGCTCTATTAATAGGAGTTACCGAGGTCTTGCGTCTTTCTGAAAAAGAACAATATGACCTCGTTCCTAGGCGAATCATAGCGAACTATGCGAGAACAGCAAAAGCTGATTCTTTCTTAAACTTTACCATAGCCAGTATATACGGCTCTCTCATTATGAACGCCACACTCATAATCCCCCACCCACAAAGCACCCACACACATATATCCCCAACCTCAACAGCATCAAGTGAGTTCCCAAAACTCCAAACATGCCAGGCCTCCCCCACCAATACGCCGCCATCGGCTTCAACCCCAACTACATATCCCCACAATGGGATTTCAAAACCCGCAATCTCGCGCTCATAACCGAGCTCATCCGCTGCTACAAACACTCGTTACCGCACGCCGAATCCGCGGGCTTCGAAAAGTCGTTAAGGGAATTCAATCGGAAATGTCTGGAACGATATGAGATCGGACGGTTTAGCGAGCGGAATGTGGAGATTGAGTTGTTGGATTATGCGCTGGGGAGTATTTATAGAGTTAGAGGGTGTGGGAAATAGAAGTTTGGTTTCTCGAAGTGTTTTGGAGCTTTATATTTTGCTCTGATTAAGTGTAGGGCTTCTGTGGTTTGATCGCTATTGCACAGTGTGTAATGTAATGACAATCTCGAAGTCGTGTGAGCCATGTTGTTGATATCGCATGAAAGTTGATTTATCGCGGTAGAGTTCTATGAAAGCTGAAAGTTGTCTTACAAGTAGCATGAAGAACTTTTGAAAAGAGCGTTTTCATAGACTCTTAACACTAACAAACTACTCCTCTCTGTTCCGCGGGACTTGATGATAATTGGCGGATAGTAGGGATTACACATCTTTTCTAACTCCATATCAATGGAATCTTGGAATCTGCTTCTCTATTGAAGAACAATTTCTAGCGCGCTTAATTATATTGCTGGCGATCAAAACCCAAAAGGTCTTGACGGTGTAGTCTGCGGACTTTAGTCAAGAAAGCGAAATGAAAAATGGAGAATTCTGGATTAAAGATAGAATAGTGAATCTGATCTGTACGAAAAATCTACCCTAGCCAGAAAGCAACATCCCTCATTGAAATTTAAGAAGATTTAGAATCAATTCCTGAGTTGCTGATAATACTATAACTGTAGGTTCTATCGTTAAGCTACTCGACAAAATGATTTTCAAATTCATAAGCTATAAACCTTGACTCAAACCTTTAGCCTCAAGTTTACCATGTATCACTCTTATCTCTTCTCTTGCACCCTCAAAATATCCTAAAAACAATATCTTCACAAGGATTGAGATATTTAGACAGAACGATGCACCAACCTAAGAGAAAATCTTCGAATCTATGATTTTCAGTCAAATTGAAAGGAATCAAAAGACTCAACGATTACTAATTGTATTTGAAACTTAATTTCAGATACTTCTTGCAGTTGATAGACTGTTGTCCTCGCCTAAATCGAATATCGAGAATCCAAAGATCATTAACAGAAGTCGTAAGATATGCGACACAAGAAATACGTCGTTTCTATGAGAGAGGATAGTTGTTCTTCATGAGTACATTTGTGTTTTCGAGGCACAAGTCACGATCAAGATTAAAAAACATATCCCTCAACACACCACCTCTCTTTGTCACCGCTCACCTCATCCACCCAGATCACCGCACCCGTCCAACCAAACAAAGAACTAGCACTCCATTAAAACCCCATCTCCTTCCCCTCACAACAAACCATCATTTCAAAAATCTCACATATCACCCAAAATGTCATCCCCAGCATCAAACCCCACAAAACGAGCCTCTCCGCCTTCTCCCACCTATCCACCACCCGCACCACCCTCAACCACCATCAAAACCCCGTCCACTCCCTCACCCTCAATCACCACCACCACCACCACCCCCCAAAAACCCTCATCTCTCCCCACAAAAACCCACCTATCGCGCGCAACCCGCGGTCTCCTCCTCCTCAGCATACTAGCAATCTGGTCATTTATATTCTACGAGCTCGGTCGGGGACAGGGATATGTCGAGGGGCGAGAAGCGTGGAATAGGTGGTGGAGGAGGGAGTATATGAGGAGGTAGGGGGGGTGTGTAGGATGTGTTGGGAAGGGTGGGTGGAATTGGAATGGTTTGTTCGATTAGTGAGGGGATGAAATGTAGTGGATGTAGTGGATGGACTTGGAGTAATGTTGTATATTACGTCGATTGTTTTGAGTCTAGAGATGAGTGCGTGGGTGAGTGAGACTGATTTTGTGCCCTGCGAGGCCGGGAAGTAGGGGTTGTTGATGGTATGATTATAACAGTTATTCATTGAATGATCTCAGTATTTTCAATTCTAACTACCTCAACACTTACCGTGAACCCACACCGCACATCACAAAACCCCTGAAGCAAAATATTTAAACTACTTATCATTTATATAGTATTGCCTAGCTACCATCCCCTCCCACGGACTGACATCATCCATGACTAGTCCCCTATCTGGTATATGCCATTTCACATGGGAACTATACACAAGCGCACTTTTCACCCGTGCTTCAAACTCCTCGCGCCTGGACTCCTCCTCATCCCATCGCCTTCCACCCCACAAGCAAGCCTTCCTTCTCAAAGTGTGATCAAAATATCCACATCTCCAGCCTTCACCACATATATACAAACCGTACCGTCCCCGGTTTAACCTTCAAATAATATACCACACAAAACCCAAACCGTAGAAAACGCCCTAACTTCTAAGCTCAACTACAATAGGAAAAAAGAGGATGCCGATATCGAATATGTACGTCGGTGATGGTAGGGGTATGTGACAGTTGTGTAAACGGGAACTTCATGATTGAATGGTGAAAAGATTCGTCGGTATCAGGCCAAGAAGAACTTATTAAAGACCACCGGTTTGTGGGTATGCACTGTTAGGAACCATTCCCGGAATCTGTCCGGGAGGGCGACCAGTCGCTTGAGGTCCGCCTCTTCCTCTTGGTCCGCCTCTCGCGCCACCTCGACCACGACCCCCGCCCCCAGGCAACATGAAGTCTGGATTCGAGTTGAGTAACATATCTTCTCTTACTTGTTGCGGTGCTGGTCGTCTATTTGGCATTGGAATTGGTGGTCCGTAGGTGGAATTCGGGTTCCATCGTGGATTTATTCCTCGCTGTGAGACTGAAGTGAAATTTGATCGATCAGATTCCGCTGGACTTCGTTGTCCGGAATGTATATCCTCGTAAGAGTAGTTTCCGTCTGCTCCACCAAGAAGTGGTTGAGACTGTGGTTGAGACTGTGGTGGTTGCACGCGTAGATTAGATGTATTGGCATACATTGGCCCTGGTGCTGCAGGAGCCATCACCGGTGCGGGTTGTGGTGGTGCTGGGTCTGCGAAACGAGGATCGACGTCTTCATAATAATTATCGGAGCTCTCTCGTCTGTTTGGCGCTGGCACAGGAGCAACAGCCGTGTTTGGAAGCTCAGCAGTTTGAGCTTTTGGGTTTAGAGGTGAGGATCGACCTCCTGGTCCTTGACCCCAAACTTGTCGTGGAGGAACATACCTGAGAAAATTAGTATTATAATTAAGATGTTATCGAGGTCACTTACTCATCTGTGCTGTATCTACTTGATTCGCTGACGATGGTCTGGCGGCCTTGTCCATCCCTCTGCTGCTGTAATTGTTGCTGCAAATTGACCATCCCAGCTACATCACCATCACTCTCACGAATTGGTCCAAAGTTACCGTATCCTCTTGGTGCATGAGATGGACTCCCAGTAGTGGCGTCCATTTCTACGGCTTGTCCGACTGGACCTGCATCGAATCCACCTGCAGGTAATGGTGGAGGTGATTCAGCACGTGCGACACTCGATCGATCCTCTTCTGGTCTAAAAGGTGTATAACCAACCGACTGCATTGGAATTGCTGCGCCGTATGTGCTGTTGTCAACGGGTTGCATAGGAATTGCCGCTGAATAGTTGTTATCTCCATAGCCTGGAGCTCTCGCTGGTGAAGGTCCTCTAAATCCTGCGGCAGGTGATTGATTTCTATTGTAATTCTGTCCGTTCTGAGGCGGTCCATATCCTGGTGGTGGTCCACCTCTTCCTCTGGGTGTATATCCTCCCCTTGGCTGTCCATAACCTCCTCTTGGAGGTCCTCCATATCCACCTCTTGGTTGGCCGTATCCACCTCTCCCATTTGGTGGATAACCTCCTCTACCCCTGTAGCCTCCTGGCGGCATACCTCTACCTCTCGAAGACTGATCTGAATATTGCCTGTTCAAAGATGGGTCTCTGCTTTGACTTCCCTGTCCATAAGCACCTGCTGGAACTGGCGCTGGCATTGGGTTTCCATATTCATCAAAATCCCTGTGAGGTCGCGGTGGACTTCCATTACCACTAGACGGAGGTGGACCATTCCCGTACCCAGTACCTGGCGTAATGTTTGCTGAAGATTCTATGGGGGATCTATTTGTCAATGGTACGCGCTCATCGCTTGTTCTTTCTGCTCCTGGTTTTGTCATCTCGAATGTTGCGAAAGCTGGTAATTTATCGACTCCAGGTCCTCCATTCACTAAAGTATTGCTTTCCGTGGTAGCAGGCGCGGCCGTATTTACTCCTCCTTGTCGATTGTAGAAATTCTCTCCATTCATTTCTGCGTTTTCCGCAATACGTCGCTTCCTCGCTTTCCGACTAACCAATGTACGGCGCATTGCACAGGACACTATTCCACTGGCTGCTATGAGAATCGTCGCGGCCAAAACGATATACGACCCCCATGCCATATGAGGCACGAATAGCAAGACATCGATGAGGAAGGAGAGTAGCGATAAGATCAGGGTCAAAATGCTCAAGATGAATATTCCGAGGAGGTATCGGGGCGAGTGCGAAGGAGCGTGGAAATGCGCCGATCCAGCAAGAATGAGCATAACCAGAGTGAAGAGGGCAGCGATGGGGTGCACGATTAATATCGCTGAAAGAGTAGTTCTGGTGGCGCTTGGCAAATCGAACGTCGCGGAATCAGAGTCTGTGAAAAGAGTATCTACAGTTCAATCAGTATTCGTTGCAAAATATAGTTGAAAACCAAGTGAGACGGGAGTCGAATTGTAAACGTCGTCCTCGCGCATCAAATCATCCACAATTCTACATACCGGTACTGTAACCAATCTCAATTGGACTACATCCTTCGCTCCGGCAGAAACCAAATACTCCAAAATCCACCCCTTTGAAAGATGCCAGCGGTATTTGTTTGATAATTGGCGTGGACAGCACCGAGACCAGAAGAAGGAGAAATGCCAGCAAGAGCAAAACCGTGAGAGGGGTCGCCGGTCGCAACATGGTGCTTCGGGTCAGGTCGAAGACCTAATCGTGTTGTATCGTAAAGAGTGAAGCCGTCGTCGTCAAGACGAGGCGGGTCGAAGATGAGCGACTCAGGCTCAAGGGGTGATGCGCGTATTAAGGCGACGGCATTGATGAGATGGCGATGTCGTAGCTCGCTCGAAATCGCGTGGATCTGTCCCTGCCTTCAATGGTGGAAGCGTCCGTCTGGGCTGCGAATGCAATTCAATTGGATTCGGAGAGGATGAGAGGTTGGGGGGTAGGCGGCCGGGGGGCTGAGCCACTTGGGATGCAACGGTATTAAGCTAGCGTCACAATCGAAAACCTGAATTGGATGGAAAAAGACCGCCAAATGAGAAGAAGAAGAAAATTAGTGTCGACTAGAGATCGCGTCGACGCCGTCAAAAGTTTGGTGTTTTGGATGGAAAGGAGACGCAGAGTTGGTCGAGATGCGTTGGCCTTGTTGTTCAGGCTTGACGGTCTTCATCTCCTTGCCCTGGACGTTTCGTCGCCGGTAAAAATGCGTCCGAAATGCAAATGCGCGATGTGAGGATCGTGGGTGGGGCAAATTGGACAAGATAAAGTTGCAGCAGGGCGAGAACGGGCGATAAGTTGAGCAACTATGTATCACCGTCTCTTCAGAATTACGATAATTGGCGATATTTGGGATGCATCAGAACATCAAAATAATTGTGTGTTGGATGATATGTCAAAATGGAATAGGTAATGGCGCGAGTTGGATTTGGATCTGGTCCTTCTCCTTCATCCCTTGGGCTCGTTGTCGCAAGCGAGTCGAAGCTCTGTCCATTGACTTGCATATGTACCAACTTCCAGTGCGCATATTCCAACAAAGCAAGAAGAAATCGAATAGATCAATAGCCTGACATCACCTCTTAGGTTCGCAGGCCTGTACGGAGTAAGTGAAATAAATGCATGGAAAACTTATTTTCACGAAGTCCTTTCATTTCTAAGTCTAGTATTCATACTCACGCAGGTACAGCTCAGTGGAGACGAAAGTCACGAAACGGATGTTTGCATGACCAGAGAGGATCGCAACAGTGGGTCAATACCTCTCGCATGATAATCTAGGATCCATACATAGGACTAGTAAGCAAGTCTATCTATAAATGTTTTGTTGACATTTCCAGCACGCTCCTTCTTGAAGACGAGTTCCATGATGATCTCGGGTAATTCCCAATGAAGGCTTTATCCTTGACACCACCCAATCATGTATTTGGACGAAATACCTCCTTGTTGGTACCGTGGTACCTTCGTATTTTGTGGTTACATGCAGCAATATCTCCTGCATGTGCTTCAAAAACGTCTAGAAACGGTTCCGCGTAATCGGTCAGTAAGATTACCTGGAGCTTGATCAGCAATTGAAATCCCTTTCGTTGATAGAGCTCACAGACAAGTCAATTTTCAGGTGAAGTCCATTGCCGGCTGCTCATACTTGAATTGTCTCATGGATGACGAAACTGAAGAGTAACTACACATGACCACGAATCAATTGCTGCTGGTATCCGAATATGAGACTTTGACAGTGGACAATTGAACGCGCTTACAAGCTAGTCTTTAACCTACAACCTGACAACTATTGAATAATTCAATATTTAGCTGTTCTATTATTTCAATTGAAATCTTTTTACCGTACACCAAGACCGGTCTTGTCTCCAATGACATTCCAAGTAGCAAAGCCTTTGGCCTTTGACAGTCCCCAGAATCCAGAAAGTAGGAGAATATTTCATTTGAATAGATTAATTCCAACAAAAACGATTAAATCTACGTGTAGTTGCATTCATATAGTGAAATATATTCGCTGAGTTCTATCACCCGTCTATTCCTACTCATTCGGCGAAATCAAGGAGCCTCGGGCCCGATCCCTCTGGGGTCGGAGATAAGCGGCCTTTTCATGACGCAGAGTATATTTATCGTTTCTTAAAGACCATCACTTTGCTCCTTGTTCGCCCCGCAAAGACCTGCGAAAGTCGATTCCTCGAAGCAATGGTAGCAGGTATCTGCTTGCGCAGCTTCGCATCTCAATGTAGAAACCAAAGTACACGCTCATTTAGCAGCTCCAGCAATCTCGTTCCCCTCCGTCGCAAAGCGCAATACCCGATTTCCAATCCATTACCTGTCACGACTAGACGCTCCGTACAAACACAACAATATGCTGCTTTTGCGCCTCCGTCTCCAGAATCTTTAGGAAAAGCTGCACCTCCGAAGCAGTACAAACGAACGATAAAATGGGGTAGACGTTTCTTAATACTTGGAGCGGTGGCGGGCACTCTGTATCTCATTGATACCCGACTCTACGCCGCCTCGATTACAAGATCACTTCGAACTTTCGGTCTGGGAATATTAGTGGCTATAGACTACAAGCTTAACTTCCGACCGAAACCTCTCACGGGCGGAACGATCACAGATCTTCACCGGCGCAATGCGGAAAGGATGTTTAATCTGTTGCATCAAAATGGAGGATTATATCTGAAGATTGGCCAGGCGATAGCTATGCAGAGTGCAGTTTTGCCTCCGGAATTTCAGAAGATGTTTGCTAGAATGTTTGATGATGCGCCGCAGAATGATTGGAATGATGTTGAAAGAGTTATAAGGGAGGACTTTGGGAGAAGTCCCGAGGAAGTCTTTGGAGTATCTTTCACAAACGAACCAGGATTTGGCGTAATGGAGAAGAAAGCTAGGGCCTCTGCTTCGGTCGCTCAGGTACATTGGGCTAGGTTATCGGATGGTAGAGAAGTGGCAATCAAAGTTCAGAAAAGAGAGATTGCGTCCCAAGTTGGCTGGGATCTATGGGCTTTCAGGGTCGTCATGAAGGTTTACACCAAATGGTTCGACTTGCCTCTGTATTCTCTCGTCCCATACATCACCGAGAGACTGATGTTGGAAACCGACTTTGTAAATGAAGCAAACAACTCTGAGAAAATGGCCGAGCTAGTTCGAGGAGAACCACGTCTTCGAGATCGAGTATACATTCCAAAGGTCTACCGCGAGTTATCATCCAAACGAATAATGACAGCGGAATGGATTGAAGGCGTCCGTCTCTGGGATAAAGAGACTCTTCAAGGTACCTGGCTTGGTGGCTACGCTAAAGGCTCTCCAGGAGCAAATGCCTCACCTCTATCCGCACCCTCCATCCCACCAAACAACGGAACAGGGAACCTCAAACCAGACCGTGACCAATGGAAAGGAAAGAACGGCAAAGGCGGTCTTGGTCTCTCTCTCAAAGAAGTAATGACCACAATGGTCGACCTCTTCTCCGCCCAAATGTTCCTCTGGGGTCTCGTCCACTGCGATCCTCACCCAGGAAACATCTTCATCCGTCGCAAACCCAACGGACACACCGAACTCGTGCTAATCGACCACGGTCTCTACGTCTCCATGACACCTAAATTCCGGCACCAATACTGTCAATTCTGGAAAGCAATCATGACCTTCGACAACGACACCCTCAAAACCATCACCTCAGCCTGGGGCGTCAAAGCCCCCGACCTCTTCGCCAGCGCCACCCTCATGAAACCCTACGACGGCGGCGACGGCAGCACGAAATCGCGCATCACCACCGAGCTCAAGGGCAAAACGCAGGCCGAACGCCATTACGAGGTCCAGGAACGCATGCGTCAAGGCATCCGTGAGATCCTCTCCGAAGAAGACAATTTCCCCCGCGAACTCCTGTTCATCGGCCGCAATATGCGCATCGTGCAGGGCAACAACCAGTTCCTCGGCTCCCCCGTGAATCGGATCAAGATGACGGGTTCGTGGGCGAGTAGGAGTCTGGTCGATAGCAAGGACCTCAGTTTTGGGGAACGCGTGGTTAATGGGTGGAAACATCTCATCTTTAGATTCGTGTTGTTCGGCAGTGATATCGTGTTTTATACTAGTAAAGTAAGGCAGATTCTCGGGTTCGGAGGCGGTATGGAAGATGATATCGAGAAACAGATGAGGTTTCTTGCGAAGGATCAGTTCGGGGTGGAGTTGCAACATAGTGTTTTCGAGGGGTAGAATGCGGATTAGAGTATATATTGTACCTCTTTTAGATGGGTTAGAACTGGGGATTTGGCATTAAGCGGGCGTTGCAACGGAAACTCTCTCTATTCAATTATACGGTTTCGTTTCATTTTCGCATGGTATCAGTTCCCTTGAGGCTTCGTCTGAACCTATCCTTATTTCATTCGACACCTTTCAAGCTCGCTCTTCAATCTGTCCAAACACTTCTTCTATACTCCAATAAAAGAAGAGGGTTTAGAGTATGTATTGTATCTATTTAGACGGCGCCATAGGTTTGCATCAAACGCGCGTTTTCAGGGCAAATCCACAGTTTCTAATCACACATTTTCCATCTCATTATCTCACAACCTCACTTCCCTCATGTCTATGTCTGAACTCATCTTCATTCTATTCTTAACCCTTTTCAGCTCACCCCTCACTCTCTGCCTTTCATCTCTTTAATACCACAAATCTACAATAGTCAGTCATTTCGGTCAACATGTTGCCGTTGGGAATTCATTCACCTGATAGGCTAGATCCTATAACGCTTATCCTAAATAGGTTTAGGTAGTTACGTATAGGGCTCTATAGGGCTCTCCTCTATATAAGTCTTATCTACTACTATAGCTAATAATTATTTATTACTATATTTAAGAATTATACTATATACTTACGACAATTATACCGTAACGTACAAGTGATTAAGATTTAGTATTCCGACAGTTGCTTTACCAAGATGACCGAGTCTCTACATACTATCCTCACTACTCATTCTCCTTGTCTCAAATCAATTTTCTTGACCTATACTGATGAATCCTCCGCAACACTTCTGTCTTGCAAATACCATAGTAGTCTTCAAGTTTCGCGGCCACCTGTTTGAAAATGAAAACCCGTTTTTGGTGTCAGATCAATAACATTGTAGGTAATTTCTAGATGATGAATAGGCATAGGGCAATACAACGAGCTTATCAACGGCCGTGTAAAAACGTCTTTTATGATCAAAAATAATACTTGAAATTGTAAGCAGAAAAAATAAGAGCTCTGAAAACACGCCCGAGCGAATTTTTTCGACATTACGGTAATTGAAGAAGCAAAACCTGGTTTCCAAAAGCGTAGGTGTCTTCTGCATGTCGTGAAGATGTGGATGGCGAGAGAATGCTTGGTGGTAGTGAAAGTGGAAATTTGGGGTTCGTTTCTGAGGGTTGCGATGTTGGATGTGTCTTACCAGGATATAATGAACTTATAGTTCTGAGGAAATCGGTTGGTTATTGGGGATGTTGTGTTTTGAGATTGAATGGGGAGATGGAACAGTTTCTTAAAAGAGGGAGCTGGAACTGCAAGACTGTGAGGCATGTTAACGAGCTAACGGGAACATAAACTGGATGGCTTTGAGATTATGGTGGAAACAGGATGGTACAGACTCTGAAATTGAGGTCCGAGAATACTCAAGTATTTCGAGGAGTACTGTTGTAAAGAGGATGTCGCAGCATAGGCAGGGCACGCGTATTATAGCCTCAGGGGTGCTCGCTTAGCTCAGCACCCCCCTTAAATAAAGCCTTCGGCCCTCCTAAATAACTCCTACCCGTACCTTTGCGGTTCGTGTGACAGAGGATGTATCGAATGTCACTGTGCTACTGCCCGGATGGCGTTTCAAGGGTAGACTCTTTCTATTAAATCCCACCTCCCAGTCCTGTCACCTCAAACATATCCCTCCATGAAAATAATCCCCTCGATTCACCCAGCTCGCTTTCGGCCCGGTGTTCGTAGTAGTCCCAGCCAAAGCCGCTGTTTCCAGCTCACTTCTCAATCTGTGTGTCTCACTATCCATGTATCCTAACGCGAAAACGACATGTGACCAGGCTACGAGCAAGGCGATGAAGAGTATGAGGGCGAGGAACTGGAGGAAAAGAGTTTTGTTGGAGATGAAGGATGGATTGGAGATGGTTATGGATTTTATGGGGGAGGGTTGTTAGTGGATGAAATTGGTAGGAGATATAAATTTATTTTCCAAATAGCTGTCGACTTGCGCCTTTTCGGACCCGATGATGGGGTGGTTGGGAATGACATGTTGGATTGGAAAGTTGCTATGAAGTGATTTGGTGAGTAAGTGTTTATTGTTTTAGAGTGAATTTGCGGGATTTCTTCGTTGGATAGTTTGGATGGTGGGTATGTTGGATGTGGGTTTCTTTGATGTAAAGAGGTTTGCATAAAGATATGTGCAGAGAGAAATGGAACTGATAGCTGTATTTGGGAGGGTTTGATTAAGTGACTTCTAACTAAAACAAATGTAAGGAGATTTTGGAATAACTTGATAACGGCGATGCTTAGCTCTTTACCAAAACTGGTGCTCCATCATAAGATGTTAGGCCAACACTCTAACATAAATCGAACTTCTCTATGACACAACTCTCTATCTCCTTGACAATGCTGCCGTACATAATTTCATCGAACCCCTTTTGCTGGCTGGTGTTTTGTGGCTCTAGCATTTCAGTTAGATTTATCTGCGACTTCACTAACCAACAACCACCAACAAATAGAAACATTTCATCTTTCTTCCTTAGGACTAGCGGGATATTACTGCCAGCCGCGACAACAATTATGTCTTCTCGCTCTGACTTACAAGGACCCCAACTAGTGTTCTCGAAGGTCGCTGATTTCATGACATCTTCAGGCACAGCTTCATTCGAGATCTCTAAATCCATACCATTAACGTGTCTTATAGGTTCGTACCAAAACAGTCTCAGCTTGTCCCAGCCCTGTGCGGTTTCAACATCAGACCACTTTGTTGTAGCGTGCACTTCTTTTACGTTTCGAATACGCCCAACACGGACGCCTCTTATAGTGAAGATGCCACTCTTCTTGAGAGCATCCTCTTTATCGGTAGATTGATCTCTCCACATTCCACCTGGAAAATCTTTCGAAGCACAAAACAATGGGCTTTTCGTGTACAAGCACCTCGCATTCAAATGCTGCTCCGTCATAAAACCGGGCACCCAAGAAGGCAAGCGTATACCATCTAGTCCACTTTCAATCTTCCTTTGTGGAGATTCAATCCACAGGAGCACGACCAGCACCTTGGCTAGCAATTGCCTCGTTGTCTGCATGTACAGCTCTCGGGTTGAAAGGGTTGCACCTTTTGCAGGATCTTCGTTATAATTGATCTCAATATCGTACTCTTGCTCCGCCATTCCAGATAGAGAGTATATCTTATCTTTAGGAACAGTTGCCAGCTGATCTCGAAAGGTGTTCAGTAAATAGCCGAGACGTGGGAGGTATTTAGGATTTTGAAATAGAGGGCGAAAGTACACTAGAGAAGCCGGCATGGACTCTGTAGCTCCAAATTCCCGAAACCACTGATCATTCGCAAGCACCTTCTTCAATTTCTCTGGGTCTTTGGAAAGCTGCTTTTGTTCTTCTGCAGACAAGCCGCTCATTGACAGGCTGGACAAGACCTTGCGGAGGGTAAAGTACTTGTTGAAAAGATCAAAGAATGGATCGATTTCTAGAGTGTTCTGTCCTACATGCACAGTCACAGGTCTGTTATGAAGTACCTCCTGCAAGATCCACGAGCGGCTCCAATATGGCCGCTTGAGAAAAAGATCATCGCATGCCAGCCAAGCGGGACTATCAGCTTCCTGATAGACGTACTGAGGTTCTCCGTCTTTTCCCATGGGCATGCTACGGAGGAATTCGATAGCAAGAGAGCTGGAAAATGAGCTTTCTGGACCAAGCCACATGATTACTCGGTGTGCTGAGAGGTAGACCTGTCGCATCTGCGCTACTTGGTGTGACTTCTCCTTTGTTGAATTTTGATCGATGCATATTGCATCTATCCACAAAATTCGCGATGACTTGACGTCTCTGATATGGCGGAGTGCAGAAGCCAGGTTTTGCGTCACTTCGAGGTTGAGACCGGTATCCTCAATGTCTGCCTTACATGCTGCGTTTTCTTGCGCATCATCATACACCAGGTTGATTTTCAATTTATCTGACTCCGTTCCCCAGACATAGGAGAGGGCTTCGTAGTGAGGAGGCGCTTCGAGAGAGCCATTGAAAATCGTGCAACTGATCGCGGCATCAAAGGAGGAAGCGGGGAGCAGGTTCAGGAACCGAATTTGTCGCAATTCGGGAGTCAAGTCCAAAGGAAGGAACGTGAACATTTTGCATAGGAATATCTTGATACTTTGGGATCGAATACGTTATGATTTCTTTCTGTGCAGTATAGTATTGTGGACGAGACAAGTCAGCCCCAAAGCCTTGCATGAGTGATAACTATCAAACGACCAATCGGATCATTCTAGTGCTGACAGAGTGTGGCTTCTGTTACACTGAAAAAAGTATATAAAAAGGACACCGGAATTTAAGCATACTGTAATTTGTAACTTGAATGCATTCAAAGAGAAGAATCATTATTGGTATAGAACAAGTTATTTTGAATTTAGTACTTCTCTTAACTAGCCTCGAAATATCATTCCACTCTCCAACTTACTTTTAGATAGAAGGTCAAGACAACCCCCGACGAAATAACAAAATACAAGGGTTAGCCTTGGTTCTATGTTAGTGATTTCATTAGTTCACAATTCACATTCCATCAGTGGTCGTGTGGTCGTGTCTTACCGCTTAATGATTTGTAACAGAAGAAAATCAGCCAGTTGGTGAGTATCCGGAATTCGAGTGTTTGCATAATCATAATCGTTAATCTTGAAAACGAGAATAGTTGTCCCAATGAAAAATAGGGATCATAGTTCGTCGTCTATCTTAGAACTTCTTTATAGAATTTCAACTTTACAGATTGACCAGGTATAAAAATGGTACTCCTATGTAAGTGATGAACAATTTAGTGATCGGTTCCAAAATAAGGGATGTGAATTAGATCACAGATAAATCTTCCCTAGCGTTACCTTCGTCTAAAAGTGAGAATATCAAGAAGATAAATACGAGATATTATCTACATAACATATTATAAATATCCACTAGTGTGCTACAAGTCTGACAGAACACCTCGATAGTTTGGCCCAATAACCAATCTCGCTTAATCCTTCCGAGTGGGTCTACAATATTACCTTTATTTAAAAGGCTAAAGACGCCTCTTATGGAAGGAGTCTTCGAAATTCGCTTTACTGATATTTTTGGCCTCAGAATGTGCCCCATCAGTCTTAAAATAGATTGGCGGTGAGTGAACTTGGTGAGTTTTATGGGCGTAGTACACACTGAGATGTACATCCGAGCAGAGAAACAATGTGAGATGTGGTTATTTAATGATCCACTACCAGTAACATCACTTCAAAAAGCTAAAGAAAGAACCGTACCTATTTCAAACTTCATTCTGTTGTATTCCTTGGGTATGAGACTGCCAAATACTGCTCCTTTATCCTGAATTCGCTTCGGCGTACTTGTCGCCTTCCGACCATAGCTCTTACATATGCGTCAGGCTCTTCCTTGACAACAACTTTTGTACATAGTATGTTATCAGATGCTGTCCTCTTCATGTATTGGCCATAATATTATCTTGTCGGTCTTTGGCTCGTCCGTGGTTTGATACGAATAAGGAAAGTAAAATCAAGAAGCCCGGTGAATAAGTCCGGCTCCTTGATATTACTAATTTCATCGACATAAATGTGGACTCTTTGTTCATCTCCACAATTTATACTTCTCACTGCAGGTACCCACGATTCCGTCTCAAACCGATTATCCCAACATACTTCGCCTCTGTAGACTGTGGTCTTGTCCGGAAAGAACTGATTATCCCGGACGCCCCGATAAAGTGCCAGTTTAATGGTAAAGTCATTTTCATTATCTCCATGGAAAGTGATACTTCCCAAACGTTTCCTTTCCCTTGCCTCCATCCTTTCACTAAGGCGATGGAGTGCGGTCCAGGCTATCACCGCCCACGACTCAAGACTACCCTGTGAGATATAGACTGGTGAAAGTCTCAAATCTGGCCTCGAGCTGGCTTGGTCACACTTGACTCGACCAAGCGTGTAGTGACAAACTTGAAGGTCTTCAGGGTCCGTCCAAGACTTGTCACTATCAAGAATATAGGAGCCTGCCTTTGAAAGCGTGATTTCTTTCGTCAGGTGCGGCCTGTGCTTGCAAAGAACAAGAATATCTGATCTGAGTCGTACGTGCATTGTACCTGGGCTATGCAGATATTTGGGTCGGACAAGTATGCCAATGTATCCCTTGTCTGCGTGAAGAGGCAGTTTGATCCAGCACCTCAGGATTAGGATGCAAATGTCGGCCCCTAATGATTTTAAAGTTAGAAGGTAGGAATTCATCTGCAGTCCTTGATTCACCATTGCAATTGGCGACCTGGATATGTAAAAAATAGGAGGACCATTGCTTTTGTGTCTTTTATCCTCAACAGAAATTGCCCATGAATCTCGAAAACAACGTGGGTGTTGAGCAAGTACACCATGACCAAGATCGCCTCTGTCTACAGCATCTGTGTCCTGCCAGGCAAAGATGGAGTGGTCGTCTGACTCCTTGCAGATTTCTTCCTGTAACCGAACGAAGGCCTTCTCGCCTTCTCCGTACAGCATTGTCATATTTACAGAGAATATACCCATCAGACAGTATGCCAGATCTTCGGGTCGCGATGTCTCCCGTCGAGAAGCCCATGACATGCGTTGAGCCACGCAGGCAGTTTCGATGGAAGCGTTGCCATTCAAAATATCGCGTGAGATTCGAGTGATATCAGATAGTGTTGCACATAGAGTACTTTTAGTTCCAATGAAAGTCCATCCATGGCCATAGAAGTCTATCTTTCGAGGGGCGATAAGCTCTTGCAGAGTCCAGCCCCGAGAATGCCAGCGAGACCTGCGAAACTGAGCTTCTTCATCTTTGACAGAGCTGCTGTGACTAACGTCGCTCAAAAAGACATAGCAAATGGTTGCTTTGGCATACCACATGAACATCGAGTTGATAGCCTCTTGTAACTCAGCACTGCTTTTCTTGTCGATGCAACAGGTGTCAATCCAGCAGTATTCCAGCCCATCTGCAATTGCCTGATTAACCGTATAATGGAGCTTAATGAATGATGCCTTTTGTTCCACCTTTTCTCTTCCCGCTTGAATGTCTTCAAATAGCACTTCATCGTTCGCCGGGCCCCATGTATGCGATAGTATAGCATACGGTGGCAGATCGTGCGAGAAGAAATCGACTAGTTTGAGTGACCTCGTGTGGAGGAGACGCATCTTAAAAGAAGCACAGCAATGAAACGTTGATGAACCTTGAGCTCGCAAGGCTGTCGATAAACTCCCTGAGATCCACACGAAAATGAGTTCGAAAAGTTGTTCAAATGTTTATGGCAAGGAGAAGGTGAAACATATAAGGGTACGACGGATTGCTATATCTCTTGGGCCTCAACTGCTTGCTGTTCGTGCCAAAAACGTATTGAAACAAGAAGTTGAGGAGGCAGCTGCTGAGCTGATAATAGATCCAATGAGAGAAGGCACGTATATTTTGGCACGTGCACAGGGCCGGAAACGTGATTTTCGCTTAAATTGCAGATTCAGAATACATTTCATCGAGTTGATAAGTAACTTAATAAAGAGCATCTAAGATAACAATTTCGCATTCGGGAATTAAATGCTGTATATATTGGTACAATTCAATTAGCACTTAAATCAGAACGAGATTTTCAAGTAATTATCACCACTTTCGCGTCTCTGAGAGATCATGTGTATATTGAGAAGTACAATATAAGTAACTGTGAGTTGGAATATTCATAGAGAATTGATGAGAAACAGGAATGGTATCGAAAGTTATCTTGCTAGATTTGTTATACAGTAATTTTCTAGCCACGAGTACAATGTCCGGAAAAAGGGGAACTAAGTTGCAAATATCAACTTTTCAAGAGAAGATTACTATAACTCCCTCCACTTTCTTTATAAAAGAGTTAGGGAGTGTTTCAATAACACTTTATCATGATTGAGCATAATTCCAAGTCTCTCCACCTCTGAAAAGCTCTCGAAAAGGATTAGTCTCTCCTTTTCAAACCCGACTAGCCTTCTCGCTTAGCCCCTTTCTTTCATCTACCCCGGGACCCCCGCCCAGCAAAAACTCTCAACATCATGATCTCAATGAAAACATGAGTTCCTGGATAAATCATATGTACCAGTGTACCACGAAACTCTCTTACCGTCTCCAAGAAATATTTACAATGCAAACTCCACAACATCCCCTTCCTACTGCTGCTGTATCGTAGAATCAGTCTCTCTTTGCTGGACATGTGTATGCCTGAATTATCCAGAAAGAACAGATCTATTCTATGAAAAACAGAATGATGCAGGAGAACTAAAAAGAAAATCCAGGGTCCAAAATCTCAAATAGCGTCAGGGCTGCAGACTAATCACGTTGAAGTGAAAATTGTCGAAGGAGATTGACAAGTCAACAACTGGTATCATAACTGTCCTACCTTTACCATTAGTGAGAAAGAGTCACATTGAAGCCACGAACTCTCAAAACCACGTACGACATCCCTTTCTACAACCTCAAAATCCTGCTCTCAACACCTCCATATCCATTTTCTTACTAAAACCTGCAAACACAATTTCAAAACACCTTCTTGATAACAAATTCGACATCTAAACACAACCTAGAAAATCACTTGATTGATTGATTCAATAAGGTAGGAACATTCTCAGAATCGGCATCAGAAACGCGTGGAAAGAATAAGTTGGGAAGAGAGAAACATACAGCTATAATTTTGCATTAAACATACTTCGCATCTCCTCTTATGGGCCTAGAGTTACTGATTCGAAAACGCGTTTACTTAGTTGAGATGGAGTATCTCACTTCGGCTGGAAATATCCGAACACAGAGGTATTCTGACATCATTCTCATCGTCACAATAGCCCTCAGCATCATCTCGAAAATCATTTCAACTACTCGAAACTACACCTCAATCTTCCACCGAACATGTCCTCCCCTCCTTGTCCTTCACGCCCAGCATTCAAAACTTGAGATCAAGGCTTTAGAGCAGCTACAGCACCTGCGACCTACCACACTTATCACCTTCCTAATTTACATGCATCACTTACTCTTTCCCTCAACCTACCTTTACCTTTCTACCTATCTTTCATAGCTGACCATTTTTTCTCTCACACTTCCTCATCTGCAAACTCCGCACACCAGACTCTTCGTCCCCAATCTCGCGTCTAATCCTTTCCACTCTCTCACAAAAAATCCAATCTCTCATCTCCTAATCCCCAATCCGTTCTCATATCTCACACGCGTGAAAAGTAAATCACACCAGAAACACACGAAAGTTCAATTGAATATAATTGCATTCACTAATCTACCTGCCTGCCTGCTCGCCTACCCACATCCCACCACAAGCCATCGACCACCATCAATCAACCCAACCACCACCACCACAGGCCACTCAAGAAAAACAGCGCGAGCCAGCGCAAATAACAGATCATATCCACAACCACCTCCGTCCGCCATCCGACCCCTTCCACAACCTCGCTATCATCAATCTCACCAACAAAACTCGCTCTCAGTCAATCTCAAAAAGAACACCGTCACAAACCCCTTCGACGTCAAAGCACATCTGCCATCTGTCATCATAAAAAAAAGGGTAATACAAACATCTCCGCAACCGTGAAATCAGCACAAACACAAAAAAAATCAAGGGCAAAGCGGGGGGGTATGCAGCTATGAACAAATGAAAAAAAAAATACACAAACAAAAGATTGCCGCCAAAAAGTGATTCGTCCAAATTCTGTCGTCTTCGTCTCGGAATAGGTAAACATTCGGCTCGAGGCAAACGTTCGACTCATCGTCTAGGAACAGGTTTACCCTCTCGATGCTTAAGTCTACTAGTTCTCCATCCCTCATACCAAAGCTCACGACTCGCCTCCCGTAGCTCGCCACGCCATTCGCTGAACACGGCCTCCTTCAGTCTCACGAAATCGCAATGCTCGGCATTCATTGGATCCGCAAAACCCCAGGGGAAACGGCGACCGATGATACCAGGCTCGTACATATCGGGGCTGATGATGGAGAGAGGGAGGTAGGGTGTCTCTTCCGGATCGCTTTCATTGCGTTTATGACGGCGGACGGAGCCTGAGGAGAAACGCTTGGAGTTGGGGGTTGAACTTGCTTCAGGGGTTTGGATAGGAAGATCGTCGATTTCGTCTTCGGAATCGGGTTCGTCAGCCTCGTCGATGCGATTTTCGGTGCGGCTTTCTTCGAAATCGTCTAGGCCGAGGGCTTCGAGAGGGTCGATGTTGGCTCGTTTGAGACTGTCGGAGACTGTCTTTTTGAGGAAGCTCATGTGCGCTGTGGTGATTGTATCGGCTTTGGAGATGACCGGGACAACCGTTGTCTTGCCTTGTAATGTGCGTAGGACTTGTAGATCGAGGTCCTCATCCAGTCCGCCAACTATGCGAGGGGTAGATGTGTATTTTCCGTTCGTGCCATTACCGTTGCCATTTGGATTTTGTCTTCCGGCCGCGATATTCTGATCCAGTCGAATTGGGTCCAGAATGAGAAATGCTGCATGAATGTGGGTATCTTGAACACCAGGAGCTCTGACAACTTTCATCTCTTCGGTGAAGGTCTCCTCGAATTTGCTCTCCAGGAATGAAGACATTTCCCGGAGTTGTAGATCGACCACATTCTTCTCCAAACCTTCCGAGTCCCACAACGTCAATCCAATACGCTCCCCATCAATCTCAGTCTCCAAGTAATGAGAATCAAAGTTTCCAGACTTTTGTCCAGGAGGTGCGAAAATATCATCATTGAGGGGCTCAGGGGCTCGCGCGGATCTCTTTTTTACTGGAAGTGCGAGGGATGTCTTGAGGAAATTGAGAAAGGAGGTCTTGCCAGAGGACTTAGCACCGATAATCAGGATACTGTATTCGATTAGCATTTGTCAGCCCCGGATTAATAATTTACTTACTTGAATGGAGTAGGATCCTTCCGTCTCCTGACTCTTCTCGGGCTGTTGATCGTGCTCACAGCACTGCTGGCATAACTGTAACGCCCACGATGCGTCATACTCTCAGTACGAGCGTACGGATCAACCCAGTCACCATTTCTGCTCCCACTATTTGGAATTGGAGGAATAGGCACACTGCCCGTCGCAGCAGAAGATCGTCCTTGGTCCATTGATGCGCGACCTTGACCAACTCGCCCCGAGATAATGGCAACAGAATCAGGTCTATCCTCACCACCAAACGACTCTATGACCTGAGGAGGCGCACCGCCGTACAGATCTGGAAGGCGCGGAGGACTCTTTGGAATCGCAGCTGCCTCTCGTTCCTTTCTGGCTTCGGCTTCTCGCGCGGCCAAAGCTTGTTGCTTCTTGCTACCCTTCAGCTCGCTGGATTTTGTTCGACGCAAGAGTTGTCCTAGACTTGTTCGTCGCGGAGGATGCGCTCTGTCAATCTCTGGCAATTTCGCATTGGGTGGTGGTGAAGGTGAAGCACCGGCGCTTGGGCGCTGACTGGCAGACACCATTTTTTAAGGAGGGGATTATAAGCTTATTATTGGGTATTAAGCTATTGTAGGATTCGGCGGTAGTGGAAACGTAATGAATTCTGGAACGCGATCGGTTTTCGTGTTTGCTAACGATGGTACCTGGCGTGGAGTAGCGCAGATCTAGGAGCTTGGTTTAATTGTCAAAACCGTGTTTGTGGTCGACGTGGTGGAAGTGAATTATTCGTGTAAAGTGTATCCCAAGGTCCACCTGGAGAGATCGTATGGATGCGAGTAGCCGTAAGCCACCAAGAACACAGCGCAGAATCGTCGCGGACAGAAATGAAGGTATTCAGGTCTAGATGTTGGAGTTACTGCGCCTGGGCTGAAGGGGTTCTACGCGCGGGTTCGACGGCGCGGGTTTTCTGCAGTAGTGTGCGGTGATTTCTGGAGAGGAGGATGAGAGGTCCTTTTGAAAGCCGCACGGATGCCGGCTGTCTGTGTGGTTTGATCTCACCGCTATGACGATCAAAGCTATAGGAGTAACAAAGTATCAAAGTATTGAAGGAATGATAATGGAAGTCAAGCCAGCTGGAGACGGGACAAAAAATAGAATGGCGTCGCGTTGTACAAAAGAGGAGATCGAGGAGAAGAGTCGACAGATCCAACCTCACCTCTCACGACTGCTGCACCGTTTTTTGGCCTGCGAGTTCCAGGGGGCGTGAGATGAGAAGCTCCCCAGTCCCGAACGCTCTCCAGGGCCAAGTCCATTGCGAATCCACCTCCAGACGCATTGCCAGCGAATGAGACGTCGTTCATGTTGCCTCGCGTCGGACTTTTCTCGTTTCAGGTCATGATCTCCCCTGAATAAATGAACTTGCCATGTGTCGAAGATCGAGAAACGAAGTTACGGAAGAAAGATATATTAAAGCCTTGAAGCGGGTGCCTTTTAGCTGCAGGAATTAGGTTGTTGGTTCATATATTTAGAGATTTGAAAGCTTCTCCTTTCATGTAACGACCAACACCTTTCAAGCTTCCCTTGTACAACTTTGGACTCTGTAACACTCTACATTGGTTAGTACCCCTCTGTGAGAAACCAATCATTCAAGGTGTAGGTCAGTCTCCTGGAAAACCACACTCGCAAAATATACCAAAGAGATCTGCCCCTATTCACATATATACAATAATGAGACCATCACTAAGAAATATCCCAATGCAAACTATTCCCCGGTAATCCACATCCAATTCAGGGGTCCAACACGGCAAAATCCCCACACGAGGATTCTGTTCCTGGAACAGTGGGTTCAATCCACTTCCACTCGGTTACCCAATGCAAACCCTGGATCCAAAACTCGTGATGTCTAAAAGGAGCGAATCGTGTACGGAAATTATTCTATCGAAAGGTTCTACGCCAGTGGCTGATATGTCACCCTGATGAAGACACTAATGCGAAGACACTAATGCTAGGAATTATAGATTTAGGACAGCCTGGTGGGAAGCGTGTGTGCGGATGGATGTACAGTCGCGACAAATTTTGTTTAGGAAAGGAAACACGTGGGCCCCAATTTTCGAAAGATAGATATACACACTACGTTGGAATTACATCCATTTAGCTAGAAAGCTATTGGAAGATGAGTCTCAGTCAATTAGACCACTGAGCCATCTCCCATCCACTACATGTAGCATCTATAGCATCACGTAGGAAATTCAAAAAGGGTGATGACAAGTCCATGAATTTTCAATTTCAAGGCCTCTATGTCTTTACGCTGCCTTTACTAAGAGGCTCTATCAAAAGCCCGGCTTTGTTTCACGCAGCATACCGTCTAGGGGGCTATGCAAACAGACATATAAATCAAACACCGCGAGTCAAGCGGGCAATATCAACAGATCAAGCGCTCCCGCCTGCAAACACACATCTAGTATGTTATGCTGCCAAACAAAGACACAGTGGTACATGCATCACAAACATGCTAATCTAGCCATGTGTAAGCAAAGCGCTTATGCCATTGATCATTCCTCCATCTCCAGTCCCAAGCCCGTATGTGCCAGTCCACAGTGTGTCCTCAACGTATTCGTATGATGTGATCTCGAAATTCGTGGTAGGAAGGAAGTGGTTTGCAGCCGGCGTGCTGGGAAACATAGGAACGGTAGCTAGCACTTGTTGCTTTACGGATTGGTGCATGCAGGAAAGACTTTAGCTCTGGTCTCGCAAGCTCTGGACCTCCAAATGAGCTTTCACAGGAATAAAATAGAGTGTGAATATCCACAAGTTGCCTAGCATGATGTGGGACCCAAAATGGGGAGCAGAAGGAGGGAGATCATTATGGTCCGTGCGGGTAGGCTATCTTGGACTGCACCAGACGTCACTCCTCGATTATTTTTTGTCCAGAACGGCTTGAATCTGTTTGTTGAACAAGCAAACTGCAAAAATTGAGGAGTTATCATGAAGGTAATGAAGCGTAAATGGCTTAGAGAATGTACTGGAGCTTTGTGAAAAGGTGAAGAAGGATTTTCGCCAAAAGAGCCAACGTCCGTTGCTTCATTTTGACGACTCCTTGTGCGACAATTCCACGACGTCAATAGCGCAAGCAACTTGGTATCGCACAGTGTATTACATCCGGTCTCTTTTTATTCTTAGATGGAGCCATAGCTGACAATACGTTTTCCAGGATCCTTACGTTCGAAAGCTGAAGCAGGGACAGCCAGGAATCGGTCACCATCGTTTGCCATTTCGATCCCATTTACACGCCCTTCATTACATTTGGCACCGGAGGATTTAGCTTGCTGTAGTCCAAGGCTGTGAGACGATTCCGTCTTTTTCGAACCCTTTTGAAGGATCCCCACCAACTATCAAGCTGTGCAACATTTCTCGACGAGAAAGTACGTGGGATAAGCAACTGCTCGAAATGTTACATATGGGTCGTCGGCATAGGCGACGAGGAAAGACATTGAAACATTAAATTGAACTGTCAGGGCTCGATGCCAAACGTTGAGAGTGCGACAACAGGTGATTCTCCGAGAAAGAGGAGGAAAAAGAGCAGTGAAGAAAAATTTACGTGAGCCGCAACACACAAATCATGTGAAGCGAAAAAGAGTAGAGAGGGGACAAGTGAAGAAAATTGCAGGTAAGTCTTGAGACATAAACGAGTTCATCGCCCGCCAAATATGGTAGTGCCATATGCTGGATGAGCGTCATAGTCTTGTCAGATATTTTGGATATACTCGCAGTAGGAGACTTCCATGCTGCAGAGTTCTTCTCTGGCTTTCCAAAGCCCTGCGCGGAAAGTCGTGTTCATGCCAATGAAAGCCGAAGTCAGCTATCCTTTGGTTTTGATAAAACCCCTTTGTAGGAGGCTAAATCGCTTGCCTTGTATATATATGACGAAAGCTCGTTATAGTAGCTTGGTATATTGATGAAATGTCTCCGGCAGCACTATAATTAAGGCAATGCCAGTCATTTCCGGTGCTTGCAATTCTGCAAGGAATATATGTCTCAGGTATCATATACCTCTAGGGTATATATGATCAGGAATCATGTTCGTAAGCGGACTGGAACTTGACTAGTTCAAGCATATTTCCAAGCTCTTCAGTTTTCGAGGCCTCCTTGTTTATCAAACTCCGCCTTCTGTATGTTTCATATGGCATGCCATTTTCGTAACGTTGATGGCCGATCGCCCATTTCTTTTCTCAGCCACTGCTGTAGGCCTGGTGTTGGCTTTGAGTTACCGCTTTTTCAGGCGGAGCGTCTTGCCCTATTACTAGCATCAAAGCTAGCCAATCGTACAAGTGCCAATGGTATTGGTGATCGCTGCTATCACTCCATTCCTCTTGTTCTTATCGATTGAGATCAAGAGCTGTCGTTACGTTGCGGTTTCGTGGGGGTGAACGCCTTCGGCTGCCCAGAAGGGTCTCTGGTATCGACTAATGCCGTTGTTGAAATACCGCAAAGGAAGATATCCTCTTTTCGAGCTTCTTCTATCGTAGGAGCTTTGCTGAGTTTTTAGCGGTTCGTTGGTGTACTCTGATGCGCACCGGTCCCTGGGACTGTGCCAGTCTAGAAATTCTACATCTGCTTATGCTCTTCCAAGCTCTGTTCCTGTCACCAGATCGATACAATATGTGGTCGATGAGTCTTCGAATCAGTGGTTATATTTATAAGACGCCTACGATATGTCAGCGTGAAGGCTCAGCAAAGTCATGGTAGAACAGCCACGCGCTGCCTGCTTGGTGGGCTTACTGCAAATATCTACCATACTGCGATCACGCTACAACGCTCTCGTTCCTGTGAATACCAGATCGGGATCGCCGTCTGCCGTATATCTGGAGCTGCATGGATATCTTCGACCGCGGAGGCCCCCCCAACCCCCCCCCCCCCTCCGGATGTATATCGCGGCATGCACATCTTGTCTGGCGGAGGGTGCTAGATGTGCCTCATATGTTCTGACCCATCGTCTTCTCTTCTGGCAGTGGGATCGGTAGTCGAGATTCGATATGTGTGGTTGGCGCATCGCAGCAGAAAGGAGGAGGATAGCAGCTTGATCGTAGTGCAGCCTGACCGGTATGGCATTGCGGTAAGATTCAACTCCGCAAGCGTTGGAAGGGCAATGAATCTGCTATGAGTAGAGTCAAGGAAGTCAATACCTTCTGGAGGGCATGGCAAGTCAACTTACGGGAATATCTCGCGTCATAGCAATCACTCGTATCCTGATGCGACGGGTTTCGAAGTCTCCCAACCCAAGCGGCGCCATACTTACGCGACAACTGCGTGGGTTTACTCCCTCTGAGCAACATATTTCTGGAATTGCATGTCTGTATAACCAAAGAACTAATCCTCACACTCAAATACGTGATCTGTGTTTGGTCGAAATACATTTTATAGAAGGATGAACTATGGAAAACCTCCCGCCATATTCGCAGTCCCCCACCACACGTCCGCAGGAAGTCTTCCTCACTCTCTCCCTCACCTTCAAAGCCCTCCACATACGGCATCGAACCCCACCGGCATGAAGACCAGCCAATAAGAAAGGCACTTTCACCATTGTCGAGGGAAGGCGCGCTAGCAAGCGAGGCTCAAGTATTCGCACCTTCGTCCTTCCCATCGTCTTTTCTTTCTCCCACAAACAACAATCCCGACGAAGTTGACCGATCCATCGTTTCGATCAACAACTTCATCAACTCCATCCATTCTCTCTCAATCCTCCGGGCTTAGGCACCCACCTAAACCCTCCGACCTCTTCTTTCCGTTCAATTTCAGATAAATTGTGAGTATCCTCTCCCCGCACTTCAATATTGACATCCACACCTTCCCCCGCGTTGGAGCTCGAGCACGTCAAATTAGAATGCTTTTTTTCGCATTCGGGACATGGTGAAGAACATCATCTACATGTCCTCTTGCTCTTCCACACCATCGCTCTCTCATCATCACATTGATATCGCCGCACTTTCGCACCTCTTCATTTTGATGGCCTACGCTGACTTTGTTTACTTCTTAGCACCAACCAACACATTCACGCCTACGAACTTTTTTTCTTTAACTACAAATTAAAGTAAGATTCTATCCCTGTCTTCTTTCTCCTGCACATTGTCCTTCCCCTTCTCTCCTCATCGCCTCTCATCCTTCTTCCCATCTGGTGTCGCCGTCCATAGATCGGAGCCTCTTCTAACTACTTTCTCCCAGGAATCTTCAGTCGTCCACAATGTCTGCCTGGGCCACCGAAGACCTGGCAAATGCCCTACCGGCTGCCAACGAAGCCACTTCCACTGCTCCCACGCGTACCCCACAAGAGCATGGTTGGGCTGAAAAGCAAAACTACAATTATGCTGTGTACAACAAATCCAACAAGGAGATTGCTGATCAGCGTGCCGCCTCAAAGCAGACTGCCCTTGGAGGTGACACTGACCACGTCGCCATCAGAGAGTCAGCTTCTGAGCTTCCTGATTCTCAACTTGCTGGCGATGCCGTTGGAGGCCTTCAACCCGGCGATTGGTCTTCCAATGCTGCCGTCTACGAGTGGCAAGAAGAGTTCGGTGACGTCGGTCCACGCTTCCCAGAGCTGGAGCAACAACTCTTCGGCTCAGAATTCCATGTAAAAATGGGACTGGACTTTAAAAAGTAACTATCAAATCTGGAATTTGGAGAGTTTTTTCTAACATTGGCACCAGTATCGCTGAAATCAGCGTCTACCAGGAGGGTGTAGTACGTATCCAGCCTGTTCTGAGCTTCGCAGAGGCAGGACTTCATCCTGTCATGCTCGATAATATCAAGCTCGCCGGTTACAGAGTCCCAACCCCCATCCAAGCCTACACCATGCCAGCTGTTCACCAGGGTTACGACCTCGTTGCCTGTGCCCAGACTGGTAAGTCTATGCCCCTCCCTCAAAACCCTCCTTGCCGCCAGAGCACATCACTAACTCTTGCATTTACAGGTTCTGGAAAGACTGCTGCTTTCTTGATCCCAATCTTGTCTAAGCTGATGGGTAAGGCAAAGAAGCTGGCCGCTCCTCGCCCTAACCCGGCAACCTTTATTCCAGGAGTCTCCCAGGCTGTCCGTGCAGAGCCTCTGCTCTTGATTGTTTGCCCAACACGTGAGTTGGCAACACAAATCTTTGATGAAACTCGCCGATTCTGTTACCGCACCATGCTTCGTCCATGCTGCATCTATGGAGGAGTAAGTTTCGATCTAATTCCTCACTTTAATGAAAACCCTCTAACAATTATCAGAGCCCGATTCCTGAGCAATTGAATCAACTCGCAAAGGGCTGTGATGTTCTCATTGCTACGCCTGGTCGTCTTTGTGATTTTATTGACCGACCTCACATTCTATCCCTCAACCGATTGAGGTACATGGTCATCGACGAGGCGGATGAAATGGTCGGTGCTGATTGGGACCAAGAGTTGAAGAAGATCATGAGTGGCGGTGGTAAGTTATGTCATATTTCACATCTCCAGAGCTTAATTGAAGTTTTCAATTGTCCTATTTCCGTGGGAAGTTCCTTCTTCTCATTTGTTTAGAAGTATTCTATTATCTACCTGACCCTAAACTCTCAAGTTCTCCAACTAATCTGAGTCCATAGATCAAAATACGTCGCAAATCAAATATTTGATGTTTTCAGCTACGTTCAACAAGGCCGCACGTGACCTTGCTAATCACCATCTTGCGATGGATCACTGCAAGGTGCGTTTTCCAGCTTCGGGGCGAACAAGAAAATCATATGCTAATTTCTCGGATAGATTCGAGTTGGCCGTGCTGGCTCTACTCACAAGAACATTAAACAGGACATCGTCTGGGTTGAGAGCTCTCAAAAGAAGAAGGCCCTGATCGATCTCCTGATGTCGCTCCCTCCGGCGCGCACTATGATTTTTGTCAACTCCAAGCGCGGATGTGATGAAGTTGATGATTATCTCTTCAATCTCAACATGCCCTGTACCTCCATTCACTCCGACCGCACTCAGAGAGAGCGTGAGGACTCCATCCGCTCGTTCCGCACAGCTCGTTGTCCTATATTGATCGCTACGCCGGGTAAGAAAACAAGTTGCAATTTCTTGACGGTTCCTATTTACTGATCGTTTCTGCACCAGTGGCCGCTCGTGGTTTGGACATCGCTAACGTTGTTCACGTGATCAATTACGATCTTCCCAGCAACTCTCACGGTGGAATTGAGGAATATATGCATCGAATTGGTAAGCCCATAACTCTGACTACCCCGGTGTTGTTTCAACGATGCTAATGGATCATAGGTCGCACTGGTCGTATCGGTAACCATGGCCTGGCAACCTCATTTTACAATGAGAGAGACTCGGATCTGGGCGAGATGCTTGTCAAGACGTTGCTTGAGACCAATCAAGAGATTCCTGATTTTCTGACAGACTTAATCCCTGAGGGCTTCGTTCCTGGCCAAGGCGATGTAAGCACTTTGAAGTTCGAGATGGATTCCGATGATGAGGCAGAGGCTGGTGGAGATACATCTGCTGATGCTGCCGGTGGAGGCGCTTGGGGTGCGACCACTGGTGCTACTGGTGGAGGTGATGCTTGGGGTGCGAACACTGGTGCTACTGGTGGTGATGCATGGGGAGCTACCAGCGGTGGCGGATGGGGTGCCTGATTCTGGATACTTCATCACACTGGCGGTAGATCTCTGCTGTCCTGGGTGTCGTTCCACCGAATCACTCTATTTTGCTGATACAATTGCATTACTAGCATGTTAGCTGGCTGCATTTATTTTCCGAATGTAACATTCGAGGTGGTTTCTGCTGAAAGTTTGGAGGAAAAGTTTATTCTAGTCGAACATTAGCTACCTAGTTCAATTGAAATCCAGCGGACCAAATATCTCATATCTGAACCTCACCTGTGAAATTAATCTTGTGTAGTATCTCCAAGACTCGTTCGCGGTATTTGTTGTAGGCAATTGACAAAATCCCATGTCATTCTTCAAAACAATTGGCGAATTATGGTGTGCTCTGTCAATTTTTTAAAGTACCTGTTTCGTTTTAACTCCCACCTCTGTTGTCTATCGCGCGATACACATCTTCAAATGTCACTTGCAATGCTTCAATAATCACATCTTTACACCGCACAAGGCTTACGGTCAGATTATCTTGACTTACTATCTCAGGAGTGATGTATTTAAGAGCTTTCGGCGCAGATTCCACATGTTGCAATGTTCGCTGTACAATGTTATGGTAGTAAGGTGATCTTTTCGTGGTATTAGGTTTTTGTGTGAGTGAAGACGACATGGTGGGTTGTTTGTGGGGGTGTGATATGGTGGGATAAGGCTGAGTTTTGAGGAGGAGATAGGAGGGTCAGAGATTGATGGTATGGAGAGAGGGTGTGATGGGAAGGGTGGTGCATATTGTGGATGGTGGGAAGGTGGTAGGTTGAGGGTGTGATGGGGTTGTGAGAATGTGTGATGGCACTGAGGGGGCTTGGGTTTGAGGGTTTGTGGTGTTTGATGTGGTAAGTTTAGTGGTTCTTGATACGGCTCTTGGGGTTAGGTGAGAGGGTGGATAGAGAGCAAGAAGTTGGGTAGATGCTGAAGGTTTATGAGATGGTTGAGGGAAGATAGGAGTACGATGGGGGGTGGAAGCTTGTGATAGGCACCATAGGGTTGGATGGAACAGGAAATCGAGATTGAGGTTGGAGATGAGTGAAAGAAGAGGGTTTTGGATAGATTGGATATTGGGTCAGGTAGTAAGCTGTATGTTTGGGTATGAAAGGGTTTGTTTTGGAATAGAGAGGCTTTATGAGAGATATTAGTAGTGTTTTAGGGTATAGATGGATATTTCTTGGCTGTTAGATTTCGAGTTTCAGTTCTTGGGGCTTGGGGGCTTAGGGGGGGGGGGGGGGGAGGGTGAGGTTGGAGACTGTGAGGATGAAAGAGGTGTGCATAGCTTTCGCGGCGAATGCCACTGTTGCTCGATCCGGAATCAATATTACCATTCTTTTGTGCCATCATAAAAAGATGGCTCGTCTCACGGCACCTCCTCAAGATTCAGCGGTAGAGTTTGAAAGATTTTAAGTTTAGTCATGTCTCAAAGGTGGAATTTCGTGAGGTTGTATGAGGCATTAAAGGGGTGTGATTTCATGAGCGTAATTACGTGTGAGACTTTTCAGGGTGTAAGATTTCGACTGTTTTGGATCATTAAGTGTATGTTGCGCTTGTGTCGGTGTGTGCACCTTCGTGGAGGGGAAAAGGTGTAATTGAGTAAGTTGGCGAGAGTGCGAGAAACTAAATAATGTATTGAGATGTCCAAGGAGAGGAGCTCGTACGAGGAGTATACAGGAATAGCATAGAAGCAAGTTGAATGAAGAATACAAATGATCTTAGACTCACACAGTGACTTTTACTAGCTACATAACACACGCAGTCATTGAGAAGAAAGAAACATTCGACCCTCTACTCTCAATTGGCTGGCTTGCAGCACACCCGACAAAAGGTTGTAAGGAGCAGAACAACATTTTTAGCGCACCATAGACCCAAGCATGATGTTCTCAACTTCAGAGACCCAGAATGAAATAACATCAACTTGTATCATACGGTCTGTTCTGATTATGCTTTCAAAATCGAAGTTCTTCTTTCATAAAGTCTTCCTCGCTAGCAAGAAGCGGTGGAGAGCTTGATCTATCCTGCGGAGATATCTTAAGAGAAGAGATTTCGGATACCATATGGAAAGTTGATAGGAGATTTTTATTTATTAATATAGTAATCCCAAATTACCCATTACCGCCCTAACACTAACAAGACTAATTACCATCCAACCAACGATCCTCCTTCTCCAAACAGCCAACCCAGAATAAACTAATTACCACTCCCCCACCCCTTAATCCCGCTCTTAACCTCCGGTTTCCACTGTACCACAACGCCGCTATTAACATACATCAACATCACTATCATCACTATACCCGCCAGAATCCAAATTCCCAGATCACTTAACAAAGCCCAATCCCTCTTCACAACATCAATATCGCCCCTCTTCTTCGTTTCCGGCATCAAACTCACACCCTTCCCCCATGGCTTCTCCATCCCAAGATCATCGAGCACCTGCGCCGTCGTGATCTTCGCGCCCGCCAGCACAATCGGGACACCAGTCCCAGGATGCGTCGACGCGCCCACAAAGTAACAATTTTTGAGCCCCTTGGCGCGCGTTTGCGGACGGAAAGCTAAGACGTTGAAGAAAGAATGAGAGAGACCTAGGATCGAGCCCTTGGAGAGATTAAATTCTGATTCCCATGAGAGCGGGGAATTGGTGATTTCGTTTGTGATGAGAGGCTCAATGGAGGCGCACGAGGTGCGGGTTTCGATGATGCGGATGATGGATTTGCGGACGGAGGTTATGAGGGCAGGCCAGTCTAGTTCGGCTGGGAGGCCTGGGGTGGAAGGGGATGTGGTGCGGGTGTTTTGGAGGTGGCCTACGGGGACGAGGATTACGATTGCTTCTTTTCCTTCTGGAGCGGCGGTGGGGTCGACGCGGGAGGGGACGTTGACGTAGAAACTTGGTTCGTGGGGAATGGATTGGCGGTCGAAGATTGCGTCGAAGGATTCGCGGTATTCGTCTGCGAGGAAGATGTTGTGGGTTTGGAGTTCGGGGATTTTTTGGGAGAGAGACCAGTAGAATGATATGGAACTACATGAGCCTGCTCGTTTTGTGAGGGAGTTGGCGTATGATTTGGTGGATGAGGGGGTGGTTTGAGGGAAAAGGTTGTTGTAGGCGTAGACCAGGTCGGCGTTTACGACGACGATATCAGCGGTCAGAGTTTCTCCTGATTCTGTCTTAATACCGGTCACTGTCTTTCCATCTGACGCCATAACAACTTGCGACACCGGTGTCGATAGCCGTATATCAACACCCATTCTCTCGCAGACTCTAACCAATGCCGCAACCACAGCATGAAATCCACCAACCGGATACCAGATCCCCTCCGCCAATTCCGTATATTGAAGTAGCGAATATGTTCCAGGAGCATCGAATGGACTCATTCCCATATACATACTCCCGAAGGTAAACACCCTTCTTAACCTCTCCGTCCAGAAATACCTCGATGCCCTGGAGTATATACTCTCAAACGGATGTAAATCGAACAGATTGACCAAAAAGGTCGGCCGCAGCAGATTAAACACCGAAGTGAAATTCTTATGCAGAACCTCCCTCACACTAACCTCATAATGTCGGTGTGCCTCTGCTAACCATTTGAGATACCTCTCGAACCCATCTTTGCCTTCCCACTTCTCAATCTCGCGCTTCATGACCGCCGTATCGCTGCTGAGCTCGAATCGCTCTCCATCACCGAACCACAAATTGTAATTCGGGTCGCATTTCAACAGTTCCACGCCTTCCGCCTCGAGCGAAGTGTCGAGATCGTAGAATGTCTCCTCGAAGAGCTTGGGGAGGAGGAGGAGAGAGGGGCCTTGGTCGAACCGGTAGCCTTCGTGGGAAATTATACTGCATCTGCCGCCCGTGTAATTGTTCTTCTCGAGAACCGTGACATTGAATCCGGCTTTGGCGAGACGTGCTGCTGTTGCTATGCCTCCTACTCCAGCACCTGGTGGATGTTAGGGTGTACGTGATTGCGGGAGGGAGGGGTAACGTACCGACCACAATTGCGGTCTTTTTCTTTTCTGAGGCCATTGTATATTAAATTGTGATTGATTCCGCAGCTCCAGGAGCAAACAGAATAGACTTTCGATTTCACATGCTTGCGCGATGAGAAAATGTGCTGGGTAGTGGATTGTTGTGGTGGGACGACGAGCTAGCTCCCGTCGGGCCAATTACGATGACGTCTGGAGATGTATTAATCCTGGTATATCTTGCATGTACCACATACACGCCAGAAGTACTGTAAGTTACAAAGAGATGGATTTATCACACATCACATTCTTCTTTCTAATGTACAAGGGATGATATATTTTTGATGTTTGTATACTTCGAACCACGAGATCATGCAATAGCAACGTCAGTCGTACTACTTAGTTGAAACTCGGCAGTGATCGTATTCGTATCTCTATTCTCATACTTTCTCTCTCTCCCGTAAAAGGGTACAACGAGGTTTAAACGAATAGCTTCAATACCATTGATTACTTGTCTTCTACAAGTACTATGCTGAAGCGACAATGTCCAGTTTTAATTCTGAGAATAAAAATAAGAAGAATCGTGAGATTCAATTCAAAACACATCATCGAGTCGCTGATGTTTATCAGCGAATTTTCCGTGGAAATTCATTTCAACTTGATTGGATTCTAGAAAGGATATTAGGTTGATCGCGAGTTATATCAGTTTGGAAATTTACTCCTATTCGATAGACTTTTTGTATTTCAAATATCATCAAGTTAAAGTCAGGACCTATAGGTAAGGAACTGAATTTCTCACAACACTTCACCTACAATCTTCCATCACCACCATTCTCATATCCTTCCTCGCACCATTCCTCTCAAAACCTCATTCTTATTTTTCCTTCTCCACTCACTCTTTTCCAAAGCCTTCTCCCCCAACGCGCCACATCTATAGATTCTCAACAGCATCCATCGATCACATTTCAAGGCACGGGAAATGAGACTTCCTCGCGATGAACAAAAAGAACCGGTAATGAAAACGCGATATTTATTGAACCAGGCTGACGAAATGTCATGTATTCCGTTTATAGCCTCCAGTAAATAAGACGCTGTCATGTTTTGGTGAGATCAATGAAGGATTGAAAGTCCTTGGCCATTTTTGAATATGATTTATGTTGATGGGATGTTTGGAAGATCTTGCTATTTATCTCGTGCTTGAAGAACCTTTATCAGTAAGATCCATCTTTGGCAAAACCTCTCACTTGCTCATCTCTTCTGCTCTCCCCTATGCCTTCCATCAGATTTGAAAATCCACCCAAGATCGCTGAGTGAAACTCATCCACGAGAAGCAAGCCATCTCTTCGGTATTACAACTGCTAGCGATTTTAGCCAGAAAGCTAGTTTTGGCGCAAGAGCAACATATAATATGCCATAACGAGGAGCCTCAAAGCGTATGAACTTCCAAGACTTTTACTCGGATTTTATTAAACAAAAGCCTTGATTTTGCTCGCATGCAAGGAAAGATGCGAGGAGCAAGTATTCCGATGAAACATGATTAATACCACAACATGGCCCACCTACTATCACTAAATTATCGGCAGTGAATAAGTCGATGTGACTAGCCAAACTGCTTTATGTCGAAATGACAAGCCTGGAAACCACGTGGAATTCATTTTTGACTCGCCTCTGAATTTGTCCAAACTGATTGAAGTAGGCGGAAAATGCCTGCGTTTCATACTCACAAGGGACACCCCTCGTAGAGGACAAAATACATGGCAGAAAATTGTATAAAATTATACTATACTTTAGGCAAGCAGCTTAAACTATAAAGGTTAAGAAGATTACATTTCCTGAAAACAATTGACGAAATACTGTCATTTCGTCAACTGTTGTGAGGATCTTATGTGCTGCGACTGCTACTTATTTACTAATCCTTAGACTAAGTAAGACTGTCTACTTCGAACAGCGCTCAAGAAGTTATTTACTTAAAATAGTTGACGAAATATATGATAGTTCTTCGATCAAGATCACGAAATATACGATAATTCGTCAATTGTTTTGAGAGAGTGTTGTGTTTCAACTGCTACTTATTTGGGCTCCGGCTTCCACTGCACAAGCCCGACTATTAAAATATATTAACACTGCCAAAGCACGTCCAACCCAGAATGCCGGTTCCCATACCACTCAACAGCACCCAATCCCTCCACCCGAATGCCTCATTTGATGTGTTATCAACCCTCGATGTGCTGGGGATTTGTCGGTCAAGTGACGGAGGCCTCCTGAATCAACGATGCGGTTTCATCGGCAGGCGGTAGTCTTTTATCTACTAAGACAAGTTCAAGGTATTGCTGGCGTATCGTGTCTGGATCCAACACATCCTCCAGCCCCGTCTCATCATCGGATAATTCTCAATTGACTATGATTTCGATGGCCCGCACGCAAAATATACCAGAGTTGAAATTGTCAGGTTGCTGAGGGCCTTTGCCGTGTTGAACTCTGATTTTAGAAGGTAAAACTTTTGCCACGAGAAACAGCTTGTCGACTACACATTGAGCCTGGCTCAGAGCCTTGTGAGTGTATAGGCTATCGAACATCAATGCTAGTGCGGGCTCTTTCCTGACGTACACAGTAACCCAGTGGTTCTTGTTAACCCAAAGAGGGAAGACGAGATGATCGTACTCAGACGCGCTCAATTTGATCATATCTGGGCGCTGTTCGAGCCAGGAGAGAGGCATCTTGCGATACGCCGAACTTGTTTCGGCATCGATATAACCGGCAGGCATACCCCCGGAGTTGATGACTTGAATAGCAAGATAATCAATGACAGTTTCGTCAAAGGGTTGCTGTCCTTGTAAGCTCTCGACTAAATGCTGTTTATACTGACGAGCTAGAGCACCATCACGAAGCTGATTCTCAAGCCTCAGAATAGGATCGTTGACAGGCGGTTCTTTGACTTGGCTCATCGAGTCTTCCTTGTGCGTGCCACCATTCGGATCAAAGTGCTCTGCCACCTTGGACTTTTTGGGATCAAATGTCGTAGCTAGATCTGAAGCTTGACGTTTGTGCCGCGTTTGCGTTTCTGCGACGATCCCATCGGTGGACTTGACGTGTTGAAGTTCCCGAGCGTCTGCTATTGCCCTTGCCATGCTATGATACTTGTCGTACATATCATAATACTCCTGAGGTAATCTTGGGTTATTTTTGTTATCTGAATGTTGTATTGGCATTCTCCGTCCCAGTGGGTGATTCAGGCGGACGGACATATAGGCGCGATGTGCTTCAGGTATGGTTTGTAGCCATGCACGTCCTTCCTCATCCAATACCGTGATAGCTCTAGAAGTGAAATGATTATTCGGTTTGGGGACTTCAGGAGCAGACATCTTGTAAGTTTCGGTAAACACTCGAAATTGAACAAGTTTGAATTTCTGAAGTGAAGTGAGACTTTGTGATAGCTGGTACATGGAAACTTGATGAATTTGGACGCGCTACTTTGAAAAGGTGCATGTCGAGCCGTAGGATCAAATTCAAACTAGTTAAGCGACAACTGAGCAGGCTCGTGGTGGACAAAATAAGTGGCAGTCGAAACGCGATATTGCTTCGATCAAGTTGACGAAATATCGTAATTTAGTGTATCAACTTAGAACAATATAAAATGTTCCGTCAATTATTTTGAGTAAACAAGGCTTTTCAACTCTGTTCGAAGTCGACTTATTTAGTCTAATTCCTCCGCGAGGCAGGGCCATGAATTCGCAAATGACAAACAACAAAACCTACCTGTGGCTCGGAAAATATTTGGAGCATATTCTCCCATCCAATTATAACGGCTCAAATCGTTTCCGTCGTTTCCGTCGTTTTGGGAGGTTTTCGAGGAAACCTGCGCGAGTCGCACCGCGACTTGGAAAAGATACATCGATCTGTTGAAAATACAACTCTTCGAAGACCAATTGCATATATCTACGACTTGACAAATATGTACTAGCTACTCTGGGATGAGAGGAAAGCTGTACGAACTAGAATCTGTCACTCGACAAAAGAAACGCCCTTTTTTGATTGTGCGACCAAATGAAAGCACCAGCTGGAACCTGCCACTTGACGAAAGATGCGCCATCTTTTAATTCTGGCTCAGATGCAAGCGCCAGCTACAATCTACCACTCGACGAAAATCGACCTGCGATTCATGTTATCCTTAAGAGATTCCAACGGAAGGTGGAAAGAGGTGACCGCCGTGATCCATACACGAGCAATTTCTCCCCAAGTTTGCGACTAACTGAGATCCGCAGATCGAAAGACCATCCCCTAAAAGGAAGAGGATTGTTGGCCAACTCAAGGCAATCTACGTGCAAATAGACCAGTCTACTACGCGCCGGTCTCGGAATGGTTCAAACGACACCCCCAATCGAGACCGTAAAAGCCACAACTCGGAGGATATCAGCTTTTTGCTGCACATGAGGTTCTACAAATTAGAAGTAGGATAGCTGTATCAGCTTTGACCTACAAAAGGGCTCTACGGGCCTTTTTCCGCGCGTAATCGTTGTCGACTGTCCCAACTACCCACACTCTGGAAACAGAATGGCAGCTGCAATCTGTCCACGAGCAGCACATATCACCCCATTCGAATCGGGAACAGGATTCTCGAATTCTGCGCCCGGCGAACGCTGATATGTGCAAAATTACGCATCGTGGTTCCGAATAGATACTTGAAAACGGGTCAGCCCTTCCACATAGAATCGCATAGAAAAGGATTTGCTACATCACATACACCATGAATGATTTCAAATGCTTTTCCACGGACAAGTCAGTCTTCTCTTTTAGATTACCATCTTTATCAATATGTTCCAGGTACTTGCTCCTAAAAATAAAAGCGTCATTAGCTACCGTCGCAACCAAGGTTATGAGCAGGGCGACGAACCGTTCGATATGCACCAGTCCTTCAACATCGTGGTTGGATATTCATACTTCACACCGCCAACGAAAGCCATCCCCGTGGTGTTTTCTCAGCACACGTGCGAGTTTCATAGAAATTGCCGATGATTTCTTGAGGACACTTGGTTATAAGAAGGTGGGCCTTCATGCCGAGATGGACCTGCCACCAGCTAGGCTCAAGCCAGGCTTTTTCTAACATTAGCAGAAAAGGGGTTTTGTGGAGAAATGGGAACTAGAATTACCAGGTGAGCAGATAGTCCTTCTTTCATATCTCAAACTCATCATGTCGAGCACTCACTCGCGAGTCTCACGTCACCTACAAACCCACGTCTCAAATACCTTACACCACAATCACACACAAAAACAAATAATTCAAAATCCATTCATTAATTACCCACACCCTACCTATTTCCCCCTCTTTACAAAAACCACTCACTCGCCCAACGCTCCCCACGCAACCCTCAACCGCCTTAAAATAGGCACAGTAGCCCGTCCCCTCTTAACCACATACCCTTTCCCCCTCAACACGCGTCCAATCTCCATGTAGCACTCGACCGCAACCCTCATCGGCGCTCTCGCATTACTCGGCAATTTCGCCATCGGGCCCTTCGCCTTTTCATAGACTCTAAATGCCTCATCTAGCAGCCTCTGCCGTAATCTCTCGACTTTCTCACTTTTCGGATTGTTAAGTACGTGTTGAGGAGTGAGATCCTCCTCCTTCAACCAGTCCGTGGGAATATAAACCCTTCCAATCTTCGCATCCGTCGCGATGTCGCGCGCGATATTGACATATTGAAGCGCGATTCCCATGCGGCCGCCGGCGGAAACGAGGTGGGCGCGATGAGCTTTGGTTGTTTCAGGGGAGTGGTGAAAGACGAGTTCGAGGATGAGTTCGGCGACGGTGCCGGCGACTTGGGCGGCGTATTTTTCGAGGTCGGGGAAGGTGGAGATGGGAAAGTTGTTTGTTTTGGAGGTAGTGGATTTGTGGAGGAAGGAGAGGTCGGTTTTAAAGCCTTCGAGGAGGTCGTAGAGAGGACCGTAGGGGAGGAGATGAGTTGGTAGGAGACGGAGGGCGGATTGGGCTGATGAAGGGAAGTTTTCGGCGATGTACGTTTGGAGGTCTGGTTGTTTGGATTTTATTCGTGCTTCGTCTGAGGCGTATGCTATATCAAGATATTGGGTCAATTTCTTGATCCAATCTCGAGAAACTTCTTCAGTTTCAGCATCGTCAATTAAATCATCAGCAACTCGGCAGAATGAATATCTGAGAATCGTTAGTAATGTGTTATGTAGGTTAAGGTTGTTCAACTCACAGCAAGGTCAAATCAAGCCGCAGACGACCCGAAAAGGTCGAACTGGCAAGATAGAAGCTCCTGCTCTTCTTCTGCAACCTTGAAACAGCTTGGTTCATCCCGTATATCCTCTGCTCGTCGTATTTTTCCCGGCTCAAGAGAAGAGCTTGAACTAATTTTACTGGTGATGGCAACTCAGGTACTTGCAGAAAGATGCTCGGGAATGCCAGTAAAATCGCTAGAGCATGATCGAATGCAACCTGACCAAAAACTATTAAGATATTTGTAGCCAAAAAGAAAATTGCTTCTTCAATTTCCAACCCTTCCCAGACATGTATCCCGAGCTTGGTTCCAGATTCAATAGTCCATGTTCCTCTCCTCAAAGCTATGGTATCTACGATCCAGAGATATAATGTTGGAATAACAATTGGTGCCCAGGTACTCATTATTGGTAGAGTGATAAGAAATTGAGAAGAAAGTGTCCATAGTAATAGCGCAAAAGGACCAGCCCATGCCAATATCAATCCGAGATATGTTCCCTCACCACCTCTCCATATCAGAGCTGCTCCAAGACCCACGCATGTCGCGATTATTATCTGGCCAATGCGATGCGTAACCTCTATTCGACGTTGCCTTTCTCTCGAGGATATCAAATAACTTGCATGGAAAACCGGTTTGCTGAGAATAAGGTAAAGCAGAGTTGTGTTATACGTTTGTATTATAAAAAAGAAGACTTCTTCCGCCGGTATGGAGAATAATCGTGGCCCAATAATAACACTTGGTGGATATGTCCAGATTTTGCGCCGGATGAGGTAGGAATCCCAGGGTATCGTCGACACCACCGCAATCGTCACCAGAAATGCGATCTTGTATAGATCAATGCGAGCGAACAGCGGCCGGTACAACAATGTCAAGGCAATGGCTGGTGGTATCGTGTACTTGAGATGTCTGCAAGATTTTAGCACATACATCATCAGCCAGCCTTTGATCCCACTTACACCAAGGCATAATCGAATCCCATTCTGACAAAGGTAAATGAGGGATCTCAAGAATGTCCACGACCACTTGACAGCAACATAGCAATGATCATGTACAGATAATTAAGATATCAGATGTTTTGCGTATTCAATGGGAGAACATGATGTGACAATTTTGACGAGCTACAACCCGACGGGAAGCGGACTAAGAAAGAGGACCGACCAAGTTTTGACGAGGCTGCGTGGAAACTAATGAATCTATATTCAACCAATTGAATTAGCTCTTATGGGTCAGAAGATATCGGCATCGGAGAAATGTTTTACACGTATTCCGTAAAGCAGCCGGTTTAGAGTACGATGGAGCATTATTTCTTTGTTGCTGTTCCTGACTAGGCAATACAGGTAATACAGGTAATACGTGTGGTTATGTAATACACAGGGGCGTCTGCATACCCCGCTATTCCCAATCGGGTCTCGTGCATTGATAGCTCCAACGACATCATTATTGGTCCCTGACATCATCACCACCTGCACATGGGAATTTTGAGCAACAAGACCATGAATCAGACCATGAACAATGAGGGGCAAATCCTGGGCAAATCCCTGGGCAAAGGCTCCGTTCGACTATGGCCAATCATGACCTCTTCTTGCCATCAAACCCATGCTTTCCAGACATTTCATCATAATTCTGGAGTCTCAAGCACAAGTGCCTGGACTCACAAGCAAATCTTCATGATTTCACCAGCTCAACCTCCGTTCTGTGTATAATTCTGCCGTGACATGTCCCACGACACAGCACTTATGTGGATCGCAGAATCATTACATACTTTCTCTGTTCTGCCCAATTCGCGCTCATGACTATTGTCATTGAGAGACAGAAACAGAGTATGACCGAAAGGAGGAAACCTCATCCATATCTCCAAGGAAACTTCGCACCGATTCATCGAGTACTACCTCTCACGTCTTGTCCCTACGATGGCGAGATCCCAAAAGAGCTTGCTGGCGGCGAGTATGTGAGGAATGGAGGAAATCCAGTGTCGAATGAGGATCTTGGACGAGATGCGCATTGGTTTGACGGCGATGGAATGTTGAGTGGTGTGGCATTTCGACGAAAGTTAGATGGATCGATCGAGCCTCAATTCGTGAACCAGTATATCCTCACGGACGCCTACCTGTCAACTGTCACAACGCCCTCTTTACGATTACCTGTTCTACCAAGCATTGCAACACTTGTGAACCCGGCATCTTCACTGGTGAAGATCATCATACGCATCTTTCGAACGATCTTCCTCGTCATCATTTCACATCTTCCAGGTTCGCAGTACGCAATCAAGAAGATCAGCGTCGCCAATACTGGAATTTTGTATCACGATGGAAGGGCATTGGCGACCTGCGAAAGTGGTCCACCGATCAGAGTCAGTCTGCCAGGCCTAGAGACGATTGGATGGTTCGATGGAAGAAGGGCAGAAGGAGAGACCATTTCAGAGCATATTGAAGGGGAAGGGTTTGGTGGAGATGGACTGATGAGTTTCATGAAGGAATGGACCACAGCTCATCCTCGAGTCGACCCAATTACGAAGGATCTAATACTTTTCCATTCGACTTTTTTCGCACCATTTGTTAATTATTCGATTATACCCAGTACGCAAAACTCATCTGTTCCACGACCTCGCCTGATTAATGCTGCTCTTCCGGGCGTCAAGTCTCCTAAGATGATGCATGATTTCGGAGTTTCTTTTTCACATACTGTCATAATGGATCTGCCTTTGTCGCTGGACCCAAGGAATCTTGCACGGAACTTACCCGTTGTTAATTATGACCCGAATGGCCGGTCCAGATTCGGTGTGCTTCCAAGGTGGAAACCAGAGGATGTCAGATGGTTCGAGACAAATCCTTGTTGCATATTTCATACTGCGAATACTTGGGATGAGATGGTTCTCAATCCTTTCACAAAGAAGCATGAGGTTGCAGCAGTAAACATGCTGGCATGTCGTTTGACCAGTTCATCCTTAGTGTTTAGTGCTGGAGACATTGCAGCTCCAGTACCTTTACCAACATCCAAACTTCTCTATCCACAAGAAGAAGACCAATGTCGACTATACTACTACCGATTCTCCCTGCTTCCCGGCTCAAACACCATCACCCACCAATTCTCCCTCTCCTCCATCCCATTCGAATTTCCATCCATCCGAGACGACGTCTCCATGGGCAAAGCCCGCTACATCTACGGCTGTTCCGTCTCCGACAGCTCATTCGGCGCCGCCCTCGGTCGAGCCGTCAAAATCGACTCCCTAGTAAAAATCGACTCCCTGGCTCTCATCGCCAAAGCCACACTCGATCCACCAACTCCCATAGTAGGATGCGTCGACACCCGCGGCGTCCCTGAAATCCTAGCCTCATCCGACCCCAACGACCCGATCAAGATCTTCAAACTCCCGCCCGGAATTTACGCGCAGGAATCACAGTTCGTGGCGCGCGAGAACGGGGAATCAGAGGATGATGGATGGATTCTCGCGTATGTGTTTGATGAATCACAGTTAGATGCATACGGCGAAGCGACTTCGGCCTCGAAGAGCGAGTTGTGGGTTATCGATGCGAGGGAGATGAGGGAGGTAGCTTGTAAAGTTAAATTACCGCAGCGTGTGCCGTATGGGTTGCATGGGAATTGGTTTTCGGAAAAGGAGATTTTGGGACAGCGGGGTGTGGAGAGTGTGAGGAGTTTGCCTGTTGCGAAGGGGAAGGTGATGGAGGAGAAGGAGGAGGGGAGTGTGTGGTGGGATGCGTGGATGGGGATGAGGAGGTGGGCGCTTGATGTTGTTGGGTAGGATGAGCGTATCTCAGCGGGTAGTATATATTTGGGTGTATTATATGCATTGATGGCGTTGGAATGGTCGTTGGGAGGTCATAATAAGGGCATCTGTTTGCTCTATAGCGAATTAACTTATACATTTCTAAGGATCTTTCCATCAAGTGAACCTCAGCTTAGTCTCTCAACTACCATCTATTTCAGCCTCCCCTTTCTCACTCCTCCCAGCATCGTAGCCTTGCATCTCTACCACACCACACCACACCATCTACCAACCTCGAATTAAAAGCAGCAACGGCATTTAAATCCCCAATTAGTACAGTATATCCTATTTAGTACACGACTCTCACGAATCCCTGATAATCCCAACCTCCGAGTTTTCACATGTCACGCAACTACTTAAGACGGACTAGAAGCCCTAATCAAGATTTCCCCAGACTGTCAAGGCGTTTATCTACCGACTGACGAAATATCGTAACATACCCAGGTGCTTTTCGAGCACCATAAAATATTCGATTTCTGGCCCCGCCCCCGCCAGCCAAGTCTAAACATTTCCTCACGCTCTGTGCCGGTTCGAGCTGTAGCTGCGGTTTTCTGCAGAAAGCCATTTTTTTGGTTCTATCTCGTAATCTAGTATGGAATTCACGACTTATCTCGACGGCGCGAGCAGCGAAAATCTGTTGTCCGTGGTTTCCGAGTCAACGAGTAGTCGCCGAGCCGTTACATGAGGCGTTGTCTTAGTCGTAAAAACAAAAGGGCAATATCTCACGAGCGCGCTTTTTTTCTCAATTCCGCGTCTTCATCCCGCTGTAAACTACCTAGGTACCTATGCATTTCACGATATCTCAAAGCCATGAACCCGTTCTTGCCGACCCGGTTCCGGTTCATCCGCGGGGGCGTTGACAGGCTGTGTAAGTGTTTCTAGCGTTTCTTGGTATATGCTTCTTTGGGTGGTTCACAGTTAGTTTTGTGTGCAGGATTTTATTTTCCTTTTGCGACAACTACCGAGTATGAGAATCGGGATTCGGCACTTGGGCCGCGGTAAATGGACAGGGAGGAGGCATATGATTTGTGTGGTAAGCTGTGATTTGCGAAGTCAGATGTATCATATGATTGGCAGAAAAGTTTGTATGCACAGGGAGGTTTTGATACGGGAAAATATGAAATGCACAGGGAGGAATTGAGGGGAAATGCATATGAAGATGTCGTGTGACAGTCAGATGGGTTTGGAGATTTGAGATGGATATGGAGAATTTCAGATGGGTTGGGGATGGGAAGGGAAGTTGGAATCGAGACAGTATCGGCATTATTGGTAAACGGAATTGAAATCGGAATGGTAAAAGGAAAGAGGTTGAGATGGGATTTTTATTAGGTCCCGAAGATTCCCGTTAGGTTTGTTAGGATGTTCTAGATTCCTGTGATAATAGATGGAATTATCAATGATAAACCATCTGAATAAAGTACCTAACGAGATTTTATTAGAGATGTAGCGAGGTACTATTTACGTAACCTCCTTTCCCATCCAGCACTCATGGTAGAGCCGTCGAAACACGACATATGCCCTGAAAAGTCGACGAAATACCAAAGAAATAGCGTTAATCAAGTTGACAAAATGTAGTATACTTTGGCTGCATTTTCAAACATCAAGAACATTTAACCCCACCTAACATACAATTTCATCGTATCTCGTCCAATATGTTTTGTCTAGGCAAACAATTTCCAATCCATCCTCCTCCTACCATCACATGCCTTAACACATGGCTGCACGCACCCCAAAACGATCCATGCACCACCGCTGCAAGGTTGTGCGCTAGCTACATATTCAATCAAAGCTTGATTCGTGATGGCGATCGATGGGGGGGTTTTGGATCGGGCGAATTGAATGAAGTTAGGGTTGTTTCACGACAGAGACGGTGATGGGGTGTGATTTGTTGAGAAAATAATGGTTTGGTGGTCAGATTTTTCTATGCGGGCTTTGGAGGAGAGATGAAGAGGTGGAGGGGAAGGGGAGAAGAGGGAGGATAGGTTTGTATGCGCTCTTCGCCAGCGTCAAAGGAGATACTCTTTCAATGATTCAGTAATAATTCAAACATGAAAGTTTCCTTATCTTTTCCAACATTCTAAAACTTAAATTATCAGCTCTACAACAGCTCAAACAGCTCAATCACAAAACCTTGGCACAACCAACCCCTGCACAACAAAACTACGCTAAGCCTTAAATCCAAGCGAACCTCCAAAAGAAATCTCTGACATCACCTCGTTGTGCATTTCCTCTATCCAAACAAACGTTTGCCCGCACTGTGATACAACCTCGCAGAGCAAATGGCAACAAGCAGAGGGTGAGAATACAAATGACAACAAGTACCGCTTTTCTTGGCGAAAAAGTATACCTCAGTCGTTGTATGCAAAGCAAAGTTAGAACTACTACTTCCAAGGAAGTACCTCCGTCAACGGTTCCGGCCCGGTACTGAAGACTTTAATTTTCCGCGACTAGGTCAAAGGACGGGAATAAGTACGAAGTGCCTTTGACATGAATCATTAAGTGGGGATGCGAATGACGCAGTACATACAAAGAGTATTATCTCAAACGTCTTTGATACTGTACGGTACCTCCAAAGTAGAGGGCTAGAACTCTGCAATGTTCTGTCATCGCCGATTTTCATTTCTAAGGAGATGGCAGGCTGGAAAGCTTCTCAAGGCTTGAGTCGATTCGCTAAGGAGCTAGAAAGGGTGATGCCGATTCTGCCGTTTGGTTGATCAAGGGATGCATTTTACTAGGTGATTGGTTGATAGAGCTATGCTGTATCAGGTTACATTGTCTGAGAGTCATCTGCCCTTCCCTATGTGGCGTGTCGCGATACGTGCCGGTGCGTGGTGGAAAGCGCGAATAGGCAATCTGCACAACGTCATTACTTTGTAACGTCAGGGTGTGAGGGAACACTCTTATATACGACAGTTCCCTATTCCAGCAAGAAGTAATCAGCTTGAGTTCATTGCAACAACATACGTATCTGAGACTGAGACTGAGATTGAACCTTTCTTGGACGAATAACTAGCTACCAAGATGGAGAATATTTTCAAGAGAGCGGGCAATGATGCCTTGAGGGAGAATCCAAATTCGATGGTCTACCCAAGAGTGTCGGATATCAACATCACTATTCGTGGTTCCGATTGGTATTGGTAAGTTATTCCACACCCATCACACAAAGTCATGCTAATTCATCAGGGCTGTTACCGCTGTCATGGGTGCCGCAACACTCGTCTTTGTCGCCCTGGCATTCAGAGTTCCTCGCTCAAAGCGAATCTTCCACTACATCACCGCCGCCATCACCATGGTTGCGACCATTGCTTATTTCACCATGGGATCCAACCTAGGATACGCGGCTATTCCAGTCGAATTCGTTCGATCGAACCCCAAAGTCGCCGGGACGGCCCGTGAGATCTTTTACGTGCGCTACATCGACTGGTTCATCACGACACCAGTAAGTCACCTCACACACCCCATAATTCACAATCTAATTGTATCAGCTCCTCCTCCTCGACATCATGCTCACAGCCGGCCTCCCATGGCCCACAATTCTCTACACGCTCCTCCTCGACGAAATCATGATCGTCACCGGTCTCGTCGGCGCCCTCGTCGAATCCCGCTACAAATGGGGATATTTCACCTTCGCCATGGCCGCCCTCTTCTACATCGCCTACAACGTCACCTGGGTAGGCCGCAAACACGCCAACGCCCTTGGCTCCAACATCGGCCGCACCTACCTCATGGTTGGCGCCTGGACCATCTTCCTCTGGTTCCTTTACCCCATCGCCTGGGGACTCAGCGAGGGTGGAAACGTCATTGCTCCGGATTCTGAGGCCGTGTTTTACGGTGTCTTGGATATCATGGCTAAGCCTGTCTTTGGCGCTCTTCTCCTTTGGGGTCACCGCAATATCGATCCTGCGACTCTCGGTCTGCATATCCGCGATTACGACGATGCCATGCACCCATCTGAGAAGAGTGGTTTCGGCAGTGCCGCGGCCGCGAACAATGGTGCTACGGGTGGTGTGACGGGTGCGAATACTGCGCCGGGCGTGCATAATGATACCACGGCTACTGCTGCTGTTTAAGCAAGCGAAGCAGGCGGGCAACGGGATTGCAGATTGCATATGATACCTTGATCACCGTGCTCTTGTAGCAGGTGACGGATTGTCTTTGACAGACAGACAGCGGATGCTTTTTCATTCTTTTGTATTTTTAAATGAGGGGATGTGATGAGAGAGGGGTAATAGGTGGTAATCAGCATGGCATTGTTAATACATTTTAAATCTTTATATCAATTCCTTGACGTGATTTGCGACTGTCTTCTAAGAGTAATGTTTCTACCACGGAGAAAACTTCGAAACCTCACTTTACTTTCAATGCACAATGATACTTATTGGATTTCCTATCTCTTTCCTGTTTAAAACCCCTAAAACCTTCTGACCTCTCTACCTCTCTCCCATCGCTCACTCCCCGACCTCCCCTCATCTCCAATACATCATACCAATCCCACCAACCATCGCTCATTCCAGGTCCCTCCACCACACTCGCCAAATGCCTCAAATCCCCCCCTCGCCCTTCGGCGCCCAACAGGAATTCAAGTCCACCCCACATCTCCCTAGTAATGTGATCCCACAGAACTCGCTCGGAATCCCGCACGTCACGGGAAAGAGGCTCTCACGAGGGGTGGAAGTGTCAGCTCACGTGATCTGAGATATCTCGTTGCAGTGAGGGAGAAGATGAGGGATGGGGGTGAAGACGTAATGGGTAGATAGGTAAGATTGAAGTGTTTGTATCTGAGGTGTTGGAGGTTTTCGTGAGCGAACGTGTTATTGGAGAGGTAAGTAAGGGAAGTGCGTTATGCTTCTGGCGATTGGCTGGGTGCGTGGGTGGGTTTTCGAATGCGTTTGAAGCGTCTGTGTGGTTTGAGGGGGTACGGGTAAGGTTCCCTGAGCGTTGCGTTTATGCTGGGTAGGTCGGCAAGGGAGTTTTCGCATCGTGAGCACCGTCAAGAGGAAGTTGGTCGCCGTAGAGGATCCTTTAGAGTGCCAGTGGATGAATGAATGTCTTGTCCTGGGGCTTTTCTCGCGCGTGAAGGTCGATTGTGTAAAGGTATGGAACGTGGGTGAAGGATTTCACGTCGTTTTTGGGGGAGATGGTGTGGATTTCTTCGGTGATCGCGAGAGGGTTGTATAGGTGGTTCGCGAGTGATTTGGTGGATATGAGGATGCGTGGTTGATGATTTCGAACGTCAAGTGTTTTCATAAAATGGACGTTCTTTTGTATATATTGAGATTCCGAACTTGTGAGTTTATGTTTGTGATATGAGATGTGAAACATCTCACGAGAGGGATGTATTTCGTGCTTGTAGTTTGTCTGTCATACATTATTTCGAACGTTACACTTACTAGACGGAATAAGTGGTAAGCGGAATACGATGTTTGTTTGGTGGAGTTGACGGATTATCGTGTTTCGTGGATCACAGGATGTTTTGCATTCTAAGGTTTCGAAATTAAGAAATCCTGTTGAGAGATCTATGTAAGCCATTACGGTCGTGTGTACAAGCGATATAGTAAGGTGATGGAATTGAGTCTGGAGCGTGAATCTTAGATGGGATTGGAAGACTTGATGGAAGATTAAACTTTTAATAATCTACTTATAATCACCCATTACCACAACATCTACACCAAGAAACATTACTTTACAGTCCCTGCTACTAGAACTCAAAACCCCTATCGCCCTAAGGGAAAAAATGAGGGGTGGTGTTTTTGGAGTTGGGTAAATTGTGGAACTTGTCGGATACATGTTGGGTGAGCTGTGTTCTTGCTGTTACTGAAAATAGCAAGATTGGTTATGTAGGTGGTATAAGATGGAAGCAGATTAGTATCTACGTACGGGCTGTTGGAGGATACGGAGAAAGGGATTGTTAAAGTGAATGAGGGTTTTGGATGGTGGGTCGTGATTGAGGTTGAAGTTTGCCGTGTGAAGGCGTGTAATGGAAAGTGTGAGCTGTAAGGTGTCAATAAGCGTGGAAATGGAAATTCAGAGTTTAAGATTGACATAATTTACTTAAAGAGCAGCGGTATTGATTCAAGATTTAGTACTTAAAAAATATAAGAAAGCCAGCAGTGTTCGGTATTCTAAAGCTTCCTCGCAATGCTTACAAGACTTTTGAATTCAGGTTTCGCTGAATTGTATATATCTGAGACATCCTCCAGCGTAAACCTCATAATCTCGACCTCTGTTCCTATTATTACTACCGAGGGCTTACCTATCTACCATCTCTCCCATCTATCTATTTAATCGCTACCTAGACGGCCGTAACTCAATCATATAACAACCTGGTTTAGCGAGGATATAAAGGGCGTTGAACGATAACCCTCTTTCACAAATCATTTCCTTAATTACTAGTCTGCTTGCATAACCAGATCGTATCCCCGGAGAACTTGGTTGGGAATTGGCGAAACTTGCGGATGAGAATGTGGGAGTTTCGACACAGGTTTTGATACGATTTTTGAGCACTGGGTGATAGGAACGAGCGGTGGGATTTTCTTGGTTTTGTGTATAGACAAGATGGGTAGGAGGCGACTGTGATACTAGTGCGTTTAAGTTTATGTCTCTTCTGGTGTTCTCGGTGCATGAAAAGTTTTAAGCGAGGCAGGTTGTGTTCAGAAAGCGAAATGAATTGTCCAGTGTGTTTTGTAAGATATATCGAAATATCAGAGTAGACAGGAGGGTTTCGCCTTTGTAGGCCTATGATACAAATTGGGAGGGCGATCTCGAAGGGATTTATAAGTAAGTCACTTGTGAGGATGATTGATGTATCTAAGTAATTAAACTCATCAACATTACTCTGGTTCTAGAAACCTATCGACTCAGGTTGATTGGTGCATTTAACATTGCCAGATCAACTCATTTGACATCGAGTGACTGAATATGTTTAGCGAGGTATGAGGTGAGAAGGCGGAAGGATAAACACGAGATACTTGGAAAAGAAGAATTGGTTTTAGGTCTTGGTGCAGCCAGGGATTACAGACGTAAGTCTAATTTATTTAGAAATTAAGAATATAAGATTGCATCTAGTAGTAAAAGAGTCAAAAGGTGTAGTTCATAGGTGATGATTTCGAGATAGGGCATTATAGAGAGATTTATTATACATAACAGAGGTTGTCTTCAGTATACACAGGTCTTGCAAACAAAAGTAAATAACTATTCCCTTCTCCCAAGGTCTAACTAAGCCACAAACACAAAAGCAACAAATATTAGCTCGATAAACCTACCTTTGCATTCGCACCTTAGAATCACAAAAACCCCCAAAAAGTGCCAGTGAATCAACCTCATCCACCACCCAAAAATATCTCCAAAAAAATAGTTAACGTACAAGTGCGAGATCCGAAGATCGAGATATCATCAATCAAACGTCCCCTACCAACCCAACCGCTCCCAACTCTATCACAAGGAATTAAGGAGAGGGAACGAAGCACCAGGTGGGGATGCCTAGCTTGGGGATGCGCGTCGCCTTTCGGCAGCGATCGAGTCTTCGGTTCGGTGTGATTTGATTCGTTGAAGGGTTTTGGTTTATTGGGGTTTATTAAGTAGAAAAGGCGGCGGAGACTGTGGGGGGAGGGGTGAGGTGGTGAGGTGAATGTGAAGTGAATGTGAGTGTGTGGAGATGTCGAAATCAAGGCTTCACGGCTTAGATCGATAGGGGAGAAACCTAGCCGGTGTTAAGAGGGGCCTCTTGCTACGCTAGAATCTGGAGAAATTCAGGTAAAAGCTCGAGAGATGTTTACTTATTCATCTAATGGGATGTGGAGAGTTGGGAAACGTCTTGGTTTCTAAAAACATTCCATTTCTAGTATCGTTTAATCTACCGCGAACAACCCAAAGATCCTAATATATATCTTATAATCTCCCCCCCCTCGCACAAACTAAATTAAGCCAGATAAATTTCTAAGGTTTTTGTGATGAAGAAGAGGTTAGAAATCTCAACTATTGATTTCGTTCGAGACAGCCAGTCTTAATTCCAGGGGTTCTATCGACGAAGGATATGATAACTTGTCACCTTAATTGAGGAAATATAACACATTTTGAATACTTCTTCGTCTGCGTCTAGCAGCTCACCATGTGAGACCATACCTCCTAACCAAGGATTGAAATCCAAAGATACCACCAAAAGCAAATTGCTTACCATATCTTCAAAAGACCTCAAGAGGCTAGCATATCAACCAAGAAACAGATATTCGGATAATACACATATTCAATTCATTCATATGTAATTTACATATATCACACTTCTCTCTATCCTCCCCTTTTCTCTATCTCTCACACACAAAATCCAAACGTTCTTCAAAACCCCCCACACCCCAACCAAGAAACTCCATCCATCCTTCATCCAACCAAACAAAGTAAAATATCACACATCACATTATATCAAAACCAAACAATTACAAAACGAAAACCCCGACAACAGCACAAACGATCATAGCCAAACCAGACGCTCCCATCTTGGATCCCGCACCCGTGCTAATCGGCGCGGTGGGCACCGGCGACGCAGGAGCGCTGGCTGGAGTGGTTTGCGCAACGGCTTTGTTTCCACCGACTACGCTTGGAACGAGCGGGCCTGGGATGAGTGAGACAGGAATGACTTCAACGGTCTTGACGCCTGTCGCAGTGCTGAAGCCTGTTGGGATTGGGAAGCAGGCGGAGCCAGTGGCAGTGCCGTAGCACTTGACTGGGCCGGCGGTGGAAGGTGTTGGGTAAGGTGCGACTGGGGTAGCGAGGACGGTTGCGGTGGAGAGGGACAGGGTGATTTGGACGGTGGAGTAGCGGGTTGACTTGTCGTAGATGGTTGTTGTGCCGCTGAGGGTTGGGACGGGGTAGACGGTTGTGTACACTGGGATTGTAGCGGTGGAGGTAGAGCCTGGGCAGTTGACAACGCCTGGAGCGCAGGCTGTTACGGTGACGACCTTGGTAGTGTAGATGGTAGCAGTTGTAAATGGAACTGGGGCAGGTGCCGGAGTTGCAACTGCACCGCTGTTTCCGCTGACGGGGCAGACGGTGGTGCTGACTGCGACGATTTCGGTGGTGACTGATCCTTTACCTGGGCAGTTTGGTACTGATGGTGGGCAAGCTGTGACGGTGTAGATCTTGGTTGCGTAGATGGTGCTTGTGGTGTACTCTGCAGGAGGGGCTGGCGCTGGAGTCTGAATAGAGCCGACGGGGCAGACGGTTGTGTACAGAATCTTTGTCTCGGTGACGACTGAACCAAGAGGACAGTCGGTTACGGTTGGGGGACACTTGGTCACTGTATATACCGAGGTGGTCAGAACAGTGGAGGTGGTCATTTCAGTACTAGTAGGTGCCGCAGTTGTCACGATTGTTGATGGAGTTGTGGATGGGCTAGTCGATGTGCTTGTCGTAGGAACTACTGTAGTCACGACAGTTGACGATGAACTCGTGGTTGGGCCAGTGGACGTGGTGGTCGTAGAGTTTCCAAAAGGAGGCGTGAAAGTTGGGAACTTGCTTGAGCTGGTGCTGGTAGTCAAATCAGTAGAGCTAGTCTCACTAGTTGATGTTGGGTCAGCTGAGGAGGTGGCGCTTGATGTGGTCTCCGTAGAGCTTGAAGCGGAGGTAGAATCAGTTGTGGTGCTTGAGCTTGTAGCAGAGGTGTCGGTACTTGACGTAGTTCCAGTAGAAATACTGCTAGAGACGGAAGTCGAAGTGGTCGGGTCCACAGTAACGCTTGAGCTCGTAGCGGAAGAGCTGGAGCTTGAAGTGGACGTTTCTGTGCTTGAAGTAGAGCCAGTAGAGCTGGTACTTGAGACGGAGGTTGAGGTAGGATCGACGCTGGAGCTTACAGAGCTTGAAGCAGAGCTCGAAACGGAGGTTGAGCTTGTTGGGTCTACACTGGAGCTTACAGAGCTTGAAGTAGAGCTCGAAACGGACGTCGAACTTGTTGGGTCTACAGTGGAGCTTACAGAGCTTGAAACAGAGCTTGAGACTGAGGTTGAAGTAGTTGGGTCGACTGTGGTGCTTGAAGCAGAAGAGCTTACGGAGGAGCTCGAGGATGAGCTGGACGAAGAGCTGGAGCTGCTGGTTGACGCGATGCTAGACGATGAGCTGGACGAGCTGGAAGTTGGCAGAATGGTAGATGAGCTGGACAAAGAGCTAGACGAAGAGCTGGAGCTGCTAGTCGGTGTAACGCTGGATGAAGAGCTAGACGAAGAGCTGGAGCTGCTAGTTGGCGCAATGCTAGAGGAGCTGGACGAAGAGCTGGACGAGGTAGATACAACGCTGGAAGATGAGCTGCTGGAAGAAGAGCTTGTTGGTTTCACAGAGCTTGAGCTGCTGGAAGAAGAACTTGTTGGTTTCACGGAGCTTGAACTGGAAGAAGAACTTGTTGGCTTGGAGCTCGTAGATGAGCTCGTTGGCTTAGAGCTTGAGCTGGAAGAAGAACTTGTTGGCTTGGAGCTCGTAGATGAGCTCGTTGGCTTGGAGCTCGTCGATGAGCTGGTTGGTTTCGCCGTCGTTGTCGTCGATGTAACCGGAAGAGGGCAGGCGCCGCCAGCTGGAGGAGGCTTGATACCCTTGAGCGAGTTGGCAATCATCGTGTAGTAAGGAGCACATTCGCACTTGTTGTTGATAGAAGCAGTCGCATCCCACAACATAACACCTCCAAAGGCAGAATCTCCCTTGTACGCGCTGATGAGGGTATCAGCCTCAGTGGCACTGATGTAATCACCGAAGTTTGCTGGTGCGCAAGATCCTATAGTATTGACAGGTCCTCCTTTCAATCCGATATAGATCTTGGCTCCACTGCTCGCTCCACCAGCAATTGTGGTCTTCCAAGCATTGTAATTCCAGTTCGTAGGTTTCTTCTCAGGTTTGCCAGGTGTCCAGTTTGGGTTTTCGTTTACCCAATTTCTTGCGTTACACCCGTAACCTCCATTGGGAGCTCCGTTGTTGTAAAATTGAATGAAAAGCAAATCGAACTTAGCGCTGTTGATCATGACACCTTGGTTCGCTTCAGGAAGTGGACATTGGGGGGCCCCAGTGATGAGGTATTTCTTTCCAGTTTTGACAGTGGCGAAGTTGGCACGAAGAGCGTTGATGGCCGCAATGTATCCGGCTTGCACATCTATAAAGTTATTAGTACCTGTTTTAATCTACGACAGTTTGAGAAACAAACCAGTTGAAGGATGTTCGATATCAAAGTCAAATCCATCGATATCGATAGTAGTCTCCATTGATGTGTTGTAGAGCCCACGGTCTAATGGTCGAGGTCCGGTGTACCCTGGTTGGATTGGTCCATAAGCTTTCCACAAGGCATTTCCAAATGCAGTTCCAGCAGGGGCTCCAGTCAATTGATAACCACTTGATCCACCTCCGAGCGATAAGATGATCTTCTTGCCAATCGACTGGCAGTAAGGAATGTCTTCTTGGACCTCAGGGCATCGGTTGTAGATATCCGTTCCCCAGCATTTATTTCCAAAGTCCTGTACCCACTGTCCGTTGTTCTGTTGAGGGAAGATGTTGACGAAGCCAATAGGAATTATATCGATACTGCTCTCGTCGCAAAATGTTCTGAGGCGCTGCTGGTTAGCTCCTGAACCCTACGCGATTGTTAGTGTCATCCCGGAATAACTCATATCCCCATTACATACCCAGTACACAGCAACATTAGGAGCGGCGAAAGTTGGAGCAATTAAAGACAAAGCAGCAGTAGCCGCGAAAAGTGTGTTTGAGGAATACATTATAAGAGTTTAGGGGTATATAATCTAAAAGATTGTGGTATGGCCGAGGCCGGTAGAGAATGTGATGACTAGATTGTCAATGAAAGGACGCAAACAAAAGTCTGCAACAGCGCAATGGCCGTAGGAAAGGGCGACAACGAGGGGGGGAGACGTTGAAGAAGTTGTCGGTAGAGAGGGAAAGAAGGGAAGAAGCAGACGTGAAGAGGAAAAGCCATAGTATTGATACAAACGCTTAGCGAGTTGGAAGATTTTGCTCATTGGCTGAATCCGAGTGAAGATGCCAGGATAATTTCGGTTCCTGGGCTAAAATTGACAGACGACGTAGCGGCACGGCCTAGGAGACGGGAGGAAAGTGGTCGAGGTCAGCAATGAGGGGCTTGATAGGCTGCAGACTGTGACCAAAAAGGGTATTTCATGCATTCTCTCAGCCGGTCGACAGCGCTAGTATTTTTGACATTAAAACTGTCAACACTCACACTCTTCTTCAGACGTCCTACCTCATTCTTCCGCTGAAATGTGAATGGAAAGAGTCTTTTGCTTTTCCTCTCTCACGTGGATGCCATATTGATCTCCAAAGGCCTAGGCATCAATGTGCTGTCGACTTTCCTAACCAGGAAACAAGCGAGCCTTCAAATTGCGGGTTCTCGTTGCTGACATGGACCACAAATCCATAAGCCCGGCTTAAAATCTCTCCATGAGCGGAGAACACGATCGTCTGATTCCGGTTTCCGCGTATTTGAGCCTCACTTGAGTCACCTCAGACTTCATGATGTCGCGAGAGCGTCATGGGTAAAAGCGCGTGCCCAGAGACAACACAACCACAACAACATAACCACATGCTTCCAGGAGATGCGAAGAACTTGATGACCGATCCCGTCCAACAATACTCATGGCTGACCATGGCAGCGGAAAATGGCGCGCGCGTCGGTGGAATTATTTCTGGGAGCTGTCCTGGGATGAGAAAGGGGTTCTAGAGGGCGATCAAATTCAGGGGTAATTTGATGCCAAGTTTCGTACCTGACTAGACCCTTTCTGTGGCTTTTTGACGAGCCTGCCAATCACTGGAGCGCGCCGACGCCGCCCGTCCGGTTTAGGATCGGCCAAGTACGAAATGACCTGTGCTTGAAATTGTGCGATTCTCCATAAATTCCCGTTCTTTCGTAAAATGTTGTCGAATCAGCGGGATTCTTCAAAGTCAAAGCGACAATCCATACCTCGGCCCGTGGGCCAAAATCAAACTTTCTCATCTTGTCCCACAGTATTTTGATGAGCGAAGATCGACGTGGTGGAAGCTCAAGATTTAGAGTTTGGATCTCGTACCTTATTTTGACTCGAAGGGCTTGATTCAGATTCAGTAGAAAGACTAGATCATAAGGGAATGACTCTCGACGTGATCATGAAAGTCCATGATGACACCTTCTAGCTGTGAAACTGGTATTCGAATCCCTCGATCTGCGAACGGACGAAATAACTCTGCGATTCAGGTAACACAAACCGGTCGTCTACGTCCTTTTTCGAGTCTTGTCCACCTAGTCATTCCGTACCATCAGTAGTAATTCATCGAAAAGACAACTGCTCTGCCATCGGCGACTTCTCCTGTCTAGTAGTAGATATGAGAAGAAAATGTTGGAGCGCAGGTTGAAGTGAGTTCCGCTCCTGTCCCCAAAAGAGAGTTCCCAAATTCGAATAGCACAATTTCCATATCGAAAAGTTTTCTTTTTGCCAAACTTCCTTCATCCGCAGCGCTCAGAATCATGCAAAATATAGACCCCCATGATGATTACTGCCGTCTCCGCCTCGGAGTGAGCGACAAAAAGCATTTCTCGTGACGCTTTCCGGCGTTGTCCAATGAAGCAAAAACGTGCTTGTCGAGCGCAAGAGTCGCAATTGCTTATTCCGCCTTTCAATTCTGCTGTTGCCGCCGAGTCGAGAGAAACCACAAAAGACACAGTCAGAGAAAGCGCGAAAAGTGCATTCCGTTCGATAACCAGCGCTTCAAGACCGCTTTAAACTCCTGTCGAGCGACATATGACTTCTCCTCGATCATATAAACACTTCAAGCCCTAGCTGTATCAGTAAATGCTCAAGAAAAGGGCTCTGCGAATCACAAGAATCACGGTATGTATTGATACCACATACCTATTGTAAAGTCAAAAACATTGGATCCTATGTCCTGATGTGCCAGCAACAATGAATTGAGGTTGGATTTTCATTGCTATGCGACGAAAAGTGAGGAATGAGGTCGCGAGAGTGGATCCTACGAAGTATTGTGGCATGTGTTACAATAGGAGTTGTCTTGGCGCTCCTCGATATTGTGCATCGAGACATGGCCACTCTATGGTGTCATACCTAGGAAAGGAAAGTGTTCTATGTTTGGTTTGGTACTAATTATAATGGCAAAAAAAAAAAGCTTCTTTCAATCCTCATTTATCTCTGATGTACGGTAGATAAAAGTCACTGAAACCCCATGACTTTCAATATTCCTTGGATAAATGAATATGGCATTCTGTACAAGGTGGACATAGCCGACAGAATATGGTATATATAGGCCTCCAACACCACGCTAAATGACAGAAATTCATGTACAAGACCAAAGCTAACGAGAAAACTTTAATAATCGTCTCCTCCTCCAGCATCACCGTCACCGTCATCAGCATCATCCCCGTTGTCGAAATACTGTTCGGCATTGTAATCACCTCCCATATCTTCATCTTGATCCTCGAAATCATCATCGACATCTGTCAACAAAGTTAGCTTTGCTAATTGAATGTAAGCATCCGCGCATCATACCTTCATCATCGGGGTTTTCTTCATCAGGATCCGCAATTTCTTCATCATCTCCCATAGCCGCCAGAATTGTTTCCAACGCCTGACCCTTGTTGGCCTTAATTCCCATCATGGCGGCTTTCTTCTGCATAGCCCCATTGATCGATTTGCGAACTTTCTCTCCCTCTTCGCCTTCGAGTGTTGGCCACAGTTCTTTTGGAAAGAGATCCTTGTCTGTCACATCTTAGCATACTGGACTGAGCCATATTTTGATTGGGACCACTGACTGAATGGACGACCTGACAACTTTGGGATAACATTCTTCTTCGGCAGGTATCTCATTGAATACGTTTCGACCGCTGTAAAGGGATCCAAGTCTGCTTTGGGATTGGTTCCATATTGTTGGTTGAACTGATCTTCATTAAACGTCTTCGCAGGATTTTCGGCATTGCGCCTCGTAGATTGGGTATATAAGGGGCCACGATGTATTTGGGTCTGAAGGGACTTGTAATGATCGAATTGTCGTACTTCGACGTCCGTAAAGGGTGCTGGTTGTTTGAGGTGAGGGTGGTCCTGAAAATTGTTAGATAGTTATGCGTGAGCTAGAAAAGAAACGAGCGTACTGGATAATTTGGTCGAGGCCCCGTCTCAATCAGGTCTACGTAGTCATTCGTTGTATCCCATGTTGCACCCTTCAATCCTCCCCGGTTACCTCCACGCCCGCCGCGAGACATGATGGCCGACTTCTGATCCTTCTCGTCGGCGCAATGAGGGGTCGAGAGCTTGGATGACTCGAAGCTTTGCACAAGGAAATGAGAGCTATGCGCAACCAAATAATTATATCAAGACTACCACTGGGAAGATGGGAAACAGATGAGATATAGAGTATCTGCGTATAATTATATGTAAAAGAGAATGGAAATATTGTACAAGAATGACATGAGAAATAATCTCGATGTTGGTGGGGTCCGACCCTTGAACTTTCTGGTTCAAGCTGGAGGAAAGATTCGCCGATCCGACAAGACATCAGCATCGTTCCGGATGCTCCAAAAATGTAGAACAACATGCTGCGCATTCTTGAATCTGAGATACTATATCATCGCGAGCTTGGAGCTTAGTATAACATCAAATACAAAAATATCGGGACTCAGACTCCATCACTCGTGGAGCTATTTGCAACTTGGCAGCACCAAGCTCCATACCATTTCTATTCCAGGGAACACAAGAACACTCTACGCCACTGGTTTACTTACAAATTTCTCCCAGAATATCAGTGGAGATGGCCCAAGTCAAGGTATCTGGCTTGGAAGATCTTGAGGCGCATCTACGACAAGTCATAGCCTTCCCAGATACCCAACTTGATGCAAAATTATTCGACGATGTTGAGCTACAACTCAATGGTAAGTTTTACCTTTGTCAGTTTGTAGCTTGAGACGGTCTGTGGATCAGAGGAAATGTTGTCTTGCCCAAGGCGAAAGAGATGAAATAAAAGATAGGCGCATATACTAATGATAACAGAGACAAATATTCCACCTATCATCCCACGATTACTTCCCCAATTAACTCAAATCCTTCTGACGTACGAGAAAGATCCAAGTCTCCTAGCCAGTATGATCATCAAACTTCTACGTCCTATGAAATTCACTGAAGCTCTTACTTTGGCCTCTGAGGATGCACTAATTCAAGCCTTACGCTCTCCAGCACCTTCAGCGAATCTGTTAGCTATGACGATTATTGGCAAGGCAACTCGAAGTCCAGGAGATACAGCAATTTTATCAATCATGAAGGGTGTGATCGAGAGTCTCATCCATACGTGGCTAAGTACACCACACGTAGAGGTTGGTGAGAGGGCAACACAAATGCTCGGCGATCTGCTAGAGGTCGACTGTGATAGGAGGATCTCTGCTGGAATTGACACCAAAATGAGCGGCTTGCAAATTGCTGGTGGGATGGCCCCGGGTCAAGGTCTTTTATGGAGGCGTATTTTTCATGATCGTGAAATATATGGCCTGCTTTTATCGCTTTGCAGCTTCCATACTTCGGGGGACGGCGAACATCAGCTAGATAAAAGACAGAAATCACTTGCACAAGGTCGCTTACTACGACTACTGCCCCGGCTGTCGTGTCTAGACTTCTACACTGTCAGTCATTCGCAATTTCCAGATATTGATCGTCAGTATGGTATTCCCGATGGAGAGGAGGGTCTCCTGTATTTCGCGATGGTCGATATGGTGAACAAGGAGGAGGACATGCTCATGCATATCACCCTCATAGACCTCTTCGTTGAGTTGCTGGTAGTCATGAGCACGACCGAGCTCACCCAGACCACGATGAAGTACCTAGCAAATCTGGTCAATACGGTTGCTGGAGCAGATAAGACACTTTACAAATCTCTCGAATCCATTGCGAGAAATCCTGAATCACCACCAGAGCTTGTCGACCTTTTAGTAAAGTTGAGCGAGTAGTATGTCTTTCAAGACAAACAGCACGTCGACCAATACACCTGTTTGACTGAATGCTCCACAGGAGATCGCGATTTACCCAAAGCTGGCATAGTCTTTGAGCAACCTAAGCAAGTACAGGCTTGGTTCAAACAGTTAAAGTGGCAACATTATCATCTCTGTAGCGACAATTGAAGAGCTGAGGCTGGCAAGCATTTGACATAGTTTTACAGTCCTCGCCACACAAGCTGTATCTACCCCAAAGCAGTTAAATACCACAAAGTATGTCTTGTGGCAACAGCATGGCGTTATGCCCTATGTGTCGATAGCCAAGTTCACTTTGTATTTTAGCATGTGTAATGTTGAAAGGACGGTTTGGCAGAGCCTCTAACAACTAGTTGGCTTTTGCTCAATTTGAACTTGGTTTCCCCTGCCGTCAAGCGACAATTGTGCTCTGGAAGCTATTCCGGCAAAAGACTCTACAGTCCACCTCATTATCAAACTCTTTTGTTATCGGTACTTTCGCCTTGGTAACTTGCTTTCAGACTGTGCTAAAATCGATGGTTGCAGTGATTGACCTGGGAAGGAACCAAGTGGTTCCCTGGTTCATTCCCAATCACGGCTGGTAGAAACGTCAATGTGTTCGTCACTACCAACATTTCTAGTTAACAGGATACTTGTTTCATGATTGAAAGATTTGTTCATATGGTTCATGGTATCTAAAATGAGCGTGAGGTGTCTAGAGTTAGTTCCTTATGTCCCTCCCTGATGCGCTGCCGGATAAAATCTACATGGCGGTTCCAGGAAGCTTCGTCAGCCCTAGAATCATGTCAGTTCATATTGCAGCATGTCATGCCACTCGCGGCTGGACTCACATCCATCAACATCCTCCTTGACAGTCTTTGGAATAGTACATTTTGCTGCAGCTGCATTGTCCTGAGACTTTTGGTTCCCGCAAGTTGCGCTAAAACATCCATTGTCGTCCATTGCTCTCTGAAGCGCATCACCCTTCCAGCCAAAGACGTAGTCACCGTGTTGACCATAACCAGTGTTATCTCCTGTGCTCAAGACGAACGGTTGAGATCCATCCGCCGGCCACTCAGCTTTGTTGTTGAATCCTGTGGTATCCCAGACCACCTACAAACATATTAGCCATTGAGTTGTCATATCGCAACAGACTCTACGATTTACCTCGAGCATGAGCTGTGGAATTTTGATTGGGTGAGTCGAAGGACAATTGCCAGTTGACAAGAAGTTAGATGGTCCTGCAGTCGGGTATGCGACATGGTCTTTGTGATTTGGACTGTCGAGGTCCTTTCCATTCCAGCATCTAGTATACTGTTAACTGCAACTCCCACAGTTTGACTAGCTTCTCGGTAAACCTACGTTGGATAAAGAACATTAGATCGGATGCCACCCAAACAAGGTCCTGTCGGGAAACCTTCAAAGTCAAGTTTCGCGTCACTGCAAGGCGCTCTGTCATCACCACCAAAATTTGGACCAGAGTAGCAACGGAAACAACTCTGCGACTTGTAATTCTTAGTTCGTCTCATCGGATCGCCGACGAACATGCGGAACCCCTGCAGTACATGTAAGTACTTCATCGCACATCAAATATTCGAGGGAGCTATCTCACCGGCTTAAAAGCAGTAACCGTCCCCTTCTTCGGCGCAATATAATACACCGTAATCCCCCCATTAGTCTGCGTCGTAAACTTATCATTAAACAAAAACCTACACCCCATTCATCAGCATTCCATCTCTTCACCTCCATCTCTTCCCCTTCCCCTTTTATCACCACATACCTATTAGGCACCTGCGGCACCCTCTTATACGTCCCATTCCGCGCCTTGAAATACAGATTCGCTGTCCAATAATTGCTCAGATCATCTGCCGGTCCGCAGGTTGTACAAGACGCTTCTTTCGAGATGTCGGATAGAGGCATGGATGCGTTAAACGCGTTCCCACCTACGACCTGGTGGATGTGCGGTGTTGGAACCATGCCCGAATTCACGAGCGGGTCGAGCCGCTCGACTGTTATTTGGGAGCAGCCGAAGCGGAGGTGGTTGAGACCTGCGAGGGATTGGGATAGGGCTGTGGGCGCCAGGAGGAGGGGGAGGAGGGGATGCATGGTGAAGGTTGGGTGAGTGCGACTTTTGAGATGGAATTTCAAGAGGAGGTTAATGTTGGATGAAGGGTTTGTTTACTTCTTTCCCTCATTTACAAACAGACGTCTTTATATATCTAGTTTATGAACAAGAAGTTGGTTAAGAAGGTTGCTGTATATAACTGCCGCTCCACAACCGCCAAGTCTCGCTTAGCACCTCCTATAACTGCCGCGTTGTGCTGGATCGATGGGGATAATTTGTATAAATTGGTTTGGATGGCTTGTGTTCATCTGAAGTGTGTTTAGCCGGGGGGAATCGAGATCTGGAGGCTTGGGTGTGAGGTGTCGTTGGGAGATGGCTCGGTTGGAATACCACTGGTGTGTCGTGCTTGATGTATAATGGGTATTGTGAGGATTAGGGTTATTTCGAGATCTTGTTGGGTTGGAAGGCTAGAGGTTTCTGGTAGTTTGAGGTTACATGTGTGATGGTCTGGCATTAATATTTGGTTTGCAACTGGTTGCTTAGGTATGATGTGCTCTAATCTTTTGCACAGAGTACTAGTGACTTCCGCATGACTACAAAGAACTCCCCCCAGAGATTTTTCACCACTAAGCAAACATGTCCCCAACGAGCCATAGAAATTAAAGACTCAATATCTTACATATACATGAGTCTCATAACATACTCGATTTCAGCACCCTAAATCCTCTTTCCAATAAATGCCACCATATTACCACTTCTCGAGGGGCAAACAAGATTTACAACAAAATACTACACAAACCCCCTAACTCCTTTATTAAATACAATGCACGTTCCCTATGACACTCTAAATCCCAACCACACAAGATCAAGCCGATCGTTACACAACCTCGATCGGATAAGTGGATATTTAGCGGGGTTGACGATGTACTTTATCTTCGGAGCGAGTGCTTGTGTGTGTAACGTTTTGGGTTCTAAGAATAGACTTTGATGTCAACTATCTGGGAAGTGTGGTTCCAGTTCCCGGTGGGTTGGGTAAGACAACTCAGGGCTAGCAATGGAACACATGTAAGTTGATGGGTAAGATTTTGCTGGGTAGTTGACATGATGAATAGTTTGGGGAACTTGTGTGCAAGTGATGAAAAAGGCATTCATTCGGGTCTGTATAGGAGTAGGAGGGAGATTTGTTTGTTATGTAATTGTATATATACCGAAATTTTGGTAGTTTCAACGCTTGCGCTTTTGAATTCGATATTTCGACGTGCTGATGTGATATTGACGACGAACCGGCTGTGCGTTTCCAAGGAACTATCACCTACCTAGGTACTTAGAAGATGATGAACATTCCATGAAACAACTCGAAGGCAGGAATCTCAATATAGTCGTTGAAACAAAAACCAACTAGACGTGTTTAAAACCAATTCATTCTTATTTCAATTAGACATCGTACTGGCTCCCATTTGAGATTGTGTTATGAAATGGTAACCCCGTACTTCCACAATCCAATCACATAAACAGTCCATTAAATCCTATCAGCCCTTCATAACACACAACCATCCAACATCTCTTCCCCGTCATAAAATCGTCACGACCAACAACCAACAACCCAGCCGTACATCTCAAAGTATAGATAGACATGACACTTCCTCACGTTTCGCCTATTCGAGTTCAAAGACCTCCACAGCTTCACGAACTCCTGAACACGATTCGAGATACCAATCTAATAGAACCGTCCGTAATATCTCCCCGCTCTCATCGTAATTTCGTCTTTATTACTTTCCCTGCCGTGAACGGGCTAGAATAGGAAAAAGAAGAAAAAAGGTGGAAGTCCCACAAGAGCGTATGAAGGCAAACCTGGTTTATACTTAGCTGTCCAAAGTGATACGGATCCTGCAAAAAAGTCGTGAAACCGCTGTTTATGTCCAACCATTTCATGATAATCTCTATTATAGAAAAATCTAGCCTTCGGTTCCAAATATATTTCAGCAGCGTGTAGTCACTCAATCAAGAACCAGAACATAAAAAGCCTTTAATCCGTTATCAGAGGATGATTAGCCCCTCTATTATTCCTATTATTACACTATCGTATGAGTTTCAAGACCCAACCAAAACCCCGCCGCTCACGCACACACAATTCAGAAATCACAAGTCGCTGAGAGGTAACATGACTCATCACGACCCATAAAGCGCCTCAACACCGTAAATGATACCGAAAATAAGGAAGGCGAATGCGCCTCCTAGTGTTACTGATATTCCTGTTAGAAATTGTTAAGGGAAGGGGGATAAGGGGGTACTTACCAACTCTCAAACTAACACGTCCAGCAATGGCACGTCCTCCAATAACCGCGACACCGGTACAAACAGCGTGACCACACACAGCACCACCAGTAACCCACCAGTAATCCGCACCAGCTGCCATTGCGATGGTGGCAATCTGACTTCGATCACCCCATTCGCCCAAGAATGTCATGACGAACGTTTGCACCCACGCCGGGCTTAATAGCAGACTGAGTAGGTTACTAAGGCCATTGATTAGACCTCGGATATTCGAGCGCGCGGGAGAAGGCGAGCGGTCAGGGCTTGAGGAGGGACTTCGTGGAGGGGAAGGAAGACGGGATCCTGACCTCGATTTGCGGGAAGCGTGGGAGCGACCCCCTAAGCCCATTTCCAGAGCATATGGGGAAACGGAAGATCTTCGTCGGTTCTCCTTTCTGGCGAGATGCTCCTTTTCTTCTAATTCTTGCTCGACTTCTTGCATTTCCGCAGCGACTCCTTCGTCTGGGCTCATTGCCAGTCCTTCTTTCAACATCTTTGCTCCAAATACTAGGAACAGCCCTGCTGCGAGGAAGTGTGTGAATCGCTCAGGGATGAGGGTTGGGACTGCATGGCCTAGTACAGCGGAGAGAACTGTCATAACGAAGAGGGCAGAAAATGCTGCTGAAAAGACTAAAAGGCGATCGTGCTTCATGGCCATCAGAGCAGCGATAAGGAAAGTCTTGTCGCCAATTTCGGAAAATAGAATCATGGTGAGAGATAGGAGGTAAGAATGAAGAGGTTGGATCAGGCCTTCGTTTCCTTCTCCGTCTGTAATTGGGAATTTGGCTGGGTCTTTCGTCCCTGGCTTTTTGATATCGAGATGATCTTTATCTGCCGAACCTGGTATCGGATGTGGAATGTTGTTGGGTTTATTTGGGAGGTCATCCGGTTTCTAGTTAATTTGTTAGCTAAATACGTCTTGCTTGGAGACAATTTGCCTACTTCAAGCCCACCGAGTTCCGAGTCTGATGGGGCGTCAGCATCGGTCTCTTTCGATTTGGTCTTGTCGTCCTTTCCGGTCTTTGTTTTGGTGGTTTCGCTCAGTGGTAACGGAGGAGCCTCCTTGGGCGAATCTGGCTTGTTTTCAAGCTTCTCCCCAGTCTGTCCTTCGTGTGCTTTTCGCGCCTTATCCTTTTCACTCACCCCTCCTTCCGTCCCAGTTGTTCCTTCTTTTGGTATCTGCCTGTGAGGGTCATCCATCACACCATCATTAGATTCAGGTATTTTGGTGCCATCGGGATTGACCAGCTTTTTCATATCCTCCTTTTTAGGAACCACCAGTTCTGTGTCCTCCTTATCTTTGCCCTTCTTGCTGTCTTTTGGATCCTTCTTCGAGTCGTCTCCTGTGCCAACCCATGGACCTGCGTGAGGTTTTCCATCCTTGCCATCGACAGGCGCATCCTTTGTTCCAATCTCAAATTTGGGTTTCGAGTTGATATCGACTATTGTGGTCGGATTTGGGTCTGCCTTTGCAGCTACAGCTGGTACATTCTTCGTCCCTGCCGCTTTGATATTGTCTTGAGCGGCGGCCGAAAGAGCCGCTGCGAGGGAGGGTAAAAGTAGGAGGAGGAGAGGCGAAGGACGCCTGCGGAACTTCATAATGACTTGTATTTAGTAGATAGTTTGTATAGCCGTCGGGTGCTGTGTCCTGATGTTGGACACCTTTAGTATAATCTGCCAGGTAATCACGGCTCGTTGCGAAACAAAAGCAAGTATCCGTGAGCCGGTGGGAGATCTGTGCAAAAGTCGGTATTACAATTGGGTAGAAGGAAGGTATAAAAGAAGTCGTAGTGATTGGGAGAAAGAGGAAGCTGAATGAAATTCCGTGAGCGTTAGAAAGATGGAAAAGGGATCCAGGAAAAGGGTGACCGCATAGTTTGTTCCCCTTTCGAGCCACCTGGGCAATCCGGGGCGCGTTTTCTAAGCCACTCCTGACAATTTTTAGTACATGCAGGGGGCGTACTGTGCAGCATGGAGATTGGCCCTTCTACATTATCCGGAGAATTTTGAAGACTTCTCCAGGAAAGAGAGATTAATTATGATTGATGACGCTGAAATATGAACCAGGTATTTCGCTGCAAGATCTCGCTATTTCTTTAATTAATCTAAACTTGTGTAGAGCGGGTGCTGACTTTTCGGACTTAACCACAAGTAAGCCAGACCAGCGCCAAGCATCGCCAGCAACGGTGTGGCTCGATCATATCACGTGAGCCGAGTCGATCTCGCGAAGCCCGTGAACCCTCACAACAATGCTTCGCGTCTCCCTAAGCATCCCAATGCAAGGCATCATTATCGTTCACAGAACAGCCGCGCATCACCACTAAAACCATGACGGGAAGAAGAGCAGGCAGGTCTGCGACTGCTAGAAATCAGGCATCATCTCCTCCGAAAGGATCAGATAGTGGGGCCTCTGGTAGTCCACCACGTCGTCGAACTACACGAAGCCAAAGTGTAAGCCTCGGAGAGAGTACCGCGGCGACAAATTCGAATCGCGTAAATAAACGATCTAAACGCCAATCGAGCGTGGAAAGTGTCGGGAGTAATGCAAGCGTCACTTCGAGTAGAAATGGGAGGACCAGAGCAGCAAACCGAGGTGCTTATCTGGCGCATGGTTAGAACCCTAGAACCACGTTCACGGACGAAGACTTACATCATACAGACCTCTCAATTGTCGCAGAAAGGGATTCGGAACCGGAAGACGACGACGTAGAAATGGAACAAGATGATCCAGAACTGCCCCTGGCGTCTCTGGCCCAATCACCCGGAGGAGGGTCGCAAATGTCTGGAACCACAGTTCGCTCCGCAATGACATCTCGGTCGGACGCTGCTGTTGCTGCCTTGGATGAATTGCTAGTCGAGCGTTTATCGGACTTGTACTCTTATTCTAGCAGGATCGTGAACCAGCTCGTCCCAGCGAATCCTTCCATGGATACGGTGACACGGACAGCTACACAATTGAGGATATTTGGTTCACAGGAAGCAAGGCGATTGCGTCTCAACGAAGAATCATTCAAAGTCCTTTATGAAAGGTTTCTTTCCAAAGGCGATACATACATCAGGATACATGATGTGTTGAGGAAGTTTCTGGGAGGAGACTATGGGGAGGGTGATTTCCGACCTGATGCAATTCTGCAATTGGCGAACATGGCCACAATGGTCAAGGATTTCCTCGTCAATGATAGAGAGAGTCAAACGATGAGAGACCTTCAATTCTTTTTGAACCGATGGTTCCCAGAAGCCTTTGTGACAAGCTTTGGGGCGTTTTCGAAATTTGGTTCAAGCACACTGCTGGATGAAAGCTTTGACCTTGCGCTGAACGTTCGCACTCAGTATGCTATATCTGAACTTCTTTATGCAAAAGAGTCAGACGAATGGGACCCAGAACTCATTGTCTCAGAGGTATTTTATGACAACGAAACCCAAACTCCCAAGAATATCATGGGAAACGACACCCCAAATTCCCCCGATCAGACCAACTTCATCAACGAGAGAGTAGAGTCAATACGTTCAGCTTTCAATGGCCCCAAAGGGCAAGATCAAGGGGATCTTGTTGATTTTGACAATCTTCAGGATGAGCTATTTCCATGGCCTGCCTTCCTCACAGACCTCGTCTCATGGACTAGACAACGGGCGGACGAAATCATCAGTTGCGTCAGAGCGCAAGGAGGACCAGACGTTATTCAAGAAAATCTATCCACTATGATGCCCGCTCACGATACTCAGGACAACATTGAGCAAGCTGGTTTTGCAAATGAAGAACCCCAAGATCCGGCGCCCGTCGATATTACTGGGGATATGCCTAGTAAGAGGTCAGTTGATCTTCAAAGCCTCAATCTCATAGTTCAATTCTCTGGCGACGAACTTTTTACTAACGATATGAATTAGTCATGCCGACCCAAGGCTCATGAAGATGCTTGCTGCGAAGTTAAAAAACAAACGAAAGTTGAAGAATGCTGATAGCAATGCACCAAATAAAAGAGTCATGGTTGATGCACCACGAGGTTCGGTCAATTCTCCCGAGCTTGGTTCATCGAAGCGACGACAAATACCACAGAGTGTTGTGGAGGATCTAAATCTTGGTGACATGGAGGACGATGAGGATTTACCTCCACTTGCTGAGGCCATGGCCAAGAGTGCAATGGCAAAGCAGGTAACGGGAGAGTGGAACAGCTACCAACAAGAAATCAATAAAGAAAATCGACCTGTGCAGAATAATAACGTCATCCCACCAGTCTACAAGAAGAAATTTAATGACAAGAATCACCAAGGCCAGAAGGTTGGGTGGGAAACTCAGGAATTAGAATCTACCGCGCCCCGTGGCAATGCTAGCAAGCAGAATCAAGAAGAAAGTGAGCCTAGCGAGGATGAGGGATTTCAGAGCGATCGAGCGGCTCACGAGCCAGAACGAAGAGTGGTTCAATTACGAAAAACAATTGGTAAGTCGCGTGCACGGGGAAGTAGTCCGGAGGAAGTAATCGCCTCAGCAAGCAACAATGTACGACCAGCAGTCCAGGTAGGACAATCCCGGCGTGCGGCAAAAGCGCAGACAGTAAATGAGGACGACGAAGAAGATGACTCTTCAAGAAACAGCGTTCGACGACAAGGCAATGTAAAAGCATCTCGGCCTGCGGCAAGACCGCAGACGGTAGATGAGGACGAGGACGATGAAGAAGATGTACCGCCACCTACCGTTGTGGAAGTCCAAGATCTCGCCAGAATGGCTACTAGCCAGTCGAAAAGGCCTCGAGTACAAACACGTACCCCTTGGTCGGAACATGATGAACAACATCTCATAGATCTCATCGCGAAACATGGGACGAGCTGGAGCCTTTTGTACAAACTGAGTCATTTTGATCGTGAAACCACAGATGTTGGTCTTAAAGACAAAGCGCGAAATCTCAGGGCTGCTTGGGAGAAGTAGGACATCCTTCCATCCTTCATGTTTGGTCATCTAACATAAGTACAGGACCGGCGTGACATTACCAGTCAATTTTAATCTCGTTCGACTTTCGAAAAAAGAGGTCGATGCTATTCGGAATGTGCGTCCTGACTTTGATCAGGACGATTGAATAGGCGTTAATACAGTACTCCTAAATGGGAAGGCGCTTGTGGACTTTGTGAATAATGATACCCATGATTATTTGGGCGTTTTTGGTGTGTTGGTCCTAGGGAATAGCTCGGAACTGAAAGCGAGTCTTTACTTGAATGGAAGGTTATTTCTTACTCGTGGTTGTCTGTCTAAATTCTGGTCGGATTACTTCTGATTCCATTGAAGTGACCGCATCTGCCAAGTCGCAATGCTTGTACTACCTCACTGCCATTGTCCAGCTTTGTCGATTACCTCCGAACATGAATTTAACCCTAGGTAGGACCGAATACAGGGACAGAGAAGGTAACATCGAATGAAGTGATTGTTACTTCAGATGGCGATGTCTGAACTTGGTAGGTAATGCATGTTCGGCTGGATGGTCAAGTGTCGTGGTCATTTCATTGGGTGTGACCTCCTGCGCCTAGATCTCAGTCGCCACCACTTCATTCTACAGCACAATGCCTATTGATGCTGAGAAGCCGATGCGTGAGGTTTTGGTACGGATGGCAGGAGGTGATATGTGAAAGACAAGCCGACTTTTACATTTGATATCGTGAAGATTCATTTTAGCCGATACAGTTTAGTATTATGGGAAATGATCACGATAGTATCGTCAAATCGAATGAGTCTCATCTACATCCATCAGCTGTATTGCTGTCTCGCACACACACCCAACCAATCAATCCACCAACAATGCTCCTCCGTAGCTTTAGACCTTGCATAGCGCCAAAAAGCTTAGATCGTCATCGGGCACAGACCAGCAACCCAGAATCAATGCCGGCGACACTTCAGATCAAGTTTCCCTCACCACCAATTGTCCGTCTACATCCTTTCCTTTGCAACCTTCTCACATGCGAGCAGGCTCTGCATGACCCAGTCCAACCGCATCTGCCAGGGACGTTGATCCGCGGCCTTCCTGTTCCGGTCGCATCCTGGAGGAACCGCACCGCACCGTACAGGACGATTGCATCGAGTGCCCACGGCACGCCCGTGGAAAGGTACAGCTTGGCGCTCCATGAATCCGGCAGCTGTCCAACATGGATACGCGTGAGAAGCGGCCGTTGGACGAATTGGAAAAGGGATTCTTGCCACATGAGAGCTGGGAGGTGCTTGAATGGGGTGAATGTGGAAAGCTGGGGGGGAGAAGTCGTGCGGGGTGCGAGGGGAGCACATATAAGGTCTGTTATGTCCTTCTGTTGGGTTGGTGGCAGAGACTGACATTCGTTTATAGATCATGTTTGCGATTACACTTCTGGTTTTGTGCTGGCATTATGGGTTTGTGGTTGCGAGACCTAGTGAGATTGCTAGACGGGTAGATGGGGTTCCAAATTATGTGATTGACTATGGTACGTTGGTATTATAAACACTATGAGTTCAATTCTGACAAAAAACAGCTCCAATTGTCTATCTCGATACCGCCGAAGCATACTTTCCCTCAGACATTGGCGCGCAACTTGCAAATACACAGCCAGAGATCAACTTTAGTGTCATACCCAATGCGCCAAACCCATTGACAGTCAACAATGTCGATTCCTTGAACGGGTTCGGCAGTGGTGGTTCAGACGTCTACTTGACTACCACCATAGACATCACCAAGTCTCCAGCACCCAAATGGCTTGAAGGTGTGGTTCCCGATTCTTCCGGAAAGACAGGATCCGCCGTCTCATCCGCCATCATCGTCAATGATCACGGCAGTGGCGCCATAGACGCATTCTACATGTACTTCTACGCATACAACCAAGGAAACACGGTGCTGGGACAGGAACTTGGAGATCACATCGGCGACTGGGAACACAACATGATCCGATTCAAAGACGGCGTCCCACAACACGTCTGGTACTCCCAACACAGCGGCGGTCAGGCTTTCACTTATCGCGCCACCGAGAAAGTAGGCAAACGACCAGTCAGCTACTCTGCAAAGGGCAGTCACGCCAACTATGCCATCGGCGGCAAACACGACCACACCATCCCCGGTCTCAACCTCCCAGACGGCCTGATCGTCGATCACACCTCCAAAGGCGTATCCTGGGACCCGACGCTCTCCTCTTACTACTACAATTTCAAACCCTCGGACGGCAGTTTTGAGGGCATTAATAACAGTCCCGTCGCCCCCATGAATTTCAAGGGAAAGTGGGGCGATGCGCAGTATAAAGATGATGATAAACGCCAGAAGGAGTTCTTTGGGTTCAAGAAGTTCGTGGGTGGTCCGACTGGGCCGGGGGATAAACAGTTGAATCGCACGAAGGTTTGTCCGGAGAGTGATGTTCCTTGTGTTTTGAGGGATAAACTTGTTCCTTAAGATGCTGGGACTGTGAAGAATTGGGCTGGGCTGGGGCGGGGAGTATGGAATAGGGTGTGTACATTGGCGTTGGGTTGGGAAGGGTATGATTATATGGGACTAGGATTGGGATTGGGATAGGGTCTTCCAAGGTGTTTTGGATTATGGAGGAAGAGATTGGATAGCTGTAAATTGGATACAAGAACTATGGCGGTGTAGTGGAGTGCTAAGGGAAATTGGAAATCGGGAATGGTTATGAATTATACCCTATGGCGTTATCCTCGAAACAAGAAATAGCATTTATGAAGTGTTGGTATTCGTGTGATGTGCGCTTGTGAGTTTTCCGGTCTGAGGTTTCTTAATCTGCTGATCTGGGAATGACTTGATACCCAAGAAGTGGGTTAACGATCGACTTGTTAATTACCTCTTCTCTATCTCTTGAGAGGGGACTGCGCTTACGGTTTCTGTGTAGGGAAGGAGGATAAGTTCACTTAAAGAAGGAAGAGTTATGTAAGTGTATCAAGTGTCTTAAGTGCGTCATCTAAGTGTATTAGATGTATATCCAAGTACCCCCTTTTCTAGTCGGTTCCTCGCTTAGCTACTTGCTTGTGATTATCTAGGTACAGCTTTAGACCACAGCTCACCCCAAGACAAACTACCGCTTGACTACTTTACTTGTTATCTCTAGAGATCCTGGTGGGAAGGATAGAGATGGACGATCTGTTTTATCGCATCCTCGGGGGGTGTGGGAGATGGTTCTTTTTGGCTGGAGAAGCTTGTGGTTTGGGGTATAAAAAAGTGGTGGGCTGAGAGGTTAGTGGCTAGGATATGTGTTTAGGTTTTTTTTTTTACTTAGTTGGGTTATGTCTAGAAGAGCTTAGGGACTGAGGAGTTTTTATGGTATGCTTTAGCAGCAGGACTTGGGTTGGTAGGCCTGCCTGTGCTTTTATCTAGTTTACTCGGTCTCTCCCCTCTCTTTCGGCTTATTCCAAACCAGCCGTCAACTATCTACACCTCTCTCAATCACACCTTCTCCCCTCAACTCTATACATCAACAACCTGCGCCCCCCTCCCCACATCCGTCGTACTCTGATAAACCACCGCCGCATTAACAGCCAACGTCCCCCTCCCCCGTCCCCCCTGCATAACCCGTTCCCACACCACGCCCCTAACCCCATACACCAGCACCCTCACAGCATCAACCCACGCCCTCACATCCGTCAAGTCCCCCCACAAACCCACCTTCCCGCGCCCCTTTAACCGCTCCATCGCCGCCTGTGCTTCATCCCAATACAACACCTCACGCCCATGACCGCTGTGTACATGTCCGAAGATATGGACTTTGGGTCGTATGGTCCAGAGACGCGCGAGCAGAGAGGCGCAACCTAAGGAGAGATCGAGGTGGTGCAGGGGCGGCGTGTGGGTTATGAGGATGTCGGTTGTAGGTGGGATGCGTGATTCCCATTGTGACGGGGAGGAGGTGCGCGGGTATTGGAATCTGATACCCTCAATTAGTACAGCAATGGAATTGAAAGAGAGGATAGGCGTACGCAAAATCCTTCCCCCCACAAGCAGGAATCTCCGGACCCCCCCAAAACTCCAATTTCCTCCCCTGAGCCTTAAACTCCACCGTCAAACTCTCATTCTCCAAATACCGTATCCCCTTCCAATCCAATTTCTTCCCTGCATCTTCCGCCCGTCGGCTCCGCACATCTAGATAGCTGTCGTGGTTGCCGGCGATTACGATTTTCGCTTTGTGAGGGAGGGACGCGAGCCAGTCTATCTGCGCCTGGATCTCCGCTACGGTGCCCTGGTTTGTGAGGTCGCCGGCGTGGATCAACACGTCGCCCGGCTCGACGGATATGGTGTTGGTGTGTGTGTCCGAGATGCAGGTTAGACGGATGGGAGGGTGCGAGGGGGTGAAGGGCGGGGAGCGGAAGTGTTGGATTAGGGTGTGGAGGTAGGTGAGGAGGGTTAGGAGGGGGGAGGTTAGGAGGGCGTCGAGGAGGGTTGGGGGGTCCCTGGGATATGGTTAGAGAGGTTGAAAGGAATGATGGAGGGGGATGTACCATTGAGAGTTCCGGCGGGAGAGAGTGAATGTTGTTTTCCGTTTTGGTTTTTTGAGCGAGGTTATTTTGGATTCCGTCATTTTGGGCAGAGGTGTCCCTGGGGGTTGGTTGATGTGGGTAACGTCAACGTTAACATTAACGTTGGTCTCTATGAGCATGTTCGTAAATAAAATGAACTGATAAGCTATAAGTGACACAAATCCCAGTTCTCAGCCACACAATCGGAAGTGATCTCAATGAGGCTGTTGATACAGAGGTCTTGGCGCGGGGAGATCCTCAGCTTGACAGGGATGAGCTCCAGCTCGACGTCATGGGTGCCAGAGACCTGGTTTACGACGTAGATTGCGGGACGGAGAAGACGAAAACAAAAAGGGCGCGACCAACTTTCTGTTTCTGTAATTCTCTGTTTCTTGAGGTTTTCAATTGAGGAAGAGAGAGAGATTCTGCAAGATGGCTTCGTTAAAGAGTCTCTATGAGCCGAATACGAATTTGGGGAATGCGTTGCACACGAACTTTGAGTATGGATTTCTATAATGTGAGGTTTGAAAGATGCTGATTGAGATAGTGTCGATTTCGTGATTGACTATCGATTTGCTACCACAAGTACGTTATATCTACCTTTCTTTAACCCGTGTCTTCACTTCATGCTAACAATCCCAGGCAAACAAGCAGCAGAATCCCAATTCACAGCCCTCATCCACGCCCTCAACTCCGTCGGCCTCACCACCGAAGTCCGCAACGGCGACAACTGCGCCGTCCTCATCTTCATCAAAGTCGCCTCGCCCCGCCATCTCCGCGCCGAAGTCTACCGCAGCAGAGTCCAAGACTGGCTCTATGGCGTCCGCACCATCGCCCCGGAAAAGGATATGCAAAAGGCGTTCACCGCTGAACCTATCATCGAAGCGGAGCGTCTGAGATTGGTATACCTCTTGATCACGAAGCCGAAGAATGAGGGTGGTGCGGGTATCACGCCGAAGAGGGGGGAGTGGAAATGCGTCGAGTCGATCTTCGCGCTGCATGATCATACGTTTAATAAAGCGTGGATCAAGGATCTGACGTCGAAGACTTTTTTGACGCAGAAGGATCTTACGGAGATTCGTAATCGGTTTGGCGAGAAAATTGCGTTTTATTTTGCGTTTTTGCAGTCTTATTTCATGTTCTTGACGTTTCCGGCTGGAGTGGGATTTTGTTCGTGGGTGCTCCTAGGGGGCTTCTCGCCGGTTTATGCGGTGATTAATGGCTTGTGGTGTGTGGTCTTCGTCGAGTATTGGAAGAAACAAGAGACGGATCTTGCGGTTCAGTGGGGTGTGAAGGGTGTTTCTAAGATTCAGCATAAGAGACCGGATTTTAAGCATGAGAGTGTGGTGAGGGATCCTATTACCGATGAGGAGGTCAAAGTCTACTCCCCTGTCAAGAGATTGTCGAGGCAGATGCTTCAGGTTCCGTTTGCTTTAGCGGCGGCTCTTATTTTGGGGACCTTGATTGCTACCTGTTTCTCTATTGAGGTATTCATCTCGGAGGTTTATGGTGGACCATTCAAAAGCTACTTGGTAAGTTGTTCAACTGGGTTTCGAGAGATTTCACTGACAACTCTAGGTTTTCTTGCCTACTGTTATTCTAACTGTTGCGATGCCAACTCTCTCTGCGATGCTTACCGGATTCGCAGCCAAGCTTACTGATTTGGAGAACTACGAAACCGTCGCTGGTACGTTCCAAAACCCTTTAGTTTGGCCCTCGCTAATATTTACCAGCACATGAAAACGCCATGGTTGGAAAGATCTTCGTCCTGAACTTCATCACCTCATACATGCCAATCTTCTTGACAGCATTTGTCTATGTGCCATTCGCACAAGTCATCGTGCCTTACCTAGATGTCTTCCAATTGGCCGTCAAGCCATTTGCTGAGAATGAAAAGCAAATGACAGCGCCAAAAGCTGGATTCCAGATCAACCCTGATCGTTTGAAGAAACAAGTCATCTACTTTACCGTTACAGCTCAGATTGTTGGATTTGCTCTCGAACTTGTCGTTCCATACATCATGCGAACCGTCTTCAAGAAGGTCAAGGAGGTGAAAGCTGATCGCGCCAGTAAGAAAGGAGGTGCCACTGCAACTTCTACAGCAGATGATCATCCTGAGGAGTCAGCCTTCCTAGTAAGAGTGAGAAATGAAGCCGAGTTGAGCATTTACGATGTGACAACTGATTTCCGGGAGATGATTGTTCAATTTGGTAAGTACCAAATCTCTCAAACGCGAACACTACTAACAAAACCAGGCTACCTCTCCCTTTTCTCAGTCGTTTGGCCACTAACAGCTGTCTCCTTCATCATCAACAACTGGATCGAACTCCGCGGCGACGCCCTAAAGATCGCCCTTGAAACTCAGCGTCCCGTCCCTTGGCGCGCTGATTCAATCGGTCCATGGCTCGACGCCCTCGGCTTCCTCTCCTGGCTAGGAAGTCTCACCTCCGCAGCCCTCGTCTACCTCTTCAACGGCAACGACTTCGGTCCCGGCGGCAACCCCTCCAATATCAAGATCTGGGGTCTCCTCCTCACCATCTTCTTCTCCGAACACCTCTACCTCGGCATCCAACTCGGGATCCGCACCGCGCTCGGCAAGATCGACAGCCCGGGTCTCCAAAAAGAACGCTCTGAACGGTTTGCGGTGCGCAAACAGTATTTGGCTGAGAGTATGGGTCAGGAAGCTGCTGAGGAGGCGGCTGAGGGAGGTATTGCTGGAGGTGAGAAGATTAATAGGAAGAGTCTTGAGGATGAGGCGAGAGATAGTACGTTGCAGGGGCATGGGACGCCTGAAGAGAGGTTCTGGGGGAGACAGAGGGGTGTGGATGAGACGTTGACCGTCGGGAGGAGGTATATTCAGCAAGCTGCGCCGAAGGCGTCGCCGAGGGCTGGGGGGGAGAAGAAGGAGTTGTGAGGGTGGGGGTGTTGGGGGTTTGGTGGGGGAAGATCGGATTTGGGCTGAGGTTAGAAAATGGAATGAAAAGGAATGAAATGAAAAGGAACATATCGCAGTTTAGGAGGAGCGTGGCGTATGCGGTTTGGTTATTTATTATGATGAATTTTATTTACTTGAAACACAAATTGTGGCACTGAGATACGTTGAAAACTGTTGCTGTTCCTAGTCAATCGTTAAATGATTCCGCGATCCAGCAAGAATCTGCACGTAGGATCGGATTTTAGATATTAGGAAGTCACACGATACATAGATGATTTATGAAGTAGAACCTCATGCGACCATGTCAATTCTCCCGCTGCCATGGACTAATCGCACATATCCTTATATATCCAAGTATATATTATTTACACTTATCGTCGTGGAACGCGCCAATCTGAGTACAAAATGCTGAAATGAGGGATATTGAATATTGGTTGACGTGAGATCTGGAATATGAATTAGAAAATCAAGTAAAAAGCCTCTGTAATGTACCAGATTTCCGACCTCGCTTGTTTTACACGACTCCCACAGCTACCGTAAGGCACGATTCTTACGTTTCGGCGATCTAGATGGCAACTGCTTAAAACGTTTGCCCGTATAATACAGCTCATTACCATGACTAGGTTTTGTTGCCTGAACTCCCCGCGCTTTCACATCCCATTCACACTTTCAGAGACCCCATCATCACTAACAAATCTACCAAGCTTCCTCCAAAACGCAAACAGTTGTTCACCAGCGACCGCTGAGTCCGATGAGTAAAAGAGCGAGATTCATACACAAAACCACAGTCACCTCATAGATTGCTGTGAGCTTACGGATGGCGGAGTACTGAGTTTAAAGCGACCCTATCCTAGACCCGCTAGGACCTGATTCAACACATTGTTCACCAAACCACCGGTGATCGGTATTGCGGGTTTGAGTATATCTCTGAGTGCGTCCGTTGCTTGCGCTGGTAGATCTAGGATGTCTTTCGGGGGTGCTTGTGCGCCGTCTTGCTGTGGTACTCTTGCTTGGATATTTTCCGTGGGTGTTGGGTGGACACTTCCTAATACCCTATTAACATCACCGAAAACAAAGTCTAAGGGTACGAGAAGGCTAATCTAGAGTTAAATTACTGCTTACAGAATCGCCAATTCCGTCGATTACTCCATTGGCTTTGCGCGTCAGCGGATCTTCTGCTAATACGTCTTTCGTGGCTGGCTGAGCGTCGCTGGATGTGTCGGCACCGCGGCGCTGATTTGAGCTTTGGGACTCTGGTCCACATAAGAAATCCCTGAAATTGGTCATTCCTCCGTTCATTATGCTTTGAAGAGATTCAAGAATGCCTCTTGATTGGGTGCCTTTCGCGTTGCGGATATGGAATAATGCAGCGTTACTTCGACGTCAGGGGCCTGGTTTACATATCAAATCGACAGCGCCTCCCACCGCGGTTCCGAATGCGTTTTCAATTTCTTCGGTTTTCTGGGGTGTAGGTGTTCTTGTTTGAATTCCTTCTTGGGTTGTCTCGATGCCGCGACGGCGTATTAGTTCAGGTTCACTTCGGCGGTTGCCAGAGCTTTCAGGACGTGTTCCGCGTACTGAATGCTTAACGCCAGCTAACAAGCTTCCCACACCGTTTCCTAAAGCCCCTCCTAGTAGTTGAGGTGTTCTCGCTTGTACGTCTCCCGTGGGTGTCTGAGTGTTACCTTCAAAACCCTTGAAGACACGTAATCCACCAGGTTTGAATAGAAAGTCATCAGCAGTAGCTACGACTACTTTGGCGAGATCTATAGGTATATGCAGTAATTGTGGCGTTCTTGCTTGGATATCTTCCGTGGATGTTTGAGTGTTACTGTGGAGACTTCTGCGGTTGTTGGAATGTGGTGGACCCAGTGCTGCCAATATGTCTTCAACGTCGTCGAGTGCTATTCCAGCGGCTCTGCCAAGTCCACCCAACAATTGTGGTGTTCTTGCCTGGATGTCTTCCGTTGACGTTTGAGTATCACTGTAATTAACGTCTCTTCGGCGAGGCCGCGACACTGATTGCGCAATTGATCCGACTAGCGACCGAGCAAGTGCCTCCATTACGGCCTTGAGTTCGGTGCTAACCGTGCTGATTAGTTGTGGTGTTCTTGCTTGGATATCTTCCGTAGAAATGGTGTCGCGATGTTGTATTGATTCCGGCTTACTTTGACGCTTACTAGTAGCATCCGGCAGTGAGCCAAAAAGGTCAGATATCAAAACATTAATTGCGATGTCCAGGTCGTCGAGAAGTTGTGGTGTAGGCTCTCTCGCTTGGATATCTTGGGCTAGTGCTTCAATGTCGTCTCCATTGATTGAATTAACGCCTCTTTTCGTCGTTCTCGATAGGGGTCTGATAAAAATTCCCCGGTACTTCTTTTCGTCGCAAACTATCGGTCCCTTGATTTTAACTGTGCTGGAAATAGCGTTCAAAAGTGGAAGAATTAAGAGGTCTCTTTCTTCGTGGAAAAACGTCTTCAACAAGGAATTGTGGAGATAGGTACACCATAAACCCTTTCCGAGTTCTGCAAGTGCCTCGGGTGTTTCATCTGATCGTGGTGCTCTCCTTTCGACGTCTATGGCATTGGCTACTGTGACCGCATCTTGCTGCTGAATTGGTGCTGTAGCAACGAGCACCGCCAGAACAGATAGGATAGGAATTACTATCGGTTTCATGTTGCGAAATGGGGAGACCTTGAGTTTCTCTTCGATATTTTATTGCGCAGTGGGGTTGTTAGAAAAGAGGTAGAAACGAGAAGTGGTATGGAGCCTATGAAGATAGAGCAGAAGAGTGGTTGATCTTCAAATTCACTTGTCTATCAGAGCAGAACTTGGGTCTTTTTAATACGTAGCGAAGAGCTTCAGCTATTCGGTCAAACTTTATTAGCATTACCTTTCTGTGGCGTTGTCGAATGACTCGCAATTGCTTTTGATAAACTAGATTGGAGAAAATCTTTATGGATTAAAACTCTATGGGGTGTACAAGTCGCCGGGCTGTTACCCTACAACTTTTAAAATCCAAGAAAGGTCCCGCGTGTCACCTCTCTGTTACATCGAATCTTCGACGATCCCAAATTTCGAAGAAGATCATGTTCGGCGTTCTAATTAACCGAGACGTATCACAGTATACCACCCACAAGAAAAAGCAACTTATCTTGTTAGTTCTCGTTGTCTCACCCATGAAGCGCTGAGTTTCTGGGAACGTTGTTACTCGCAGATCCCTTCTTTCACCCATGGAGTGTTGTGATATTCGTTAATGGATAGTGGCACAAATTATAATTTGTGCTAATTTCCTACCACCCCAGGAACTACTAACAGGATAGTATGGTTGCACAAAACACGCCTCATGTTGTTTTGTTATCACAAATCTAATTTCGAGAGGATTTATGATCAACAGACAATCGGTGTTTAGAGGCCAATATGATTTAAACATGGTTGAGGCTTGATAGTTCGATGAGTTCTGAGCTCGACATCGCAGATGATTCTAGCACGAAAATTCAGCCTCCAGATCTTTCAGCTACCTACTTCAATAGCACGAAGTATCACACCTTTGATAATGGTTCGATCTTCACGGACAGAATATGAATCGCCGGACACTCCAAGATACCTTCACTTTTGTGTCACCAAATCGAACATGTCACCTCCAAGAATCTCCATTGTCGTCAAAACGCTCCTGCTATGGTTAGCGAAGTGTCGAGTCAATCCTTCATCACCTCATGTACGTCCAATGCGCCAAATCTTATACCCTAAAGCGAGGCTGTTGAAACACAGCCAGGTGTACAATTACTCGGTGAGGAACGACAAATCTGGAATCCCGATGCTCCGATATACACAAGAAAAAGAAGACTGATTCGGATAACAACACTCCCAACGCCAAGAGATTCAAAGCTCTGTTCTTACAACATTGCGAACCTGACAAGAGTAAAAGTCTTCATGTCCTTGACCACTGTTCGATCTCGGGTTGGAGTGCAAAACACCACGGGTTTTCAACCTACAGGACACAGCGGCTAAGCGAGCCTAATGGTATTCCAGCCATTATACATTCGTATCAGGAGATACTCCTTCGGCTTGCCCACTTCGAAATCCAATAGAGTTTGGAATGAAATAGTACCGTGGATTGAAAGGCGAAAATAACCCTTGTTCACTTGAGCAAACGGTATAGTCAACCACGAAAACTCTTGAAGTCATCCTCAAAAGATCTCTGGCGTTACATCGTGCATGAAATTACATCTCTCAAGGATACCTGAATGGCGATCCATACGTAGATTGATCTCCTGGACCTCAGTCTAAGCGAGGTGTGCAAAAGGGGGGCACGGCACATTGAGTCTTGTGGTCATGCATAAACTTTCAACCCTGATATATTGCGTGCAAACTCAATAGCATCCTCAACAGACGCCGCGTCTGAACAAGCGATGTAACCCCACGAACTGTAAATGGTAAATCATCATGAGTTGAAAGCTTGCTTGCCAACATCAACATCTGCAAACCCCACCCACACCCCACATCGTCGGTTAATCAAGGTAGTACTCGCAACGGTCATTGGCAGCTGTCATCTTTCGTAGATAAGAAGGTTTCCTGTATTGGTCAACAGATTTCCGATTTTGAAATGCAAAGTCGTGAGATTGCAAGGGACGAATCTCCGCTGGAAGCGAAATGCGGGGTATATTGTCATCGTGACGATTCCTAGAAAGGGAGAACGACCCTTAGAGCTCAATGAGGTTTGAAGAGCTCTTCGCGTTCTTGGCGAAAGAACTGGCGGATGTGACTTCCTATCGCGCCATTCTCAAAAGAAGTTTCCTTTGCAGAAATTTTACGATATTGGATAGTGATTACCTCATCTTCTTTTTGAAAAAGAGGGATTTCAATTCGCAAAGGTTCTTCGCCACCCACTCATTGAAATAAAGTTTTTTTTGAGATATGCATGGAGATGGGGCCTCGTGGTGTGGGATCCATTGCCATTCGGCGATAATGGGCATGCATATTGAGTTTGTCGGTGTTGCAAGCAACTTTGCCATGATTCAACCTTGCAACTCGTCGGTGTTTGGGCCCTGAGATAGCTAACTCGAACTCGACTACTGCAAGAACGACGTTGAGAAAACATCGGAATGTAACGCAATGGAATAAATTATTTCAGATGCGCAATCAATTAACGTCTGCCATACGTAGGTACTTTACAAGTTTGAGTGATAACTGACGATCTGTAAACCTGGAACGGGCACTGATAGATACACAAGAACCAAAAGTATCTTTTCGAATTGCATGGCGATTCGACGATAAGAGATTAAGTGTGCTCGAGTGCCGTGGGACTCATGAGCTTGGAGGCAACTGCCAGTTTTCTCGAGAACCCTTGCCCCAAATCGGTGTTGTCGATGTCGATCTGACGCACTTGTGAGGTCTAAGAAGTCAAGCACACCCTCTAAGCCATAAGCGCCCCAAATTTAACGACAAGAAGAATCGAAGAACTTTGTGCTTGCGCTCGAGCTGGGTATTCAATAATGTGGATGATATCAAGCACAATAGAGAACATACTTTGAACTTCGCAGCAACGAGAATTAGAGCAAAGTAAAGGGCAAAGTGCGCGCCAACAACCCAAATTTTTTTTTTGAAGAGGACAATTTTCAGCAAATTGTTCTAGTCCTTTCAGAAGAACAGATATCATTCTAGACTCTGAATCTGTTTCTAAAGTGCTAGGATACACCCATTTAGGTTTCTCCCAGATCGTGATGAGTGTTGAGCTTTTCGCTAGACAAGACACGATGACCACCGAACGAAAGAAGCCACGATGGACTCCCTTCAATCTATTTTGCTGAGCTGCGAAAAGTTCTATTTGATGTCTCGAGGTGCGATGGTTTCTATTCACCACCAAGACACCAAACACGAATTTGTATTAGCAGCTGTTGTAGTTACAGAGCCACACGTAATTTGGTTCAGGATTATAGGCTCTTGATAGGCTCCAGAATGAAAATGTCAAGGAACTTGTTGCTAGTTGGTGGTTTTAGTCGGGGTTCTAGAGCCTTACTGATGTCATGTAGCCTCTCTGACTACCAAACGACGAAGAATCTCCCGGAACCACTCTACTTCGCTCCAAAGCTAAGTACGATGGATATATGGAGAAAGTATGCTGGTGGCAGGAAGTGAAGGTGCACACGATGCCGGAAAAGTAACCGTAACTTTTGTGCAGAGATTGTGCACGCCAACACCGTCTAACGACTTCCCGAAGCCGATCGTAAGGCAGTCTAAAAACGGTCACGATTTACGGGGATATGAATCAACGGGAGCCCAGAAAGGCTGCCGGCGCGCTCGAAACGTGGCTCCGGGAACTACAGAATTCCGACCCCCGTCTTGAAGTCCCTAAGCGGTCCAATTTGCGTGTATTCTTTGCGCAGATGACTTCTGCGACTCCGGTTTTCGTTGTTCATATGAGGTTTTTTATTGACCGTTAGGGGGCTGCAAATGTGCGATTCTTTCCGAAGGAAACTCTGTAAGGTGTCAGAAGATCTTATGTCAAAAAGGGGTTTTGCTGATTAGTATGGACATAAGCTTCTAAATCCGGGTGTCAGAAAAGTGCGAACCCTGGTCGGAATCGGGCCACATCTGCTGAATGCAAATCTCATCGTACTCGTACTAGGATGCTGTGCCTATGGGAATGCGATATTTCGTGGATGTTCGCCCAGAAGCTCGTCCGTTACTGCGGTCGAATGCCGCGTGTTGTCCGCGAATGTAGGCAGCGCTTGTGCGAGTGTTAGGTTACATCTAAGCCAAAATAGCGATATCTGAAAGTTTGCTTCGATGGTAATAATCTGTAAACTTGACTTTGTCCAAACATAACTTGGGAAGGTACTCCGTAGGGCTAACTCCAGACTCCAAGTTGACAAATTGTCAAAAAGAGCCGGTCTTCTGCCGGCTTACGGTAACATCGAAATTCCAGCCGGGATTTCAGCTTTGGGCACGCCTTATCCATTTCACCAACAGAGAAAACCGATCGCCTTGCGATTGGTAATCAGGGGTTGCGAGTCGGCACGATAACCGAGTTCGTTGATGTGCGTGGGACCAGCAAAGAAAAATCTTTAAAACCCAAAAGTTATGAATACTTACAAATGCAATACTAATGCTTAAGCTTTGAAAGCTTGTGAGGGCAGCTATTACCGGGTTAGCACAATCTCAAACTCAGAGCCACTTACTTCATTGGACATCATCTCCACCATTGCGGAGGAATTCGTGCAGGAAAGAAGCCAGAGCTACCTTCTAGAAGTTAGGGAAGTATCGCCAGCCTCAACTGGTGTTTCTGGCTGGCGGCCATTGCTTTTGAGAGAGCCGAGCCGAAGAAGCTTGCGCGCAGGTTGCAGCCGCTTGAAGCCTTTTCCTAGCTTAAGGACGATTTATAAATCTCAATGGAGCCGCCATATCTAGACTTGGTGGATCATTATTCAAGCCTTGTGGCATATCCTACAAGTGATCCCAGCCAACTGGTACGCATTTGCATGGAAGATTCATACAAGAGGAGTCGAGGGACTGCCCCTAGTGTTCGTTAGTGGATACTGTAAAAGATACGAAGTGTACATTAGAACTTGAACCTCAAGGGGACCACGAGTAAGCTTATTCCTTATCTGGGCACTTACGACTCGCGCTGCAAATGGGGGGATTCTGTTGTGTTGTGTTGTTAGTCAAAAAGCGGAATCATCTCAAACTTAAGACCTCTCGATAAAGGAGGTCAGTCCCACTTACAGGTTGCACGACGAAGCGACTTTGAGCTTCACCTGCTCATGCGTGCCGTAACCTTTATCACATAACTCCATTTTACCGGTCTATGGCAGAATATAGAAAACGCGGCACTATTAACCTCTTTTGGCCATTTCGAAAGCGAGTTCAAGCTTTTCTCGGGCTAAAACCTCGGTACGCCTGTTTTGTGTTCTGGTTGAATCATTGTTTCCAGTGCAGAAATACAGTAAGCGCGGTACATGATTATCGCCAGATGTTTTGAGTAAAGTCACCAATAACAAATCAACTTCATGGCAGTGAAGCCAGTAATATTCAACTCTCCATTCGCTAATGTAATGAGTGGCTATCGCCGAGACGTTCTCGATCTGAAGATGCACGAAAGATTAAACGCCAGCAATGACCCCCCGCAATGAGACTACTCAGACGAGTCGTGCATATGATACTTGTGGATTACTTTGCAGTTTTAAAATCTCGAGATCAGCTAATCGCAACCCACAGTTGCTGCAACGACAGCACTGTCAGCAAGTTCCCAAATAAGGAGCGCTTGACTACAGCTTATTTGATTAGTGAACTCATGTCAAGACAAAGACAATCGTGCAGCACGCCACCTACATCACGAGGCTCAACCAATGTCCTAAGATTGATTCTAGGAACGCGATCTTACACATGGTGATTATATCGTACTCGCACCCCACCACGGTAACGAAAGAGGCGAAAGAGAACAACAACAAGAGGATACATCCCTTATTAACCCATAAATGTATCCATGGAACCAAGACTCGATCAAGACTTTTGCTGACGCATACATCGCGAGCGTTTACGAGGGTTCCAATAGGATGCGCCAACGCACCCCAGATCCAAGCATCAGAAGGAGAGTTTTTGGGGTGAAGCGAAGCCAATTTGCGGTCTCTTTACCATTGCTTGTTGAACAGAACTTGACTTAGTTCAAGGCCGTGTTTACGAATACGGTCCATTTATCATGATAGGTTATTTGTGTTGGAAGCTAGTTTATGTTCCAGTCACTGTAATCTTGAACTTTTGACCTTGTAAGCACATCCAAGCCTAAATTTTAGGTTGGGTAAAGCGTGTCCTTGGCCCTCCACAGGGCGTTTACTACAAGAATCCACTTGGGCAACAGCCCAACTCTAACCCACACCCACATCCACTACCCACCCTGCCTGCGGCTTCACCCATGAGATCAACACGGCTACTCCTAGGCGCAACAAGGTTCAGAGCCCCAGCAGATTTTATGAAAATTATGCGGGCTAGTATTGTACCAGGGTGGCTTGCGGCCACCGTACTCGCGTACTTTCCGGTCGGTGTAAGCAAATTCGCGGTCCCGAAGTGAGTGCAAGAACTACCCCAAACTGTGATAGCCTAACTTCTTTAAAGCCAATACCATCTTAAAACTTAGCACATAAATGTGATCCTCGCGATACATCATTTCAAAATCACAGTCAGCTAGTGGTCCCCTGTTCTTTCGTTCTCCGTCCCAATAAAACCACGGTTGGCACGGCAGATCACGACACTTACTTTGCTTTCTTATTCATAAACTCACCTGCCTGCACACCTGCAAGCAAGCTTCATATACCATCACTGTACATTCAACAGCTGCTACCGGTGCCGAATCCAGAACATATTCCCGGCGAATAAACTGTACAATTAACTCTAGGGTCCCTTAACGACACGGACTGCTTGAACACGTTATAAATGCAAGCCTCTCACTCTCGGACATAACTCAGTATACTGCATCGATTTGACAGTGGGACGACACACTCATATAATCAAGCCACATTCGAATGCGCTTGGACATTGGATATATAGCTATCAGGATTGGGCTCAAAAATCAACAGCTCAAACTGGCCCAGCATTGAAACGTTCGCACCATCATCAATTTCCAAATATATCTTATTCAAAAAATGTCTCCTCTACTCACACCTCCAACGGAGGATCAGAAACCAACTCCGCATGTCTCGAGGAAGCCTTCAAAACTTACTAAACATTCAAGTCGGAGTTCAAAAAGAACAACCATATCACATGAAAATGGTCCCGCTCCTATAGACGGTCGACATAAGAGAGTTTGGAAAGCTTGCGAACGGTGTCGCATGAAAAAGACAAAGGTATATAAGCTCGCTGCTGTATAATCCCCAATTGGTCAATGCTAACATCGGACAGTGTGACGGAGAATCGCCTTGTAAGAGATGTAAAGACGATGGGTTGGTGTGTACAGCAGGAAGCAGGAAAAAGACCGAATTCAAGCAACTACCACGAGGGTAAGCACAAACAAGCTGCTTTGCGATTTGACTCATTAGCCTTTCCTGGTTCTAACCATCGTTATTTTAGGTATGCCGAAGTATTAGAAAACACGCAATACGCTTTAATTGCGACGGTTCAAAAATTGTATACGATGTTACGCAACAACGAGTCTTGGGAGCTTGGGGAACCAGAGATGAACGAGCGAGGACATCCTGTTATTCACGACATAGCTTCGAAGCTTGGTTGTATACGCCCATCGCCGGACTTACCATATTCATTTCCAGAAGGAGAGCAGGATTTCGCAGATTTACAGGCGCAGCTGCAAGAAGCGCAGTCAGATTTGACACCAGAAGAGGGAAGCAGTAGGAAACCATCCACGGACGACTCCAGCTGTTCACCAGGTCTCGACAGGGCTGAGCGAGCAAGCAGTACAGAAAGCGATCATTCAAACATGTCAAAGGAATATAATCAGATGATGATGTCTCAGGCAAACTCAGCAACAAGACCTTCTCTGGCCAGGAAGTCTATGCCGGCTTCAATTCGCACGAACCTGAACAACGCTCCTCAACGGTCTCCGTGGGATGATTCCATGTATCTTACACAGACTCCACTGGGACTAGGACCAGATACTTCAAGATCGATTCCTTCTCCCGCGCATACAAGTTTCACATCCGAAGGGAGCTCTCCGTATACGCAATGGGCTACCCCCGATGATTTCCTCAATAAAGAACACATGCTGGTGCAAACGGGAGCCCAGTTAATGCGACAGCAGCAGCTACCGCGACCTTCACCCCTCGGACCGTCGAACATATATGCAAATTCGTCGGGTCTTTATTCACCAGGGTTCGACGGCAACACAATTCGGCCGAATATGTTGGATTTCAACCCAGACTACGAGGATGTTTATCCGATGGATATGGACATTAACATGATCTATGGGGACTACGATAACCGAAGGACTGTTCCTTAGACACCAGGCCATGCAAACCCAACTTAATGTTTATGATCATCTCACATCTCAAATTATACAGCATGGAAAAGGGGTGGGGCGGCGCATCTGAACTTTATCGGGCGCAGCATCTTACGAATTTCCTTTTCCTCTTCAAGATTCCCCTTTTCGCATAGATTAAATTAATGGATTGGTGGTGTATGACCAGAAGAGTGTTGACGAGCCAATTATGTATTAGTTGTTGATGGCGTTGGGCATATAGATAGGGCCAAGTGTCTCGTCGACATTTATTGAAGCTTGGAAGCTTCCTTGGAATCCAACTCAATTAGCGAACGCTCATCCCACCAACCTTCCCTTGTGAGATCGCTTTTGTCAACCCCAACATCAAGTATCATGCCTTCTAACAGTCAAAAGTTTCTAGGTCGCTCATAAGTGAGGTTGTACGACCCTGACCAATAACCGTACCTGAGTAATGGGCGGACTTTAGCCCCGCCGACATATTCAAGGAGCATTTTCGCTTCATAATCAAGTTGCAGGCCCCTCTTTTTGATACACATATTCGATGATTTGACGATTACAAACTCCCTCAACGGTCATCCAATTGTCAAAGAGTTCTTTTTCACGTGAAAAGACCCTGATCTTCGAAGATTGCGGAGGGGTTGAAGAGTTTACTCGCCGCTTAGAGAACCGCGCCGTTTCCGCCCCTCGTCTTCATTCTGAGTTTGTTCTAACTCAGCATGATGATGCCCGTAATTGCCCAATTGGCGACAGGAAGACGCCTCTTGCGGACTTCCAAGTGCCAACACTGTGAAGCCCGAACCCTGTTTGACGAGGAAGACTTCACATCTTGAACACCTATCACTCACATATCTCCAGCCACCGGTATCTACTGCTTACGTGGTCACCAAATTATCACTTCTTGTATGCCTGTTTTAGGTTTGTGCGCCAGCATACATCGTATGCAGGTAGACTTCTGAATTCAGTAAATGGTCTCTTCCCCAACCTTCAATGCCGGACAACACTGCGGTCTGACTGAGCATTAATACGCCTTTCTGGACATTTACCATTGGTCCCTCAAGAACAATAACCACAAATACTCGTCACAAAATCTCAACAATCAGCGCGCATACGGTTTCACTCTGGGAATACGATGCTCAAGAACCTTTGTTTCACAAACAGGCAATTGATGGATCTCCCAAGGAATTCTCCTTTCTGGGCGTCCCTCCCCGCATTCGTTCCTCGCATTCGCATACCCAGTACATTTACGGTCCTCGAGAGCGAGCCTACTCATATCCATATCCGTATCCGCGCTGGGTATCCGCAAACTTACCGCGAGCGCAAGTCAAATTGATTGCATCGTAAATATGCAAGCTCAAATCGTAAGTTTTACCGCATGACCTTTCATTTCTCCAAACGCAAAAATGCCTCTGTTTCGTTGCGCGTCGCTCATTGGAATTGTGCGATGCTCCGTGCTTTCGGGCGACGCCAGTAGCCCTACCAGATGCGTAGAGCGTATTCGGATTTTAGAATGTTGCTCCGAGGCCGAACGAATCACCGCCGGTGGGCGGCGATTTCGGCCGATTCTAATGTTTGGCTTGGATGGATGACATGTGGCTGACCTAAGCTTGTTTTCTTCGCCGAAACTGACGGAGAGGGATTGAGATTAAAATATGAGAGACAACATCCTGCGTAAATGAAAAACAGTAATGTTGAATGTAATCGGTCAAGAAAGTCGAATGCCAAAGGTCTGGAGATGCGGTTGTGTTGCCGGGCTATGTCCGTTTGTAATCAAATAAGTAGCCGAAAAGTCCACGGACTTATGTCAAGTGGGAACCGATTAATTTTATGCTTTATTAATTTGTACGGTTGCCTTTACCTCAAACAATGTTCTTAAATACATTTTCATAATCATAATTTGCTCTCGCTTCAAGTGACTCAGGGGAGTCATATCGACTCATACCTACAAATGAAGATGGTTGGACCCTTTCAATTGTGGGGTTACACGAGCCGTCGGACTTGTTTGTCAGACGTGCTTTATGTCAGACCTAGCTATATAAACTGAACTTAAGCATGTGTCGCAGCGTGGCTTGCAGGTTGGGTGACCCAAGCGAGCTACGATTTGAATGTGTTGGCAAGGGCGTGATTGGGAAGTTGTTACGACTCTTTTATGGAGCCAATCATGGAGTTTTCTGTGATGCTAAGTGCTTACCAGACGCGTCCAGACTTCTGACACGGTGTGACCTGAAGATCGGAAAGAATGAGTGATTTCGGACGGCTCGTTAATTACTATAGACGGAGTGATGATACTGAGTGGGATTAGAAAAATCAATTTCCATTGGTGAAACCACAGATTTCTCAGAAGCTGCGGTATCAGTACAGATCTTGTGCAAGAACCAAGCGAAAACCTCCGTAAGCTTCTAGAACGAATTTGGGTATCATCAATCTGACTTGGATCACCCTAGGCTCGATAAAGCACGATCTTAGGCAGCTGAAAACCCATTCCAAATGTCAGCCCTACGTTATGCTAATTTCATTTCCAAGTCCATGGACCACGATGGTATTTCCACGTGTCTGCTAGAATAGCTGCCTGTCATGGATAGCCATGTTATTCATATCCGTCTTAAGGCCATGGTCTAATGAGAAGCTAATGAGTAACGAGCTCGTATATCCGAAGCTCCATTGTCCTAATAGCTCCACAATCTCAAAGCAACTACTCGTAAATAATCTCAGGCTAAACATCCAGCGACCCTTCGAGGAACGCCGATTTAGTGTACTGCAACTAAATTTAGGAAGATTTAGAAATCGTGCTAGCAAATCATAAGGGTCCCCAATGTTTCCACCAGCGTACCACGAAGTTCTTTGCACGTCAATTGGAATCCATAGGTATCTTTCATCTAAATCATGGATATGCCGCACCAAATTTGTCCCCGAACTTTTGGGTTCGTACCATACTCTAAGTTGATGGGCTTCCAAGCCCGGTGATCTATCATATGAAAGAATACTACAAATTGACATTTTGATATCGGAAAGTAAACTTACGAGGTATTGGAAGCAATCTCTAATCGCCTATGTGATGTGAGGTTAAAGGATTCTGAAGTACTATAGAAAGTGCGTGAGGTACTCTCTAGATCGACTACTATTCGATATCTTATGCCTTCAATCTTAAGTGATGCTGAACATCCGCGTAATTTGGATACTATGGCTAAGTATTACTGCATCTCGCTTACAGCCCCTGATTTAGGGGTGCTCGCTTAAAGCTCGTCGCTCTTGGAACTTCATCTCCAGACAGAAATAACAGTATAGTTGTGGCATTAAGTTTAGTATTTTGTTCTCCCGAAATTATTTTTACAATTGCAAACTCGGTGGCTTGATGGGCTGGGTATTGGTTTCTATTTGTTTTCATTGGTTGTGTTTTGATTTTGAGGACGTCGGAAGAATACGCTACTGCTCAGAGGAAGACTAGCTGCTTCTCAGACTGGAGACTATTTCCGCGATAGTCGTATCCTCGTGTTAGCATATCTTATATTGATGTTTTGCACAGTCTACAGAATTTAGCCTGGTCAGCTTTCCAACGCCTGATCGGCGAATCAGGAGAAATCCACCATCGGTCGAACTGCTCAGGTGTGGGTTGCCATTTGTGCAGCATCATATCTTCAGAGATGCTGGGTTCAAAATGATTCATCAGAAGCGGCCAATCGGCTGAGTCATGCAACGAGTTGAACAGGACTTTGAGAGAATCTGAGAACTCGGGGCCGTGACCAAGCGGCTCGCCATCTTGTCCGTAAGATGTAAGTCGGGAGTTACAGTCGGCACAGCGACATTCGTAAGCGGATTTAAAAACGTGTAGCATCTCATGTAACAGTGTTCCCAACACCTGGGAAACATGTCTGGACTTATCGTATGAATCTTGAGAAGATTCATACAAGTTGAGGGTTATGAGAAAAGTGCTTTCGTATCGTGTCGCAGCATTGCATATGTAATTGGTGCAACCACGAAAGCAGACTTCAGCATCATTTATGAACCAAATGCTAATCCACTTCCTGTCGAGCACCCCGAAAAAGCATGCGTCGTTCAAAATGTAAAACCACTGGTCGACCAAATCTGAAAATCTACTGGAGACCTTCAATTCTGGGCTTTTCACAATTGCTAATTGAGCCTTCGTCAGTCGCTTTTCGATAGGGATCTGGCTATACCAATCAAGCACACGTGAAAAATCAGCACTGTTGTAGCTTCCAAACTTAGGTACCCACTTCGAGTCTTCAGAATAAAAGGGTGCGGTGAAAAAGTCTTCGTCAAACCGTGGGTGCTTGTCGCTTGATGGGACTATCATCTCACAGTCACTGAATTCTTCAGCTGGATAATCGGCCTTACAATCAGATCTAATGTCATCAACATAATGAAAGACATCGAATGGAGAAAGCCATTGTGGTGTTCTGTTCAATAAGAAATTCTTAACCTTGATTCTCTCCTAGATCTCTTCCTGGGTGTTGAATTGGTCAGTCATATTGTGATGGCTCCGGATGATTGCAGTACACTAGCAGTGATCCTTTCAGAGTTGATAAAAAGTTTTGACGCCAGTTTATATCGTGGTATAACTTGATTGTTCATAACGTGAGTTCATACTGAACAGACTTTTCATTATTATGTCTTCTGCAGTAGTACACTTAATTTGAACTTAGCTGATTTGCAAATTCTTTGTTCAACAAGTGGGAGTGATCTCTCTAGTCCAAATGACCAAGCTCCATTTAGCTTCCCTCTGAATTGATTGTAGTCATATAACAGTAATAAAGCAGTGAAAGTTATTTATGGAGGCTCACACCGACTGTCACGTGGCGCATTTAATTTATGATACTGTTCAACTTGTGTGTGATATGTGGACATGCCAGTGAGTAACTAAAATGATACTATCTATATGAGAAACGTGTCGCTGATACATTCTTACAATACACTGAGAGGATTGATCTCTTACTTGAAGCATTTTGTCAATGCCTCAATTATTGGTCTCATCTGATTCCGATTCGCTTTCCCACGTGTCATGGTAGAATCCAGGATTTGCGTCGTTCTCGTCTACTTCATCAACATCTTTGTCATCTTCATGTTCGCCATCCTTGCCCTCGTCGTCCTCAGCCTTGAGGTAACGTTTGCGGCTGCACATATTCTTGCGCCCAGCGTTTTCGAGAATTGTAATTCTCCATAGACCAAGCAGAGTCTTTTTAGGCAGCTGCTTGTACTTTGGGAGGTCCTTCGGAATCAATTTCGTTGTCCGCCCTTCGGAATCTAGCGACCGTTCTACCATATTCCATTGCGCTTTCAAAAGCAAGACCATACAGTTGGCAAACTCTGGACCATGTGATCTATTGTTCTTTGACGTGCGACCAAATACTGACATGAATTCATGAAGCATTTCATGTAGAAGCATAATTAGGATATCCTGGCAATGCTCCTGTGGTCTATCATGGCCATGAACCGGGACAAAGTGATGTACATTGATCGTGATGACTGTACTAAGATGTTTCTTGTTTGATGATGTTGGAGTGGAGTTGGCTTTGTCTTCTAGTTGCTTACATTTTGGTGGCCATGGCTTTTCAGTAAGGATTTTGAATGGCTTCTTCTCCAGAGCTCCAAAGAAAAAAGCGTCGTTGAAAATACCAAACCACTCATCAAGCACCTCTCGGTATGTGGGAATTCTCAGTTGCGCGGTAATGAGGTCAGGTTTAACAACGAGCCCTCTGATTATCTCGAGCTGATTGGTTGAAAGTCTTTTTTCGAGAGGAAGTTGATTATACCAGTGTAAGACTTGAGCAAAATCTGTGAACTCGTACGTGTCGAACAGAGCCTCAAAGCGTTTTGTAGAAGCATAGGCATGAAAAAGTGGACTAATGTCTCCAACCAAAGGCGAATCCGACCCATCGAATGCTTCGGCAGTTGTGGCGAGGCCCGCATCTCGTCGTGTTCTGTTGACATATTCTTTTACGTCAAAGTTATTGGGCGGCGGCATGGACTTCCCAACTGGGTTTAGTTTTTTGATTACGTTCATATTGATTGTCTGTAGAAGCCAGGCTTGGATATTGAGACTGATTTGAAACTTGAATTGGGAATTGGATTGGAGATTGGCTTGAAGTTTATATAGACCAGCCCCTTGACTCACCTCTGGTTTTAAGATCAACACTCAATGTGAAAACCTATTGAAGGTGAGTAATGGCCAGTGGTTTTTCATGAGAACAGCCATTAGACGTGAGTAATAGCCACTGTTCTGTTAGAAGCAGCGAAATTTTGACTCAAAGAATTAAAGAACAAAGAAATTTAGGCTTGCTGACTTTCATTGTGACACAAGGAGAGAGACCTTGGTGACTTGTTACTCTTGAATCACACGTGGAGGGTTCATCATGAATAAAACAAGGTTGCCTCGCTTATTCTGGTCATCTGGACTTCCCGTAATTCATCGCCTACGCCTCGAGATTAATATGACTTGTTGGGATACTAGGTCATATCCAGTTATCCCACTCAACATGACTGTTATATGCTCTTTCTTGCCGTCAAAAAGCGATGCGCACTGGTGATACTTGCGACGGCTCACAGCACTTACATAATAAACTGTGCTCATCGCTGTCAAAGAACCCCAGGTGTTAAAATCAGTATATTCGCGACTGGCTCAAATAATTCAGGTTCTTGTGAGTAATTCGTGTAGAAGTTGACATCAGCCTGAGTCGCGACTTGAATTCAGTGAGGAACTTGAGTAATAGTGGTGAAGATTGAGATGAGTTGTAGTTAAGATTGCGTCGTTCAACTCGAGTCCACTCACTCATTCGGCTGTTAATTGATTGCTCACAGAAACCAGGAAGGAGAGGATTTCACCGAGCACTTTGCAACACATAAGTTCATCAGAAATCGTGCTTCAATTCTAACTCTAATATTCTACCAGAACAAGAACTATATACAAAAGAGACATGAATGAAAAGTTGGTAATCGTTGCTTTGTGGAGAAAGGAAATTCAATCGATGTTCTCTTCGCTTTCCATAGTGCCACAGCTCTAAGGATCAATCTCATCTTGGGGCAGTGGCGCAAGTTCCTCCAACGCCTTCCTAGTGACCAAGATTGGCGTACCAAGGGGACCCAGTCCGGCGCCGTCCAAAGCAAAGGCCGCCTTTGAGATCGTAGCAGCCTCTGGTGCTCTAGCAATCGCTTTTCCGATGGCGAAACCTGCAATGGCGAGTAGACCTGATGGCACAGAGGTAGTAGCGGCGTCATACAAACCTCTTCCAACAGCATACGCATCAGTGAATCCACCGATAGTTCTGCCCAACGATCTCACCAATGCACTGCTTGTAGCCTTCAGTGGTGCGCTGACAAGCGGCATGACCAGGAAAATGGTGTCGAGGAAGGCTAATGCGACCTTCTTGCGTTCCTCCGCCTCAACTTTCTCGGCCGTCTCCAGGACCTTCTGCATTTGGTTGACGGACTCGTCGACCATGGTCACGGATGGGTACAATGCCCATGCCAAGTGTCTGATATCAAGGGGCTCTTCCTCGCTACCGATAGTTCTCTTTTCCTTCACGGCTTTGATGATTTCGCGGAGTTCAGTCAGAGTGCCCTCGATTCCTTTCATGGAGTCGGACAGGAAAGTCTTCGGATTCTGGTCTTTTTTGATCAAATCGGCGGTGTAGTCCGACGTCCTCCCTGGATATTGATAATACATGAATCGGTTCTTGCAATGCACACTGTCCGGGCTTTGGGCGCAATTGTATTGATCGCTGATCGAACCGTCGGCAAATTTGTAGTCATCAAATTTGATGTATTTTGATTCGACTCCAATATCGGCGTAGAATCTCTCAGCGTCACCTGAACGCAGATACCATGTTACTGATTGCTTGTCATTACCTCCGATGCCTCTCAAGTTATATATTGGAGGACAATCCTCTTTCTTCGGCTCGTATCTGTATTTTGGAGTGGTTGGTGGTTGTGTGCCTTCGTATTTGCAAAGGTCCTCATTTGTGGTTAGGACTGCGCAGTGGCGACATTGTCCAGGGTAAATGGCTTCACAATTTCTACAGCAAACGATTTGCTCGAAGACATCACACTCGAAGTAGTCAGCTCCATGTTCCGCGAGCCTTTCCTTGATATTGTCGGCCAGATAGTCCACTATGTAATTTGCGTAGATGCCGAATTTTCTGTCATAGTCGTCTCTGATTAGATTGTTGAATTGGGTCGTCTTTTCTGATAGTACACGCTCCCATATGGCCAGGATGTAATACAATTTGCATATCATTAGGTCGTTTCGAGGAATATCCGAGAGGTGATAATAGGTACCAGTGCATTTGTTGATATCACCATAATCCGTTGGTGGTTTGGCCTCTTCGGGGGAGTTGTATGGAGGCAAATTTGGATCAGCTGCGAAGTGCAAGATTGATTAGCCAATTGACAGATATGGTGAATGTTGAAGAAGGGTTAAAATTACCAATCGAACCACCATCGTCTCCACCACTTCCTCCGCCACACTCGTTGAAATAGGTCCAAGCCTATCAATGTTAGCAAGATGTCGTATGTAAGAAGGCCGCGTTTAATGACGTACGCGATTACTGAGTGGGAGGACTTCGAGAAGATCAGCTCGACCCAGCCCTCCTTGGTTGCTGAACATCATGCACTCGCCGCGATTTATAGGCGAATACAATTTCCCGCGGCTCGTCCATAGCCAAGACGAACCGAGATTACCGGCTGGGTTGCCGGTACGCCCGCCATTTGTCCAGACTGACCCAGCGCCAGTGTACTTGTCCAACCAGATGATATCAGTTTTTCCCTTCGATTCCACATCTGCGAAACGAAGGTTGGCACGATCCCTTTAATTCAAAAGTCGTCAGTAAATTGCCAGGTTTCACAGAACTTCGAGGATATAAGCAGACACTTACCATCCTTCAGACTTTTTGATTTGTCCAACGTCTTCCAGTTTGCCGGCTTTGTTCAAAAACCCTGTAATACGTCCGCTGGTTTCCAGACACAAGATGTCTGCTCGCTTGTCACCGCTGCCATCTTTGTTAGTATCTGTATCGAAAATGTAAGTTGAATAGTTCATCTGGCAAACTCACTCAATGTCGGCAAGAGCCATTCCTTTATCAAAGATGTTCACACCCCAGCCTGTGTTACAAGTCGCACGAGTCGGCGCTGATGCAACAAAGGTTATAGTCTTCGAGTTTGCATCCCATTTGTTGATGTAGGGTGTGATGGCACCAGTTGCTTTGTTCTGTACCAAAACATCGCACCTTCCATCACCATCCCAATCCGCAAGATGAATACCGTTACGAGGCCCTGGCACACTCAGCTTGATTGTGACGTCGTGGCCCCATTCTGGAGGGCTTTGGATGTTGGCGAAGATTTCTGCAGATCCTCCATGGGAATAGATCCAGACGTAGTCGTCTCGTCCGGTTCCTCGCATGTCGCAGTAGTAGTTACCGTCGGCCTTGCGTCTAGTTGCACCTGCACCCAAATTCTCCCATACGTGAACATCGTACCACTCTTTCTCTTCCTTGATGTAGATGTAGTCGAGTTTACCAGAGCCAAAGATTCGCCCGAATTTGATGTTTCGTCGGATATTTTGATCTCCTTGGCCTTGATGTGTGATTCCAGCATCATTCCATTCAGGAACAATTCCCGGTCCCCATCCTCTCATATTCGTCCATGTGTTAACGTTGCCGTTATTGCCGATGAACATGTAATCAGCTCTGTTGTCACCATTCAAATCACCAAGAATGACTCCTGACCGATCTGCCGTTGCTACTTTGTCGAAGACTCGTTCGCCAATACCACCTGCGGTCTTGAACCCTTGCCAAGAATAGTCAATTCCTTGACCGGCATTTCGCGAGCACCTATTGCAAGTGTTAGTAAAGACATCAATGAAAGCATAACCTATCAGAGCTCCCTTACTTGATGAATCCATTTCCGTCACCTGCGACATTACCATTTTCAACCAGACAGTAATCCGCACGTCCGTCTCCGTCAATGTCTGTTTATCGTTAGTGCGTAGTCCACAACACAACACTGGGGTAAAGATTCCACAAACCTGCAATCCGCACGTCTAGATCGGTATAACCAGCATGAGTTGGAACAACCTAAGTTCGGTTAAGACAGTTCTAGCCCATATATCTGGTTAGATCACCTACCTGTCCAAGATATTTGAAAGTGGGAGGGTTTGTCTTCTGGTTGATTGAAACATGCACAGCTGAGCCAGACTTTAAGCAAAAAAAGTCATCGTACCCGTCGTTGTTGAAGTCCGCAAAGGCATCTGGTAGAGCACGGAGGAGTTAGTTATTGTCTCAACAGTTGGAATCTCAGAAATGAAATCGACTGGATGTTAGATCACCTACACTTTGGACCCAGATTACAATCCATGTCTACGTTGAAAGTTGTACTTGCTCCAAACTTTCCACCTCCAAGATTCTGTCTGTAATAATAAGTGTTCTTGTCATCGCGATCATGGTAGATCCGAATCCAATCATCGAGCGTTTTGGCCCGATCAGCATTGGGATCAGCTACGACGAGGTTGGCGAAGAACATGCGATCTGGAATTCCGTTGACAATGACTGCAATATCATCTTTCTTTTCAATTCTTGCAGAGATGTCTGCTGCCCATTCCTTTCGCTGGTGCACATAAGCTCCTAAAAGTAGAAAGTCGCAATTAGTCTACTGTGTATGGCGATAGGAAAAGGAACTCATATACCATCATCATGTCCACTGCCGCTTTGTGTCAAGATTGGACCTCGAGCATTTCCTGGAACTTTGGTACAGCTTCTAGCACTGCCGGTCTTGCTGTCATCAATGCTGGCAACGTACTTCGGGGGCGAAACCCGGCTTTCGACTCGCTGGAACGCATCCCACCAACTAAAATCCAAACCCTTAATATTAGCTTACTAAACTTGGAGAAAAGAGGGAAAACAGGAACACTTTTGGAATCAGGTAAAGTGTATCTGAACTCCACGGTCCCGATATGGCCAAAAGTCAATGCCAATAATTAGAAGAACTTACACAGCTGCGAATAGCTTGTAGCCGGCGTCATTGGGATGAATACCGTCACCAGAGAGATGAGCCTCTCTGTTCATAGCTTGAAACATGTCTGCTAGAGCGATCTTCTTGCCCGAGAACTCGCTAGACTTCACGAACTCTCGAATCTGTTTGCTGACTTTCTCAGCGCATTCTTGTTGGTTTCTGCTTTGAACGAGAGTCGAAACAATGACAGTCACATCATCGATGCTGTTAAAGATATCGTTGACTATAGCCTTGACGCGTGTGCCCACATTGTTTGTGTCGAGGTTTTGCATACAATCGTTCCTAAAGTACGGTTAACCTATCTGTCTAGATATATACGCAGGTTAAACACTTACGTTCCCGCGTTGAGTAAGACCACATTCGGCTTCATCTCTTTGTTTGCTGTCCATGCACCATGAATCTCAGAGGTGACCCAACCTGGATGGCCTTCGTTGTCCTACGAAGGTAATGTGAGCTTTGCGTGTGCGGAGTTCTTCTATTGAGTGTATACAAACCCGATCTGCCATATTTCCATTTTGTTTAGATCCCACCATGTTCACCTTCCAGCCCTTCCAACGCAGCTGCTGTCTCAGGTGCTTTCTGAATCCATTGCTGTCTGAAGAGGCAATACCTTCAACGATAGAGGCTCCCAGAGGCATCACGCGGAGATAGAAATCCTTGGCTTCGCGGCGCCTGAGGTCCGGTGCGGGATCTGTGACATTGTCATAGATTTCTTGGTGTTGAGGGGTAACAGTGAAGCCTTCGTATGGTGGATAATAGCCATTCCATGCTTTATCGACAGTTGCATCTGATGGACCGGTGTTGGTGGTTGGATAATCGAGTCCTTGAGCAGCGATAGGCACAATGGAGTTTATGCTGCTAGAAATAGCAAGCAATGCACCGAGGTTCTTCATTAAGAGACCCATTGCTGCGGCACGAGAGAAGACACGAGGAGGACGAAAAGAAAACCTCTACTCGATGGCAAGAAAACTTACGGTTCGTCCGGCTCTTTATATTTATTTCATCCCAACGTATTTCTCACGATCGCATATGAACATGCTCTCTAACCCATGCCCTCGTAGATTTCCATTTGGAATAGCTAAGAAACGATATGTGGTTCTGTGATATTGCATTTTGGCTATTTCCAGGCATCGAATGGAAGGAAAAAAGACATCGAATTCGAGAATTCGATAAGAAAGCTTATTTCTTCGGTGTTTCCTAAACTAGAAGGGTGAGGTTGGTCTCGACTTCTCCCTTACGTGAAGCTTTAGATTTGCACAGCGCATAAAGTGTTTGTGTCTCGTTCCTATCTCTAGGACGACATGCTCGTGGTCTCGTGCTTCGGTCATGCTGTGAAGTGGCGTCTGTATTGACACCGCCGTTATTCCAAGACTGCTTGGCGATCATTTACCTTGCTTCTATTGCTGCCCAGCTGGAGCTTAGCCCTTTGAGTGTCGATTCCGTGGGAACGAAAGGAGAAAACCGTTAGGAAATGCAGAAGCCAGGCTCCCTCGTGGGCTCGTACCGTACCAGAGTTGACGTTGTGCCGTGCTGCCGCGGCTTCGCTTCTCGTAAAGGGCCCGAGCCCCAACTTCGCCCCCAAGATGGGGTCCAGAACCAGACCCTGAAAACCAAAGTATATGCCCAGCATGTCACACTACCCCTTGCTTTTGGGTCCTTAACGTTACATCTCGAAATGCAATCGTTCTTAACTTGCCCGAATATTACTGCTTTTCTGTTCTCCGCATTTTAGAAGACTCAAAGAGAGAGCGTCGATGAAGCTATCGTCAAAAATCTGCCAGATGAGTACCGAATACGATAGACTGGCTAGCAAGGATTGAGAATTATCCCTGCAGTCGAAAAAGGGACTTCTTGTAAAATTTCAGACGCTGACAAGTTGAAGAGAAGATTGAGATCTCGGAAGTGCCCGAATTAAGGCTTAGGAAGCGAGAACATCAACTGGTTTCAAAAGGTATTAACAGTAAACTCTCTCTCTTCAAGTTAGTCAGACACCTGACAAGTCTCGACGGTTACTTACTACCTTCGTCTATTTTACCAATTAGGAAATTCAACTATATCATTTTCTATTACACTCCGTACTTGCCAAGTACGGAGCTATACTTGCGAGAGGCACAGGAACAGAAAAGTCGTGCATCCACTTTGTGCTTGGAAAAAGGGTATATTTGCCAAGTCTAACCAAGCCTTTTTAGCACAGGGATAACAGGATACTTCGGGTGATTTCACCTCGAAATCTCACAAAGTTGGAACGAATTGACATCTTCACGAGGTTGTTTGAAGCGTGTAACGCTTGCAATCTTATGGCGAGGCACAATTGCTAAGTCTTGCACTAAACAATATGGACTTTTGCACCTTTGCATGAAAATCAACCAGCCTGGTACCTGCTTTAACAATCAAGATATAACTACGCCGCACGCTAGATGACCCCGCGAGGGGTCTTGGTACCTGCGAAGAACCCCCCTGATTTCGAGCCTGCGAAAGGCAGAATGCGGGTGTCACAGAAATTTGAAGCACTTGTTCAGACAATTCTGAGTATTTCTCGCTTAACCACTCCCTTATTCGTTAGTAGACTCCTGCTAACCATGCCATATTCTCCTTGTAACTCCATTTTTCCATTTCAAAATTGCACAAGACAGTAGCTCAATCCCACAAAATATCCATCTAACTAGTACTGCTATCGCGCGTCTAGAATCACAGGGCTAAGCTTTGCGGTGACCCTTTACGGCGATACCCCACGACTAGCAACCAACACGCCCAGAACTTAAGCGCTGCACCTACTTTTCCATCCCAGGAATTGACGATGCGACTGTGCATTGACTAAGTGGTTCCTCAAATAACAGCGAGTTCTTGTGATTGGACAGTTCGCGATGAGGGAAATAGTTAGGCGTTCGGTCAGGGGCTCACCAAACCCAGAAATTGGGTGGGTAGTAATCCGCACCACTAGTAGACTTCTACTTCCCAAGATCAAGAATCAATTTGCACCACTCCGGCCAACTCTGTAGAACAATATCAAGGATTCTTTCTGTGGTACACCTGAACGAGAAGTCGTTGGCATTGAGAGCCTAACTTCAAAAATCCTCTTCATCGGACAGTCCGCGAGGATATTAGAGAGGTTTTGCAGATTTTAGGATTACCGTTTAACTTCCTATTATAGTTTAGCGCTATAGTTTTATACAATTTATACTTTCTCTCTTTCGGAGCTCCGATTGAACTTTATAATCCCAAAATCGCGTTTAGGACTATATAGTCCTATAGGTTTACGATAGGATTAAGATAGTCCGTCCTAATTAGGAAGTTATTTAGGTCGAAACAGTCTCTTACACACTAAATTGCGAACCGAGTCCCAAAAGCTGTAAAACCTCTTATTTTGAAAATAGTAACAATTATATAACTCGTAATCATACAATCATAATCCCATAAGTTATAAAACCTCTCTATTCACGGTAGCTTCTACTCAATGCCCACAATGTATCTATCAAGACCGGAAGTCTTCTCGCTCTCCTCCCAGCCAATCCTGCATTTGTAGCGCACATCACAGATCATGGCTTTCATGGAGTAATTTTTCGAAAAGATCTGGCAAATTTCCTCTCAAGTGCTGGCGTTCGATTTCTCGCATTTTGGCTCTACCAAAGACCTTTTTATTGTGATACTCACACAATTCAACCATCTCTTCTCTACAATTTGAGCGCCGCATTGCTTAACGGGATCGAGGTCTCTATAGATCAAAAGGACCGTGAATCTAAAGACAAGTATTTTAAAAAAGCGCCTCGACAAGAGACGTTCCTCGTTAAGCCCTCCTCGAGGTCTAATAGTATGTTTTAGTAGGAGACTCTACCTTACATGTACCTCTACTTCCAGAATTTGAATGCGGATATTACGGGACGTCGAGATATCTCCTTCGTTCTAATCAAATCTATATAGGAACATATTATTGCGTTTTGTAAGTAATGAGCACTTTCCTCACCGTAAAAACAAGGCTACGCCACGAAGCATAAATCAAATCTCACTAAGAGAGTCAACGGAAATTATGAAGTCCACTATTGTCGGCGACAATCGTCCTCAAAGATGCTTTTCCACAATAGAGGAATTGAGTTATTGTAAACATCAGCACCGAGCGGTTGGTTCAATTGAACAAGCGTAGCAAGTTCGAGGTTGAGGTGGAGCAAATCGACAAGTGATTCTAACGATAAATGATATGATAAATAATCAGGAGTTATGTTCCTGCAAATCAGCGCAGTTGGTAGGAAGCTGCCGAAGATGCTGTAGGTGATGGAAAGTGAGTTGGTTATGAAAATTCCTGACATTCTTGTAAGTTCTGAAGTCTCTTATTGGTTTACTCATCTATCGTGGCAAACAGCTCATCAATACTGCTCGTTATATTTCAATAAGCTGACTGGTATATCAAAGTAATATATACAAGAATCCCAACCCCCCTCCAACCCGGGGGTCAACACCACCCTCGCTCTACAAACTCCATCTCCCAAACCACTCCATAATAACCGGCGTAGCATCGAAGTAAGTCCCATTCGGATTATCCCCATTAGCCTCCAAACTCGGCCACGCATGCCCCAAACCCTCCGTCAAGTACCCCGTCACCTTTCCCCCACCATACTCCCATTTCCTCACCTTCCCCCCATACAAAACCGTCTCATTCGCACACGTCCCCAACCCATCTCTCACACTCCACGCCTTCACCCAGCGCGCTACGCTCGGCAGACACTCACCACTCCTGGCACCGCCCGCGTACGCGATCGTATCGTCTTGACTCCCGTGGAACTCGAGGATCGGGACAGAGCGGCTGGGTTTGCACGGGATGTCGATGAATTCCGGCTCGCAAACGCTGGTGTCTTTCGGGAGCGGGATGTAGAAGGCGGCGGAGACGGGGGCGAAGGCGGCGATTTTGGAGGAGAGAGCGGAGCAGGCGAGGGTGCCGGTGAAGCCGCCGCCGTTGGATTTGCCGGCTGCGTAGATGCGTTTGGGGTTGACGCAGTAGCGATCTGTTATGTGGTCGATCCTGGAGTTTTGTTAGTTTATTGGTTTCGTGGTAGGGAAGGGGTGAGGTACATGTCTGTGACGAATTCGATGTCGTCGACTCCTTTTGAATATGGGGCGCCCTGCCACGCATTCTGTTATGAAGTTAGTAAGGATCCCTATATTGGAAACGTAAATCATACCTCTATTCCCTGCGGATACACAGCAATCCCATCCGGATTCCATTTTTCATTCGAGAACTGGCTCAATTCCTCCTGACTCGAAGCAGTTTTCCCACGACCATGAAATGAGAATATCAGAGGGGCGGGCTTATCCGAAGAGTAACCCTTCGGAATATGAATGAGATAAGTGCGTGGAGTACCATTCGTTTGCTTGAATTGGACTTTGTGTGAAGCTCCTCCTGCTGGTTGTTGTGCTTTGGGAAGCGGTTTTCCACATCCTGGACTCTGAGTCGCGGTTGCTAACGTGAGTGAAGCAAAAAGTAGGAGTTTTGATATTAAGTTGATTGCCATTTTCCAATATTAAAATGAATGCTAACACTTTTTGGTAAGGAGGTGATGACCTGGATATATTACCCCTCAAAATTTAGCCGAGCACCTGAACAATTCAGCGAATCGAGACAGAGGACGGTCGTGAAAATTCAGAACTTTTTGAGTCTATGAGCGGTAGAAAGAATAGGTTCATGAGTTCTATTGACAGCTATAAGTATTCCTCATGGCCAAGTGAGGTTGAAATAGGATATGTAGGATGCTGTCAAGTGACGTACTGCTAGTCATTAGCATTCTGACTGTATCCACTACTTCGCGCAACTTACTCCACATGGAAGGAAATCCTACGACCCAGCTACCCACTTGATATAAGATCGTCTTAGCCACACGACGACACTAAAGATCCTATTCATCTCAATCCTCTCAAGTTGCAAGGTAAATGTTGTTACTACCACATTCGTACTCGAGGCTTCGTGCGAATTGCTGACAGCCAGACCCAGTCACGTGAATTTCATACTCTTATGGTAAAAATGAAAATATTGATTATTAAGGTCGTGATAAATCATTAGGCATCTCATCATACAAAAACAAACAAATGACTCGCTCTTCCTTGCCCATACCAATTCGCCGGATTTGCTCCTTAGCAAACTCTGAACGAGAAAAAAGCAATAACTATTTTACACACCTGTAGTGACAACTTCAATTCTTGTCGTAAAACTCCTCATCGCTTGGACCAGCATGCGCGTTTCTGTTGTTGCGCGTATTGCTCCTGAGACTCCTCTCCGCCATAGGTACTTTGGAAGGCGAAGTTGAATTTTTGATGGCACTTCGGGGGGCACCTGATGTACTTCCACTTCCAACTTCCTTTCGCGCACTGCCTTCGCTGAGCACAGTGGTATTGGTGTTATTAGGTGACACCACGGTGCGGTCACTGTCGCCGCCCATGCTATTATGAGGATTGTAGGGTCTTTGGTTGTCGTTACCGTGCATTCCTCCATCATTGAGACCAGCAAATTGATCATTGGCATGAGGGGGCGCGGGGGAATTGCTGTAGGGACGGTTTTGAGTACCATACTCATTTGGAACCCCTAAGTTTTCCTGGCCGGCATTTCCTTGGTGTCCACCTGCTCTACCCTCTTCCATGGCATAGTCTTCTGGTGCAAAAGACACACGAGCCTTTTCAGTATGCTCATCGGGGTTGAAGTGCTCGCCTTCCTTCTGAGCTTGATCTTGCCCAGGGTTTGCAGTCTCATATTCGAGCATCTTGATGAACTTGTAGAAGGCTGACGCAAGAAGGGAGCCTAGGATTGGCCCTACCCAGTAGATCCAGTGGTAACTGGCGAATGTGTGAGACACAACGGCGGGACCGAAGCTACGTGCTGGATTTACAGATCCTCCGGTGAAGTATACGCCTCGAAAGAGTATTAGCAAGTTAGATGGAGGGACTCATAACCACGTAGGCTTACCAGTAAGTTCAGCAACAAAGAGGGAAAGTCCAATGCCAATGGGGGCGATGAACGTTCCCTTGTGTTTCTCTGCTGCCAACATGAAAATAGTGAAAACCAATTCAGCAGTCAAGAACATCTCAATGAAGAGACCTTGTGTCGGCGAAGTTCCGCCTCCAAGTGTTGTTCTTACAGAGAGAGGTCCAGGGAAGAGTGCGCTACAGATGCCTGCTGCGGCAATCCCTCCAACAACTTGAGCGATTAAAAGGAAAATGCCACGGACCCATGGCAGGGCCCCAACAAGACACATTCCCATAGTGACCTAGGGTAATTAGTGCCGATTTCTCGTAGCCTTTAGCTCAGCTGTACTTACTGCTGGATTGAACAGCCCCCCACTAATTCTGAAGAAAACCCAAGCATTGACAGCCAGTGAGAAACCGAAGCTCAGAGCAATAAACATCAGTTGTGAGGGGTCGCTGACTGTTCCAACAACATTCTGTATATCGGGAGCCTGGGAAAGAAGCGCTACTTGAGTACCAGAGAAAGCGAAGAAAAGAAACAAAACCGTTCCAGCGAACTCGGCCAACGTGGCGACAAAATGATTTCGAGCCTGTTATTTGTTAGATGGAAAATCAAATACACGTAACAACATGTTGAACGTACCGCGTCTGGTATAAAGTCGAGAAATGGTAATCGATTAGACTTCATAGACCCAGGTCTCGTACTATTTCGATATTTCTTATTTGTGTTTATGAAAGGGATGACCATATGGCCACCATGTCTAGGCTCGTTGATATTCATTTTGATGGGTTGAAGAAGAAGAGTGGTCAAATTGAAGATGAGAAGTGGTATTAGAAGTATGCCAGGGAGCAGTTGAAGTGCAAGCCACAAGAGAACTTATGAGAGAAGCGAAAGGAATATATGTTGAAAAAAGACGAGATGAGAAGCAAGTTTTATGTCCTTGTGGTTCTAGCTTCAGCAGCGTCATTGCTCTTGATCTGTCGACTAGTGGTGAAGGCGCTGGATGAGAGCGCTAAGGCTTGGGTTGCCGCAAGTCCAAGGGCCTCGCTGCGTCGACGATGCAACACCTACATAGATCGCAAGCACTGCCACTCATATCCAATTACAGGAGGTGAGACAGGAAAAGACACTTTCACTTACACATTGTGCGAAGGTTAATAGACACAAGAGTTATGTTCTCGATTCCAACCATTATTATTCCTCGATCAAATGGACAACAGCACTGTGCAGACGTATCTGAGTCCAGATGTGGCGCAGTTGCAAACCTGCCCGAGAAAAGACAATCCCTTGGCCTAACGATCGTGAGATTCCCAGCAGAAATGGCTTGAGGTATTACTGGTAGAGCGTGGCTGGGAGCATTAGGAGTCAGTTCGACCAGCACCGGAGGGTTTTCCTCAATGCCCGCATTGGCGGCGGCCGATGATAGTGGAATTCAACCCAGTAATGTGCTGGCCAGAAGCGTGAGATCTTTTGACTATTTGGGAATGGTTTGGGCTGAAATGGCCAAATCTGGCTTTGGCTGGCTCGTGTTCTGCGGAAGCGTTTGCGGGGACTTTTCATCGCTCGATCCAAAACTTGTACTACCTACCATAAGGGCAAGCGCGTTTACGCGCTTGCTTAGTACTTCACTTGTGGTTCGTGGACTACCAGCCACAAAGAGCACCCGGACGGTAATTTTGTGATGATCAACGACGAGGTTGAACTTTTAGGTCTTCCGCCATTTCACCGGACCAGAGCCACCATCGAACTTGTGGCTTGAAACCCCCTCGACGTCAATGATGGCTGAACATGTTGGCATTGACATGACAGTTGACATGACAACTAAAGGCGAGCGCGAGCTAGAATTTTGTGTCAGCAACTTGGCTAATAATGGTGGGAAAGGGCAAACAGTCAATTGGCAAATTACCTTGATCAAACAGGGAAAAAAACGGTCATTGTCGCCGTAACGGTTGGTTTGCCGAGACCAACGCAGAAGCAGTTTACGGAATGACACTGTTTCGAGAGCCAGAATCGATGTGAAACGCATGTGAAGTAGAGTTCAGTCTACCTGTGGCTACCATAGTCACGACACGTTGAGTTTCGTTGACACTCTACGCAACTGCCGCACATCCGGGGAAGCAGGCCGTAGCTATATTTTTCATCCGTATGGAGTCGGCAAACAACAATTCGTGGTTGGCCGGAGGAGAGGATGATGGTCGTTGTCGACTCCGAGCCACACCACGAATTTTGCTATACCGCCATAAGGTCTGAAATTGTGATGACAATTCTTTCGAGCAAGAAGAGGCAGGTAACAATCATCAATACCCACGTCGCTTGAAGCACAATATATAGTAACAGAAGGGTCTAAACCATATTAAAACGTAAGCTGAGGGCTTTCCCTGATAGTATGGCTGCGCAAAGTTCTGGTTGTTGTTGTTGTGGTGGTGAGAAGTTTGAGTAAACGCGCTTGGATCGACAGCACTGCATAGCCGGCATCCGAGTACGAAGTACGACAACATTCACCACGTGGCAAGCACCAGCATCACGTGTATTCGAGGTGATCAACTCATAAGTATTCAAAATACAATAAAGGATGAACGTACAACGATGAGAATTCATACTTGAACAAAGATTAGAAACCTTATAAATGTAAAAAAGAAAGTCAATGGTAGCACCTGAGCACGTGATGGTATGCTGGTCCAGCGGCGGCTTTGAGCCCTTGATGTATTACTGGCCAAGCTATAACAACGAGAGAGAGAAGAGCCAAAGAAGAGAGAAGGATTTCGCCATCACACTAGCATTGGTTTTCTCACATATCGTGTGGAAGTCCTTATACATGGTGACGGCATGATTCATAGAGCTTTGATAGAGACGGTTGACAGTAGACGTAAGCGAGACACAGGAAAATGCCACTCTTTAATACTGATATGTATCTCGATGGTCAATCCTAGTATCAAAAGTCCGAATATCCAAGAAGTCAGATAATCTATTAGTATTATTTGGGTTTCAGGTGGTGTGGTGTGATATATCATGTCAGGTTCCCCTAATCATTCATGTGTTGTCAACACGCGCCTTAAATACACCCCTGCAATGCGGTCGAATAGTGAGAGGGATCTCCGACATCCCGCCTCATCTGCTCTATCACTACAATCTTCATTCTTGCATTTCACCTCACACCAACCACTCCTTCCCCTCGAACACGCTGCGATTGTAACCTAAGATCCTCGAATAGTGACAGATGCGACCCTCTACTTTTTCTTGCAGCTGCGGAGCTGACTAGGTGTTCGGTGCGGCAATCAAATCCAACACTTTATAACACACATCATGCGACCTCCAAGAGTAATAATAGCTGTCGTCTTCTTCGTGACGACGGTCGTTTTGACAGTCCTTTCGTATCGATCATCAAATCACCCACAGATCATCGAGACCGCCTCCGGCCCTACGCAGAAACCGACTGGGCTTCAGGCGTTCTTTTCCATTCGAACGCCTTTCTCCCTCTTCCCTCCAAATGCAATAATCACCCTCACGCATGAGAACTCAACGGCGTTCCTCGCCAGACCTGCTGCCTTTGGACCACAATTACCGGTTGAGGGTCTAAAGGGACAGGTATGGATTGGAAGTGGATTTGGAGATGATGGTATACGGCAAGGACCCGTGGTGACTGGTGCAGAAGGGGAATTGGGATGCAGTGATGTGCCCGGTTGGATGGACAATTACAAGAGCGTACCGGCCGTTGAAAACAAGGACTCAAAATCTGGGAGTGGCAAGTCTTCGACAGCAGCTGCGAAGGCAAACATCCAAGACCGAGCAAGTGAGGGGAAAGTCCGTGAGGAGCACGAAGACACGACGGAAAAATCCTCGAAGGAGTCTGGAAGTGCAGCAGGGCCATCAACGAACGACGGAACGGACGACCATCTCCACCACCCCTTACCCGGGTCGTCGGTATCCAAAGCCAAAGACAAGCATATGGAGGGGTCGAAAGGCAGCCATGCAGATATTCAATCTATTCAAGAGAGTGCGGAGATAGCTGGGAAAGTTGTTCTTCTCTCTCGTGGTGGTTGCGGCTTCTTAGAGAAAGTGAAATGGGCGCAGAGAAGAGGGGCGATAGCGCTGATTGTTGGCGACGATACAAAAGGCGGGCCGTTGATACAGATGTACGCTCGTGGCGACACGTCGAATGTGACTATCCCGTCAATTTTCACCTCGCGAACCACAGCGCATCTGTTATCTTCCCTAATAGGGCCAGGAAGCTTCTTAGAAGATGCTCTGGACGAAAATGGGAAGCCCGTACTGAGCGTTCACCACACGGATGCGACACGAAAGTCGGGCAAGAAGCAAGGATCTCAGCCAACTTTTACGCAAATGGCGGCCGGGTCTCCAAAAGCCACAGCTACTAGTCACCCCACGCCAAGAGCTACGAGCAAGAAAACTTCACCCAAAGCCGAAAAGGAAACATCAGTTGCGACTGAACGACCTAGCTGGTTTAGGTCACTTTTCTTTGGTCCCAGGAAGGGGGATGCCAAAACAGAGAGTAGTCGGCCACCTAGCAGTGGCCAGTTAGATTGGGTTCTTGTCGACGACTGGAAGGATGATGATCACGTTGGCTCCAAGAAAATTTCGACCAAGCCAAAGAAAGCCGAACCGGAAAAGAAGAAACAGAAGACAAAGCCTAAACCGAAAGCTTCATCTGGTGATGATTTCGTTATTGGTGTGCAAGATTGGCGAGATCCAGACTTGTTGAGTCCCTCTTCTGATCCTGACGCATCCACCCAGACACCATCTAAAGAAGAGAAATCGGATGGTTCCAGTACATCAAGTCCTGCTACGAAGGTGGGAGGGAAGAAACATCTTGGTGGTGCACTCCAAGAAATTCCGGAATATGTTCCTTCTCTGCGAGGTGGAAGTATTACGCCCGGGAGTGGTGAGTATGGGACTAGCGATTCTTCGGTCGAGCAGGATATTGATAAAAATGACGAGGATAAAGAGGAGGGTACTGCAAAAGGGCTTCTAACTACTATCTTCGGTGATGATGAGGAAGATGTGGAGTTTTTGACACCTCATCCTGCGGTTACGAATGATGACTTGCCCGATGACGATAACGATGAGCTTGAGGGATTGTGGGTCACCTTGACACCCACGAGCGGAGCCAGCCCGTTTTTGGATACTCTGTTAGTATTGGTAGTAAGTCCGCTCGTGACATTGACTGTAGTCTATGCATTACTTTTGATACGCTCGAGAATTCGCCGTCGTCGTTGGAGGGCTCCTAAGTCGGTAGTAGAGAGGTTGCCTGTCAGAACTTATCAAACCGTTGCAAGTATCAGTCCGCAGCCATCAAGAATTTCAGCAGCTGTCGAACCAACTGTCACAACACCTCTGCTTCAACATTCACCTCCCAGCAGACCGCGACCACGTTCGCGGACAACATCGGGCATACCAGAGCCTGGAGATATCATACGCGCAAACTCAAACCCATTACATGTTCCATCCATGCCACCACGGTCGCCGGAGCCAGAGAAACATCAGGGAAGTCACACAAGTGAATGGAGAAAGTATATGGGCAAGCAAGTGGAATGTGTGGTATGCCTCGAGGAGTACGTTGATGGAGTCAGTCGTGTTATGAGTTTACCATGTGGCCATGAGTTTCACGTTGACTGCATGTAAGTACACCCTGATCTGTAAGAAACTATGAAGCTAATTACCAATCAGTACACCTTGGCTGACAACTCGCCGTCGAACCTGTCCCATATGCAAAGGAGATGTAGTTCGCTCTCTGGCTAGAGGAACCCCTTCCAGTCCTCGATACGATTCTTACCACGACGACAGCGATGAAGACAGCCAAGGCGAGAGCGCTACTTCATCATTACCAATCCCAACAGCAGCAGAGAACACCGATGTAGAGCAAGGCACACCAACACGAACCCGTAGACCACCTCAGCCAGGCAGCTGGCGCAGTCTCCTAGCCAGTAGCCTCGGATCATCTTCACGAACGCCGCCTCCGCCTCAAGAGGACCGGAGCCGCTGACGAGCTAGTCTTAATGTTAATATTAAATTCTTTTTTGGGTACTGCATCACCTCCAGTGTCTTAGGGTCAAGGTGTACAGGCTAGTAATCGAGCAATTGGACGCTCTATGGGAGGGGGAATCGGGGATTTTTCGGTCGGTCGATGATCATGTTGCTTTGCGGCGCGCGGAGCACAGCGATGGCGTACTTCACTCTTTATTATTACCCTCATTGAATGCTACTCTTTTTATCTGTTGATTTGCACTTGTTCATCTGGCGTGAGACTCCCATTCTGTTAGTGACGCCTATTGATCATTTATTCTTGCCTGAATACCCAGAAGTCACCCTTAGGGAGGTACCACGTAAGAAGACTCGCTCTTTCGGCCCGGTTGTTTGGAAAACAAAGTGAACTTTTATCTTAAGCTTTCCCTCAAGCTATCCTAGATATTCAGGGGAATGATTCAATTACAGAAATTGAAATACAAAGTGCAACCTCATAAACACCTATCCATCCTCACCACAATCATTCGCTCAACCCGTCACCCATCTGCCATCTCCAACCATGTAAACTACGCCCTCCCTATACCTAGTCCCTATTCTGTATCCATACCCTCTTAACCCCCACCTCAACATCCCTCATCCATATTCTCCTCATCATCTTTCCACTAACCCCCCCTTAGCCCCGGCTCCAGCCTCAACATCGGCTCCCTAATTCCCTCCATCCAATCATTCCCTCCATTTTCCCCAATCCCCTCCCAATCCCCTTCCCACACCCAAATCTTCCTTTATATATTTAAACACACAAATTTCCCTCGTCCGATAAGTGGTTAGCAGCCATTGCTCTGAGTGTCAAAGAGATCGGGAGAATCTCAGGCCCCATTCGCATGTCCCGTGCGAAATACTATTTGATGTCCTACGTAAAGTCCGATGTCTATTTCCAAAGTCCCATGTCACAAACAAAATAACGGTATAGATTTTTCGTTTGTTCCCTCGGTATCTATAATATATTTCTTGATTGGGGGTTTTTTTTTTTTTTTTTTTGTAGGTTTAGGGGCTATTAGTTTGGCTTTTTGTGTCTTTTATTTCGGGGTTTTCGGTAATGATTTTAGGTAGTAATTTAGTATCTCCCGACCCTCCTAATCTTTCTTTTCAATCCCTTACCCGTGAAAATACTAAGTTGTGTAGCGGCGGTTATAGCCTTAACATCGGCGACCTAAAATCCTTCTTCCAATCCCCTCCCTACACCTAAACTTTTCTTTATATTCTGTTACACCCAAAATACCTTGTCCAATAAGTGGTTAGCAGCCGCGCAAAGTCTCTGAATGTCAAAAAAGGATGATAAACCCTTAGGCCGCGTCCGAATGCCCTGTCCCAAAGTCCCATGTCCCACGTCAAACAAAAAAAACGGGTGATATCTCTTGTTTATTCCTTCAATTCTTTTGATCACTTCCGGGTGGGGCTTGTGATTTGATCATTTTTGGGCTTTGGGGTTTTGATTTTTGGTAGTTGTTAAGCATCTCCCTCGCGTTCCCTATGCTATCACTCCACCATTATATACCATAGTACTACATATAGCGTAAAGTCTTCAATATCCAAATAAGCATAACTCACTCTACCTACATCTATATCAGCTTAATAACTCTTTTGTACCCAACCTCTTGCCGTTACCTCCCCTCTTCCCTTACTACTAACTCACGTAGCGGCGGATATTGCCTCAACACCGGCGCACAGATTTATTTCTCTCCAATCCCATTCCAACAAACAGTTTTTAGTATATATCTTTTATTACACAAAATATGGTCGTCCCTTAATTGGCTGCAACTCAATGGTTGTAGTCTCGCCCCCGTTGGTCTATCCTCAATGGTCGTAGCCTCGCTCCCATTGTTCGCACAAAAGATTATGGATGTTTTGCACCAAGCAACCTTTTTTGGCTTTTTCACATTCATCAACTTAAGGCGTTTTTTGCTCTTGATAATATGGTACCAAATTTTTAATTCATTCTTTTGGACACTTTTTTTGGTTTTGCCGTCGGTGTCGAGAGTTAAACACGCTTCTAACTTTTCGTAACTCTCAGAGACGATCATTCCTCTTCTTCCAACCGAATCGGTGCCATCTGAGAGCAAGCCTTGAGACATAGTTTTGACGTAGCTAGGTATTTAGCTGTCTAATCATGGTAGTTTTCTGGGTTCAAATAGCGTTAGATTTACATTCCACAGCGCAACAACTAATGCCTATTTAGATTTAATTGAGTTTTCCTGTTTACTTGACAGTCACTACGGTATCTCCAATGATTTAACATAGTCTTTTGTGCACATACCAGGTAGCGTAGCAAACTGCACAACTTTTGATATTCTCGTGCACTACTAGGACTTTACCGGTTCTCGTGAGGTCAAGAGACGCTAAGAAGGTCGGATAACTGGGTTAGGCAACTTTCTCGTGAGCGATATGTAGTGGTTTGTTCATAAACCTAGTACACTACTTCGTTGCCAATAATATAGAAGAGATTTGGCGGAAATGTAAAAATGGAAAACCGGACAGGATTACCGCTTAGAATTAGAGTATACCAGCCTCATTGCATATTATCAATACAATTTTCGTATAAAACCATAATGAGAGGAGATGAACGGCTATCTATTAAGTCGCTCATGCCAGTAGTGTGTCTTTAATGTTGTGAAATCACCACAATGCGTACAATTTATGTCTGATAACTGAGAAAAAAAGACGACAGCCGATCGCCCTTGTAACAAGATCTAATCTTTAGAACGAGCAGTCTACCAAATGCAGCATTACGCATATGTTGCAAATGTTTGAAGTTCCCCCGTCTGGTGAGTCTACAACAACACCAACGTCAACAAAGACTCAGATCACCGAGTAGTATACTCGGTAATTGTGGTAGGAGCCATTAACCGATCCATCTGTGTGGCACAGAACGCTAATTCGTCCTCATACCTGGGAAGGATCTGATCCGAGGGAGGCCCGGAGGACAACAGTAGCGGGGTTATGGAGATGTGAGTTAAATTTAGATATTTTGGTTAGTATTCGGTGGGACTTTCTTACACGGATTTTGAAGCACGATGTCCAAGATGTAGTCAGTAGTGTTTGCATGTTGGCCAACCAACTCTGCTAGTAACGTGCCATCTAAGAACTAAACCGAATGAGATACGTGGAGCTCGGTATATCGTCGAATCCTTTCAATGCTTCCATGGGGACTAAGCCATGAGTAAGAGCCGGTTTGACCGCCGTCGCACTCACCCAAACAGATGTTAGGACGAAAACAGAGCAATTTCTTCATCCGGGGCTGTGATTCAAACTCCGGACGCGGAGACGTGTGAAACCCCCTCGCTCTCCAATTTCAGAAAACCATTCTATCTCGGGAAATTTGTTGTGGTGTGGTGTGCAAGAGAAGGAAGGGGGAGTGAGGCTGGTCGGATAGAAGAACGCTCAAAGGAAAATAGGGGCATGAAAAGAGCGGGAAAAAGAAAATGGGTTATGGTGTGACTGGAAGAAAGAATAGCTAAGTGGGCAGTGAATTTGTATGTTTTCCTATGCTCGTGATGATACAAAACACTACAGGGACGATTTAATCCATCCCCTCCATGAGGACCCTCGTGAGCCAGCTTCATCTCCACATTGGGTTAATAGACTTAAAGGTGACACTCCATTCGGATAGAGGAATTCTTCTTGTTTCCGAATTGTCTAGACATTCGAAACAAGTTCCTCATAATCTAGACGTCCAAAACGCCCTAGCCATAATCTACTCCGAATCTACTTGTACCGTAGAATAACTCTTTCTAATTTTGATACTTTCGCAGTGAGAAGCAATCCTAACGCGAAGCAGAGGTGCTCTTGTAATAGCTCGAAGGTCGAGTTTTAGAAGTTCCCTATGCAGACATTAACGAGGATAGCTGGGAATGGTGGCGAGATACATACAGGTTTCACGTCTTCCGCTCGATAGATACCATAACTTCCATTGTTCATCGTTGGAATTTTGCTGTTGCTTTTGTTTTGGTAGGTTCCAGAGCTATGCGCATCGGGGGAAGGGTGCTTCCTGTAGCCAGCACTCTCGTAGCGGCCGTAGTTATTGATGTAGCCAGCGCGGTTGTCTGACTTTTGATACCCACCATAGACGCCTTGGCTTTGCTCTGCAAATAATCCACTATGGCTTCCACTTTTACCCGCCGTATCGTAGTTTCCATGACTTTGAGACGAGCTGTATCTATTGGTCTCAGGATGATCAAATTGCTTCAAAAACTAAACAACCGATTAGAACCAGCCGAATGTATGAGAAGTTTCAAGGGATGCATACTGGAGTTAAGTCGCCGTGTTTTAAACGATCGTGACCGACGGGGCGCGGATAGTCGTAAGTAGCAGAAACTGCACGGGTGGACATAATATTGAAAGCAGCGGATGCGGTGCCTCAGGGTTGAACGATAGTAAAACTCTATTGTTGAGAAAGGAATTGATAAACAGCGCGAAATTACAACGCAATTCAGCATTGGGCCCAGCAGTCCAGATATACTTGCACAGTGTGGCCCAGGAGGCAAAGGTGACAACACGTACCGCTGCCATGGCGGGAAAAAGCAGCGGTATGACGTCCAGGAGGCAATATGATGATTTGAAAGCGATGATGAGTGACCGAGCAGCGGCTTTGCCAAGTTGAAATTGGTAACCAAGGGGTTGGTATTGGGTTGGCCGAATGATTGTGGCATGGTCCTAGATTGTGTAATGGGATATTGTAGGTCCTCGGTATGGGTAGGCGCGTTCGGAGTGCCAGAAGCTCATTCCACATCAGCGGGGTCTCGAGTGGAGTACAAAGCCACCAACAGTCCCATCGAAGTTGCTAAATTAGACGGCGATGACTTGAAAATTCCTGGCGGCTCCCAAGAAGCATCCATACAATATCGCAACCTTTGCAAGACAAGCCTACCCTCTTCATTCGAGCTTCCAATACTTTCGCCGAACACCAGACTCATGGAGAGGTTCTTTCGGATGTGTTTCGGAGGACGTAGCAGACAGACGCGTGCGAAAAGGGAAGAACATGCGGGTCCAACCATGCCAGACAACCAGTGTACGGGTTTCGAATCCCAAATCCCGACATTTTAATCTGCTCACTATCTGACGTCTCCGAAAATCAGACAGGGTTTTTTGCCAGCCATTATTTCTCTGACTCTCGGCGACAAAATTGCGGCACAGTTCAACCCTTTTTGACCCGGTTGAACCTTAAAGATGTAACCGACCTCTGAATGAGAAGCACCCTCTTAAATCCCATTTGATCCATGCTTTACCAATTACTGTTTGCTCATTCCGCCTATAGCGTATTGAGTTGGCAGAGCGAAGAGCATCCGCGTGATAAACTTTGACAACTTCAGGCTTGTGGCGAAGATGAAGGCGATTCAGCCTTGGTGTTGTCTTGTTTCATTTGCCACATGAGCGGTAAAGAGCCGAGAAGTATGCATCATGACAAGTAAGTGACCGCAAGTATTTTGGCGATCAAATTAAATTGTGATGGACGCTGAACGTCCACCAAAATTCAACATTTGAGAGGGCGAGGTATTCCGCTCCACAGCTGTGCAACTACCCTCGTTCTCCTTGCATGGCGTGTCGACTAAAGATTGTTTTGGGATGTCTCAGTCTTGCTATTCTAGGTTGTCTCTATGACATTTCTTTTGGTTTCTACTCTTGAAGCTGTCAGAAGTTTCTCAATGAACTGGTAATGTGTGACTATTATATTACCAATGTTTCTTTAGATATCTCAACCGCCAATTCAATGATTCCTAGTCGTTGGTGAAATGGAGATTGGCTCCCCAGCCAACCGATGATGGTGAGAATTCCGGACGAGCCATCTACTATCATGGTACTCTACGCAATCCGAGCGACATCTTGCCTATGCTGGCCAGCACTGCTCGGCTGAAGCTGATTGCAACACACGACTGGACATAAGCCTTCTGGAGATGGTGGCAAATGTGGCGAGAACGGACGCGTTGCCTCGGAAAGTGTTCATGTATGGTGTTGTGGTCAGCCGTCAGTCAGCGGTAATGAGGTCGGCACAATGATGGGTGGTTCCCATTGCTTTCCTTTTGTGGTAGGATACATGTCCTATAGGATTCTTTGAGATTGTCATGGCGGCTGACTGGATGAGGAACAGCTCGAATAGTCTGTCATCAACATCAGTTTTGTATCTCAGAGGTTGGTAGTTGACGATGTGCCTCTAACCCGAGGATGTGAGACGTTGGGAATTGCCAGATACCCCAAAATCTATGGTGGAACATTAGGAACGTCCCCGCCAAAATCGATAGCTCAGGTCGCAGTAATAATATACCGTACGTGCAGTAGTAATTTCTGTGTCTGTGCGCAGGGCCACAAAGACTCGTCTTGTGCGGCCGGTTGGGTGCATACATATTAATATGAAGTTGCTCTAGTAATTCTAGACCTTGAAAACACAAGAAGCTGGTTTTGGACCGGATACTTCACAATGAACCACCAGAGGTACCGTGGCACGACAAAGTCTTATGTCCTTTTGAAAAGACTACTTTGGCGTTATTCATTTTATCCTTATATTCATTTTATCCTGACCTTCAACATGTAGCAAGGGCTTTTTCGGTCGCTCATCCTTCTCGAGTAAATAGCAGAAATGTTTGGTTTTGAGCTTTTTACCCAACATAAGATACGCATGCCTTACACAAAGCGTTCCGACCCCCCTCTTAGCGTCTCGCACTATCAGAGTCGATTCCCTACGTCCGGTCTTCCACCGCGTGGGACTTGCGGCTCAAATTCAGCATTCACTTACTTAACAAATAGTATTTCCATCCATGAGCGTCTCCCATGTGCTGAATAAAAAATCTTTGCGGAAACTGAGAGTAACTTGCCGCCTTATCGTTCCAAATGCAGGTGAACGGTCAAGCTAACAATGCCAATTTAGAGTATGCGAGGCAGTACCGCTATACTATGCATATTTTCCTACTTGAATCGGGCGAAATATGTAGATGAAGATTGCCCTGTGCAATCTGCCTTGCCGTTACGCTGTTTGGAGCACTCCCAATTGGGTGGTGATCCAGCCTGATTCTCGAATGAGGCTGGCACCCAAGGCAATGCTTTGACTCACATCTTATCGTTATATACCTTATTTCGCCACATTTTTGCCACTCGTTATGGATCACTGTGCCATGGCTCACAAAACTATTCCAATTTTGAGACGGAACACGTCCACTACCTCCTCTCAATGCTCGGATAGCGTTGCTGGACAGGTACTTGACCCACATGATAGAGCTGAGCAAGGACTTTACAAGGGCTCGGCAGGGCTATCTAGCAATGATTTGAGTGGGCCATCCGAAGTTCCTGAGAAGCCGCTTCCTTTTCGATGTTCGGTTGATGATTCGGCGAGCACACTCGCCGGGTCTGTTGGTGAGAGTTTGTATAAGAGGTTCAGCAATAAACAATTGCCAGAACAATGTGGGTTAACGAGGAATTATACCGTATGTAGTGTGTAGTTGACATATGCATAGCCAATGTCAAGAAAAATACTGGGTGGGTTTCAAGAATATTGGGCCCCCTGTGCAGACTCATCACCCATCCTGCCAGGGTTCAGCAACGATCGAATCGAACGAGTCACGATGATTTCAAAGCAGGCTACGATAAATTCAGACTTGACAGCTGTAAGTCTCCAAGCTTTCAAGTCATAAGCAGCACTTAATACGTCGACAGTTGACAAATACCCTGATGGATGGCCGAGAGTAACAGCTTTCGCGGATAGTTGTGACTCTTTCAGCAACTTTCGTAGATTCAGCTATTGGCACACAAGACTTCTGTTTCTTCGTATGAGCAGTATCACAGAACTCGAAAGAGAAATTGCTGCGTTAGACAAAAGAGATAGCGAAGGGGGGCCAGAAAATGATCACCGGTTGAAGAACAGGTACTATAGGGACGATCCCAACGATCCAAAAAGGATTGCGGAGGACAAAATGGAAGAAGAGTTGATCAAGTACGGTAGGTGGCAGACTCAAAGTCACGTACTCGGCTACATTAAGCACAGCGCTTGGGCTGATCTACATCTTTTCCAGACGCGCTCCTACTCAACCATGAAAAACTAAAGAACATGCGACCCACACCTGCCCAAGATCATGATAGTCTCTTCAAATTCTTCTATTCAAATAAACCACTGGATACTGAGGAGTTCGATTTCATCAATGAGCCTACCGATTGGATCTCGGTTGTCAAGCACCAACGTCAAATATTTGAAGAATTGGTCAAGGAAAAGCTGTCCCAATGGCCGAAATCATTCTTAATGGTAAGAGAATACTGATTTCCCACTTATTGAGACTTACAATTACTAATACTGTTTCAGAGATTTTGTAGCTCATCGAACTCAGTCCTCTCCAGCACAGCCGACGAGAAAGCAGTCTACATAAACTCAACAAAAGTAGCGGCACTTTCAAAGTTAATGCTCGTTTTCTTCACCCTCGCTCTTCTTCTATGCCCTGTTATCCTATTTCTGTTGACCTCTATGAGTCGATGCGCAATGGCTCTTGTCGTCCTTATATTTGTTTTCATTTTCAGCAGTGGGATGAGTGCTTTGGCCGAGGTTACTGTGCAAGAGATCTTCATAGGCTCCAGCACTTATTGTGCTGTTCTCGTTACCTTTCTTGGCAACTTACAACAAGCTCGGCCGCCCGACGCTTAATCGTACAACTAGCTTTGAGAAGTTGTTAGGGGTCTTGGATGATATGAAAGTGTATGATTTCTTAACTGATGGTTTAGACAAAATGCTTCGATTGTGGCTAGCAAACGTGAAAGTTACGAAATTCTAGAGAACTACCAAATGGATAATTGCGCTTATTCCTTTGGCCTCATAATGAAGATGAAGCACTTAGGTATCAATAGCATTCGGCCAACCTTGTATGATAGGAACAGGGCCTCGCCAGTTACGCGAGATCGATGACCACCCGATAGGCTTGATGCAGTTTGATCATCAACATCTTCCTGGAATATCTGCCGCCGACTGTAATGTTTCTCAGTGCGTGCTTTTATCCTCAGAACTTGTTTTCCCTAGTACTAAAACCATTGAATGTGTCATGTAGAGGAGGAGAAGGTGCACGAAAGGAAAGACCCCACTCGGTCTTTTCATTAGTTGGAAAAAGGCAGTCCCAAAAAATCGTGAAATATGGAGTAAAGAGCTTGAGAGCGGACGTACTACAACAGGGTGTTGAGAATGCTAAAATCTTTTATTTAGATTTTATATGAGTACGGAGTAGTGCTCAAATGTGAGTTGGGGATGGTTAGATGTCTCGAAGATGTCTAGGTTATGCCCATTGAAGCCATGGGTAAGTATGGGGGACATGGCCCGTGCGGCAATATTTCTCATGGCGTGGGGAGCTGCTCTGTGCTCAAGCTATTTGTTAGAAGTTAAACGACGACGCTTTAAATACTTCTCATTCACAACGTGGAAGGTCGAGATATCTCGTCCCATTGAAGAGATTCTTAGCCATGTCTAGCGAACGCCCATCTCCACAGCCCGAAGGCACACCATCTTACCCTCCAACCCTCGTCCAAGCCTCTTCAGTGCCTCAAAAACGCGCCCTTGAAGATGATCACCAGCCTGCGATTTCCTCCCCATTGAACCCCGATTTCAGACCCTCGAAACCTGCAGACGATGCACCATTGGCGCGCGAGCGGGCATCAAGGGCAAAAAAAGAATCTCTGAAGAAAAGGGAATCGAAGGGACCGCTCACAACAGAAAGCAGCGCAAGATCAACACCAGACCCAAAAGGTCCTATAACGAAACAGAAGAAGAAAGCCGCCCCACCTGCGCCGACGAGATACAAGCTTCCTGCTCCTAAATTATCGGATTTCGAAGCTCCTAAACCGCCAATATTTGTCGATGCGCATGAGAAGATGGCCCCAGATGGACGTACGATCGCATTCAAAGAGACAACTGAGCAGTAAGTCGAAGCAGTCAATGGAACCGCTGAAAAAAGCTTATCTGTCTAGTGTTTACAATAAACGAAGTTTTCATTATGTTCACTGTATCGCAGACCCAGCCTTTCCATCCTCGCAGTACTATCGACAAACAGAAGCCGAACCTTTTGGACCTCGATTCGCTTTTGAAGATAAATCCTCGCACATGTTCCTAGATGAGTCAGGCAAGCATATCACCACGGACAGAGGATTTCGAATGGCAAAAGCAAATGTAGGCGTGCGACAGGGTAGGTGGTATTGGGAGTGCAAGATCACATCCGGAATTCCAAATCGCAAACGGAGTGAAGCGGGACAGGAGAGCACCAATGGACATGTGCGAATGGGTTGGGCGAGGAGAGAAGCTACCTTAGACGCGCCTGTGGGATTTGATGCATACAGCTATGGACTTCGAGACGCAAAAGGCCAAAAGGTATTCATGTCTCGGCCGAAGGACTTCTTCCCACCAGGACAGGAAATTCAGGAGGGGGATGTGATTGGATTAGAGATCAACTTGCCTTCTGAGACATTACATCGAAAGGTTGTAGAAGGCCAATACAACCCGGCAGTAGATCTTGTAGACGACGAACCCTCGCCCGTCGAAACAGCACATATAATTCGTGAACGTGTCCCAATCAGGTTCAAGGCACATTTATATTTCGAGCGGATCGATTATCACCCTTCGAAAGAACTGGAAGATCTCATGAATCCATCACCGGTAATTTCATCACAAGGAGGCCTAGGAGGAGCTACACAAAAGCCAGGGCCAACACATCCTTCGCCTGCTTTGCGAACACTACCCCATTCAAGCATCAAAGTCTACAAGAATGGTGTTCTTATGGGCACGCCCTTTACCGATCTTCTGGCCTTCTTGCCGCCCGCATCAAAGCCAAGTTCCCTACACGATGCAAGGGAAGGCCTCGACGACGGTATGCTCGGGTATTATCCCGCAGTATCTGTCTTCAGAGGCGGCGCGGCTGAAGTCAATTTTGGGCCAGATTTCTGGTATCCACCGCCAGATTATGGTACGCAAGGCGATGTGGAGATGACAGGAAGTGACCAGGCTCCTTCCAGTGGACTGAAGAAACTCCGAGCCATTGGAGAGCGTTACGATGAGCAGATTGTGGAGGATATTGTGTACGATATTGTTGACGAAGTAGATTTTTGGTTGCAGGATGGCGGCGTCAGCGGGAAAGGAGCTACCGCTGGAGTTTTGCGTGCATCTGCCGGTGTCCCGACCCATTATGGACTTGGAGGCGGCGTTGTCGGCTCAGAGATCAAGGAGTTGGTACAAGATGATGAGTGAGAGAGTCCTATTTATACCCATATTGTCTGGCAATATACATCCCATTGTGGACGCTTTTCAAAAGCAATTTATTCAAGTCGTGTTTTGCCGTCTCCAACGCAAGCTCGCTGTGTTACTTCGACTTGATTGTCCACTGGGCATTCATTTCGTTGATATATAGGTCTAGTGCGCAGGTTGAGGGCTATCGTGGTTCTCTGGCGTCTCGTCGTAGGTAAACATCAACGCTCCCTACCCTCAATCTCATCCCAACCTACCTGGCTAATCATCAGCCTATCCTGGATTCGCGCTATTCTATCTTCGGCTTTTTGGACCTTTCCGCCCATCTCTCTGATCAAACCCATAGCATCACTCAACATGAAATGCGCTTCAGTAACCTCCACCGCAATCCTCCTCGTCTGGATCTTATTCAATCTTACTCCAATACTCTCTACTCCGCCTTTACGCCTCAACCAAATCAATCGATGTACCAAATCACACCGATAATATTGCTGTGTCGCATCATAACTCCACTCCAACTCCTTCTCCGTTCCCGTATGCGGCGAAACCAGAAACGGTCTCTCGAGATCTTTGAATTCTGCAATCAGGTCCTTGACGGCGTCTGTCATCACCCTGGTAGGACCACCTTCATAGTACAATGCTTTGTGGGAGGCGTTTATTTGTGGGGTTTTCAGATTCGGTGAGTGTCGGGATTCTCGGACCCGCCGGACTCGTCGCAGGTATTCGCGCTCTTCGTAGAGGCCTTGTCGTAGGGTTGAGAGTGCATCTTGGATTTGGTGAGGAGCGGCGCCGAGGGTTAAAAAGGCATCCCACTTGAAATTATACATTAGATTCTTGTACATGTCAAGGTAGATCCATTAAGTAGGGAATTTTGCACCAGTAAAGTGCCGAATGCATGCAATATGATAGACAGTTGTCCCATGAGGGCTAAACTTTGAAATGAAGATACTTACAAAAGCATGTAGCCAAATAGCTAAAGTAAATGCGAAAGATATAAATCCAATGGTAATTGACGCAATACTAATGGATGGAAGTGGAGCCATATTCGTGAACTCGGAGCACAAGAACACGATGATTGATTCAATTGAAACGCATCTTAAGGTAGCAGAAATCTCAATCTAGCCATTCTGAAGGCTTGTCGCAAAGAACGAGGTTTGTTGACAATCTCAAATTAGAGTTAAGTCTGACGGAATGGATGTCCGGAGAGAATAATAAACAATACATGGATGTAATCTGAACTAAGCTTTAGCCTGTCCCGAGGTATTCCAGATCAGGGTGACCTGTGCGCAGTGGGGTTGTGATGGCGGGAAGCACAGCCACAAGATGTACTTGCGCCACATGTCAACGATGACGCGGGGTGGGAACAAAAGCATGGAAACTCAGCTCAACGAGGTGACAACAAGACAGCTGAATCGTTGGAATGACTTTTCTTCTTTCAACAATCGAGCAAACCCGAATTCTACACAGGAAAGACACAACATTATCTATATATCAGCCTAAAATTTCCACACAATAGCCGTAGGCATACTTCAACATGCTAGAATATTTCACCTACAAGAAAGTCAAGAAGCATCAGGACGAGAAGAAAGGAGGCAAGGAAAAAGAGACAATGGTTAAAACACCACCACCGCTTCTCAACGATGAGGATGAAGCATTCCTCACCCGTATCGTATCCGCAGAGGGTACACCGCCTCCACTACCCACGAGACCGAATTTTGGAGCGGAGGCTGGTGACAGCACGGGGAATGACGCGCAGATGGTTGTGCATGATGGCAGGGAGGATCACGATCACCACCGTCGGCATTCGAGCCAGAGCGTAGGCAAGGGGAAGGGAAAGGAGAAGGAAACTGAGGTGAAGAAAGAGAACAAGATCACAGGGTTTTTGGGAAGAACCTTTACGAAGAGGGTATGTTTTATCATTGATTAGCATTGAATGCAGAACTTATGGCTAACGATGTGACTTTAGGGACAACGACCAGATCTTAAACCAAAATCAAACGTCCCAGAGCCAGAGGCACAGCGAGAAGAAGATGATCTCACCGCTATCCTCGATGATCTCGACCTCACGGCTACGAACAATCGCGCATTCTCTCTATCAGCCGAATCCCAAGAGCTGGTTCGCAAGTTCAATGTCGTCTTCAAGGATTTGATCAATGGAGTTCCGACCGCGTATGATGATTTGGTAGGCTTGTTGAATGATAGCGATGGGACATTATCGAAAAACTACGAGAAAATGCCCAGCTTCATGCAGAAACTCGTAACGTCACTTCCTGATAAGTTGACTAAGAATCTGGCACCAGAGCTATTAGCTGTAGCGGCAGAATCACAAGGTTTGAAAGCTGGAGCTACTGCGGCTGGCGGCGCGGGCTTGAAGAGCTTCTTCACCCCTAGCACGTTGAAAGATCTTGTCACGAAACCTGGGGCTGTGATGAGTGCTTTTAAAGCTATTATGAATGCGTTGAAACTGAGATGGCCTGCTTTCATGGGTACTAACGTATTGTTGAGTTTGGGATTGTTCGGTAAGCCTTCAAATTTGGTGGTTGAATGAGAAATACTAATTATAAAATAGTGCTCATGTTCTTCTTCTGGTACTGCCACAAGCGTGGCCGTGAAGTAAGAATCGAGAGGGAGAACGCACCTGTCGATGCCAATGGCCGAATCATAGAGGTCGATGAAGCGGGTCCCAGTCGAAGTGGTCCTTCATCGCCTCGCCGCCACCACTCAGATGACAGCAGAGACCATAAGTACGATGATCCCGATGAAGAGGCAGCGGCTCTCGAAAGACGCAAAGCGAGACGAGCAGCGCATGAGCGTGAAAAAGAAGAGAAACGCAGAGCTGAACGAAGAGATGAGCGAGATCATGAGGACTCAAGTAGACACCATAGTCGACCGAGCAGCTCTCGCCATGGGAGTAGTAGTAAGCTCAAGGCGGATGAGAGAGACCGTGATGGGAGAAGGTCGAGAAGCTCTAGGGAATCGAGAGAGTCGAGGGATTCGAGGGACAGAAGACATTGATGTGAAATGAGTTTGACGATTTGATACCCCTTAGTTAATGTTATGTGTTATGAACTGTTAATGAAAAAATTCGTTGTTTTGTTTAGGTTGATTAATTTTGATGCCCTAGTATATCACAACGTTGGATTTGTGGATATTTTAAAGAATCGCTTTTAGTGACCATCTTTCTTGCAACTCGTCGCGCACGAAATGTACCTAGCCAATCAAAAGCTAAAGAGAACTACATCGTTTAACCTTAGAACCATAGGCCTGACTAAAGCCAGATGCTAAACGAAAAAGTAACTACTTGGACGAGGGTTGTGGGTTGCATGACTTTACATGACTCGCTGTCCTCTTCCTAGGAATTCGTAATATGACTAGTATGTCGCTTAGATTCGTTACAGCGACGTACATTCCAAGGTTCTTGACCTCGAGCCTTATTACTTAACTCACGTATTGGTCTTTGTTTATATCAATTCTTGTATGAGCTTTTGAATATGGTTTTTAAACAACTTCTCAATTTAATACTGTCAAGGATGCAATGATAAATCCTCGAAGGGCATCTACACTCTCTTGATTAAGTTCATGGCAGAGTAGCCCAAATGGTGCTGCTCATCAATGACTACCCGACGAATTATCGCTAATTCCACGAACATGACTTCAATAATTTCAAGTTCGAATGCTAAGAAGCTATTGTTTTAGCAACGATAGTATGCAGAAGAAAGGGTTTTGGAAGATCTTGGCTAACCACCGGAATAGCAGCACAACCACAACTTTCGGCCGAAATTGCTCCTCAAACGCAACAAAAACTCCCAACAACGTCATATACCGGCGTTTGGATTAATTCCGGGCTCAAACGAAGGTAAAATCTCTGCTTTGCATGTCAACGGAAAGCTGGCATTAAATCCGTGTTGTCTGTGCTGTGGAATAGTGGTGGTTTGTATGTATATAACTAACCGAATCTCCCACTGGCTTTTGAAAACACAACAGGACATTCACACTCAGAACCTTGCAGGCCAAATTTGCTATAAGAGATTATAAACCTCTTTTAAACAAACATTCAAATCATCATGTCCTCCTCAGATGAGAAGCCAACTTCCTACCTGGCAAGATATCGCCAGCTCTCACCCTCAGCATCCGTCCGAGTCTCACCTCTATGCCTAGGCGCAATGACATTCGGCACAAAGCAATCAGAGAGATACGGAGAATGCAGCAAAGAAGACTCCTTCTCCATTTTGGATCATTACTACGACCAAAGCGGCAACTTCATCGACACCGCCAATGTCTATCACTACGGAGAAACCGAACAATGGCTAGGCGAGTGGATGGCCAAACGAGAAAACCGTGATGAGATCGTGCTCGCTACCAAGTACTCCAACATGTATGATCCTTCGAAGAAAATCAAAGTCAATCTCCAAGGTGACGGTACAAAGTCCATGCGTCTCTCTATTGAGAGATCTCTCAGCAACTTGCAAACAACCTACATCGACCTCTTCTACGTCCACATCTGGGATTTCACCACTTCAATCCCAGAACTGATGCATAGTCTGAACGACTTAGTATCCTCCGGCAAAGTCAACTATCTCGGTATCTCAGACACCCCAGCTTGGATCGTAGCCAAAGCAAACCAGTACGCCAGAGATCATGGATTGCGTCAATTCGTTGTTTACCAAGGCATGTGGAACGCAACTATGCGGGATTTTGAAAGAGATATCATCCCCATGTGCAAGGCTGAGGGTATGGGACTTTGTCCATATGGAGTCCTCAATCAAGGTCGATTCCAGACTGCCGAGGGATTCAAGGAGCGCGAGAAGAACAATCCTGGACGCAAGATGATCAAGACATCGAGTCGTGATAAACAGGTCTCAGCTGTTTTGGAAGAAATCTCCAAGGCCAAGGGTGTGTCGCTTCTCAACATCGCTTTGGCATATATCTTGAACAAGACCCCTTATGTCTTTCCAATCATTGGAGGGCGCAAGTTGGAACATCTTGAAGGTAATATTCCTGCTATTGGCGTCCGTTTGTCGTCGGAGGATGTTGAGAAGATCGAGTCGTCTTATGAGTTCGACCATGGCTTTCCTCATACTTTCTTGAGTGGTGCACTTTTCGATGGAAGCAAGCCACGACCCGCCAATGGACCCGGGGATGTTTGGTTGACGAAATCGGCTGGGTATATTGATTGGGTGGAGGAACCAAAGCCCATTCATACTGCCTAGAGAGCTATATTATTTGTTCAATCTGTCTAGCCTAAAATATATAATTGATATTAGGCCAGAATGAAACATAGGAGCATGTTGGGTGCGTCCACTTTTTATACTGTATCCCGACTGATGTTTGTGGATATCATGATTCTCGTGCAGGCAAATCTCACCATGAGTCTGACTTTCGAACTATGTGTGAGGGTGCTAACCCAATAGAAGTGCACAAGAAACAAATCTGTGATAATAAGCACATTTTCTTCACCACCCACAGATTGGCGCTACGAGCTAGAATTCAACATCAGATCTAGATTGTAATTGCAGAAGTTTCGAAAAGTTTCTCAAACAAATTCATTTGCCTCCTACCAGATTCCTGACATTTGTCAGTGAAATCCTTGGTGGGAAGTACAGGATTTATTTGTTAAGGGTCTCTTAATTTCAGGAACGTCTCGCGTAGGACCTTAAGTCTTCCATTATCGTACCTCGATCTCGATATAGGAGGTACGTATCTGTAAAAGGAGCAACCGATCGAAGATCGATTTCCGAAGGCAGTATCTCATTGGTTTAGCGCAGCTGCGTGTTACCAACCGTGGATTTTCATGAATTTGGCTTTCAAGCAACACTGATGAATAAAGGAAGGGAATTGTCCAGATTCGCTAACTTTTCTTTCTCTCTTGGGAACTCTAGTTATACCAGTATCAACGAATGTGTATTCTTGATCTATACTCCCAAAGTTTCTGCTTACCAATAAATCACAATCCAAATTCTCAAGTTACTCCCCTGTCGCAATCTCGCTTAATTGCTTCAAGAGAGGGGGTGTCCAAACCACCACACGAATTAACACCCACACTTCAGCCATACACATATATCCTGAGTCTTTTCCACTTCATATCTTGATACTGAACAGTCACTAACAGCTACATCAGCGAAGGAGAATGAATTCCCCGAAGTGGAACGTCTCTGCAGATAGCGGCTCGTTTGCTGCTGTGCTGCATAATTGTCGCACGCCGACTTCGCTACCAAGCCATCTTGGTATTTGGACGACTTGCGCTTCCGTTAATTTGACATCCGCCCTATAGAAATCGCACCCGATGCCGATGGTTTATGCCTCTCGTGGGAACAGAGAAATGGCCCACAAATTCCTCAGACACCGAAGGGCCGCAGATGAGGCCTACTTGTTCGGGAATGCCTTCGAACGCTCTGGAATGGCGCACAAAGAGCGGCTGATGATTCGCCACACTCCAACGGCCCTCCAGGGAGTCGATTCGTTGGAAAGCGTCATCGAGATAGAATGGTTTTCTGAAATTGGAGAGCGAGGGGGTTTCACACGTCTCCGCGTCCGGAGTTTGAATCACAGCCCCGGATGAAGAAATTGCTCTGTTTTCGTCCCAACATCTGTTTGGGTGAGTGCGACGGCGGTCAAACCGGCTCTTACTCATAGCTTAGTCCCCATGGAAGTATTGAAAGGATTCGACGATATACCGAGCTCCACGTATCTTATTCGGTTTGGTTCTTAGATGGCACGTTACTAGCAGAGTTGGTTGGCCAACATGCAAACACTACTGACTACATCTTGGACATCGTGCTTCAAAATCCGTGTAAGAAAGTCCCACCGATGGGCAGACCGTTTTATGACAGAACACGACATCATCAATCCCAATAATTGACGAATAGTCTGCCCCTGGACCAGGCCTGATAGTGGATTTCCTCGACTCATTGGGTATCGATTATCGTTGAAGAGCGAAGGTAACTGAATTATAAATTCTTATATATATCACGTTAACTGCATCTTTCACCTTGAACGATGATCACCTTCACCCTTCCATTTCTCGGTTGCCACTTGTCGGAGCTGAGTCGAAATGTTTTTTTCCGCGTTGGAAATCATGTACCACGGGCAGATGGCGGCCATGAGAAGCAGATATTGCAAGGAGGAGCTTGGAGCTAGTTGCTGTCTGTCGCAACATGTTGGAGAGCAAGGTACACTGGTCAACTTCACGAAAGATGATGTATACGTTGTCGTGTCCGCAGGTGGTGGAGGACAGGTGAGTTAGGTGCAAGTTTCGTTGAGGTCGACGACGATTGACGTTACTAGGACACAACCACACAAACCCCCAAACAATGATCCCACATTGTCAACAACAGTCCGAGCATTCTTCTGTAAGTCAAAATTTGGGGGCGGATCTCAGCAAAATGTGACTAGTTTTCTTACTAAGCTGTCTATCGAATAAGGCAAGGACAACACATCTCTTGGTATCTCCTGTGGCGATATTGCAAATACGTTTCGCCTGGTTACACCCAGTACTCGACGAGGAGAAGTCGTTTTGTGTTCTGCAAAAACAACGCAAGGCGTTCGAGTAAACAAAACCCAGTAAAGGTCCTATGATATCCTAAATCCTAGAATATCATTATCATAGATTTCCCTAAACAAAACCGCGTCAGAGAACTCTCCATGTGCTGTGTGACTCCGGGAAATAAACGACAAAAACGGCAAGTTGCGAGATCGGGAGAATATCTTGTGACTTTTTAAGTCCCACAGACTTATTCTCGGATGCTGCAAACGTAAATTTTTGATAAACGCCCACAACAGCAATCCCCTTAGCTAACCCAATCCTCGACCGCTGTTTGTTCTGCATTAATATAGTCCGCAGCTTCGGTGTTGATCTCCGTCGATTGCAACACAAGAATCGGCAGCTCCTCGTATCGAAGATGTGTTGTGTAACCGTAGATAGCCTTACAAATGAAACACGACGTCTTCTCGAAATTTGAACAGATCAGACGGTAAATACGCTCGTCGTGACAATCTGAAAGATAACTTCACTTCAACTCTTTTGTCGAATGTCGTCCATCTCAAAGCCACAACTACGGCTGATTAAAAGCGAAATCCTGTCAATTTCCAAGCCCATGAATGGCTATTCTGTCCAGCCTGCTTACGGCCTAATCCAATCATACACCGCAAGCACATTGCTGGTAAGTATTTTCATACATAAACTCCGGGCAACTCAGCACACCCTCAAGCACTTCCCCAAATCACGATCAGCGATTAAAGAATCTCTCGCATGTCTCCTGCAAAGTTGAGTGGTTTTGAAGGCTCTTCTTGCAAGTTGGGCACATCTGCGCCGCCATGAATCCAATAAATATGGCATCGCGAGCCTCAAAAGAGATGAGCATCGCTCGTCGTTTGGCTGAAAAATTGAGTACATATACCAGACAGGATTCCTAAGGCTCTGGACAATCATTTCATCACCAAAAGTTCGAAGACTTCATCCAAGTGATCCTTGGAAGACGATGTCGCATCCAGAACACCTCAGTCTAATGGCGAGGCTTGCGCCAGCCTTCTTTGGCCAACGCCTAGAAGATCCAGCCTCGCTACCAACATATTCTTCTCCAAAGCCATATTCTGGTCCTATGCTAGCTGATATGAAACTCGCAGGGACAAAAAAGCTCCATTCTTCGATAATCTTGGAGAAGATGAAAAGAAATGTCGCATCCAAAAGAAAGCGGAATAGCTCGTCGAATGGGGAAGAACCTGGCATCGATTCAATGGGAGAAAGCTCGACTACTGGTATCCGAATGTCTGAAGTTTTAGAGGTCAATACCCAATGCTCTCCGGATTTGACACAACAGGGTAAGCACCGAATCTCTGCCACGACAAAAGCCAATTGAAACCCCGAAGGAAATGGTCAAAGGCTAATCTTCGAATAAGCTCCGCTTTCACCAACGAGCACGGTTCAAACGTACGCGGAGAGCTCGAACACAAAATCGATTGGCGATCAAGAACGAGTGATTACGTCCAAGATTCCTAGGAGCATAAAACAACAGGCAGAGAAGGTGGATACTGGGTATGATAGGATAATACAGCGCGGATGTCAGTAAAGTCGCATCTGCAACCCAATAGCTCGCATATTGATTTGCATCTAGACGAGAGTTATCCAGATGGGTGGCCAAGGTTGGCAGCGTTCCAAAACAGCGCCAGCAGCCTTCGAATGTTCCGGAGATTTGGTAACGAGCATTGCCGCGTCCTACTTCATTTGCAGGCTGAGATTACGACTATCCATCAAAAGCTGGATGAATTGGATTTGGCAGACTCCAATTCGGAAGACATGAGGTATCGCTTGAAGCGAAACGAGTGGCACGAAGGCTGGGACTGCGCACAGAAAGACTTGCTCGAGAGTTTGCGAGTTAAGCTAATTCAGTACGGTGCGTGCGGATGATATTGTCTCTGTTGTGCAAGTCAGACAGATTTCGGCTTGAGATCATACATGACTAATTGGCATTGCCTTTTTAGACGAGTTGTTGCTCAAAGACAACGCACTTCGTGCACTGTCTCCTCCATCCGATCGAGACTATTACACGTTATTCAACTGGATCTGGAAGAAGAAGCCTCTTGATCTTGGACAATGGGATTTTGCTCTGCATCGGAATGACTTCGTCACCACTTCAAACGCGAAGACCAATGGATTTGAGAGCGCTGTTGAGCTGTGTTTGAGTCGGTGGCCAGAATTATTTCAGGTGAGACGAGCACTCTCGAACTGGTCTACATGTAATAGTGATTCGGTACAGAAAGTATCATGGCTGAAAAGCCGATCTGGGGAAGCGAGTAGTGAAGGTGTCCATGTTTTCCCGATGGCCAAAATTGCTGCAGCCGCAAGCGTCTTGCTGGTTTGCGTAGCTGTTACTATCTTAATGCTCCCGGTCTTTCTTCTATACTTGATTACGCCGAGTGTTTTTGCTAGTCTAATCATCCTAGTGATATTTGTTTTCGCATTTGCAACACTCATGTCGTCGGCAGGAGTTAGGGTCGAGGTAATGTTTATTGGGACGTGCACGTAGGTATAATCTTTTCTATATCAGTCCAACAGTGACTGCGTCTTCCTCGGGCGTATGCACAGCAGAAGAGGAAGATTCATGGTGGATTGACTCTTAGTGTTTCAAAGATACAGGACTGACTTTGACAGATATTCTGCTGTACTGGTCACCTTCTTGGGAAATATCCATGATCCTGGGAAGACGTAGGCGTACTGAAACCGCCACTCAAAAAACTCATTTATGAAATATTTATACGCTTTCCTAAATATGTTAATACTAATGTTTAATGGGGTGGAGAATACTTACACCAAAATGTCAGCGTTTTCAATTATTTGAAGATTAACCACTCGAATAATACACAATCAATCGTTGCTGAAATCTGTGCCTTTATCGAATTGCAGCAAATCTCCCACAAAGTCTGACTCTCCCAGAGGTTTTATGTAATTTTCCGAATTATTCGTAAAGTATGACGCGTCTTGGGGGATGTATACGAGCGAAGTACCATCTGACGGAAGTTCTGTCATGCCCGACCAATCTTCGGAAAGATAATTATCAAGTGCTGCTCTGCTAGTCATCGTGGATCCCGTACCTGGGTTGTTGTACGCCGCCAGACTATACTCGCCACCAGGTTGTTGAGTTTCAAGCGTTTTGAGGTATTGTCCGAAGACTTTTGATTGGCTGTCTAAGACAATGTCTTTGAAATCATCGCCCAAGAATCCTGAGGTAACAAATACCCGAGAATTCCTTTGGAGGGCGGAAATAATGACTGCCGGTAACTCTCGTCGGCTGTAATGATCATATTTCTCTAAAACTGCAATAAGTTGAGATGCTGTTATCTCGTCCAGAGCAGGCTCGAATACTAGACGTTAGTCAGTTGATCTGATATCTACCCTTGACTTGAAAAGATTTACTGGGATTAGGGATTTCTTGTGCGGCGGGAAATAGAATTCTGTATATCTCTTTCCACTTTTCAATTTCAGCCTCCACGGATTGAGATGAGGATACCACACCTTGCCCTTTTTTTCGTTTTCGCAAAATTGTTTCTGTGTCTCTTGTCATTCCAATAGGAGGAACATATTGAAATTCGCAAGCAACGGCGCCTGACGCATGTGATACAAGTTCGGCTTCGTTCTTGAAGAGCTTAGAGCATCTTTTGCAATGAATAGGAGCACGATGACAGCGGTAAAGATGCTCTCTGTGATCGATTAATCTCTGGTTCGCCTTCTCTGTATGGATATAACTTGCTTTATTCTTGCGGTTGAAGGCCAATACGACCGCGCACAAACCTTTTCGGACGTGGTGTTGTACATTTTAGGGTCCCTTTGGCGATAAGGACATGCAAGTTTAACTATTTCGATTGTTTGCGAGCATTCTCTTCTTGTCTGCTTCAAGGGCCGTAGGTTTTGCTCAGTGATATCGGTAACTCTATCCGCCTCCGTCATTTGAATCGTTCTTTTCGTTTTGGGGTGTTCGATTTGGAATGATTCAACCGTTTCCGTTGATAAGTGAGTTGCCGAGTCCGATGCTGTCGAATCCATGCTAGCATATATGGTAGCAGATGAGCTGCTGAAGCCACTTGGTGAATGAAAGCCACCATCATTGTGTAGGAGCTGCGATGTTGATTCCCAGTCTCCACCTGTTTGCTCACTGTAGAAGTGGCTGTCTTTATCCGAATCTCTGGCCAGGTCGCTATGTCCTTCGATTATTGTATCGAAGCTTCTCATCGAATTTTCCTGAAGGGAATTCCAGCCGTTGGTGGCTGCTTGGTCAGTCCGTATTGCATCTCCAGCTTTTTCTCCACCCCTGGACGCGATTTCCTTTACGTCGAACTCGGTTTTCGGAGGAGACATGCTCGCGAGCAATAATAATCAGCACCTAAACTTGTGTTGAAGTATTTCTGGTCAGGAAACTCGAGAATAAGAGATAAACCGTGGATTAAGGAGGGTTTTGTAAATTGAAAAGATTGCTCTGGGAATCCCAAAATTGAAATGGACAAGAAGTTGATACTCATTGCTGGACAATGCTCCAAATCCTGAGAGTTTATCAGTTAAATTTTGATATAGGATGTTCAGCCTAGGGGACTTTTCCATTTCGTATAATCTTCACTTGCTAAGTCCTATAGATACGGTGAAGCCCAATATTTACCTCTGGACTGTTCATTTGAAGATAACCCTGTTTGACCAGAGTTCCTGCTTGGGCATCGAGTTTTGCGTTCTAGCGATGGTTCCACATTTTCCTTTCGAGCTGCAGCCCGCCAGCCATTGACAACACTAGCACAGGCCAGGATGAAACTTTGATCAGCTCGATCAAATACCCGCGTATTACAACTAGAGTTGCGAAACATTAGAGCCCAAAAGGATACCGTGCTCGGGAATAGTTGGACAGAAACGACAACGCATAGAAAAGCAGACAAAAGGTATGCCCAACTTGTAAAGCGCGGTTTCATTCTTTTGGTGACAACTATTGAACATTAGCCAAAGCGACACTTGAGAACAGCAAAGAAAGGTTTATATATCGTTAGGCTGCAAATGATAATAGCATCTGGCCCTCCTGACCCCCGACTGGCAAGCGAATCTTCCGTCAGGTTGTCACCAGTTCCTCAATAGGGTAGTTGGGTCTTCACGCTTCCGCGTGGTAAAAGGCGTGTGCCATAGGCCAGTATTTTGCAATGGCCGGCTTCCAAATCCGAGCAAATGGGAAAGTAAGTGCAACTGCATATAGACCACGCATGTGTGTACTACAAGTAAAGTAGATGTGCGGTATTCAAAAGTCATGTTGAATTTCACACTGATCTCTTGTTTCGTAATGTTAACTTGTCCTACATGAGAGAAAGACCATGAGAAAGAGAGAAACAAACGATTGAATAAGTGATTGAAATAAAAATGCAGTATAGAATCGAGAACAAACAAGAAGGTTGAAATAAACATTCCATTACTAAAAAAGAAACTCGAGATCCCAGATTATGATTGGCCTAGACGTCCGAAGTGGGGCCCCCGTAATGACCCGCAATTATCGGGCAAGGCCATCCAAAGTCAATCAGCCTCGACCTAAACTTCCATCCCCAAAACCTCCAACTCCCAATCCTCCCCAACCATTCCTCAAAATGTCCCTATCAAACTACCTCGCCTCCAAATACCTCACCGCCGAACCCTCCAAAAAGCGCAAACGCAAAGACAAATCCAGCACCTCCCAACCGGGCCTCATAATAGCAGACGACGACGCCCTCGGCTGGACCACCACCCTCACCCCCGACGAAGAAGCCAAACCCCTCACCATCACCTCCACCAGCGCCGAATTCCGCAAATCCAAAACCAACGCCTGGAAACCCGTTGGCGAAGCCGCGGCCGCAGAACAGATTCTCGCCGACACAGCGCGGGAGAACGCGGCCGCGCTGCAAGAAGAGGAGCCGGTTGTAGAGGATGACGGGGTTGTGAAGATGGGGGATGGTACGCATGCGGGACTGCAGAGTGCAGCGGATGTGTCGAGGCAGTTTGAGAAGCGGAAGAGGGCTGAGAGGGAGCGGTGGGAGAAGGAACAGCGGGGGGGGAAGAAGGGGGGGAGGAGACTGTGTATCGAGATGCGACGGGGCGGCGGATTGATATATCTATGAGACGGCAGGAGGCGCGACGGGAGGCTGATGAGGCGGCGAAGAAGGAGCGTGAGGCGGCAGAGGCTCAAAAGGGCGATTACCAGCGTGCGTTGAAGGAAAAACGGAAAGAGGAGCTTGATGAAGCGCGGTTTCTGGGTGTTGCAAGGGGTGTGGATGATGTGGAGATGAATGAGGAGTTGAGGGGGGTGGAGCGGTGGAATGATCCCGCCGCGCAATTTTTGGTTAAGAAGAAGGAGGGAAAGAGTGTTACGGGAAGACCGTTGTATAAGGGTGCTGCGCAGCCGAATCGGTATGGGATACGTCCTGGGCATAAATGGGATGGGGTGGATAGGGGGAATGGGTGGGAGGGGGAACGGTTTAAGGCGTTGAATCGGAAGACGAGGAATAAGGAGTTGGATTTTGCGTGGCAGATGGATACGTAGTGTATTTAGGTGTGAAATGGAAGAGAAATTTTAAAGATTGAAAGTGAAAGCAGGTTGTGTGTATTATGAATATCGTATTTCTGGGAACGTTGGCTTCATGCCACTCAAATCTGAATTACTATTACAGAGAGCTGCCCGCCAGATATCCACTCCCCATCAAAGTATAGCCTTGTCTATGCCCATTCAAAACGCAGCCCATAGATCAGCTCCCTAGCTGTCTTAATCGACATCTCAAACCCATGTCGAATCTACTTGCGACGGAGCAATTTATCCTTGCCGAACGCAGCACACTCTTTGACGAGTCTAATGAACTCGTTCTTTTGGGTCTTTCCAGGTCCATCACCAACTCGTCCTCCGAATTTAGCCATCAACTCCTTGATGGAAATACCTTCTGGTGGAAGTTCGGCTGCAATTTCGCCGACGGATATAGGTCCACGTGGTGAGCTTGCAGGAGCTAGAGTTTCACGTTAGTCTCAGTCTTGTATACTAACATTGATATATAGGCTGCTTGAAGCGATGTGGAACATATCGACAAAAGCTCAGTGCTTCGAAATTCGTACGAAGGTCACTGGTTGCGAGACTCCACAGGGCCTCAAGGGAATTCTCATGGAGAGCCGATATGGAACGAAAAATATCTTACCTGGTGCTTGTGGGCTACCGGCACGACTCCCAGTACCACCAGCCCGAATCTCCGGACTTCCCGCTCGTGAACCTGAAGGTGTACCTCCAAGACGAAGCTTCAACTTCTTCTTCTTACCACCGTCAGACATCTCTCCTCCGGTAGCTTCAGCATCACTCATAGGGCCTCCAGTAGGACTTGGATTAGGTGGCGCAGAGTGAATATCAGTGACCTTTGTAGAGTTGACATTAAGTTTGACCATAGATGATTTGCGACCCTGGCCGGCTTGCGAAGTAGGCATAGGTGACATTGGTCGGGATCCAGGGATTGGAGTACTAGTGCCAGACGGGCGAGATGATGCATGCTTCTTCTGCTTCTTCCGGGAAGACTCGTTACCAGAAGACTCAGACAGATTAGGCGATCCTGACCTCTTGAGACCATTCTTGTGCTTCTTCAAGGCATCAGTGTGTTTTGGACGGCCAGAAGGTGTGTTTGTTCCTTTGGAAGAGGCTCCAGATGGAACCTTTGATTCGACCTTGAGCTTGTTCTTTGCTTCCTCATCCTTCCTTCTGTCTATCTCGTTCTGCTTTTCCTCATCTGATGTGTCATCCTCGCTCTACTGAGTATTAGCCAAAAGCACACATATCGAGCTTCTCCATTACTTACGGTATCCGAGTACGGGTGGTCAGAATCACTCTCATAAATCAAGTTTCTCTCCCGTCTGGTGAGCGCCTTGCGAGTCTTCTTTCCGATTTTCTTCTCGGCCTCCATTTCTAAGAGCTCCTTTTCAAGTTCTTTTTCCACTTCGGCCTCGTTCGCCTGATCGAAGATATTCGCAGCCTGCTGTTCGCGCTTAATCTTGGCCTGAGTTTCCTTGGTTTCCTCGTCATTATCGGGCTCTACTGTCGGTTGCTCATCATCATCCTGAAATAAATCACCTTCGGCGAAATCAAGATCATCCATATCCTGCATTTCTGACTTGTTGGCATTCTTCGCAGTATTACTCTCCGACTTCACGGTATAAAGTCGGTGCATCGGAGGGGCTTTCAAAAGCGCTTCTTGCTTGTCTTTCATCACCCAGCGAGACTCTCTCGTTTTCTTGCCCATTTTTGCCTCTGCTTCCTCGATTGTGAACGTCGCGAATTTGTTCTTTGCCGTAAATTTATACCACTTCTCTATAGGTACCATCAAGAATCTCTCTCCTTCGATGAGAAACATGACATTGGTGTCTGACAAGGCAGCCTCATAATTACCAACCCATGTTTGTTTGCCTTCAGCGTCTTCCAGGTGCCATGGTAATGCCTCCTCATATCTCAAATCCGAAGCTTTCTTTTCGTCCTCAGTCTTGTCCAATCGGTATACCTGCGTGGTTTTCTCCATTCTAAATGGATGATTCTTCTTTGCTTGCGCAGCCGCATTGTTGCCAGAGGGAGCGATCTGGGCCAGATCAGCAGCTCTTTTCGCATCCTTTTCTGCCTTGGCTATCTCCAATTTCTCGCGTTCTTTGGAATCCATGACTACATCAGGTATCTCTTCCTCCTTACCGGCTTCGGCTCGCGATGGTTGTTTGGGGTCTCTTCGATGTAGCGTGACGGGCCTTATGAATTGCTCCTGCTGCTCAGACTCTTGATTCGCCGGATCAACATCTTTCTTCGTGCTGAATCGCATTACATGATATCTCAGTCCCTCACGTAGGGCTTTCTTCGTGGTGTACAGTGGAAAGTATCTTGTTTCGCCCTCTGGCGGGTTCGTCCACCCATTGTGAAGACCGCTTGCAGGTGGAGGAGCCGGTTGGGAACCAATGGGGCCAGCAGCCAACCCGTTGACAGGATACTGTCCGCGCGCAGGAGCTACAGGACCTTTGGGCTTCGGTGGAAGGGCGCCTTTTGGGAGATTGGGTCGTCTAATGGGCTTTTTGCGCGGTCTTAGAGGGTCAGCGGCTTTGCTCTGTCGCACGAAGCCAGGCGGGGGTCCGCCATTGGGGGTGGGAGTTTGATTGTTAGAAAGTCCAGAAGGTGACGCGCTCATCGTTGCGAGAACTTCGGGATAGGCGCGTGCTCAGAGGCGTATGAACGAGCGTTAGTTGAGAGATTGTATGTTGCTGTCAGGAGCGGCCTAAGAGGAGACTGCCTAGGCGTCCCTCATTCGGGAAAATGAAATTGTCTCTGACGCAACGGATGATTTCGAGTAAGCGCGAGTGGCTGTCGAGGGCAACTGGTGATTCGTATCGCCTAGAAGAGGGTATCGCAGGTTGTGTTGTCGTAGACGATATGAATTCTTTGTCTTCAAGGAGGAATGCAGTTCTGGTAGGAGGTCGAATTCCTATGAAGGGAGCGCGAAGGTAAGTGGGTCCGGACCACGAGCCAAAAACTTAGGTAAGCAAGGCTGTGAATGGGCGACTTATGATCCTTGCAAATCTGAGTCCCGGGGCGCGGCTGAACTTTGCTCAACCGAGCAAGCTGCAAGTGTAACGTCAAGGCTTGGCAGGGTCTGGGGATCCAGATGAACATGTCAACTTGAATCTATTTACTCTCTTTTACAACGATATATACCCGACACGAGGCGAGGAACATCCCACTGTGGCAAACAACCATTCTTCGCGTCAATTGCCTTGAAGACGTCAGAAAACTTTTTCTCTAGGACAATGGAATTGAAGCAATTTCCATCCAGCCACTTTTTCAATCCGATCGATCCCACCTACCCAGCTTCAACTTGAGGCTCTGGTGGAAGACCAGCATCGGACCACCACAAATACAGCTATCAGACACGAAGACCCCATCAGCATCGACCGTGCCAGCTCCGCGCTCATCTGTTCTACACCAAAACCGAAAAGTCACTTTTTCTTACTACCTAGTGGATTTCTTGCAGTCACATGACACATTTCTGTTTGCTCATCGCTGTTTAAGGTGAACGTGGACCGGAAGTTGTTTGCTCTCTGGACAAAACTTCTGGATACCCTTCTGTTGAAACTGGAGCGCTCGTCAATAGTGATGATTTCACTTGATACCTTATATTTCATTTAGTTCAAGACCCACATCCACGCAATCACTCTCAGAGACCCCCGGGATCGATTGATCAAGATGTTTCCAGCGTCTCAAGATACGGCTTCGCCTGGAGGAGGAGATCTCGAATCGCGTCTTCGCGGACTCATTTTGAGCAACGCCATTGCAGCACCCGCTGCCTCCTCCCCAGAGGAATCGAGTCACGACTCTCGTTTGCCTCCTCACATGCGCAAGGCAACCGTGCAAGAGCAGCAAGAATATCTTGAGAATATCAATTCTGGTGCAGCTCAAGCCAATAAGAATTCGACTCCTCGTGCCGCCCAGCAGAAGAACAAGAGACCAAATCAGGCTCAAAGGCGGCAGATGAGCTCGAATTTGTCTATTCCAATCGACAACAGCCCAAGCCAGACGAGCCGATCTCCTGGGTACGGAGCTCTTCCAGTTCAAAATCATTCGCAATGGTCCAATCAGGGTTATGGTGGGCAAAACACGCAGAAAGGGTACCAGCGCCAGAATAATGGTCAATATCAGAGTCAGCCGTCCTCACCTCGTCACAATAATCATGGCCCGCCTACTCCATACTCTCCTCAAAACTCGTTCTCCCAAACTAACTCAAACTCCCAAATGCCCCAATATCAACAGAGCCGGCCACCTCATGGCGGTAATCATCAGAGTCCACGAAACCAACATTTTCAAAATGACTCTTACTCATCACGACCATCTCCACACGGCCGGCAACTCTATCAGCCGGGGCCTTATCAAGGTCATGGACATGGAAATAACTTCAACCATAACATAGAGGAGACGGCTCGTCAAAGCTCGCATCTTGAAAATTTATTGCTGCAGAGTGTATCTTTAGTTGGCATGGATTCTGATGAAGAAGCGGAGAAAGAGACCTTCAGAGCCATTGTAGAACAGGCCTGTCGGGACGCTATTTCCACGTATGAACGGAATGATGAAGGCAATGCTGGTTTTGACCCTCTTTCCGTCGAGTTGCAATGTTTTGGAAGCATGAAATCGGGGTTTGCCACTAAATCTTCTGATGTGGATCTTGCTCTACTCAGTCCTCAGTCTGCACATCTTCCAGATTCTGCAGATTCCCCAATTCCACGAATACTCGAGAAGGCTCTTCTAGACATGGGCTTTGGAGCTCGATTGTTGACAAGAACTAGAGTTCCCATCATCAAACTTTGTCAGTATCCCACGCAGAAGCTAAAAGCTGATCTATTGGAAGAACGCGAGAAGTGGGAGAATGGGTTTCCCGAAGACATTAATGATACAGAGGCCCAGACCACAATTGCACCAGTTGAATCGCCTCCCAAGCATGGTGAGTCTACTCTAGAAACAATCGTTCCCAGACCGGAGCGGAACTCGTTACCTCCTTCGTCGCCGTCTAAGATTGTTGGATCATACGAAGAAAAGCTGGCGAGCTTGAAGCAGAAAAAATCCCAATCACTCGGAGACTACCATCTAAGTGCGAAGCGACTTTTACGGCAGCTTGGTAGCCGAGATATCACCTCCGTAGGAGCACCTGACATTACTGAAGATGAAGCACGAATATTAAACGATGTTTGCAAAGCATTTTTTGCTGGCCTTGCCTCTGATATCCTGAGAAGCAGCCTCATTAAGTATCCTTCTGTTGCGGCACTTTTTGATCCCGACCAAACTTTTGTTCGCCGAACACTGCAAGGGTCCTGGTTACAGGTTGATGGCGAGCGTATGGCTTCAAATTGGGGTAACCGTCCCCTTTTGGAGGAAAACGACAGACGAGAATCCGATAGCCAAGCAATTATCATCGAATGGGGAACTCTGCAGCAGACTCATCCCCCTAACTCTCTTGATGAGTGTATGAAATTCAACCGAGAGCTTTACCTCGCAAATGAGAGATTAAAAAGAATCAGCTCCTTGCAACTGACTTGTCTAGAGCAACTTCCGCATGAAGAACCATTCAACTATTTCTCGAGGGTACAAAGGTTGGTCGATGCTCTGAAGGGTAATAAACGACAGGAAATGACGGATGCTGTAAACGCGATAGTCGTGCAGCACTACATTGAGGGTATATACAACTCTGACATCCGTTCCGCCTTGCAAAAGCTCGTGACAGACACAACGTCACTGTATCTTGTTGCACTTCAGCATAGAGTTATGCAACTTATCACTGACTATGAGCACGCACTGAAAAACGGTGTCTACGAAAACAACAACCGGCCAGTAATCGAGCAGTATGTTTCATTTCTAAAAACTATCGATATATCCAACTCAAGTTTCAATGTCAATTCAGTCGCCAATGGCATAAGCCCAGACATCATTTCAGCAGTTCGACTTCTTCCAGATCCCTCGGTTACTTCGGCAGATAAACCTCGTGATCGGTACAAAGATCATCTCGAGTTCCCAAAGACTGATATTGGTATTCAATGCGATATCAATTTCTCGGCACATCTTGCAATTCATAACACGCTCCTACTTCGATGTTATTCGCATTGTGATCCACGTGTCAAATTGATGATACTGTTCGTTAAGAATTGGGCCAAACTGAGAGGTATCAACACGCCATATAGAGGGTCTCTCAGCAGCTATGGCTATGTATTGATGGTATTACATTATCTGGTCAACATTGCACAACCATTCGTTTGTCCCAATCTCCAAGAGATCAATCGGGATCCGCCTAGTCATCTATTACCAGCAGAGATCGAAGCTCGTACGACCTGCAACGGTTGCGATGTCTGCTTCTGGCGCAACGAGGTCGAGATTAAGAATCTTGCAGATCGAAAAATGCTCAATCATAACCACGATTCCGTTGGCTTCCTGCTTCGAGGGTTCTTCGAATACTATGCTCAGAATGGCGATATGACCACGGTTAGACATAGGGGATTCGACTGGGGAAGAGAAGTCTTAAGTTTACGAACAAGGGGCGGGATCTTGAGTAAACAAGTAAAAGGCTGGGTCGGTGCCAAAACCACCATCGAAACTAACGTCGTCGCTCCACCTACACCTTCCACCATCAAACCGGCCGCATCTACTGACGAAACTACCCCTCAAACTCCCAAACCTCAACCTCAAAGGCTTGAGGAAACGAAAGAGATCCGTCATCGTTACCTCTTCGCTATCGAAGACCCCTTCGAACTTACCCACAACGTCGCTCGTACCGTTACGCACAATGGAATTGTTTCTATCCGGGATGAGTTCCGCCGAGCATGGCGGATCTTGAGAAATATCGATAAACCGGAACAGAGGGATGGGGGGTTACTTGATCCGATTGATGCGACAGGAAAGGGCGGTAGTGAAGTCAAGGGGAGTTTTCTGGAGCTGTTGGAGATTTTGCATGGGCCGGAGCTGAAGCAGGTTGTGGTTTAGGTTGATGAATGGGATGTCGGTATGGACAGTTGTGGCATGTGCTGAGACTGGTTTATGAGGAAATGGGAAGGGGAATAAAATGGGTTTATGGTTGCGAGATTTTAGAAGCAATTCTTGTGGTTTCAAAAGTTCGCGCGGTCATTACATGATAGGGTTGTAGAAATATAGGTTACATGAGACTTTTCCTTCTCCGTTAAACTCCAGGTGGGAATACATTCCGAGTTTCGTTTCTAAAGTTGTGAATTCCCTGGTTCGACCAAGTATTGCATTGTGTTTTTGTTACAGGGTTCCTGGTTAACATGTTTCTTTCACTAGGTGAGACCGCCTAAGTACCTGGGTATTACAAAGTCACTGGATGTTTTTGGTTCCTTGAAAGCGTGTGTAAAATCCATTCTTATTCATCAAAATAATCTGAAATAAATTCATGGCCGGTAAACAAGGGATTCTTTAGGAGTTATTATGACCACGTTAAGGTGAAGAATACCTACTCTCCGTTCGCGTAAAAGACGTCTCATTTTGGTACATGGCCCGTGTGCCTCACTCACGAGAATTCCTCCCCCTTCTACGTCAAAAAAATCAATTACTACGTCTATAAAGCTAAATAATAGGTACTAAGATAAAAAATGTCTTAGTAGTAAGTATCTATATAAGATTCTATGTACTTAAAAGTTATAATTTACTGTGGTAATGGTTTGATGGGGTGTGTACCAAAATGAGACGTTTTTTACCCGAACGGAGAGCCTAGGTAGATGTAAGCTTTTCCGGGTGATCTGCATATAACATGCAAATGATTCATAGATGATGATACTTCCAAGTACTTGATCAGCTGACGTCGCGACTCTAGAAAAGAAGAAAGTTTCGCTCGTAACGACCTATCATGATGTACAAACTTGGAAGTACTAGAAATAAAATACATCAGCGACGGGAACGAAGAAATTGACTTACTAACCCAGCTATGACGTAATCCCCACCAAACCTGCCAAACTTCCCAATCGGGTCCACCCCACCTGTCAAATCTTGACGGACCGTGACCCCAGACTCACTAAGAAAGACTTATCTTCAACCAAGCATCTCCCCGGATGCCAGATGTTTCTCCGAACATGCCGACTAGAGAACCTTCCTGTTACGATGGATGAAGTGTTCATGTTATGGCGGTCAGCTGGTGGGTCTGTATATATACTTTTCCTTCTCCCCAAGTTTTCCCTTTCTCTTTCCTCTCTCAATTTCATTTGTAATCCCTCAAAATGCCCACGCCCACCCTCCACGACCGCCTCACACTCATAGAATCCGCCCTCTCAGACCTCCAAACCCTCGATCTGGGACCCGAACGCAAACCCTCACCCTCAGCGCGCCAATCTCTCGACCACCGCTTCGACCGTACAGATCCCTCAGTAGACGCCGCTCCTGTCCCTACACCCGCACAAGAAAAATCAGACCCCTTCGACTTGATACAAAAAACCCAATTCTATGACACCGTCGCCGCGAAATTCGGCCTCGGTATCCGCGATGAAGAAGATTTCGCCGAATTCATCGTCTACAACGCCTTCGTGACGAATCTGCGCGTGTGTCCCGTCCACTTGACCGATACAGGCCGCTACTACTACATCGAGCATCGCTTTTACCTGCCCAACACCCCGGGCGTAGTCCTACGACAAGGCACGGATAAAGAGGGACCCTGTTTGGGAGTTGCGAATATCCCGCTCACCGGACGCAATTCGTTCGGTGTTGGCGATTTCAAGGGCGATCAGAGGGGCATGGTCTGGGAGCATTTGATCAGTACGGGGTTTTGGACGCATATGCGGTATGAATTCTCGTACGAAGTACGGGACGGGGAACGGAAGGTTTTTCACTGGATTCGGACACGGAATAATGTGTTGGACGATCAGGGCGATTTGGTGTTGATTGAGCGGGATGTGGAGGGCGAAATCTTGGCCGAGTATGTGGGGAAAGGACTGTTGAAGTGGAAGAAGAGGGGACGGCTACGCGTGAGGAATATGGAGGGGTGGGGGGAAGAGTGGGAGAGGGTTGTTTTGCTTACGTGGGCTTCGGTGGTGGAGTTGTCGAGACGGAGGGCGAGGGTTAGGAGGTATTCGCCTACGCATATTATTCATGGGTAGAGAGACGGTGTGCATTTGCATTTGGCGTTTCGCGGAGATACCATTTATAGAGTTAGATTTGAGTGTTGCATTAAGGTTTAGAAGGACTTTCCATCGGAATGCTTAGAAATAATATTTAATGATAGAAATAGACATACTTGATTCCTGTAGCATTCTCATGTGTGCCTAGTGCCTGAAGACTAAGTTGTACTTCCTAGAACGTGCGGAATTGCTACTTGGATATTAGGTCTATTCTGTCTACTTAGTATACAACCCTAAATAAGTTTCAGGCTGCATCCGTTTATTTTATTTCTATTGCAGAGCTAATATCGGGGGAGTATCTAAGCGAGTGCAAGGGGGAATAGAGAACGTAGGTATCTCTATCCATATTCAGCTGCTCTACTCTCTAGTACTTATGCTTTTTTTTATAGAAATTCAAAAGTACTCTTCTGGAGTTCACGTGTGTCCCGGCTGCCCTATCTGAAGTGCAAATATAACATGATTTATATTCGACTAAGAGTTTTTACTCCTTCTAGAAAACTAGATATAACACTTGACGTACCAGAAACAAAAGAGTTGTAGTTGAAAAGATTATTTACAAAAGAATTCGATAGTAGATATAGTAGTTCACAGTCTACGCTACGACTTCTTTACCCGAGAATACATAAACGAGATCCTTTCCATCCTCCACCTCTTGCTCTTCATCCAAATCTTCTACATCCGACACCAATTCCGCCCCAAAATACTCCCCCTCGCCTACATCCGCTGAGCGATTATCGGGCACCGAGTACCAGCATTCACCCCGCTGGAGCTTCGCACTATCAACGTCTGTCTCCCAAATACTGAATTTCACTTTCTGCAGACGAATTGCGTAGATATTCTCTCCCAAAGCCTGGTAGCCCAAGTGCGTTCCATGGCTATGTGCGTGCTCAGCGTTCAAGCCAACATCCATCGCACCACCCGCCGGAACACCAAGAGCCTCCGCAACCGGCACCGTGATGTTAGCAGCCTGCTGTGACGCAACTTCCTCTCCTCCACTCGTGCGGGCTTCGAAAAGCGTGTCGACGCCTATGACAAAGTACACTTGATTCCGCTCTTCAATCTGCTCCTCAAGCCATACCCGCACCGCTCTGTTCTTACACAGCTCTTTGAACACGGCTTTCGGCTGGTTCAGGGTGTACATTCGACCTTGTCGAGCGACTAGATCGTCGTTTGATGATTCTGAGCGAGAGAAAGTCGTCTGAACGAGTGTTGTTAAAAAAGCGCCCAAACCGATGGAGCTGTTTGCATGAGATGATCTCACGAGGTCTTCAACCTCTTTTACTGTTATGTCTCTTATGGGAAGTGGGCTTCGGAGGTTGTTCAGATCAGGCTGCTTTACGTTGGGGATGAGGTTGCCGAGCTGAATCTCCTCTTTGGCAAAGAATCGAATACCGAATATTGATCTGCTCTTCATTTTGAATTTGGAAGCCTATGATCAGATTGATTGATGTAACATGTGAGATTTGGAGCGTGCGACTTCGGATGAAGTGAGTCAATGTTCTGGACTATCTGGTCACGGGTGAGACAAAGGTAAGTCACTGCTACTTTCAATTGGCCCAACGGTTGGATATTTTGATCCACCCATTGGAGATTCTCATGATCATCATCAGTTCTTGTCGACGACAAATGTTAAAAAATGCGAGCAAAAAATTGTTTTGGAGCCGCTTACTCTGCACTCATGCAACCTCCACGTCATTATCACAAGTAGATATGACCGAAGAAGACGAAGGGGCTCTTTTCGAGCAGAATGTAAAAGACCTATGGGATGTCCACTTACAATCGATCCATCAATTTCACCAAACACGTACCGCTCAAGATCTGGAGAATTCAATACAGGCCGGAGAAAAAGCTCTTACTGCAATTCCAAAACATCATGTTTGCTGGAGCGCCATCGCGTGTAACCACAGCGACAATCTGACGGAAAGAGCGAGGGAAAATGAATTCAAAGAGGACCTGGTATCTGCAATATCACTATTGCATGAAGTGTTAGCAGTAGTTCCAGACACTCCTGCTCAACGACCCATACACTGGCACACTCTGAGCAGAGCCATGCACGAAACGTACGAGCAAGACGGTACCCCTGATGATTTGGAGAGCGCCATCCATTATTCTCAACTGGCGGTAAACTCTGTCGAATCGGACAATCCACATTATGCCGACTTCTTGGGACAATTGACGCAATGCCTTGCATCAAGATCCGCATCACGCTTAACTAGCAATCTTTTAGACTTGGGGGAAGCTATACGGCTTGCGCGAGGCGCCCTTGATCCTACTAATGCGAACCAGCTTCATGATCTTGCACTGTTACTTAAATCTTACTCTGAACACACTGGACTACCTGAACCCTTAGAAGAAGCGATCACGTTGAACCAAAGATCGCTGGGAATAAACATCGACGATCGCCATCGATGTTGGTATCTCAACAGTCTGGGGTTGATGTTTTGCTCGAGATATACTTTCACCGAACATCCTATAGACCTCGACGAATCAATAAAATGCGGACGTCGAGCAGTAGCATTAGCGGGCAAAACAAACGAGAGCGAGATGGATAATGTCAACTATGCCATCTGCCTAATGAATCTAAGCGACTCTATTGGCTGCAGGTCTGACATTAATCACGATATGGTTGATATCGAGGAAGCAGTTCAATTTGCTGAGCAGGCGCAAACTATGGTGGCTGAAAATCATTCCTTACGCTCCAGATTTCTATCTTGTATGAGTAATCAGTTACTCAGACGCTCAACAGAATCTCTGTCTGAAACGGACCTGACGAGAGCCGGGCAGCTAGCGGAGAATGCTGTCAGTCTTGGTTCAAAGGACTATAGTCAATACGCCTATCATTTACGCGGCCTTTCGAAAATTCTCTTCCTCGATTTCCAAAGAAATGGCAGCCCAGAGAGTATACAAAAGAGCATAATGTTGCTGGAGGAGAGTATAACTTCTGGTCTTAATACTAATTATGCCACTCTTTCGGCAACAACAAATGAGCTCGCACAGCGATATTACTCGCTCTCGAACACTACTGGGAGTCTTACCAATCTAAACAAAGCAGTTGATATGTTGAGCAACCTGTTTGAGGTTTGTCCTACTGGCCATCCCCATCAGCGAATGGTCATGATGAATGTTGCACACGTCTTGCATGCTCGGTTTGACAGGCTTGGAATTTTGAGTGACTTAAAACAAGCTATCGAGTTGACCGAGGAAGCACTTGACTATTCTCCTGACATGAATGTGCCTCTCGATTTCCAACTGCTTTGTGAACTCCTTAGCCACAGGTACCAAAGATTGAGAGATATCAAGGATCTCGACAGGTCAATTGTGATTTCTCGTAAATTGGATTCTAATGAATTGGGCAAGGACTTGTATGAGAGCTTCAAAGGAGGAAAGAACAGAAATCATCTTTTGGAAGCTATTGAGGAGTTGAAAAACACTATAGGACGTATGCCCGAAGGCCAACCAGTTGCAACATATCAGCTCAGCTTATCAAACGCTCTTCGTGATAACCTGAAGTTGGAGAACTCCACGTCATCGGACGAATGGAGTTACGCCATCCAACTTGGGAAAAAAGCTGTATCTGGCCTACCTCAAAAACACCCGAACAGAGTCGAGGCACTCCACAGCTTAGCACATATAATTGAAGACAGCCCATTTCAGTCAGCGGAAGACGAAGAAGCTGGACTGGAGTACTGCGAGGAGGCATTGAATCTCGAAGCGGGACCACCACTGGATCGAATACGCGTTGCTATGCATATGTTCAACTCATACAAGAAAATGGGCAACTGGAAGAAAGCTCGACAAGCCGCTGAGTATTTCATATACACCCTAGTACTCAAATTACTTCTTCGATTACTTCCACTCCAAGATCAACAATATCTACTTCAGAGCCTGAATGAGGCTTCTTCTAAGGGCGCAGGCGCTATTTTGCAGGATGGAGGCTCATCCTGTGATGCGATAGCATTGTTAGAAGCAGGCCGCACAATGATCACCAACATATCTATAGTATCGCGGGGAAATATCCCAGAATTAGCTCGTGTGGATCCACAACTACACGCTGAATACCTTGAACTGCGTAATGTTGTCTCTGCTCCAGTCCACGATGAACAGATTGAAGAGAATCATAATCACTCCCATGCAGCAGGTGGCCACCGACTCCACTTGATTAGATCAACAGTCACATCGAGACTTGCAGAACGCGCCCGCCTTATCAAGAAACTGGAAGACCTGGAGGCGAAAATATGTTCCGTTCTAGGGATTGAGCATTTAAATGCTCCTATAGAGGCTGAATCACTGAAGCAACTTGCCACCGAAGGTCCAATTGTTTTGTTCAATACCGCAGTTTTTCGTACGGATGCGCTCATCATAACGCATAGCGAGATCAGTTCTTTGAATCTGGGAAAGCTCGACTACCATGATGTTCGAGCCAAAATAAACAAACTTGTGGGCCCAGGACAGCTTGCAAAGGGTAAAAGGAGTACGAAGTTTGATCGTCAGCAAGAGCTTAGAGACATACTTGAATGGTTATGGACCACTGCAGTTCAACCCGTTTTGGCACATCTGGATTTGATCAAAGAGAACTTGACTGATATACCAACACGCATCTGGTGGGTAAACAGCGGGCTCCTTGGTCTTGCACCCCTCCACGCTGCTGGGAACTCGAAACAATGGGCATCTGAGTACGTTGTTTCCACTTACACAGCTAGCATACGAAGTCTACAGTACGCCCGAGAAAAAGCTCATCGACATGCTATTCTAAGTGATCCAACAATACTCGTCATTTCCATGCCGACGACAGCAGAAAATAAAACTCCGCTCACAAGTGAGATGGAGGAAAACGTGGTCAAAGAGTGTATGACTATCGAACCGACTATTCTACAGACCCCTACAAGAGAAGCAGTTCTCGAAGCAATGCCTAACCACGACTTCGTCCATTTCGCCTGTCACGGTATAGCCAACGCAGAAGATCCATCGTCCGGAGGTCTACTTGTCGGGCCAGCTCACGAAGATAAAGTCCAATATATCACAATTGAGCAACTATCCAACTTATCTCACGAGCGCGCGCAAATCGCATACCTCTCAGCTTGTTCCACGGCCGAAAACTCATCACTGAAGCTGCTTGACGAGGCTATTCATACTGCCAACGCGTTCCAAGTTATGGGATTCCCGCATGTGATTGGGACTTTGTGGGAGGCGAGCAATCGGGTGGCTCCGAAGATTACTAAGATCTTCTACGAGACGCTTATGCGTGATATTAAAACTGGTCATGTTGCTAGTGATGTTGTGGCGAGGAGTCTATGGCAGGCGCTTTGTGTGTGGAGGAAGGAGAAACCGAATGACTATCTTTCTTGGGCTTGTTTTGTCCATCTGGGAGCATGATGGTCTTGAAATCAACGTAAATTTAGATGTCGACGTAGTTGCATGGTGTATACGCAACCTTCCCTGAAGAGATTGCAACCACTTTCAAGGGACATAATTTCTCACTCGCATAACCTAGATCTCTGGGAACCAAAACTCGAGTCTCGGTACCCAGCGACAAAAGTCGACAGGTTTGCTGCGGGACATAAACTTGTATGCCTTGCTGATCGTATTTCAGAAGTCACGGATTCTTTTAATTACAAAGCTCGGAGCTTTCGCGCAAAGATCAACTACCTCATCACGACGCCTCACCTTTGAAGAAAATATACGCCTGTCGGGCTGTTAGCATCTGCCGGGAGCCAGCGGTGACTAAACATTGTTGATGCTTCCTGCCTTGCCCAAATCTCCTTCCCGAACATCTTGAATGTCTAATAAATAACTAGAACAACTTATCATCTACCAATGGTCACACAATTTAGCCACCTCTTAAACTTGGCATCACATCTGCACCTCAGCGTCTTTCGTCGTCGCCGAACTCCCAAGTCTTACAAGTTTAAGCGATCTTTGAGCGAAAAAGGGGGATGCCAAGGTTGAAGTACAGTGGAAGTTCGAAATAATGATACCTGTCAACAAATTTGTGAGTTCCAAACGTTTTATTCTACCGTAAGAACGCGTAGAAAGGAACAGATGACTTATTTTGACGCTCATCACCTCTCTTTAGGTAGTTGTAGGAAATACAGCGAACTCACTGAGTTTTGCTAGTGTCTGGGACATTTGCTAATTCTCCGATTCGCAACTAGATACCATGTCTTTTATCCCTTTCAACAATCTTTTGTAGACATATCGTATTTTGAGATGAAGCGAATGAGTCTTTCGCACGACGTGCGGTGCAAGTATTCAGGGGGTGATGGTAACTCCAATGAGTCTTTCTCGCTTCCGTGTTCCAACAACTATCCAACTGCATACAACACTCCGACAAAAGTAACATGATGATCACCACAATTCTTGGACGAAATTATTTGCCGAGTACCATGCGACGAGGCATAACTTTACCCGCTGCAGTAAGATGTTGTTAGGTATGAAAATTAAAGTTGTTCAAAATCCTCTGTGATTTCATCCTAAGGTTCCTGTGTTTACAAGTCGAGTTTATCAATCGCTGGTTTCAGTTCTTGGATCATCAACGAAATAGATTACCCTTCAAAAGGCAACATGTTTATCGACACGATAGACGAAGTACACTTCTCAGTCCGCAACGCACTCATTTTAGCACTATCTTGTATAATTTTATACACAGTTCTTCTCACAATATACCGTCTCCACTTCTCACCCCTAGCCCACTTCCCAGGCCCCAAGATCTCAGCAGCCACAGGATGGTACGAAACCTACTACCAAATAGTAAAAGACGGAGGCGGCCAATTCACATTCAAGATAGCAAAATGGCACGAACAATACGGTACCCTCCCACATCATTTCATCACACCACCATACTAAAACCCTCCAGGCCCAATCCTCCGCATCTCCCCCCACGAACTCCACATCTCCGACCCCTCATACATCGAAACCATATACTCAAACGGCAAAGCCATCGACAAACCAGATTACTTCTCCCACCAATTCGGCACCCCCGGCAGCATCTTCGGCACCGTCCCACACGAACTGCATAAGCAAAGAAAAGCAGCTATTCAACCTCTCTTCTCTACACAAAGAGTGTCTGAGCAATTACCTCAAATCCTGGACCAAGCGGCCAAGCTCTCAAAACGGGTGTCTGATGAGTATGCAGGAACGCAACAGGTGTTGAATCTAGGTGATATGCTATCTTGTTTTGCCGGCGATGTGATTATGAAATTTGCGTTTGATCGAGAATTTAAGTACCTCGACTCGCCTGATTTTCGGAATCCCTTCACCGCGTCTTTTGTGGGGTTCAAGGCGTTCGCGCATTATACGATTCAATTCCCGTGGCTTCCTAGGTTGTTGGCTAAATTACCTGATGCGGTGGCTGTTATACTGAACCCTGATTTGAAGCCGATTGTTGAGTATAAACATGTGAGTTTACGCTTCTTTCAACGAAAATAACGAATCTTGCTGACGGTGTTACTAATTAGAATATGACAGCACAAATCAACGCCATAAAACAAGCTAGAGACAAAGGCGAAAATAACCCAGCTAAGGGAACGATCTTTAACGAAGTCCTCGACTCAAATCTTCCCGCGTCTGAAAAAACAACGACGAGATTGTCAGATGAAGCAGCGGGTATAGTAGGCGGTGGAATCGAGACCACCAAGTGGTCAGCGACGGTGATGTGTTTTCATATCATCAATAACCCCCCAATACACAGTCGACTGCGTGACGAGCTCAAGAATGCTTTTCCAGATGGTTTCGAGGTCCATGAATTAGCTCAACTGGAAAATCTACCATACTTGATGGCTTGTGTGAAAGAAGGTGCACCCCCAAACTCTCTATAAACCCAATCTTTTACATACTGATTATTTCATATCCAGGCCTTCGTCTCTCATACGGCTCCATGACACGCTCCCCGCGTATCCACCGCAATAAAGCACTGCTTTACAGGAGTTACACTATACCTCCCGGCACACTTGTTTCAACCGATGCATGGCACGCCCACCACAACGAACGCGTTTTCCCGGATAGTTTTGAGTATATTCCGGAACGTTGGTTGGGGAATCCTAAGGGTCTGGATGGAGAGAAAAAGTTGTCTACGTAATCTTACGTTCTGTCTTTGAAGCTGAAATGCGTCCAAAAGTCCGCCCTCTTCCTAATTCATGAGAGAACCATTTACTAACTACCGCGTCTTGATCCATAGATACGCATTATACTTCGGACGCGGAACACGCATGTGTCTTGGAATGCATCTCGTTTACGCGGAGCTAGCCATCATTATTGCGATGTTATTCCGCTCGTTTGAATTCGACTTATTCGAAACCGATCGAACCGATGTGGATTGTCACTTCGATCAGATCGCACCTGGCGTCAAGCCTGGAAGTAAAGGGGTGAGAGTTTTGGTCAAATCTGGGCTTCCTTAGTTCCTTTCCTTAAGACCAACAGCCAAAGAATATAGCTTCGGTGCTTCAATATCTTGTTTTCGCGCTCATTATGAAGATATGAAATGTTAAATGAAGTACTTATGGCTGAAGTTAGATGGCTCCGTTTTGGCATATTTGATATCTTAATATACATGATTTGAGAAAACAAGATGAGAGGTCCGATGTTATAGGCGAAGAGAGTGGATACTTCATTTCAATCAAGCTTGATACTTAGTTTGAGCGATGCCAACAATCCAACAATGGACAAAAGCCTCGATACCCTCCATAACCCCCATCGGTGACTTGTATCCCCCTTCAACAACACCCCTCAATCTTCCTTTCACACCACTCCCACAACACCCTCCCCATCCCCTCTTCCAGCGCCGTATAAATATCCCGTCTAGGATTCCCCTCCTGAACCCGTCCCCAAGGAATAACATACGCACCCTGATGCCTTTCCGTAATCTCCTCGCTGAAACCCGCAAACAACTCCGTGTACGCGCCCATCTTCGGCGGATGCAGATACGTATTCACAACGCACATAACCCACCAGGGCTGTCCATCCCAAACCTTCGTCGTCAGATTCCCCGGGTTCTGACAGACGCTGATAATCCCGTCCCGTCCGTAGCGACGCCCACATTCATGCGATACCATCCAATTAGCCGCTTTAGAGGCGCCGTAATTGACCTGTACATCTCTCACGCCTCCATTCTCAACATCCGCGAGATTCACACCGCCGACGGGCGCTTTGAGTTCCATTAAATGCGAGCTCGTCCAGATGACACGCGTACCATTCTTCCTCGACGAGGCGGCCGCGAATCTAAGTTTCGGAAGCAGGAGTTTGACGAGAAGCAGATGCGCGACTACGTTTACTCCCATGTGGACTTCGATTCCCTGTTTAGTCTTGGCGCCAAAGGGCTGGACTGCCACGCCGGCGTTGTTCCATAGGATATCCAATCGTTCTTCTTGCGCGGAGAAGGTCGCGGCTGCGCTGTGGACGGTTGGGAGATCGGCGAGATCGATGTGGAGAAATTTGAGTCTCGCCGTGCCGGATGGATCGGTGGATGTTATTTCTGAGATGGCTTTTTTGGCGCGGGAGCGGGAGCGACTGGCCATGTAGATGGTTGCGCCTGTTGGGTAGAGGAGTTTGATGAGGGCGAGTCCAACGCCATCGTTGCCGCCTGTCACCATGAAGACCTTTCCGTTTTGACGAGGGATATCATCTTCGCTGAATGTAGGTGCTGGAGGGTAGGTTTGGGAGAACCAGGATGAGAAGGCCATTTTGAGGGATTTGGTTAGAGGAGGGAGATGGGAAGAAGTTGGATCTTATTTTTGAGGCCTTGTGTGAGGTGTGATTTCCTGATTCGTAGGTAACGCCGAGGTTGTTGGAATTCGAGTGAAATATGCAGTTGGATACTATTTACCCGGCCATCCAATCCTAAGAAAACATAGTTGTTGGTAATTTTCATGTGCTTTCTACCCTGCTGACCCTAGTTGCAAGTTCCGAAATTTGAAATTAGTGTTCTTTACGCTCTCTTCGACTCATTCCAAGTTCTACTTTCAAGTCTAATCATTCTCTGATAGAAGTAGCGCTGTAATGCGTGGTTCCTTTTTGATGACATTCCTACATGTGCAGATTGAAGGTCGAGATCATAGAATTGATAGTGCGTCTAGAGTTTATCCTAACTCTAGGGAGGGGTCTTGCGGTGAGATATTGAGGCGATCTATGCCATGGAGTTTGGATAACAGGCGAACGGATCTGACTTACCTCCGTTTGCGGGGTTAATGAAAAGAAAAAGAGTTCATCCCAGGAGTCCTATAAGCCAACATATTATCAGAAAATAAATGAGATAAATTTGACCACAAACCTAACAAAATACTCATCAAACAACACCCCTCCTCATCCACTTCCCCACCCCCCTCGAATCCACACTCGCTTCTCTCCCCTTACTCTCCCCTCCAACCCCTCCACCACCACCGCCAACCCACCTTCCCTTCCCTTTCTCCTTTCCCATCCCAACACCTCTAGAATCCACACTTTCCTCCCTCCCCTTCCCCTTCCCGCCCTCCCGATCCTGACTCAAGAACCTCTTCTTAACAAGTTTACTCGGTCTCCTAGCCGGTTTCTTCTCCTGCACCATCGGTATCCCATTCCCACTCCCATTCCCGCCAAACACAGGAGCAGCACCATCACCAACAAAGATAGGTGCCATACCACCACCACCAACCTCCTCATCGTTGAAAAACGTATACTGCGTTTCCCTTCCTCTCCCCCTTTCCTTCTCACGCTCATTCGAGCCCCGCATGACCATTCTTTCATTTCGATTTCTCTTTTTTCTTATGCTATTACTTTCTCTTTCAGCTTTCTTACCCACATTCTTATTTCCGTTTGTTCCCTCACTGAGATGGTTAGTACGGGTTGAATCCTCAGCACGCCTTAACGCCTCAACACCTCTCGCATCCTCCTCCCTCATAAACGCTCTACTACTATTCCCCTCAAAACTCATAACATGCCTCATGACATTCGGATCAGCATCCGGAAACGCATGAGTCCCAAAATCCGGACTACCAAACGCAGGCGTACCCTTCGCGTCTGGCGAAATGTGCTGACGACTAGATTTCCGTTCCGGGATCGGACGTTTACGCTCTGGCGTCTTCGGCTCAGGTGGCTGTTTCTCAGGAGTCGGTTTCACGTCCGGGAGTTTGGGCTGGTAAACTTCCACCGGCTTAGCAGGGACTTTTAACTGCGCAATATGCGTAACGGGCTGCTGCGTGATGAAAGAGTCCATATTTGACATCGGCGTATTCTTCGGCGGCGGTGCAGGCGGATATGTGATTTTGATCCTCGAATCCATAGATGGTTTCTTTCCATTGCGTCCATACCTCGGTTCACTTCTCGCTCTCCTATGTTTCTCCATCGCCTCCCTTGGACTAAGAATCGTTCCTAACAACGCCGCTGCTTTGGATGGCTTCTCCAGTGCTTTGTCAACGCATCGTACTTGATACCGACCTATCCAGATCGCCTGGCCATCCCGAAGTTTACTGAGACGTTCGCGTTCTTCGCGTTCGCGTTTTCCGAGCTCTTCCCAGGCGCGACGCGCTTCTTCGCGGGCAAATCGTGCTTCTTGTTGGAGTGAGGTGATGAGCGCTTCAGTTTCTGAGATGTCGGCGAGCAGTTCGGCTTCTGGGTTGATTTGGGCGGAGCGTCGTTTTACGGATTTTGGGTTGGGGATGGGGTGGGGATCACCTGGGGAGAAGATGTCAGTGAGGGCGGCGTCGAGTTTTGCTACTCGACGACTGGATTCTCTTTCGAGTCGTTTGACGGTGAGAGGATTAACGTCCATTGAATTGGTTAGTGGGACTGTTTCGGGTGGGTCGACATCTGGCTGATCTGCTTCGTTTGATTGAGTGTGAATCTCCTTTTGGCTAGGGTTATTATTATCGTCTCGAATGTATCTCTCTAGAGCGAACGGATCTCTGGCTTCAGCGTCCGTTGATTGGCGACTGACAAATTGACTTGATTGTTGTGGAGTCTTGACACGAGAGTCGGCTTGAAAGGGATTTGAATGTAAAGGAGAGTCGTGTCTACCAGGCGGTCGCGAGATCCCCGGATGAGCAGCCATCGGAGTTTCGTGGTTTAAACGCTCAGATGAGTGATTCGACTCGAGTGGGCTTTTAAGACTTTCAAACACCCGATCGGACCCAGATGGCTTGCCAGATAATTGCCGACTTTCTCCAAATCCTTCTCTACCGTAATCACTAGACGAGCGCGGCCCATCAGCCTGTTTAGAAAATCCCTTATTGTTTGGGCCTCTTGACGTTGTTGGTCGATTAGCATCAAGACTGGCCTTACCATATGGAAATCCTCCGCTCTGTGCGATAGGACTAATTGGTGAGACTACAGTATCCGCTGAGTACCGATTACGAGCAAAACTCTGTGGGCTGACTGGACTCTTTTGAGAGTCGTTGACGTTTGTGATACGCACAAGGGTGGCCGATTCCAGTGTGGATTTCACCGACTTCATCATCTCGTTCATATGATTTGTCGCCGCCGTACTTGAAGATTTGGAATAGGAATGCAATTGTCTTCTTTTTGGCTCACGATTATTTTCCTTCGTTTCGATTAGTCGGTGAAAATCCTCGACAGACTCAACGGCAAGGAGATTCCTAGATTGGACATATGCGATAAATGACACTGCCAAGTCATCAGGTAGCATGTCCCATATTAAGAGAGGAATAGACATTAGTATCATGGTCGAATAACTCCTGTAAATGCCTTCAACAACAGCATATTTTGCTAACGCCGGGATCTGTCGAATATCTTGGTACCATGTATCGACATCGACAGTGTGATCTTCATCGATCGCAACCGAAATTAACACATGAGGTATCTGCAACTCGCCAGTTTTGGATGTCTTTAACAAATTGGCGGGATTGTAAATATCGAATTTGGAAAATACAGGTGAGGGATTGAGTGGTGAGGGTGCCAAAGCTGGTCGACTAAAATTTGCACTCGCTCTGCCGTTTACCGTACGACGAGTAGCCAACTCAATACTCAGCGACGTATCGATACTCGAGTTGAGGATGTAAATTGGTGTCTTCCGATCTTTAATCTTCTGTAAGTCGGCCCACCTTTTTCGTTCCGGCTTTTCGTGTTTAATTGCAGCAAGCACCTCACTATGAAGCATCGCAGCTGTGAATGCTGGTCTCGTGATCCAGTCTTCGAGGACACTTATTAATGCATCGGTGAAAAGATTTCGACCTGGACCAGGAGGCCATGGTTCAAGACCGGAAGCAGCAAGAGTTTCTGTGATACCCTGCCCTCCTCCAGTTGACGAACCAGGTACCGCGCAGCAGTCCAGGAGGAACAGTACATCCGATTCGGTTTCCTCAAAAAGATTTTGGATCGCTGACCAATCTAGAGATGGGGAAAGAGATTCTTGCTTCCTAATCATTGTTAGATTAGAAGGTCCTCACAGAAATGACAGAACGATAGAACTGGTCCAAAGGCACCCATTAATAGTTTCAGTCAACTTACGATAACCATGTCGTTTGTCCAGAGCTGTTGATGACACCATGTCCTCCATAATAGACAATCATCAAATTATCGCTCGAACCGTAGTCTTCGAGAAAATGCAGAACCAAGCTCATCAACTTCAGATGAGAAGACGCAGACGGTATTAGCCATAGCTGAGTATTGAATCCGTAGCAAGCTTCGAATATTGTGCGCATACGGATAATTTCGGGTTGCAAATTTGATGAATCGTCACCCCATTGGATCAATACTGCAATCACTTGCTTGTATCTGTTTCGTCCGCGATTAGGAAAGACCCTTGATGCAGACTGAAGCTGGGTTAGTACGATGTATCTTTTGCTACTCGCCAAGAAGGTCACGTTAGAAGACCATAATTTGACAGGTCACTATCAGAATGAGGCTCTGCGGTTCATGACGGGAATAGAGGTTTGGAAGCTTGAATGTAAAATATCAGCACCGAGACTCACTTCTTCGAGTCGATCGGAAAACGTTCCAAGCTCATTCATATGATACTTCGCCCGTCGTGTATCATGAGTCGTGGCAGGTATTGCCGATAATGGCGTCGTATTGACCGAGCGCTGCTAATCTTGTTAGGACAGATCATCATATCAATGGCCTGCTCACCTCATCTTCTACTACTGCTGAACTTCGGTTTCCATTTTCCCTTGAGTTCTCTAGAGCATAAGAACTCGACATTGGATCCACGCCGAATATATTGTTAGTCGCTTGCTCGCCCACGTCAATATAAAAAGACAGATGTTCGTCACTGGGAAAATAAAACAGGGTCTGATGCGGTTCTGCTTCTGGTATCCCCTGTCGCGGAAGGTTCAACGACGATTTGGAAGAATGCGGACTCTGCTTCTTCCGTTCAATCGCCCAGTCCTCGTCACCGACAGGTAAGCTCTTCTTCCTCCGCCGCAAACGACATCGACAAGGCAGTGACACAATGCCCGATAACGTGGTGAGTCGGTTTGTTATACTTGGTAGGAGATTATTACACGTGGTACACAGCATTGAGCCGCTTCGAATGGCATTGACGAAGACTATGGAAGTCAATGATGTTGAAGACAGAGGTCGTCTTCTGCAGCATTTCTGCACCTGGTAAATGGCCCAACGTGCATGGCGGGGTTTTCAAAAGACGAAGGATTTGGAAGCAGCAAGCTTAGAGAGCTGGGTGAGCTTTGGAAAGCGTAGCCTTGCTGCTGGGACGGATCTCCAGCTGGGAACGGAAAGTGTTCATCGGCATCCTCTGCCCTCTGCGGGAGACCGTAAATAGACATAGCGTGACGTCCAGCAACGAGGCTATATGCTAGTCATGCTCCAGATGTCGGCCGGGGGCGCTGCAACCCGGTGAATGGTAGCACTCGGTACAAAAGCGTCGATGGAAGGAGAGACTCATGGTTAGGAAGCGCGGATAAAAACGTAGAAGGCTTGGGTGGGAGGTGTCAAGTGGATCGATGGGAGCGGGAAGGAGAACACCACATGTCGACTCATGTACGCAGTCAGCAGTAGATAAACGAGGAAGGTATCTCAACCATAGGGGAAGCGAGCTGGGAGACAGAAGGATTCGAAGTGGAGGGGTAATAGCAAATCATGAGTAAGCGAGGTCAATAGTTGCATGAATTGTAGCTGAGCTGATGTTGGTGGAGCTGTGTGGCGACGTATCATGTGAGTAAGGGCATGGAGAGATAGATGTGGTTGGTTGAAGAGCAATGTATATTCCGAATGGTGTTGTTCAATGTTCTTCGTTTTGGCTGCAATCTTTCGCTTCGGACCAACCCCTCTATTTCTTGTTTCTGCCCAATCTCCCAGGCAAGACCTAATCACGTGTCAGGTCATAAATTATCTTTCAGCCTCAGGTTCTAGGCAACAAGGCTCCATGGTCTAGCTTCCGTCAGTTAATTCGGGCCGCCATGGCACTGAGGATCTTCACTACGTAGCGGAGCCTCGAGCCGCGACATGAATCTTGACGGTGAGAGTCCTGGTTTTGCATAGGAGGAGAGTAACCGTGGAAACGGCAAACTTGATCAAAATAAATCTCGTTTTACCGTGACCTTTATTGCGCATTTATACAAAAGATTTATGACGTTGTACAAACAAAAGACCTACCTACCTAGGTACTTGGAGCAAGTCTTATCCTACAACGCCCAATAATTGTACTGAACGGTCCGTACCTCAAAATCTCCGCAAATAATGTCATGAGCACAGTCCAGCTGCCTTAACTGTCAACCAGGAAATACATGGTCTTGGAATGAATGTCTATAAACATACATTTTTGAATATTTCCACGCAGATACTGAATCATTTATTTTACAATATCTCCACGCATCTACACTGATTGTAAAAGCAAATGGGAAAACTCGAGTAATTGTGCTGCTATCCCAACTCGGCCAACCTCCAATCACACGCCAACACACCTTCCTCGCTCAACCCAACTCCATCCTACATACATCGGCCCCTCACGACTCCATCGCAGACACTTGCAATCGTGGCACTTTCCTCGTTGGCACCCATCTCATCGTCCATCCATTCTCCATGTCCTCTGACGCCATCTTTTCGTAGCTCCAACACACCGCTGAGAGCGAGAGCGAGAGCCTCGACCGTTGCGCCCGTGCCGCCGCATGGTTCCACCCAGCCAACATCACTCTCTAAGCGCTTGGGATTCCTGACCTTCCACACCATCAACAATGGCACATAAAGATCGAGATGTGGAGGTACAGTCAGGAGAGAGACCGAGTGAGAGGAGACATCGATCGAAGTCGGAGAAGGACCCAAAGGACCCAAATCGCAAACACAAATCTTCACGAAGTTCCAGACCCAAAGTCATCGATCCAGAGACGGGGGAAGTGATCAAGACCCCTCACCGCAGTCGCAGAGAAAAGGATTCGGAAAAGAGATCAGAAGCGTCAAGCTCCATGGCCGATCTGGTACCAGAACTTGCTAGGACCGCATCTGCACCGGGCGCAACATCTCGGGGCAGCTTGCCATATCCAAGTTTCAATAAAGCACATAGCAAAGAGGCAGTCAATAGCAGGGAGGACTTCAAGTTGCCTACCAAGGCAAAACCCAATGTCTACACACCGGAGTCGACCGATCTAGGATCTGAGGACAAACCACGATCGAAATCGGCAGAGCACTTCTCGCCGAGTCGAGGCGCAACTACAAATGCCAGGCCTCCGAGTCCCCCAGAGACGGAGTTCTCACAACAGAGAAAGGGTACACCTTCACGGATGTCGAAGGTACGAGAGGAAGTAGAGACAGAGTCAAGGCCCAGCTCTAGGACCTCAATCAGAAAGGAGAAGGAGCTCAAGCCGCGTGAGGCAGACAGAGATGACCAGTCCAAGGTATCAAAGGCGTCGAAAGCCAGTACCGCTATCAAATCACCTCGAATGGTCCCGGATGGCGTCAATCCATTTGGAGATTCCAATGCTGCGACCGATTTGAGTGCAGAAACTCGACAGTCGACAGTAGATTCCAACGTTACTTCCGTCGCCCCAAAGCGTGTTCCTCAACCACTTGCTACCGGTCGTCCACCAAACTTGGATACCGACTCCTCTCCTGAATCGGCCCAAGATTCTTCTCCGCGAACACCTACCCAGACACCCCAGTTTCCTCCGCCAGACCTCAAATCTACACCCTCTCCCTTCATCCATTTTGATGCGCCCGACTCTAACCCTAGCGAATATTCTCCGCAGCCTCCCCCACCACCGCCGCCCCCGAACGTTCCTATCAATATACCCCGAGTTGACTACCTTTTGAATAATGGTGGATTACTTCGACCTGCACCTAAAACTTTACTTTCTGTACCTCCCCCAATTAATCCACAATACAACGTCTCAAGAGCTGCCACCCCAATGCCGCCAGAGATTGAAAGAATATTCGGACCCTTTTACAACACATTGGATCAGTATGAAACTGTCATTGCTAAAAATGGATCCATTGCAGTGGCTACTGGGTACAGATCTGTGGCTAGGAGGTTATTGGATAGACTGGAAAATGTTTTTAACCGAGATCTCTCATCCGAAGGTTGCAACTGCATCATGTGTGAGCATTCTGATCAGTCGACATATGGAGCGGGTAGGGGACTAGGATGGGGTGAGGTCTTGGAGTGGGTAGGTGGACGACGGGATCTTCCGCAATGGCCAGCGTTCGACTTTGCATCACTTGGTGTGAAAGCTGGAGAAGAATTAGCTGGTATTGGTTTGGCTGGTCCAAGGAATCCCGGTGATGGCATAAGGCCTGGATCACCTATCAAAATCGATCCGGATGTGGCAGAAGAATATCGAGAGCATTATCTTGCACAATCGAAAAAGACCAAAACAGCCGTCAATAAATGGCTCTCGAGCTGTCCAGAAACTGCTGCTGCACCGCCGCAAGAAGTAGACGATGAAACGCTATCTTTTGCGATCCTCACCCATCTCGATCAACACGACCGACCTATATTCAACGCTTTACTCACAGGTTCAAGTGTACTTCAACCAGTGTCTAGAGCTCCAACACCTCTCCGAAAGCCTCGTACAGATTTCATGATGAAAACTGTCCAGGCATTACAACAATTATACAGGCTACCAGTCCCACCACGAGATCCAGAAGCGGCAATCTATTTACTAAGAAACCCCGAGCTACACAACCTTTTGGCAACAATGTCCAACATTCATCAATCGGAATGGGAGATCCTCACTTCCGGCCGTTTCGATGGATTCTTATGGTCGGGCGCTGAGGATTCTACCAACCCTTCACCTGCACCTTCACGTGGCCCAACACCTGCAAATGGAAACCGCGGACCACCCACCCCCGCCATGCGCCAAGCATCACGAACCAACACCCCCTTCTCCCCCCTCCGCAACCAAACCTTCTCACCCTCCATCGCCTCCTCAGGCTATCCCTCCCGCGGCCCAACGCCCTTCAACCAATCCAAAAACCCGGTCTCCAACGATGAAGAAACCGAAATCGCCGTCCTCGCCGAGATCGAACGGGAGATCTATCTCGGCATGGAAGCACTCGAAGACGCTTTCGAAGGCCTCCACCGCAAAGCCGAGTACGTCCGGCGCGCCCTTCGCGAACGCGGAGCTGGATTATCTATGTCGCTGCAGTCAAGACGTTCGAGTCTTCAGGATCCGATGCGCTTTGGGACGCCAGGCCTAGGCGTGGGATATGAACGGCCGACTTGGGGTGAGCAGAGTGAGCTTAGTGAGAGTGATTGGGATCCCACAGATGAGCAGAGCGAGATTGCGCCTGATGACTCGGCGAGCAATATAAGTAGTTCGAGACATCGGCGGCCGAAACGGCGGACTGAGCGGAGGACGCCGGCGCCGGTGGAGGAGGAGGATGAGGAGTGAGTGAGTGGGCTTTTGAGGGTTGATTAAATATATGGTTTGTGGGTGGGATGCATGGGATCTAGGGCGTGTGTAGGAAGTTAGCGAACCGAAGCGAAACCAGACG